TCTGTATCTTATTATTCCACTCTTTATCGTCACTAGTGATACCTTAGTAATTAATGGATACAACATAACTGTTATCATGACCTTCTTTTCTAACACAGTACTTCATTCTACTTTACAGACAATCAATAATAACTACTTCCTTTCATTAGCGTGTTGAACCTTATTTTCTTCTTACCCATCACACCTAAAACATAACACTATTCTTCATTCCCTTGTCTCAAGTTGATGACTTCCACCTCATCTTTCATTCCTTCGACTATTACCTTCTCAAACAGATCAGCGATCATTTTACAACAGCAGCGTCTTCTAAGCTTTTCGCAACCTTCTTCGCTCAATGCAACCAACAAAACCTCAAACATATCCATATCCTCAAAAACGGTGTTCCTCAAAACTGCGTTTCTGTTAATGATCCTCAAAACATCGCTATCCCTTATTCCATCGTTCACGCGCTCCTTTCTCTTTTCTTCAAACGAAGGGTACGAGCCTCGATGCTCTTCATACGATACACCATTGAACCCATTGAAACATACTTGTTCCATAACGCTGGTCATTGTTCCCTCCCCATTTTCAACAATTACCAAATTAATGAACACAAATTGAGCCATAAGCGTAACAAAAAAAGGCATTCTATTGCAACTTTTCACCATAAACCTCCCAAGTTCCTCATAATTTTGATAGCACATTTCAGTAGCTTTAGATCCATATCCTACTCCCCATAGCAACTCCAGGTCGAACTGGATAACTTTCAAAAGATTAATTTCGTTGTCTCCGAAAGACATTGGAGAACATCCCTTTCCCACAAGGTCAAATATCTTGATGTAAAAGTTCACCCACTTAACTTCCCAATTCTTTTCTATGTTGATTTTCTTTCGCACTTGTTCCAAGGTTCGAATGTACCTATCCATGAAACAATCCAAATAATGCTTTAAACCATACAACACAATGTGGTAAAACAGGTACAACGTCAGTTTCTTCACAAATACTTCACCATTAAAATGAATACCGCCCGATTGACGGCTCCTTCCCACGACGAATGTGGCCATAGTAGCTCTATCATAGCACCGCCCATCCTTTCTGTCGTCGACAGCCATTAAACAATAATCATCAACAATCAAGTCATATAGGCGCTCATAATCCAAACCCGGAATAACAAAATAAAAATTCAACAGGCACAATAGCAATGGTAATTCCTCGTTATCAAACAAATTTCGCAAAGTATATCGACTAGACCTTTCCCCAACAATCGCATCAGACACAGTTTCTTGCTGAACTTCCCAGGTCGCATACAACTGCAACAACTCTTTTACCAGACGCCCAAACTCGGCCAAACAGATATCAATTTCAACAATAGGAATACAACAATTATTAACAATGAAATTGTCCCCACATATGGTCAAGAACAGATACGAATTTTTACCCACTTTTATAACTTTACTCGTAGAATACACGTCTTCCACAACGACAGGAGTACCGCACAATTCTTTTGACATTTTGCCCAGAAAATCGTACTCAGAAGATATGTCTTTCATAAGTTCACCTACTTGACTAACACCCTCTACAATACTGATAAGTTCTTGAGATCGTTTGTGCGGGACAACATAATCAGCACTACAATCTACACATCGCTTCTCACATGCTGTACAAGGTCCAGGTTTTTTTTCGTTATAATCGCATTTGATTTTATTTCTGCGACATCGGGCACACGTCTTGAGCTCTTTGACGCCTCCATCGAAACCTGCCATTTCAGTTATTTGACAATGACGAACGATAGCTTTAGTTCCAACTACCGGAACTTTAATCCATTAATATTTCAACACCGCGAGTCTTGCTTTAAAGCACGTGATTCGTCAACATCTATGTCGACGACACCGAGAGAAGCTGTTCCGCCTCCACCACATCATATCATGACTAGCACAATCCATTTAAACAACGAAAACTCCTAACCAGCCCATATTCCACAATGGTTTCAATACAAAATTGAAATACCTTCGAATCACCGAACTTATCTATGTAACATAAAAATAACATTCAAACACCAAACATGCAGATTGAAACAGTACCTAATATGATATGCCTCTAAACATAACCATCATCCTTACATCAACTCTAAATCGCCCAAATAATCACATTTTGCTTTCCCAACCTAACCAGTTGCCTCTTGGCTGAATATTGAAAGATTAAGTATGAGACTATAACATGAACTCAAAAATAGGAAAACTTTGGGCAATTGAACAACGCATTAACAAAAACCAGTTCAATTCCATTATACGATAAGGAATCGGTTCCAACTGTACATTCAATGCTGTAGCCCATGCTACAGCATCTTTAGCATCGAGCACGTGACAGCCGCTGACATCAAGATCTTATTAGGGTGTGTCAATCATATATAATATATATAAACCATCAAAACACCACGGACACTCACAAGCAACACAATAAGATAAAACAACACTACCCACAATGATCGTCACAAAATTCGACTCCCAAAATTTAGACAACGAACTTCACAACACCTTATGGTCCATGGTCCAAAAACATTCCCCTATAGCACATTCATTGAATTTTAAAAAAGCTCTTTTCGATACCTTAATTTTCTATTTCTCCACATCAACACAACCAGGAAGCCATACATCCACATACGGTTCTTCATTGACAGGGATCGATTTCGAAACCACAAAATCTCGCCTATTCTTGGCAAACATTATTATACCATATTTGCTGCGTGAAATACACACGAAATTACTTTCCTACTCAACAAGCTCAAAATCGATTGCAACACTTTTAGAAGCATTAACAGAAGTATGGTCGTTTCAAACTTTTCTTCAATTTTTAGCCACAAACAAAGGTTATTTGTCCCTAACACACAAGATACTACGTATAAAACCATCATTGGAGACAGTATCCAGTTTTTACGCCTCCTCCATCACGTCGAACATCAACTTCCAAAGCACCCAATTACTATACAATGCCGCTTTACAGTTCTTGACTAACCAGCTCCTACGATCAACGCTTCTTACGAGATTCCTAAAAAGAACTTCACAAATCCCACACAAGAAACAAGGCGCAAAAGCCGTTTGTCCAAATTGTGGTAATTCCCCAGTAATACCCTACACTTCGACATGTTGCTCCACACCTTATTGCTACATCTGTATGCTCAAAGCCATAAAAGCGAACGAATGCCCAAATTGTTACTCACAAAATATACAGGGCGTTCCATTTTACGCAAAACACAGAAGCTACCAAAGATGTTCCGAAAATATAAATTTTGAACTGAAAACAGCGGCGTGAAACACCAATCAACATAAAAATGTCTACAAAAAAAACGATTCAAATGAATAACAAGAGACCCAACTCCAAGCAAACCAAAATAGATCCATCATCACACCAAGTTCGGCGGCTATTAAATCAAACTCAAACGAACGTATCACTACGAACGAAGAGATAAATTCGACTTGCATCTCATCAATTAACCTAATACACAGCATTCCAAGCACAGCATAACTCAACTTAAGAAGAAATAAACGGCTACAAAAGATGCACCACGTACTCAAGGCATCCCCGAATCTGAACTTGAAGATAGGGATACGTATATGCCGACGAACAAAGACAATACTAACCACCTACGAACCATCTAATAAAACCAAAATCCCCAAAGAAGTCGATAACTTCAACAAATCAATACAAAAGCACGGAAAAAAGAGTCGCGAAGTTAAATCCTCAGTACCGTCAAAAACCCCACATTTACACACCAACCTTAACCTGAATCCCACCAAACACAGGAAAAACCGTTATGAAAATTCGAGTAGCTACCGAGCATTTGTACGATGGGAAGTGCTTAGACAGAATTCAAAACCAAATGATGCAATACACTCATTCAATTTTTTGAGAGGACAAATCAATTTGGCAATCAAGGATAACATTGAGAACAACGCTTACCTAATAGATTTACTTATCGCCGATGCGTTAGAATACTATGACATTACCAACGCTGTGGATCTCTTTATCTGGTTTTACGCGAATAGTAAACAAACACCCCCCTCAACACAATTGGCAGATAAAATTATGGGTGGACTTGCTTTCTCAAACCCGATGCACGACGAGAAGCTACTAACCAAATTCTTACAATTGATGGAATTTATGCTAAAAAAAATTCCCAGTTATGAACTATCCGAATACCACGCTACTCAAATATGTGCAAAAGCCATGTCAGTTGTGAATAATCCATTATTGATCAAGAAGGTGCTGGACCACGTTTACGAAATACCTTACACAAATAGCAACACGCTGAGAAATGCTCAAGTTTTGGCAGCATATCGGCTTATAAACGAAGATTACAAAAAAGCCAACCCCTCTGGTGTATTCTACCAGTGGACGGCAATAAAAAATCATTACACTTCCCTTGACAAACATGACTCAAGGATACTGTACCGCGTAATAAAACTTTTCACGAACCAAAAATCGTACCGCTTCAGGTGTAAAGAAATTTTGACAAAACTCGAACCGGATTTTTACGTCAACAATCCTTTGCTTCTCCCGTGTTTTGTCATTTTCTCAGTAAAAACCAACGATTTCAAACTGGCAACTAAGATAATGTCAGACATAACGTCATACGCAACCACTACTACAAAAACTACAAATCTCAACTCCAAATTCATGCTTTCAACTTTACTAAGACTCCATCTCAACTTTAAGGACTCAAGCGGCGTACAAAATGTCTTGAACACAATACAAAAAAATACAACCGGTTTGTCTCCAGCTGACTACCAAGCAATAGTGTCACACTTGATGACAACTGGAAAAGAACCAGATTTGGATAAAGCAATAACAATCACGACGACAATAAAAGGAATTAGTGCTTTACCTTCAGCAGTCGCAATAATCAATCATGTTGCGAGTGCACATTTCATGCAAAACCATAGCACAAAAGCATATTCTACATTGGAAACCATTCTAAGATTTGCTGATAATATTGACAAAAAGCATAGAAACAAATTGTGGGATATTTTGGCCTCGATTTTTGTGAACAGCTTAACATCTTATGGAAAATTTGGTAAAAACCAAAAAGAAGGTATAATTTTACAAGAAGCCAAGCAAAAAGCCAAGAAAAATACAGAGTTCCTAAGGTTTCTTTATCTTAATTCATTAACAAAAATGGAACATGAATCAACAGCTGATCCATTCAACATGACGAGCCCGAAAGATATTATTTTAAAACTCACTAAATCTAACAAACTAGTGATTTTAAGGACAATAGCCAAAGAAGCCAGATTCGCGAATAGAATAGATTTGTTAAGATGGTGCATTTCAGAAATGATAAAATGCGGAATGCCTATGAAAGAAATTGAGCTTGATTGGAATACAATGGAGAAACATCAAGTGAGACGATACGCGTTTACAAACATCAAGTGTCTGTCCAAAAATGTCGACAACCACGGAATAAAGAATTTTAAGAACGTAATTAACTAATGACACGCTGCAAGGTAAACTATATAGATTGGAAAGATACGAGGCAACCAGATTTATGTGGGTTTACGAGGAGCAGGAAGCGCAGGCAGCTTTTTAGGTTCCGCAATAGCTTTGTTGAATTCTCTCACGACAATACGGCATTCCACTTGTTTGCAAAGCTCAACACGTTTGTTATCTGGGAGATTTTGTAGAAGTTGCAGTCCAGTACTTCTGCTAATCGCGTCCACAGGGACTTCAAAATCCGTTAGCTTAGTTTCGTTGGATATTTTGTCGTTAGGCAATACGAATGCACCAACAGCAACCACATCGCTGTTTGGATTGGATGTTGCATTTTCAGCAACAATCAGTTTGTAAAAATGCGTAGGTACAGCAACCGTTGGGGGATTCCCAATTACTTCATAGGTAATTTTCATTTTACCGTCAACCGGATCTTTTCTGGGCAAAAAAAGAGGACCAGTGACAATCCTGACGCTTTGGTATTTCTCTGTAAGCTGTCGACAAAAATACTCCAAATGAGCCCAATAATCTCTATTGAATCCTTCACCAACTTGCGGGCAAATGTTTGTCAAATAAAAGGTTTCGTCCATAGCCTGCTGTGAAAATTTAGCATTGGCTGCTGGTGCCAAATGCCCTCTGTCATAACCAGAACGGAAGTAATCCTTAAGACGTGATCTGAAAGTTTCTGGCACAACCTCATCTTCCCTGAAAAATGAGTTTTTGCGATCTCCAGATTTGTTTTTGAGCGATTCAGGTGTAATGTGTTCCACCACCCAATATGGAATACGATTTTGACGGTCGTAGCACGAAACGAATTCTTCTCTGTTTCTAAGATCATGAATTGGCCCAGGGAAACCATATTTGAAAAATCCACTTGGATTTATATTTGAGCTTTGTTCTGAAATAGATCCGTTATGACCTCCGCTGCTTTTAACAGGAGGTCTGGAGCTTTCAGCGCCATCGGTTATAGTTCCACCTTTATCACCACTACCATGACCAAACGGATTACGCCAAAAAGTAGCAATCACACAGCCTCCCAAACCAAAACTACCAATCCCAGTTAGAAGTGGCCGAAAACTCATTACGAGTTGCTGACGTGCCTAAGTAATCGATCAGTTGAGATGTTATGTAAACTAAAATGAAAACTAAACGTAAAATGACATGAGACTAAATGCGATGAGGTCAACTAAAAATATATGAAATCCTCGAGACTGGGCAACCGACGTCACGAAAATAACTTCGAAATATAAAACCACAATCCTGAGAGGATTTCTTGAACATCAAGTTAATACATTATGACTTTGAATTAACATTGAACGTCATAGCTTTCCTTGACGTATTTTACACAAAAGATCGGAGTTGTATCTGATTGGAATTTGGCAACGGGTTTTCGCGGTTAGCATCGCTAGATGCTGCGACAACTTTTGAAAAAAGGTTCTTATAATTATCGTCAAGACGGTGGGTGACAACGTTTTTACAAGTGTCGGTGAATAGTTGGAACAGTTCGGTGATTTTGGTCACAATAAAAATTCGTCCGTCAATTCTGGTACCATAGATGGACAGTAGAACGGAAAGCACAAGAGTTAGGAGAGAAGCCTGAACGTCCGTCGATTTCTCACAAATTGTCTTGGTGAAAGACATCAACAATTCGATACCTAACTTGACTTTCTTGAAATCTGCCGGTTTACCTTTATCTTGAAGGAAAGCGAAAAGCCAGGCGACAAAACGACGCACAATTTCTCGACAACTAACAGAATCAGTTCTTTGATCCAAATATACACCGAAGAGCGATAACGTCGTTATGGGACATGTGCCCTTGATCAAGCTTGACTTCATTATATCAACAATCGAGTTGACATCTGAGTCAGTTAGAGAAGATCTGTCGAATCCTTGGAGTAAAAATAGTACTGACAAACTCAAGTCTGTTGGAAGTTTTTTGAGAATCGAGTCCTTTTCGGCCTTGAAGAATATGACGATGAGATTCTTCTCTTCTTCACTTGGATCTGAAATATTCGTTATCTGCTCGAGTAACGGCAGAATTCCTGGAGCTATAGTGTCCCGCTCATTAGATTCAAAAACTTGCCCCGCAACAAACAACATACAGGCAGAAAGATCCATTCTAAACTCGACTGGAAACTTGCATAGCAGCTTTGAGATAGAGGTAAAGCATTTGTTTAGCAGCGAAACTTCTTCAGAGCCGAGTTCGCGCAATGACTGCTCTGCAACATCGCCCTTAAGAAAAGGAAGTTTGAAGGTGATGATCATCATGACTACCCTCAGAAGAAGGTATATTTTACCTGCACATTCAAGGAACTCAGGGCCATCACTTAATGTCTCAAAATATCTCAAGGCCAGTCCTTCGATAACATCAACAAGTTTGAACAGCTGAAGGCTGCTTCCCGTCAAAACAATTCTTTCAAACACTTCTACCGCCTCTTCAATGTTATCATCGCTGAATAATTCCGCACATGGGGTATCAATCGTGACGATATTACGAATACCATCGAGGGTCCTCAATCTGGACTTCTCGTCCTCGAAGTTTAAAGTCAAGTGCTGCAAAGAATGGGCGTAAACAACAAAGACAAAACTTTCGAGGTCATCTTCTGTTAAACAAGATAAAAGGGTCTCTTTGCTCTCGGAGTAGACAGCACAGATTGCTTCTGTGAAGTTAATCCACACACTTTCATATGCCAACATTTCTCGATCTGCTATGGCGCCATCCACTGCGACAGCAATTGCGGAATTACTGGTCTCCACATTTCGAGAACTTATAAACTCTCGTAAGAAAATTATCCACAAAGGAGTGAGAGTATTCCAAAACGGCCGCGACAACTCTATCAGATCGCTATTCTGTTTCTTAACTGCTGCTAGGGTAACCAATGCCCAAGAATTCAAAACGGCGACCTCAACCTTGCTTTTACAAGTTGGTGTGCAAACTTTCACCTCACCACAGCTAAACGTGTCTGGTTTCTCCATTATCTTGGCAAGCAAATCCACTAATATCTCGACCGCTCTTGAACTTCTCTTCGAATCCGAATAACACAGACACAAATACTGTGCGCAAGTATTAATAGCAATAGGTAGAATAACAGGGGAGCTTCCCTCTTCAAAAGCAGGCATTAGGGCGCTGATAATGTGGGCTTCCTCTTCATGAAGACTGGATATGCCGGTAGAATGCCCTAAGGTTAAAAATGTCTCCAGAACAGCACCTAGTAACTCTATCCCTCTTCTTTTCATGTGTGGATTTTTCATAGCTGAGGCCGTAAAACACAGTTTAATGACTTTTTGAAGCTTCGATCCCAACGATGAAACCAACTTGTTGCTTGCTCCTCCGTTGAACAACCTTGCCATGAGATCCAAGATGAACAACCTAAACCGCCACGACAGCGCATCAACCTTCGACGCTGCCCCAAACTCAGAAGTAAAAGCCTTCTCTTCAACGTCGATTATTTCCGACCTCGATAAAAATCCTCCAGTTTCATCGGCGGTTTTCCGAGCATCCTGCTCCGGCCCTTTCCGGATCCTGTCCAAATTTGCCAACTTTTGCCTAGTCATAAAGAAAAGATTGTAGAGTTTGTTCGACCAAGACAAAGTTAAACTACACGTATGAACGAACCATTCATTCAAGAATATTTCCGGACCTTTGCAATCGGAGAAAATCGAAAAATAGCGCCACACCGTATTTTCAACATCCTCGAATGTTTCGTCAATTAAATCTAGCCGAACAAGTTGCCCCATGAATTCAAAAATGGCTTCAATCAACAATTCGTTGTATGGCCCACGATGGTCAGGAATGTTTTCATTGAACAATTCGGAGTTTGAACAGGGATAGAGACTTATCGAAAACGCACGCTCCAAAAAAGTCATGGCCGATGGAACAAACTCAATAGGATTGACAATATCGAGCATCTTAAAAGCTGATAAGTGGGTGACCGTACAAATTGCATAATAATGCTCAATGCTGTCACAGGAGCCTGCCATTACGCAAACAAGATTATTAAATTCTTCCATGGTTGAGGGGGATAACATTTCCAATTCGGGTCCCAAACGCTGTGTTATGGCAAATACAGTCTTTGCCATAATTAGCTGGGAATCGAACTTGAGGCTGTAATTTAGACCCCAAGCCGCGGTGGAGTTTTTACCATACTTTTCATCAAGGACAAGATGTTCCAGAAGGTGAAGGACCCTAGAGGCTGTTGAAACGTCCAATATCGACGCGCCCTCTATGAGTATCGAAAGAGCTTCAACCGACCAAGTATGAACGATTGGGTGCGGGTCTTTGATTAAGCTCTCCACAAGGTCCAATGTAGTCCGGAAATTGAGCTTCCGACGTTTCTGTTTAAAAGCACGGCATATACTCAAAATGTTAAAGACTCTCGAGAAAGGATCATCATGGTCCAGAATATCTTTGATCATCACATCTGAAACGTCAGGAAAATACTCGACCTCGAGATCGGCGTCAGGATCATTAGCAAAAGTAGTGGACGAAATAATCAATCCGGCGCATTCGGCTTTCAGTCTGGTCATGAACTCGTCTTCAAGAAAGGGTATGCCTTTCAGCATCTTGAGCATTAAATTTGCGACTGGAGGCTGGAGTTTCAGGTCTTTGCCTTGGATTATCTCCAAAGCACCAAGAAGAGCTACACAACAGTTCGAAGCAATAGCTATTGACCTCATAGTAACAGTCTTTTTTGAAAACAGAGAAGAATTCATGCTTTCCAAGACAGAGTACTGTATTTTTTCGTTAAGGTATGGGAAAATGAGACTGAAAACTTCGATGGAGGAGTTCACAATAGACGTCGTCACACGAGGAGAGTATTTATCTCTGCTAGTATACCCACCTGCTCCATACAAAAGGATGAGACTATCATATGATAAAACAGAGGATATCGGCGTGTATACCTCACTCTCATAAGGACTAAACCAGTATCCACTGTCTCCTTCATAGGGTTTCAGGGACCTGGGGGTAAAGTTAGATCCTGTTTTAATATTCAGCTCGTCGATATTAAAATCGTAAATCTTGCTTGACAGTCCATAGCCAAATCCTGATTCATCACATAACAAAGACCGAAGATTCAGGCCTTCTGAATCGGTGACATTTCGTCTTGAATAGCCGTCAGCGCTCACGGAGATGTTATCGAGCACGGGACGGTGTGCTTCATAATACAAATTGGGGTCTGCAAAATTCTTGACAATGAGGATTAAGACGGCGCTATTGAATTCTTTTTTAACAAACTCATGAACCTTGAGGTACGTCTGGAGTATTCTGTTTTCATTTTGCAGCAGTACGTTATCAATGGATTTATTTTTGAGTTGAATTGAATTGTTGAAAGTGGAGCATTTTGTCAGCAGGAAAAACACCTGTTTCGCGATGTCGGCATTTAAATCAATTCTGTTTAGATAGGCCAGCAAGCATGCAAGTGCATGATTTCTTAGCTCAATATTTTTATAGAGCTCGTCTTCGTCTCGGTAAGAAAAGCTGTGCGCCAATATTCCTTTCCAAAAAAGAAACAACTGTGATGACTGAACTCGCAGTAAATCCATATCGCTATAGTTCATGAAACCACAAAGCAAAATCCACGAGAATAACTGTTTGTTATATGAGGCCAATCCACCACTTGGTGGATGGTCTTTTAAAATTGTTGTAGCAAATATGTTCACTCTCATTACCAATTCGCTCGGGACGTACTCCGGATCACAAACACGGAAGAGGTTTGCGAGTAAGAATGTATACCCGTGGCACTTAGAAAAAGATAGTGCGGAGGTCGAGAAAAGTTCATTTGTAAGTGAGTCTAATGAAGACTGTAGAATATCAGGGATTAAGTGCGGTGCATGCCTCAGATATGTCTGGAGACATTGGCTTGCATGAACTCGAATTTGAAAGTTATTACTGGTAGACAGTTCTAACAATTTGGATTTCATCACCAGAAGGTTTCGGCTGTTCGTTATGAACATAGAAGAGAGGTCATCGATCAAAATGCCGGCGAGCTTCAAGAAAATAATTGTTGGGAAAAAGACCTCACCTTCTCTGTCTTCTAGTAAACACGTTGAGTTGTCCTTCTCACAATCGAAAATCGAATATAGCATGAGCAGCCTCCCAGACTCTGGAAAATAGCGCAGAAATAACAGGTGCAAGGTTTCGAAAAACTTCATGTACTTCGATATGTTGTCGAGCTTTTGTTCTTTTATTGCCCGATTTGTGAATATTGAAAAAGCGACTCTTGAGATGATATGCAGGTATGCGCTATCTTCCAGCATTTTGCCATGTTCAGATAAAGTGATGCCTAGAAAGTGGGCCAAAGCTTCAAAGGTGCCGGCTCTTACGGAACGATTTGGGATGGTCACAAAGATGTCACTGAAGAAGTCGAGCACATCGTTCAGAGACACTACCTTTCTTTCAGAACACCAATTGTTTAGTACTTCACCAAGACATGTGGCAGTTTCCTGACGCAGCTCATCGGAGGAAAGCCCGTACAAACCATATCCATTAAGAAAGAATTTAGTTTTCAAAGTTTCGAGTGGTGAGCCTGAAGACTGAGTCTCTACAAATGTGAGGTCTTTGTAAAGGTACGCGTATGTGTGAATAATGGCGTTCAAGAAGGATTTAGGAAGCATTTGGTCATCTGTCTTCACACGGTCTAGAGCATGCTTAGCAATTTTGGTGAACTTTGTCGTTATGGCAGGATCTATCTGTGCCGAGTTTTTGAAAGCGACTGAGACTAGCAGCATCAATTGAGTTAAAAAGACCGCATGCATGTATTTCTCCTTTTCTTGCGCTTTTTTGATATTTTTTAACACGTCAGGCAACACCAAAGGCAGCAGAGATGCAAGCTGTTGCGGACGGAACTCGATGAGATGGATGAGGCACACAACACTCAAGAATTTAGCCGGTGAATACGCGTACGATTTAGTCTTGCTCTTTTTTTTTGTCTTCGCCTGCGACAGGTCTTCCTCACACAGTATGCTTGCCAAATAAAGGGCATCATCGTAAAAATCATTATCCGCAAGGCTTTTCATGCTCCAAGTATACAGGCTTGAAATCTGCCGGCACATTACGAGTGACAGATTAATTGTAAATTCTCGGTCGTTGGCAAAATCATCAATCAATTGGCGAAGTTGTATCTTGATGTGGTTTGTAGTTTGTACATTAAACTCATTCTTCTTATTGAGTTTGTTAGTAGTCCATGTCAAAAGCTCGTGTTCCCTTTGTGAAGATAAACGAAGTACATCAACCAGATCATTGGGGCTCAAAGGTTCCATCTTCCAAGAGTGTTTGGATATTTGTTCGGTTGTGAACTAAACTTGGATTCGATCTGAGGTAGTAAACTTAATTCATACTTAATATCCAGATGTCGTGAATAGTGATCTCAGTCGGATGGACACATTCTTTTGGTATGAAGAGTTACTCAATGACTCGACACTTTGATCGGCTCGACTCGATCAATCTTTGAGTTGCTCCATAATCCACTTGTTTTGTTTATACTATAAATTAACATCAGTGCTGTAAATGCGTTTTACGCGCGATCAGGCCATACTTCATCATTGATAGAGAATGTTGGCACTACTTGTCCCTCTAGTTAGTTTCGTTACAATTGAACAAACGTCGAATGCCAGTCGGAACTTATATCAGTGTAGTATAGTGTAGTAACCCCCAGAGAGTGAAAATGAAATCATTTACATTTTATTGTCAGAATGCTAGTGTTCCTCAACCTCACCCCCTCATTGTTAGTCTAAGCAATCAGACCCAAATAGAAAATCTAACTGCTCGTGCATCCCAGTAAGGTATGAATCCTCAAAGAAGGAAGCTAACGGTATACGTTTCGAGCCATTCACTAGGGTGTGATCAAATGTGTTGCTTTCTGGATGTGCAAGTGGTACTTGCGCGGGTACTTTCGGAGCCTCGAGCTTCGTAGTAATGGTGTGATCCATATTCTGATATTGATCACTTGATGCAACATAATTCTCCAATTCATGGGGATTGAGGGAGTGATTATCTCCAAGGTTTGATGTTTCGCCAATGTTTAGATTGTTGAACTGCTGAACAGAGCCATCGAGAGACCGGCTGTTAAATTTTTCAAAAAGTTTGTTCAAAACGCTGAATGTTCGTTCGCTTGTTACCGAACAGCTCCTCAATTCCTGTAGAAGGTCAATACCCTTTTTCAAATCTCTCAGTACTTCTTTCAAAGTGGTATTACTGAAAATGCTTATTTCCTTTAGTTGAACCTGGTGAACGATGTACATCAAGTTGGTCACCCCCAGAAAGATAGTGTGGACAGAGAACCAGTAGCTCCCACATAAAATCTTTTGACCACACATTTTGCCTGCTGCAACCACTACTTGCTGGGCTGTCTTCAGACACTTAACTCCAAAGTCCAATTCAGTCTTTCTAGATGCCACTTGGTCAGGACTCATAAACAGAGTATCGATAAAAGGTCTGTAGAGCATAATTGAAGCATGAAGATAGTCAAAGTCCAGAAAGTAATTGGCTAGCCTATATGCTTTGGTTTCTTCAATATCCACAAATTCATAACCCGGCACCAGTTGCGGCGGAAGGGACAGCCGCCATTGGTTCAGATCATATTCCAGAGCATAAATAGCCTCATTTGTCGGTAGTGATCTCGATGATTTATGGGATCGAGTCTCATCATAGATTCGTTTTGTAATCCTGGTGAGTTTTGTATGTTCATTGCTCAGGGCGCAGCTACTTATTTGATAACTCCATGGATTTATCTTAATACCATCATCCGTCATATCGTCATCATGAAAGCTTGCAGGCAATTCTTGATCAATGTCACTATCCGCAATGGTGACGGGAAGTCCCATTATGACGTTAACATAGACATCCATCTTATAGATGGTCCAAAAAAGCCGCTTCCTCACTTCCGCCTCTATCAAAGAGCATTGTGCAAGACTAGATTTTCTATGCAACCCAACTCGTAAAGCCGCTCTCAGAGCGATCCCGATCAGAGAATAACAGGTTGTCAATTTAGCAGAGCACTGCAAGAAAATTGTCATCATAAAAATAGTTTGAATAGCACAAACGTCGGACACATTGGTAATATCTATAAGCTTGCTAGCGGCAGTAAAGTATTTGTATCCTTCCTGGTGAAAAAAATTCTGAATAGCTTTGTCGTGGCTGAAGTCATCTTTGGTAAAGAGAGCACCCACAGCCAGAATGGAGTATATTAACGGAAGTGCGTTATTCTGCTCGTTGCTGTAGTCCTCGGGAGCAGTAGCGTAAAGGCTTTCAAGCACTTTTATCAAAGTGGGACGGTGGTTGAAACGGAACAAGACACACGCGCATCGCCAGCTTTTGTAGACCAAAGTTTTAGCCATGTCTAGTGGTGGAAGCACAATTTTCATCTCAACAGGACACACTGTAAGCTCATCTTCGTCGAATGGGCTATCGGTTTTCGGCTGCTCGCCTGTTTGCTGTTGTTCGAGGAATTTGGACTCTATCGATCTGATGTCCAAAAGGCCCTGGAAATTACTACGCTCGATAAGTTCGATGAGCCTGTCAGTTGACGCTTCATCTATCGGCTCTTTCAAGTTTGGAAATAAGGCATTTAAAACCCGTTTGTAGTTAGCACCCGTTGAGTCCAAATTCTGATTTTGGGAGAAAACATTTGGCTTCTTGGTAGGTACCGCGTTGGCTATACTAGGCTCAGCAAAGTGTGTAATAGGAGTTGAAGTGCGCCCTTTCCTGGATACTCTTGCAATAGGGCTATAAGTACAGTTATGAGAATAAACGGTGCAGTGAATGCAAGGACGTCTTCCATCGCATCTTACCTTCCTTGCTCGACAAACATCGCAAGCTCTTGGGACCCGCAAACGCTTGGGCTGTAGTTTTTCGGTAGATTGATCAAGCGACAGGACCAGAACATTAGGGATGCTGCTTGAGGTCATGCTAGACCTCTCCTGATGTGATTTTCTTCAAGTTTAAAGATGTGTCTTAATCACCTTTCGGGATTAACAATCCACTCAATTAAATGCCGTAATTAGGTAAAGTTAAGCTATGTAGAAGTTAAGTTCAGTTAACTGACCGTCGAAGTAGCTATAAGGTGAGGTCTTTTCCGGAAGTGAGATTAAGTAGTCAAATCTATATAGACGATTCTTTTTAAACTTCAGTTCAAATACTCTAACGCTGCGTGTTACCACTTGCGCGAAGCCGTTCGAGACGTTTGCGAATCAACTCATTCAAGGAATGGCCCGGTTCTCTGCCCACTTTCCGTTCATGAGCGTAGTAGCTTGCAGTTCCCACTGCAACGGCAAATATGGGGTCCAAAAGCCTGTAAACAAAACAAAAAGACGTTAGTTACCCAAACCTCGAGGTTAATTCAGATACTACTATAGAGTAATACTGTTCAAGATTTTCCAGCTTTCAAAACATACCGTCCCAATAGATACGGATTGGGTTGCACCATAGCAAATGAGAGTTCCTGGAGAGGTGTTGATTGGTGTTCCCGGTTGTAGTTGCGATCCTGAGTCCGGCTTGTGTTTTTCAATATTTCAATCAACACTAGACGATGTAGAAAACTAGGAAACTCATCACTCAAAACTGAAAGAAACAAAAGTCGAACTTGTAAAACAAGACGCCTATTTCAAGCTTCCGATGGCTGTTGAGACAATTGATCTGGATTCTGTACCTGAAAATCATCCTCTTACCCATTATGAATTGCACCTTGTGCCTTGCAAGATAGGCACAACTGGCCCCACGGAAGAGTTGAAAAACGGGTTCCAAGAAGACACCGCGGAGTCCAACAAAGAACAAAGCAAGACAGTCACCTACCTTCGTGGCCGGAAAATTGTGGGTAAGGCTGTGACTCCCCAGAAAGGCGATTACAAAATAGTAGCATTGACATCGTTTGGAACATCAGACACTACTACATCAAGTTACAAGCAAACGGCTGAGATTTCCCATATCTACAATTACGAAAGGGAAGGTAACGAACAACGCAGGGATGATGAAATGGACAAATTTCAGGAGTATCTTGAGCTGACAGACCTGATCAACCAATAATGACGTCAAAATAGATCAGGAAGATCTGGCAAAAGATACTCAAAGTGAGCCCCGAAGCAAAAAGATTATGGGTTCTCTCAATCCTAATGCTTAGTTCGATCTGGCAATACCACTGTTGAGCATCCAGAAACGATCAATCGCTCTTTTGTCGATCTAGATTTCGCGAACCATGGAGTCAGCTGACCCTTGTGATATGGTCATGTCTTATCACACACACCCTATAACGAGAAATACGATCACATCCAGCAGACCCACCAACAAGGTTCCTAAAGCAAGTTTGTAGAACTAAACTGTCCAAGACAGTGATCGCGTTGATCTAAACACTAACTACTGTTTGAACTAGGAATGTCGAAATGATGGTACCGAAGAAACGACGGGTCGAAACCTACGACATGGAAAAAGCTGGGCAAACAGTATCGAAAGCAGTTGGGACACGAGGTAGATTTGTCAAATTTGTTGACGAAGCTCCACATGAGCTGATATTACAACTCACGTACATGCTGGATCGAAAAGACGTCCTGGCGCTCTCTTCTACGAACAAAATGCTGAGAAAACGGCTCAGGCCCTACGTCTTTGACCAGGTAAAATGCTCTTGGCACGAACTGACACACTGTTGGAAACTCACGAGTGACGTGCATGTGCCAATAAGATGTCCAGAGTTGGTGGAAACAATGCGCATCTCAACTTCGTGTTCAAACAGCGAGTGGGCTTTTCCGTTCCACGTCTTGTTCGACCACGAATCATGCATGACCAACATCAACAGCCTGGTGCTTCCGACGTCAGGGTCTACAAATTTCTTCAAATATTGCAAAAAAGCCCCACGTCTATTGAAGCTGCGTATAGTGGCTGATCGAAACGATTCAGAATTCTCTCTCGAACACATGCAAAATTTCCCAGCCTTGCGAGAGCTTTCTCTGAGCAACTTCCACATCGAGGATCACGAAATCACTGAATTTGATTTATGTCCAGACCTCAAAACTGTTACATTGACTAACTGCACATGGAGTTATCCTTTCAACATTGAGAAACTGGGTAAAGATAAAATCTCCGCGCTTCACCTAATTTACTCTAATAGCTTCATCATGAGCGAGCGCTTCAGATATTTCCTTTCATATCCCGGCTTTACAAACCTGGAAGAATTGTCGGTGGTCAATAACGAAAATAACTTAAGGCTCACAATATCAGTGCAGATAATGGCCCTGATAAAGGCAATACCATCATTAAAAACGCTAAAATTGACAGGAAATATTTACAACGAGGCTCTTATCCGCGCAAGAGAATCAAAAGCCCCAAGCCATACCAATATAGTTGCAGTCCATGATGTTAAGGTCTTTTATTCCAGTTTTTTGCGAGACATACGCTAGCCAAATTTAACGGGGAAACATTAACTGAATGATTACATTATACTACAATCGCTGACGCCGAGCCCGTACATGACCTTTTCCACGTCTCTGCGGACCTTTACCCAGTCTGTTCGGCGCTGTACAAACTCATAAATCTCCTCTTGCGTGAAAACGCCTTGGAACCTGCCAAGGTCGCATATCATTTTACCTAGCTCCTTCGAGTCGGCACCAGATACCAGAAAGAGCTGTCCAACAGCTTTTAGCCCAGCGAAGAACGGTATAATATTTTTTTGCTTCAAAGTATGGGCAATGAAATCATAATAATAATTGAGGTCACAGATGAGAAAGATGGCTCCATCAGTTGAGATTAGATTCTTTTTGATGTTTTTGACTATTTCACTGAAAAATCGCTCTGCAATCTCTTGTTGAAAAATGTCTATAGTGCCCTTGTCAGTAGCACCTGTCAAGAGGAAACAATGGTTTGATAGAAGCTCCACATTTTTTAATGCTGCCCTCGATGGTTTTATTTCTTTGTTCAAAAGTACTCTGGGGTCGGGGTTGAAGTCATCCGGAAGCTGTAAAGTACCGAAAACAAATAGCACTTCGTCCATAAGCTTGTTAATACCAACATTGAGGCCATTTGCCACATAATCATCAATCATTGTCTCAAATGCTTTTTTAGACTGAACCACGTCGTTCAGAAAATCTTGGTTCTTTTCCACAATCTTGATCTGGACCAATTCGTTCTTGTAGAAGATGGATATCATCTGCAGTACAATGTCACCGGTATTAATCAGTTCCGTAAACTTGATAAGGGGTTCAACGTGCGAGTCCGTGGTATCCAGCTCCAATTGTACATTTTTCATTTTATTAGGGTCGTACTGATCCAATAATGCAATAGCTTTATCGAAACCTGGTTTGAAATGATCTTTGGATAAGCAGCTCACAAGAATTTTGAAGATTTCTCTGCATTTGAACTTGACGATCTCTTCGATATTTTTTATGCGCAGAAAGGTACGCATGTCTTCAATGCAATCTTTGCAAGATTGTACAACTTTGTAACAGAGATCCAAACTGACAAGGACCTGGATGTTGTTCAAGCTTAGATTCATTACATTTAAATTGTAAGTCATTTGAAGCTCCTGTTCTTCCTCGGCTTTAGCGTTATTGGAGATTTTGAAAATTTTAGTGAAAGAAGTGAGAAAATTATTCTTCTCGTCGATGAGCTGCTGATTAGATGTTTTGTCTCTCAGACTTTGATATATTCGTGCGTTTTGCTGTTGTTCTTTGAGTGAGTTTTCTTTCTGAAAGTTGACGAACATCTGCTCCACTTTGACTCCAAACTTGTCGACACAGACATCAAGGTAAGCCAATATTTTAGGCTCAAAATAGAGGTCAAGAAACTCAATAAACATATTTTTGAATCGAAGACCCGCGTTTCGGCTTGAACTCAGCCTGTCTACTACTTGTTGATGAAACGCTCTGTAAATGGTAGGCATAGAAACGATTGTGGCCACAGAGCCATCAGTTGAAGAAGTGAGCTGAGTTTCAAAATATTCAATGATATTATTAGCTATTATGCTCTCCGCGTATGCCACAGTCACTGGATGAGTTTCGCCGAATATTTTGTCCGCAAGTTCTATTTTGGAATTGAAAAACGAGCTGATTTTATGCAAAGCGGCTTCAAGTTGAGTTTTCTCAAGCTCATGGCTGATGGGATCGAAAAATGTCTCTGGTAAAGTCACCTCTGTGGCAAATTCATTCCTGGACTTAAACATGTCAACGGCCGTATTTTCCTCATGGCATTTCGACAAAACACTGACAAATTCGGCCACAGTATCGTAGTCCTTACTTTCGTAAGCCAAATCCATTTCCTTGATTGCAGTATTCACAAAAACCTCTCGAAGAATTCCCAAGTTCTCTGTTGCTTTGCGACATTGAGAGGGATCTTTCGCTTCTGCTGGAATATATTTGTACAGACCGTCTATAATGCATGCCTGAGACAGTGCATCGGAATAGCATGGGGGGAAAAACCCATTGGAGTCACCTCTATATAGTTTCTCCAAGAAACCCTGAAACTGTTGGTAAAATTGAGAATAAATGGTCTTTGCAGAAACTGCAGTGAAAGTTGTAATGTCAGAAAAAATATGCACAGCATCGACGTGGGTCTCGTTGTTGTTTTCAACTATCTCGCTTTCAAGCAGACCCAAAGTTCTGAGCTTCTTGACCCACACACGGGTGTCATTGGCCTCTGAGAGATGTTCGTAGTAGACTTCTCGGTTCACCTGCCGGAAGCTTAGATAGTCCCGGGTACACAATTGACTGGCTATTTCAACTACTATGTCGGTTGCTTTTAGCACATCTTCCATAGTAGAAGCCATCGTTTCGAGCAGCTAGGTCTCGTTGATGAACTCGGCGCTACCTCTTCAATTCTAGGTTTCTCTCCAGTAATAAATACCTTTATATTGGCAAATTAGTATATTTCACCACAATTCTGTCACCTTATTACTTTCGTGACATCCTCAACCGGACAGAGAAATAGAGAGACAGTAAATTAGTAACAATACCAAATGAAGAACAGTTGATACTGCTAAGGGGTATCATGTTGAGTATCAAACGCTTGTAACATTGCTTTGAAGCACAACAATATCACAAATCCGGCTTTATTAATCTTATTTTTAATGATGATGTAGAAATCAACGCCAATGCTACCTTAAACCAAGCCGAATTCAGTCCTTAAGATTAGCAGAGTTTCCACTTCAAGAAAAGCTCCGACATAATCCCGCGAAACGTTTTGTTACGTGCAGATGTGAGAATTAAAGCCAGTTTTCGCAAAGGTCAGGTGATCAGATGAGGCTCGCTTATAAAGCTAAGATGATATATATCAATAGCCAGAGATACATGAAAGCATCGCTTCTATCTCAACTTGTTGACTGAATAGATATGCGAAGCGTCTTGGTAGATGAGTGATGAGTGATAACGAGGAGAATCTTCCAGCGTCAAACCAAATTAAAATTCCAGATCCAGCAGACTTGGATACCAAGGCCGCAATCGAAAAGACCGTGGAATACGTCAAACGAAATGGAAAAGAGTTTGAAAAGAAACTAGACAAAACGCAATTCCCCTTTTTGCAGGAAAGTAATATATACCATGGATTTTATCTTAGTCTTTTAGGACGCCTCCAGGCAGAAGATGCAGTAGAATCTGTTGCTGAGTTACCAGCAACCACTAAAATGCCGTCTCCAAGGGTGCCTCACCCATTCGTCTTCAGTACCACGGACAAAAACGTACCAAGACGAGACCTGGAAATCGTGAAAAAAACCGCACTCATATGTATGATAAATGAGAAGCATGATTTTTTGAACACACTCCGATCTCAAGCGGCAGAACACCCGCTTCTAGGATTTCTAGACTCTCGACATCCTCTAAATGAAACGTTTACCAGTTTTATCAACCAATACAAGCAGATTGCCTCCAAAGAATTTGAGTTAGGGACGCAATTTGCCAAACATGGACAAATGGGATTACTTCAACGGTGTTTTGAGAGAGCAAAATGGATGGAATACTCGGAGAAAATGGAGGTACAACAGGCTGCAACGCAAGAACGACTCAAACTTCGGTTTTTTTCATACGCTTGGGATAATTTTGAAACGCTCGGGAAAGTGGAATTCGACCAGGATGAGGACTACGCGGAACCGCTCAACTTTGACCATTTACGACAAAAGACCCTCCAACACTCGTCTACAAGCTCACCGTTCGCAGGACGTCTAACACTTTCATCTATCTCAAGTGCTGAGATGGGTGTTGAGCAACAGGAAATGAAACCTAGGAAGAAAAGCAAAATGAAGATCCGTGCCGCCGGTGAGACGAGAATTAAGCAAAAAGGTAGCAACGCAGGCTCACAGGCGATGATAGAGTGTCCTATAACGCACAAGATGATTCCTGAAGCCGACTTCGAAAAACATATTCAGGTACTGTTGAGCGATCCCAACTACACGAAAGAAAGACAAGAGTACGAAGCCAAGAATAGCATTACCAATCTCACACTGGAAAGCGTCCACCAAAATGCCAAGCGACTGTCGCAAAACAGGAGCTCTGTGCCTGCTAAAAGACAGAAAACATGAAAGACACAATTTTCATAAAACGATTTTGAGTGGCATTATATAGCATTTGTCTAAATCAAATGAAGGAATGGGGAATCTAGCATTATGGTGTAACAAGACGATTCCCGCTGTAGACTCATATTTTTGAGCTACGATCAGGATTCTTCCATTATTGGCTCATATATAGTGATTCTTGCCTCTGGATTAATTGTTTCAGTCACGAAACTGAATTCGAAGGAGCCATTCATCACAATATGTTTACTCCAAACAAAATAACAACGTCCTCATAGACTGCACGAAACTATTGACGCCCAGTCTTCGCAAAGCAAGAGCTTGGCGCAGCTATATCAGTAAGATATTTACACATTATAGTCGGCTGATACTTTTCTAACGATATGACCTATTAGTAAACAAAAGTACATAGAGACTCGTCCTTGTTAGCTCAGTTGGTAGAGCGTTCGGCTTTTAAGCACCGCTTGCAAGGAACCGAAATGTCAGGGGTTCGAGCCCCCTATGAGGAGTCTTTATTTTTGGCACTGGCTAGAAACTTTTAGCTTTGTTTACATTTAAATTTATTGAATTGAAGATGGATCGAGCTGAATACATCGAACTTCTTTAAAGCACCAGGAACAGCAGATTTTGAAGTTTAGTTAGCTCGTAATGGAGTCTAACCTCGACATAAACCTCGACAACATTTTTTTTAAGACTTACGCGGTAGACCACGCTTACCAATGCCCCATATACGTGTTTGATTCGACGTACTTGCCGTCTACAGAACAAATTGATGATCGAGAGATCTACGACCTGCTCATTGACGAAACGATGAACAAATTGGCTACTCAGCTACCTGAGACACCTTTTTCGCTGGTGGTTTTCAGCTCAGGCTTCTCCCAGAAAAAAATCAGTTGGATCTACGGTGTCAAAATGTACTCCAAGATATCAAAGAACACGCGTGCCAAATTGCGGCAACTATGGGTTGTACACGAGTCTCTTTTCGTGTACGCAGTCCATCAAGTACTGACCAACGCGTTAAACATCAATCCGTTCAAATTGAAGCAGTCTTCCACAGACAACGTTATGATCCATCATGTACCTAATCTTGCAGGGCTCAAGGATTTGGTCGATATTTCCAGGCTTCGAATATCCCTTGGGGTTTACTTGTACGACTTCCAACTTACAGAAACTACAAACATACCACACACCAAGCAGGGTTCAAATACGGCTATGGCAAATCGTCAGTATCGACAACTGATTTTTGATAAAATTTTCAAAAGACTAAGGATAGAGGCACCAAGGTATCAGCTCGTTTTCCAACGGCCTGGGTCTTATCAGAAAGTGAACATTCTTCTTGGTGTTATTGCTCGAAATAATTACGTTGATCTCTCACATTGGGACGTGTACTCTTTGGGAACAGTGTTTCTGAATTTTATCAAAGGGAAGAGTAAGCCAATTTTCCCCATCGACCTGATACCCCTTCCGATCGATGATTCGGTGGAATACACCTACAATACTTTTGTCAGCATGATGATGTACAATGAATACTATGAACTGACCTCCTACGTTTTTGAATTGTTTCTCACACTGCTGGATAATTCAGCAACAACCCTTCATGACTACAAGTCGCTGAGTAAGTGTCTAACCCCGACACTGTGCCAGGAGAAAGTGTCTATTAAGTCGTCAGACAGACTAGCTATCGGATACCGATACACCAATAACATTTTGCTACACTTCAGAGAGCTTAAAAAACGTATAGAAGAGTCTGGTGTCCTCAAACCATCCGCGACTGACAAATCCAACGCCAATGTCGTCCCCAACCTCGCGGGATATCTTCCTAAAGTACCTCCTCCTCGTAAAGCGAGTCCGGTTCGAGAAATCTCTTCCAGAAATACGAGCCCCACACGATTGGCCCAGTCTCAAGATACTTATCTTGAACGAACAAGAACGTTGTCACTCAAAGAAGCGCCTCCTTTGCCCAAACGAGCGGAACAGCGCTCTGTGCGTGATGTGCAACCAGTCCCAGTCTTACAGCCTGATCAGCCTGATCTCTCCTCCTCAACCTCGTTAGAGTCTCTCCGCACCGAGTACTCGGCTTCGCCTGCCTCTGGAGCCATTTCAAAAACCCAATCCAAGGATGTTGCAAACTGGACACCCAGGAACCACTCAAGCCCACGGATCACAAGTGGTTCTTCTCTTCGGCTAGACGATGCCGAAAACGACGTTGATTCTGCACTAGTTTTTGACGATGCTGTTAAGTCAAGACCGAAAGCCACGAACAATACGTTCGAAATAGATCAAAGCAAGCTAAATCTGCTACTTGAAAACAATCAAAAGATCATACATTTTGATGCAGATCTTAAAAAACGCAAGACGCACACTCATCCAAAATCAAACCATGCCCTCAGTAAAAGTTATTCTGATATCACCGCTGGCAACAAAGTTAGTCAACTCGCAGCTTTATACGAAGAGAGATTGATTGGAATAAAGGTCATGGAAGATCTGCGCAGAAATCAATGATACAACTCAATACAAGATCTATGTTCGATAAACTAGGTCGGCCATCGCACGGGAAACTTGGTATACGCTCATAATCCATCTACATTTCATCTCTTTACACGAAACGACGAAACGCCAAAAACAACATACGCCTCGAGGCAAGCCAAGAATAATACCAAACAAATACCGAGTAAAAGGCTTAAAAATCAGAAGTAGGGCCTTTGATCGCGCCTGTATTATAACGATAGACATTTGCAGTGCCATCTGAAAGCTGATTGTGTGCGGTAGCTAACTTCCGAGCAGTTTGCGAACAAAAACATTAGCATACTTCGAGAATTGGCCTGAAAAACCAAGGCGAATGGCACTTCCTACCACGCCTCTCTCCGCTGCAAAGGAACGTAATACTTCAAACGCTACTTCGGTATATGAGGTGACGCCCACAAAACCTCTGAATCTAAATCAGCCACATAGTCAGTCATGGTTTCGCAATGAAGAAAATCAGGATTTTTTACCGATATCAAAAGAGACACATTCCACCGAAAGAAATAACAGTCAGGTCAGAGCGGAACCTAGGTATTCTTCTTCTTCGATTCTAAAGTCTGCATCAGAGCTTTCATTCCAAACGGCCTACTCCTCTGGCTCTCAGGATGGTCCGCGCATGATGAACGATGACGCTGCTGAACAACGACCGCACTCAGTTTCATCAGTAGACGATGCAACTCCAATAGTAGCACCAAGCTCCCACTTTGTTGTATCCACCCCTCATCTAAATGCTGATGGAGCTTACATGGACAAAGAACAACAATCTCCAGACAGTTTCAATTTCGTGGAACAAAGTTCCAAAACCTCAAAGGGCTCACAATGGGTAGGGCTAGGCCTTTCTTCCATAGGGGATACCGCTGGCGGTACAACAGAAAGCACACGACTGAATGAAGATGTGTTTCGGCAAACTGGTCATAGAACGAACCCTGTCTCAACATCACCATCTAAAGTTTCTAAATCACACCCAAAGAATACAGCGAGTCTAAAAAGAGAAAGTATTCATAATGCATACACCAAAACTCCTGTGGAAGCTCCAAGGGTGCCAGAAGAAGAACGCACCAATTTAGTCAAGAGTTTAGAACCCAATGAGATCAGCATGTACAGCGAGGATTCAACGTTATCCCAGGATGACTATCAATATCGTCTGAATGACGAAAAGACAGATACCAGCCAGATTGAGAGAAAGCACACATTCAAGAAAAGCTCCGAGCTTGAGCTCGACGAAACAAATTTAGCTTTCCTTTTCATTGTGGCGATACATTCCTTCAACTCCCAATCATTGACAAATCAGGACGATGTTGCCATCTGTTTATCTTTTGAAAAGAACGATGTCGCTTTTGTACATACGGTGGATGAATCGGGCTGGGGCGAAGTTACTCTTATCAGCAACCAAAAACGAGGTTGGGTGCCATTTAACTATTTTTCTGATATGATAGGAGGCTCTACAGAACTGGGGGACAGGATAGAACCATCATTGAGAGAAAACCCGCCTTTGGCTAAACTTCTTTCATCATCCGCACAGTTTTTATTGCATCCTCAAGACTATCTTTTGCCTGACGGCTCGGGACTAAGCTTTTCTCTCAAGTATATCAATGGCATACGTGATGGTGTGAAATCTTTGCTCGAGAATACCGATTGCGTTTCCCGATCTAATGAGCTCGTCAAAAACAGAGTTTCCCTCAGGCGATCCAGAAAACTGCTCCTCGCCGACTGGTACAACCTTATGATTAAGGCAGATTCTTACAAGTACACAACCGATGAGAAAAGACTCAAAACCTTGATAAACCTCACATTCCAGGTAATCAAACGGGGCCACACCTTCTACTGTGTGTGGTTTATAGAGAAGCAGGCTTTTGAAAAGGAAAAAAAGCTGGGTCTAACTAAACCCCCAAGAAATGAAGGGGTCCTATCTGGTGACGGTGACGCTAACGACGGAGAGCTGAAGAAGTCTGTGCAGACCCATCTCTCAAATTTTCGCACGTTGGAAACACCCCCATTTGCCGTTCAGCGCCTAAACGAGGTTCATAATCTGTTGTTTTCGTACATTGCCTTGATCCTAGGGCGCATGGATATGATTGAACACAATGGAGCCGGGTGCGAAGTGTTAGAGACGATTGTCCACCAAATCATCATTCTACTTAGAGAGCTACTCTATATCAGCAAATGTTGTTCATCTGTTGTTCAAGTCAAGTTTCCAAAGGCCCAGAGAAATGAAATGTCACTGGATCAGAGCCTCGACCCTCTCTTGTCTCTAGTTTCGGAACTCGTTTCTTGCATCAAAGTATTTGTTGTGCGCTCAATGAATGACGATTCTAGAGATAAGAACGGTTTCAGTGGGGGCACTTTCATCAGGGAAGAGAAGTACTTTTACACCGATGACGGAAAGCGTTTGATGACAATTGTTTCCAAAATGACTGCTTATATTGCTGTTGCTATTCAGCAATGTCATCGCTACTTAAAAGTATCGGGAAACTTTCAATTAGGTGAAGAAAGGTCATACCCTGATCTCGAGGCAATCAAAATTTCGTCGGATCAATTCATCAAACGTTGCTCAGTTGGACTAACCAAGATGGTAGAACAGAGACAGGCACAGAACAAAACTTTTTCTCATACCACAGCAGCCCCAAAAAGTCATCCATATGCCCGAAAACTATATCGCTATTCTCGAGTGAGAGCGGGAAGTAACGGTATATCATTTTCAGGAAGTCAGCTACTTCATGAAATCATACCTGATAGTAAACCATTTATCGACGACAGCTCGTTTGATAAATATAAACTTACAGAAAATGAATCGGAACATACTGGCGGACTCGATATTATCAACGATAGAGAGCGGATCAAAGGCGAAATGGTTCTTGATAGTGATGGAAAGCTGTTGGGTGCGTCACATCGTGCTTTGGTATTCGTCCTTACTGATGAGTTAGATCACCCAAGCGACTTTCTTCTTGCGACGTATTTGCTAAATTATCGCTCATTCTCAAGTCCCTTAGATTTTATTGCAGAGCTTATTGCAAGATTCGATATACCAGATAAGTCTTTTGCCTATGAGCGGGACGGCAGGAACGGACAGTATTCTTCAAGGTCATCAAGGCTCAAAAACAGACGCCGCATGGTGTGCCACGTTTTTCAAGTTTGGATGGAAAGCTACTGGGATTACCAAAATGATTTCAGTCATTTGGCGACAATGCTCAATTTCTTCAACGAAGGTATTGCCGATCATTTGCCGCTCGAAGCGAGGAATCTTATCGAAACTGCCGCAAAGCTCTTTCACAAAATGACTGATTCTGAATTCCAAAACGCTTTACCCATTTCTCAGATTGTGCCGAAAGATGTGATAATTCCTAGCAGAAACTCAATCATTTCGCTGGACTCTGTTGCATCAAGCAAACGATCAACAATCATTTCGGTGGACGAACATGTGTTGGAAGATTATGAACTGACGAAATTACCCTCCGGCCGGACAAGCTCAATTTCTATACCGCTTCCAATGTTAAATATAGGGACTTCCTCCCTTTTGGGACGCAGACAAATTGGCGAGATGGAGCGTTTAACTCAAAACTATCGTTCCATGCTCTACCCTTCAGGCTTTGACTTTTCCCCTGCTGGGTCTAAAATCGAACCTGAATTGATTCACATGCTTTCCGGATGGCATTCACTGATTCAAATTTCTGCTGCACAAATACCACCCGCGGACTTGATTCATAACGACCTTAATCTAGTAGAACTGAACCCCTTGGAAGTCGCTAAGCAACTTTCGCTCGTTGAATCAACATTATTCATGGAAATTAAGCCAGGAGAGTTGTTGAACCAAAATCAAGGCTCGCGTAAGAAAAACGCTTCGACCTCTCCTGATATTGAACGCATTGTTGATTTTTCCAATATCTTGTCCAACTATGTTATTGAGTCTGTTGTTACGCCAAGACTGGCATTGAAGGCGCGTGTCAACAGACTTACCGCCTGGCTTAGCGTCGCCCTTTCTTCGTTGTATTTCAGAAATTTCAATACTGTTGCAACGATTATGACCGCACTCCAGAGCCATGTAGTGGGAAGATTGGCGGTGATATGGAAAGCATTGAGTGACAAACATGTTGAGCTATTCCATTATCTATCAAAGATTATCCATCCTGAAAAAAACTATAATGTTTACCGAAGTAAACTCAAGAATTTGACTGCGGGCTTCATGCCCACGGGTAATATGTCAGCCAAGTGCCATGTTCCCTCTGTTCCGTTCTTTGCCTTGTTTCTCCGAGATATGGCGATAGTTCAGGAAGGCTTAAACGACTTCCGTGATCCTTCTTCGTTCAGGCCCAATCGACTAGTCAACATTGACAAATTTACGAGGCTCACAAAAACCATATCCCTTCTGCAGTTTTTCCAAGTTCCATATGATGTCAACGACAGACCAAATTTGTTAGGAAGCGGACGGGAATCCTTTTTCAATTTATCCAGTAATTCGGATATTGATACGACCGGAATAAAGCCTGTTGTACTATTACAAAAATTTATACTTTATGAGCTCTGGCGTGTCAATGTTCTTTATACTGCCGACAGAGACCGAGGTTACAGTCTCAGTTTGTCTTTGAGTCCTCGAAATGAGTTGTAAAGTCAAAAGCTAAATATAATGATCAACAATGATAACAACGAGGTAATGCTATACAGACCATCGTCGTTTCATCTCTCGAATAAATATTGATTAAAAATGATTTGGCTTCTGGGCCAGGCGTACTACGTCAACAGATCTATAAAGTTAAGCGCGGCTTATCTCGCCAATGTAATTGATAGCTGAGCCAGCCTTGAAGAAAGCGACCTGGTCTTTTGACATGGTGTGCTTCGTTTTTATGTTGAATGATTCACCAGATGGCTTTGTAACTGTGACGTCTAGTTCACCACCATTGTCACCGTCCTTGGCAACCAGTTCTTTCAAACCTGATGTCTCCAAAACGTCACCGGAAGATATGAGATCGTAGTCAGATTCGTTGGCAAATGTTAGAGGCAACATACCTTGCTTTTTCAAATTGGTTTCATGAATTCTGGCAAAGGACTTGACTAAAATAATTTCGCCTCCAAGAAATTTTGGAGATAATGCAGCATGCTCTCTGGCCGATCCTTCACCGTAGTTGTGCTCAGCTACCACAGTCCATGGTCTTTTTTCTTGCTTCCATTTCATCATCAGCTCTGGAATGCCATAAGCTGCACCATCGAAATCATATGCCTTGTTTACTTCCCCAGTCTCTTTGTTCTGAGCACCAATTAAAGTGTTATAAGAAATGTTTTCCAAATGGCCTTTGTATTTCAACCAGACACCAGCGGCAGAGATGTGATCGGTGGTGCATTTTCCCTCAACCTTCAAAAGAACATTTGTTTTCAGCTCTTGACCGTTCCAGGGTTTGAAGGGTTCCAGCAACTGCAGACGGTCGGAAGTAGGGGACACCCTCACTTCCACTGTAGCATCAGGAGAAGGATTTTGTGGAGGATAAAACTCTTGTCTTCCGGACAAGAAGCCGCGCTGCGGTAGTTCAACACCCTTTGGAGGCTTGAATGTGAAATCTGTGCCATCCTCCAGCTTGATCGAGTCTAGCATAGGATTAAACTGAGCATCGCCAGAATAGATCATTGCAGTGACCATTTCTGGTGACGTTAAAAAGTTCATTGTGTTTCTGTTCCCGTCGTTTCTAGCCTTGAAGTTACGGTTGAAAGAGGTGAAAATAGAGTTTTCCTCACTAGAAGTCTTGTTGACGTCTTGTCTATCCCATTGTCCGATACATGGGCCACAAGCGTTTGCTAGAACAATAGCACCATTGTCTTCAAAAGTCTTAATTAGGCCGTCTCTTTCTAAAGTAGCTCTGATCTGCTCTGATCCTGGCGTGACAAAAAAGGGAATGCGTGGCTTCAATCCAGCACTAGATGCCTGTCTCACAAGATCCGCAGCTCTGGTCATATCCTGGTAAGACGAGTTGGTACAAGAACCGATCAGACCGGCGGAGATTTTCTGAGGCCAGTTTTCTTTCAAAGTCTTCGGACCATATTCAGATATAGGGGTGGATAAGTCCGGTGTAAATGGTCCATTGACGTGAGGTTCCAACTCACTCAAATTGATTTCGATTACCTTATCGTATTGGGCACCTTGATCAGCGCTTAGGAAATTGTGGTTGCGGGCAGCGTTATCAGCCAATTTGGCTAGTTCGGCTCTTCCAGTAGCCTGTAGGTAGCGAGCGTGTGCTTGCTGGTAGGGGAACGTTGAAGTAGTGGCTCCAATCTCAGCACCCATATTACAGATGGTGGCCATTCCTGTGCATGACAAAGACTCAACACCTTCTCCAAAGTATTCAACGATATAGCCGGTACCACCTCTTACGGTAAGAACACCAGCGAGTTTCGTTATAACGTCTTTGGGCGATGTCCAGTCGTGCATACGACCGGTGAGCTTGATACCAAGAACTTTAGGAGCCTTGAGTTCCCAAGGTGTACCAGTCAAGGCATCAACGGCATCAGCACCGCCAACACCAATGGCGATTGCACCAAGACCACCTGCGTTTGGTGTATGAGAGTCAGTTCCGAGCATCATGAGACCAGGAGCCGAGAAATTTTCCAGCACGATTTGGTGAATAATACCAGAGCCGGGGCCCCAAAATTGAATACCGTATTTGTCGGCACAACTTTGTAAGAAGTCGAAGACTTCTTTGTTTGTGGCAATCGAGGATGCTAAATCCTTAGTTTCGCCGTCTTTCCCGACAATCAGATGGTCACAGTGGATCGAAGCGGGAACCGAAGTCTCTGGTAGACCAGTGGTCATGAACTGTAGTAGCGCCATCTGTGCTGATGCATCTTGCATGGCAACACGGTCAGGATTTAGTTTGAGGTATTGTAGACCGCGGATATCGTGCAGATTCGAAGATGTGAGAGATTCTTCCGGGTCACACAGATGTGAATATAGGATTTTTTCAGCTAGCGTGAGTGGTGTGTTGTTGGTGATGGCTCTGACCTTGTCGAGGTTGGCGATGAGCTTGGCGTAAGGTGGAGCGACACGTGACCCGGAAAGTTCTGAAGTAAGTTTTTGGGCCTGGGTTGCCAGACACCTTTTGCTGGCGATCGATCTTGCGCTCAGCATTGTAAAGTTGAATTGAGGAAATCGGATATGTTTAAAGATTTCAACAAGATCTTGATTCTATTCTTGACAGTTCGCCTTTTTTAATCGAAAGATTAGAGCAGAGCGATGAAAAGAAACCGAAACGAAAAAGAAAATATCGAAAAAGTGACAGAATTGTGGCAAAGTGATCTCTCAACAAGAAACAGCAGTTTGTAGCGAAGCGTAGTTGTCACGTGTTTTGGTGTGTGGGTGTACTTCGAAGTTCAGATTTGGCAGTTGAAAGCGAACGTCACGTGCTCAAAAATTATTGGTGCTTTTCGACGAATTTGCTTACGTAATGCGTAGAACCGTGATCAAAGAATGCAGAAGATTAGCAATGGATAAAATAGCTGTAGCCAGTAGTAAATAAACTCAACCGCACAACTTTCGACACTAACGTGTATTCTACCTCTGAGTTCGTGATTGAGTTTCCTCTATGAATCCTTAAAGATTAAACAAGAAACCGCCAAAGAGTCTTTTCACCATCTATATACTCAATGTTTTTAGCATAATCGCTGTGCTGTCTGCCATCAGCAGTCATGAAAAGAAGGAAAAAACTTTTTTCCCGGGGAAAAAAACTGAGGAAACAAATCACGTGATCGTGATGGTCCTTCTGTGAAGGTTTCAAAAAATTATGCTTCCAACCAGATTTGAACTGATGATCTCCACATTACTAGTGTGGCGCCTTACCAACTTGGCCATAGAAGCTGCTAATCTTGGAATTTTGGAAGGCTAAACGATACTTTATACACAGAACCATTTCACGTGAGAAATAATACGTTATGCATCAACGTAAGATGATTACGACGGTGATCTTACGGCATGAAAATACTGGATGGATCACATACACAGCGTGGGAGCTGCTCCCAGTACTGGTCATCATACTTTGAAGGTGGTCGAATGTTTCGAACTAATTTAGCACCCATAGCTTCTGTATCGTATTTAATGATTAAGACACGATTGGCAGGTATGGTTTCTCCCCGCATTCATAACATTCATCATTTCTGACCACCACTTTTTCGTTTTCAATCATCCTGGAAAACAAGAAAACTTCAAGAGCAACAGACCAGTACTTTAGAATATGAATGCTTCATGACCCAGTGTGATCCCCATATCTAATTGGACAGGCGTCTTCAGTCTTTCTTCGCAAACTGAACCCATCTTTTCAAACACGACCGGTATTTTCCTGAAAATCATCCTCAACTGTTGAGACGCGTCCCACGCCATAGAGAATTTTCAACGCACGGTTTTGGCTCTCGTATTACCACACAATTCCACTCTTTACGGCAAAATTTCGTTTAGCCGCCCAGCTCCCACTTCTCATCTGCCACAAAAACCCTACCCCACCACGCACGTGACCCTTTGGGTATTATCACTTCCTACGTCAACAACTGAACTTTCAAAAGAAACCGAAATGGAAAAAGAAATATTTATGAGACTTTTGATAAAGCGTTCCTCGCCCTTTCTTTTTTTCGGAGCACCTTCTTTAAATTGCAGCGCACGTTTCTTCAATTTAAATTAAAGATGCTCATAAATCCCATTCCCCGAGAAAAATCTCAATACTTTCGAATTAAGTTTAACAATCTAGTCGACACACGTTTTCTCATCAACGCTTGGCAACGTATTTCGCTAGAATTCTCTACTTCCAGTTAACTAGTTGCAGCAAGGTGATTAGTGCCAAGCATTTTTTTTTTTGGTCCTCGTACGTGCATTTAGATGAAGTTTTCGAACTCTTTGAAGTATAATGCGGTGCCAGAATGGCAGGAGCACTATTTGAACTACTCGCAGCTGAAGCGTCTAATTTACTCGCTCCAAGCCCAAGATCTGCGTGTAATCGATGAGGGCGGTCACGTCGACGCAGAACGTTTGAAAGCACTCGAGGGTACATCCAAGGCCCTACAGAAATTCAAGAACAAATTCCGCAGGAATGAACGTGGTAACAACAACGGTCAAAGCAAGTCTAAAGACGCTGCAAGTGACATTGAGGGAGATGTTAACGTAGAAACTTTGGAGTTGGACGATTTCCGGTCTTCTGCGCGCAAAAATGCGGGGAAAGCCGCTGCGTTTGACCATCGTTCGTCGCTTTCTAGCGATAGAACACTCTTCAACCCCCAGGATACTTTTATCAGTAAACTAACCGACGAGCGCGCTAAGATTGATAGTTTTTACGAACAACTCGAAGCTCAACTCTACGGCCGTTTCGACACCCTACTCTCAGACCTGCAAAAAGTGACAGGTGCAGGTCGTCGCACCAGTGTTGTCACTGGAACTGGGAGGGCTCCATCGGTTTCACACAATGACGGTATGGATATGTCTGAAAGTGTAGTAGATGGACCCAGTCATACCCACAGACGCGAGTCGGTGCTTTCAAGACGCAGTACAGCCATCGCTGACCTACATCGCGAAGGCTACGAACAAGAAGATGAGGAAGATGAGGAAGAAGAGGATGATTTTGATGAGCATCACGAGAACACCGCCTTGCTCAACTACTCTGATTTCAATGTTAAAAGCCAAAAAAGGGCAATTCTCAAGAGAAATCTGATAGACCTTTATGTTGACCTTGCTCAACTCAAATCGTTTATCGAACTTAATCGCATCGGGTTTCTCAAGATCAGCAAAAAATTCGATAAAACATTGAACTGCAACATCAAGCGCGAGTTCATCGAATCTGGCGACTTTTTTGCCGACACCTACGTATTTCAACCCCACACATTGGAGAATTTGGACTCCCACATCATGCAGCTGGTCGAATCATACGCTTTGTTAACTCACGGGGACCTGGTCGCAAGTAAGGAAGAGTTGAGATCATATTTGCGTGACTTCATCGTTTGGGAAAGAAATACGGTATGGAAAGACATGTTGGGTCTAGAGTCGCATAACAATACTTTTACCTCTGCGGGAAGGCCCGACGTCAACGGGGATATCGCTAATTTGGAAAACAATACCCACCTCGAATACCGCATTTGGAATCTTCCAAGACCAATCAAGATACGGTCCTTAACGTGGTCGACCATCAAGGTTCCAGAACTTTTTTTCACGCTCAAAGCTTTGAAGCTTTACATCATCATTGCATGCACAATTATTCTTCTTCTCGTTCCCACTTTTAACGACCGTGCCCAACACCGTTGCATGGCGCTTGTCGCATGTGTTGCTTTCCTCTGGGCTTCTGAGGCTTTGCCTCTATTTGTCACAGCTATTTTGGTCCCTATGTTCGTAGTGGTGTTCAAAGTTGTCAAAACATCTGACGGCCAAATAATGGATGCCGCTTCAGCGTCCAGCTGGATTTTGTCCAAGATGTGGTCCTCCACCATTATGATTTTGTTGGCTGGGTTCACATTAGCGGCTGCTCTCTCCAAGTATAATGTCGCAAAGGTCCTCGCGTCGTATCTACTCACAGTTGCAGGAACTAAACCTCGGAACGTCTTGCTCATGACCATGGGAGTCTGCTTCTTTTTGTCGATGTGGATTTCTAACGTCGCAGCTCCAGTTTTAACCTACTCCCTCATCCAGCCTGTCCTGAAAACGCTAGAGTACAATTCTCCATTTGCCAGATCCCTCGTTCTTGGTGTCGCCTTGTCTGCTAACGTCGGTGGTATGGCGTCACCTATTTCATCGCCTCAAAATATTATCGCTATGAACTACTTGAAACCGTATAACGTAGGCTGGGGTCAATTTTTTGCCATCGCTCTGCCAAGTAGTATCCTGTCCATGTTGACTATATGGGGTCTTTTGTGTTTAACTTTCAAGATACACGGTACACCTCTCAAGAAGTATACCCCAATCAAAGAAAGGTTCACATTAAAGCAATACTACGTTATAGTAGTGAGTTTGGCTACCATCATTCTTTGGTGTGTTGAGTCAAAGATCGAGGACGTATTTGGAGCATCTGGAGAGATAGCCGTTATTCCAATCGTGCTCTTTTTTGGCACCGGTTTGTTAAGCACTCAAGATATTAACAATTTCCCTTGGTCAATTGTCATTTTGGCTATGGGTGGTATTGCATTGGGTGGTGCCGTCCAATCCTCGGGTCTGCTGGCCACTATTGCTGGAGCATTGCAACGTCGTGTCATGGACTTTCCCATCTATGCTGTTTTGATCATCTTCGGTGTCGTTATGCTAGTGGTCGGAACATTCGTGTCTCACACAGTGTCTGCCATCATCATTGTTCCTCTGATGCAAGAAGTCGGTGACAAACTGCCTGGAAAAAACTCTGCTCCTATCTTGGTTTTCGGATGTACCTTGCTTGCATCCTGTGGTATGGGGCTCGCATCGTCAGGATTTCCCAATGTCACAGCCATTTCGATGGTCGATGAAGTGGGCAACCGATACTTGAGCGTTAATACATTCTTGACGCGCGGTATCCCCGCTTCGTTTCTAGCCTTTCTCTGTGTCATCACTTTGGGCTATGGGATCATGAATTCGGTATTGTAAGCAGTGGAAAACTCGGGCTATTCGCAGCTCTTTGTATAATACAACCTGAACCAAAGGAAAAAATAAACGGACAATAGAAAGGAAGTAGGGGTCGGGAGAATGTGAGAGCTCTTGTTCAACGTAAGTGTTTGGAGTTCATGACGCGCAGATACAAGCATAATCTCTACACACACTATCGGAACTTCAAGATATATTTCATATAGTAAATAAAGTCTGCATATTATCCAGTCATCAGTTGGTTACTTTAAATAACGCTAGAACAAAGAGTTTGATTCCTTAGCTAAACGGATCATAATTTCTGGGGGACTGATCACCTTTTCGCAATAGGTTTCCAAGTCCGGAATCGTACGTGTGATGTCAAAAGAGAAAGTGTGTAATAACAAAAAAAAGGTTGCGAGGCATAGAGAAAAAATGAAGTAAATGGCACCAATAACTAAGCCTAATTTTGAGACAGTGCCTGGTACCTATACCCTCAAAGGAACATCTTATAGCTAGGAGAATGCTCTGAATAGTTGGCCTGTGTAAGTGAGTTCACGTGACCTTTAACTATCCGTATAGTATGATATGTACATATTGGTTTTACTTACTCAACATGATGGATAACTTAGCTTTCTGACTGTGAAATAACACAACAAACAAGTACCGCCGAAACGATAAGCACCTTAGGTGGGACGAGAAAAGCTTTCTCTGCTCTAGAGCCTTAATATCCTGTTTTCTACCCTTTTTTTGAGACCGAAAACGGCCAAATTCAGCAAGTATAAGGCGGGAAACTAATGGATGGCGAATTGGCACGATCTAGAGGGACAGAGTTTGAGGAAGAGCACATGGACCGTAAGGAGATCGACTCAACTCATATGAGTGCAAACCAGGATAGCAGGCCAGAGACTGATGGTAGTGTCGTCGAAGTTGATGAAAATGAAAGCATGACTTTAGCCGACCAACGGGAAAGTCTCTCTAAGATATACGAAGAATCCAAAAAAGAGGCCAAAGAAGGTGATCCTGTATATGTAATACCTTCTTTATGGTTTGACGAATTCCTGGATCCTGTAAATACCGAAAAATCCGCTTTGGGTCCGCTGAATACCAGCACTATTTGTCGCGATTATGAAAACTTCGTTTTGGCCGACTACAACTCAAATCCGTACCTTTCAGTGCCGCAGAGTATTTTTGAAAAGCTTCGGGAGTGGTATGGACTTTCTGCCGGCTCTAAGCCTTTAAAAACAGTGTTAGTCAAGGATGAAAATGGTCAGCTCGCTCCTGAGTACGATCGCTGCTACGTTAGAATACATCTATTGAAACAAAATTCGGCAACAAGGTTTTCGGGTAGTATCACCAAACCGCTGTTTTTCACTATTTCTAAATTGAGCACTTTAAGAAAAGCCATACAAAAGTGTCTCAAGGTGCTGGAAGATCACGAATCTGATCTCGACCTAAGAACACATCGGTTCAGAATTTGGCAGGCTCAAGCTTCCCAACACCTTGGTCAAGGCTCGCAGCTGTCACAATGTTATCTTTTGGATCCTTTGGCGTTCGCTAAACTTCCGCTAAAACAGAGACTTCGCCCTGAGTCCTTCGATGAATCTGTCCGAGACTTGAACACTCCTGTTCTAGACCTTGTTGCGGAATTTAAGCTCTTCGACTCGGGAGAGCACTGGCCATCAAATTACTACTATCACAATAAGCTTCGCCCTCCAAGCGGAACAGTAGGTCTCTCAAACCTGGGGAACAGTTGCTACATGAACTCAGCACTTCAATGCCTCGTTCATATCCCTGAACTGAGGGATTATTTCCTATATGGAAACGTTGAGCATGAAATAAATACGAGTAATCCATTAGGTTACGGTGGCCAGATAGCCAGAAATTTCGCTTCATTGATAAAATCACTATTTGACGAACAGCATCCAAACCTTTCCACATTTCTACCACGAGCATTCAAATCTACGTTAGGACACCATAATTCAATGTTTTCCGGGTACCTACAACAAGACTCGCAGGAATTCTTAGCATTTCTGTTAGATGGGTTGCACGAGGACTTGAACAGGATTGTGAACAAACCGTTTGTTGAAAAACCAGAGCTTTCCTTGGATGATGACGTCAACGATGCAAAGACAATAAGTCGTCTAGCCAATGCAACTAAGGAAAAGCACAAGTTAAGAAATGATTCGGTTATCAATGACCTTTTCGCCGGATTGTATAAATCCACCCTTACTTGTCCGGTTTGTCAAATAGTATCCGTTACATTTGATCCCTTCAGTGACTTGACACTCCCTCTCCCCGTTGAGAGTTTCTGGAACAGCAAAGTGCTACTATTTCCTCAAAACTCGCCGCCTTGTGTGATTGAGGTTGAACTAGCCAAAGGTTCAAACTATCAGGACCTTAAGCGCTATGTTGCGAAAGCCGCGGATCTGAAAGTCGAAAGCTTGGTAGGCGCAGAAGTTTTCAATCATGCCTTCTACAATAACTACGAATCCGCAACTTCTGACTCAAAATACCTTCCGATCAATGACCTGGCCTCTGAGGGGGATACGATTGTCTTCTACGAACTAACTCGTAATCCAAATACTGTTATCGTTCCTGTTCTAAACACCAAAATTGAAGAAGGTTTTCGTAGTCCAAAGTTGTTTGGCTATCCGTTTTTTATCACTTTATCAAAAGACGATCTAAACTGCTACGGTTCAATCAGAAAGCAGCTGAAGAAACACTATGCAAATTTGAGCGGAAACTTTACCGCCTTTCTAACACCAGCAGCCACGGAACATTCCAGAGCAGAGCCATCGGAACTATTGAAGAAAAAGTATCCGAACGTGGATTTCACCAATTTCAGAAAGGACATTGAAACCGCTTTTCCGGGCATTCCAATCGAGGACTTTTTCTCAATAAAGGTCCTGAATGGCCTCACACAAAATGATTCCTGTTTAAGTTCGGTCGATACTTTAGAATTATGTGCCCCAGGTCCTCGAGTCAATTTGAACGCCAGCATTGATGTAACAACGCTAATGAATAATGTTACGAAAGACATATACGATTATCAGAATCTGGTCAATCAAAAAGAAGAAATTGAAGATTATTCCTTGTCGATAAATCAGCAAGAAGATGTTACGAAACATGACGTGGAGGACGGAAGTCAATCAGATATGGATGTTGACAATGATTGTAATTCCGCACCCGTTGAAGAGAAGTCAGAAGAGAATAAGGAAACTGCTGATGAGGAAACTTTCTCACAGCCTATATTAGTCGGGCCAGGACAAGCATTAGTATGCCAATGGGAAAGTGCTGCGGTGGACAAAGTATTTTCGAACGAGTCAGAGTTCTCGTGGGACAGACCCGCTGAACTCAGAAACTCAGAACTAGAGGCCGCTCAAGAAGAAAGAAGTAAGCAAAGCAGGAAGCAAATAACGATTGAGGACTGTCTGAACTTCTTCTCCAAGCCAGAAGTTTTGGGAACAGCAGATTCTTGGTACTGTCCTCGCTGCAGAGAGCACAGACAGGCCACCAAACAAATTCAACTTTGGGAAACCCCTGAAGTTCTGATAATGCATTTGAAAAGATTCGAAAATCGCGATTCATTCAGCGACAAGATCGCTGATGTAGTAACCTTCCCAATAACAGGTCTCGATATGTCATCCCACCTAGCAAGCGAAAAAGACAAAGGAAGTGATATATATGACTTGATTGCTGTCGACAATCATTATGGAGGGCTCGGTGGTGGTCATTACACAGCGTATGCGAAAAACTGGGAGGATAACAAGTGGTATTACTTTGATGATTCGCGAGTGACGGAGACAGATTGCGAACGATCAGTTTCCGAAGCGGCATATCTTTTGTTCTATCGGCGCCGAGCGATTGGCTCAACTAATGAAACCTTCAAAGTACAAGAGCAACTATCTGTTTGGCGCGAAGAGCACAACCTAAAAATCGTCAAGTTCAATGAGAAACAGGCAGAGTTCTTTCAGGAGAATCCATCTGATGAGGACGAGAATGAGGACGTGAGGGAGGATGTGGGCAATTTTCAAAGTTTGGGTACTGGTAAGGGTCTCTCTCACTGCGTTGCAAGTTTAGAAGTTGGTAGCTCACCTTTGGATTCATGTCCAGACGAGAATGATGGCAGAAGAAAGTTGAGATTACTGCATAAGAACTACACGAGTGCATTACCCAATAATTTATAGTTTAAGTTCGTCAGCGACGAACTCTGATGCATCGGATGGAGGAGAAGTTCAGCCTGAAGAGCCCTCGTCGCCGAATTTGTAAATCGTGAAACACTTGGTGTGAGACTAAGTCAATAAATTTAGCATTCATTCATACAACTTCCTTATTTCTTGGTACAATGGAATGCTTTCTGCAGCACCGGACCTTTGAATACTGAGAGAGCTGGCTCTTGTTGCAAAAAGAACAGCTTCAGGCAAAGTATGGGATGTACATAGCTGCGAAACGACTCCACCCAAAAATGTGTCTCCCGCCCCAGTAGTATCAATGACTTGAGGAACACTGCAGGCTGATATGTGCTGCACCTCAGGTAATTCATTGGAGCAGAATACGCATCCTTTCTCGCCTAGCGTGATAGCGATTGCGGCCATCGAGTTCTTTTTGCTCAGCAAATAACGAAGCTCCGCTGTCACTTGCTTGTACCCACCAATCAAGTCTTTCTGTATGGCTTGTTGAAGACCGATAACTTCTTTCTCAGTCAATGCCGACTGTAACACCTGAAGGGCCTCAATTTCATTGACTATTAGGAGATCCACGAGTGCCCAATCCGATCTGGTGACCTCTTTATATGGAGATGGATTATAAGCGATTTTAAAAGATGGCCTGTTTTTGACCAACCAGCGCATTATCTCAAGGGTTGCAGGAATTTCATTCTGAAAAACCACGAAACGGATATCGCTGGGTTTAGTTAAAGGTGGGAATATTTTTTCAAGTTCAGAATCGGAATATTTTGTGTGACCATTGGCTCCTTCTGATATGAGAATTCGGTTTTGACCCGTTCTCTGTTCCACTAATATCGTGGCTACTCCAGTGCTAGTTCCATCTTCCAGAACCCTTACTTTATCTGTAGCGATGTCGTTCGATGTCAGGGTATCTTTCAATTGAGCTCCAAAAGCGTCGTTACCCACATGTCCTATCATTTCCACATCCACTTCATCTTTATCATTCAGTAATCTTCGAATGGCTACCGTTTGGTTTAGCCCTTTGCCTCCTGCGTGAGTTTCGAACCTACCAGCACTGATCGTCTCCCCAGCCTCGGGTACGCGCCCGGTAAAGGTCACCAAATCGAAGTTGAGTGATCCGCAAACTGAGATAAGAGCCATTGGTCTTGAGCAGCTCACAGAAATAGTGATTCCTGGAGGAGTTGAATGTGCTTGACTAGACGTTATTCACTTATCTTTACGTCATTGTTCGAGAGAGATTAGCGACGTCACGTGGCTGTAGCGTCACGAAATCATTATATGACGAAGTCGGCTGGTGAATTTTTCAACATGAAGTACTGAAGAGCATGTCACAGTTTCACATTGCTTATCTTCACCAAGTGAATGCGGCAATTATTGGTGAATTTCTTTGCGAATTGCAACTAGTTTCAGGTGAAAGTCCCAAAACTGCATGTGAGCACGTGACTTGGAGACAGCGACAGATTAACAAAGCGACAGGGCAGAGAAGATGGCCTAAGTGTTGATGCTCTATATTACCTGTGACGAACCATATCATTCAAGACCTCTGATATTGACAAGTTCTTTTGTTATATGAAACTGAATGTTTGTTTCGCCATGCGATTCTACTTTCTTGCAATTTCCTTCTTGTATTTCCAGTTTTGATGCATGAACTCGAATCGCTTGCATCTGGAGCCGGATTGATTCCTCATGATTCGTGAGGACACTAACAAAAGAGACTAATGGAAGAACCAACACGTCCCGCTACAGTTCAAAATCATCTGCCAAGCGTGTGACACGAAAACAGGTCTTTGGCAAAAGTATCGAGCTCTTGATACTTCAGCTCTCTATATGAGGATAGGACTCGATTAAAGGACCATGAGCACTGCAATTCCACCATATTGGAGCAGCAAGCCACCTCTTTTCTGGCAATCACGCTCAAATTATAAATATTATCTCGCATAAGCTGAGAAATGCTATCCAAAGGCCAAAGAACTGAGAGAACGGAGAAATACATAAGATAGACAAGAGTCATCTCTCACACAAGAATCCAAAATACCAATTCCATAAAATAACGTTCCTTCATAATGTTTACGATACGTTTATGGCCATCTCAAAGTCTTAACCTCGTTACTAATGATATCCATATGCAAGCTCAATTAACCATATATTTCAAGCTCATCGCTCGATCGATGTAACGATTAGTGTCACTAGTTCGACAACTGGAGCATTCTGTTGACGTATTACAACTTGTAACGATGTCTGAACCTGTCGAGTTACGTCCAGTGACTTTTCACCCTGAAGTCCTGGCGAGAATTGCGCCAGACTTGTATATGCAAAGACATTTGTCGTTGGGATTGCGACCAAGTTTGCGAGCTTTTGAAGAGTTTAGAAACGTTGAGATCAGCGACGGGAGATTGTCTTGCGCGTCTGAAGACAGTATTAATGTGGTTGGAAACAATATTTTGGGTTCCAACGTACTCAAATGCGGGAAAACCATGGTCATAACGTCTATTACTGGAGGAATAGTGGAAGATGTAGTTCCTGCAAAGTCGGTAGATAACGACTTTTCAGAGCCATCTGAACGCACAAATCGGGTGTCACAGTTTGGCCGTGTCTATCCCGTTGTGGAGGTCGAGAGAGGCCGGGTCGGGGCTCCTACAGACGAAGAAATGACTCTGTCCCAGAGACTTTACAACTGCATCTTGCACTCTGGTTTGATACCCAAGAGAGCACTTGACGTATCAGTGGGTATCAGGTCTACAAACTCAGAGGGAGAATCCAGCGTTGTGTATCCAGACGAGGAAGACAGTTCCAATGCTGTCGACACGCCGTTTAGATCTAAAAGAAAATGGTCCTACACACTTTATGCCAAAATCCAAGTTTTCAGTCGAGACGGACCTTTGTTCGAGCTGTGCTGGAATTCATTACTTTACGCTTTGGCGAGTACCAAACTTCCCAGGGCATTTGTGGATGAACGCACAACTGACCTGAAAATTCCAATCAGTATGAGAGGACGTAGTGCTGTGATTCGAGAGACGTTCGAAATCATTTGTGATCCAACCAAATATTTACCATTGAGTCTTGATGCGGCGAACAAAGCATTTGCGTCAAATTTTGGCGTTCTTGAAATAGATCCGGAAGCTCAGTTACCAAAGGACGATGATGACATGCAAGAGGACGTACCGGGTTCCGTATTACTTGCTGATGTACAAGGAGAATCTGAGGAAGCTTCTGTAAGCTCTACAATCTCGGTGGTCACGAATGCTGATGGGAACATAAAACATTTCAGAGCTGTGGGCGGTACTTCGAAAATTACTATAGAGATGATACAGCAATCCATCAAGTTGGCAAAACTTCGAGCCTTGGATTTGAAGGCCAAGTGTTGAGACAGCATACTGCAGAATCGTTTTTCAATACGTTAAAGTATGACACCAAATAATAAACAGTAGTTACAAAGAAACATCTTCAATTCACCTGAAGCAAGCTCGAGCCAATATCATTCGACGATGCGAAGAACGTTTCTACTTGCGGGCGGGGGAAGGAGATGGAGTAGTCGTCTTTTTAAAGTCAACGCTAACGTATTCGTTAACCTTGGCAGCAACACCACCACGTACACGCTTCACAATTCTGGACTTTTTGGTACCTCTGCGTCTGTAAACTTCAATGTAGAATGCCACAAACAAAAACAAATAGGAAGAAATGATGGCACATCCGGAAAAGGTAGCGGTGGTAGATCCCACACAGTCACCACAGTGAGGTAAGTTTGGAGCATATAGATGCGCAAACTTTTGATAGACCGCGAAGTAAATAAATCCGATGTCTAAGATGAATTGCAAAATTTGGAATCTGGTGACCCATTCTTTCCACCAGACTCTGATGCCTCTTGCAGCCAGAAAGTAATACCAATACATGACCACATGGACCCACAAGTTGAGCGCAATTACCACCCAAGATATGGAAGTTGTACCAACCAGCTGGGTGTAGCACAATAAGGCGGTTGCACCGTGATGGTAGGTGTGCAAGAACCGCAATTGCTTGTGTTTCAAAACCAAAAATACCGTGTCAATAAATTCGATGAATTTGGTGATATAGTTCATGTAGTATAATGTTACCAAAGGCTGGGTCCATGCACCTGCATTGCAAATCGCGTAGTACAGCCCATGGTACGCAATAAGTGGAACCAATTGCTCGACCATCAAAAGCAAAATTGTTAGCGACAGCAAAGTCAAGAATAAGTTGTGCAACTGGAACCAAGCGTTAAGCTTGAAAGGTTCTGAGCCTTTCAAGATGTATCTTCCGCCAAAAATCACAACATAATACGTGGTTATAGCGGCCAAAACTTGTGGGAGTTCACTCAAGGGAAGTTTGCCAGGCACAAACTCGAATTTACTGGGAATAAAGTGTCCCTGGCTCACTCTCGAGGCCAGTTTGTCGAAATTGTCCCACAACGAAATGTTGAAAAATGGCCTTTCCAGAGAGGGTTGAAACTCCCTGAGACACGGATACTTCTCGAGCAAAGCGTGTGATTGTTCTTGAAGAAGGGAATTCATCTCAATGAGGCCACACAGACTAGGTTTCTGGCTTGAAGAAGCGTATTTACGGTAAAACGTTAACAAGTCAGTCCACTAAAAAATTATGGAAACATCGCGAAACTTACCAGGTCGTTATATACGTATGTCAGTAAATACCAAAACGATGAAAGAGCTTAGTCCAATTTCTTGGAGCACTCCTAGAGTATTTGAAGGTACCAGAACAGTGGTGATTATTTGATGTGATATTTCCTGGTGTCTGCTTTTTTTGTTTGATCTTTTTCTGTCATGACTTTGTCTTTAATCTCAGCAAAACTCTCCAAAAAATCGACCATACGCATTTTCAAGGCAAAGAACAGGACTAGACAATGGAACTCAGTGGTTGACTGGATACCTCCTATTTTTGTTTCTCAATGATTGCTGTTTGTATTGAAGTATTCGGTCTGTGCAGTGTCAGCTGTATTACTGTCATTAACGCAGGAACTTATCAACAAAATACGACATTTAAGTACGAAGTGATATTGAACAACTACCAGCTTCAGAGAAACAGCCATTCTAGACATGGAGCATGATAACCAGAGGTGATACTGCTTTCCCTCTTGACAGCGTATTCATTTCAAAATCAAAAATTATATCGCTAAACTATCTTTACTAGATAAGGTAATTTGGGAATATTCAGCCAGATGGGGAATGTTGGCTACCTCTACCGTCCGGCGGTATGAAGGAAGTCAGGACTTCCGGAGCTGAAGCCACGGCAGCAAGTGCAGCAAGTGGGTCGCTGGCAAAGTTAAACTCCGGCCCTCTTTTGGTGAAGAGTTCTCTCGAAGACGGGGTCATTGGTCCAAGGCCATGTGGAGAGTGCATAGGCACAGGAGGCAAAATTGGTTTCATTCCAGAGTGCAAATCCAGCGCCGGTTTAGGAAATTGGCTGATTGCTACCCTTGGTGGCCCTTGAGGACCTTGAAGGCCTTGAAGACCCTGAAGACCCTGAAGACCTTGGATACCTTGAAACCCTTGAGTAGCTTCGATCTGAGGTGGTGGAGCGCTGTTCAGTATCGACGATATCGACCCTGGATTTCTGCAAGATTGAGTCGGGTCCTGAACCATAGGCACGTCATTTGCAGGTGGCAATTCTTGAACGATAATCTTAGTGTTCGAAGTGTTGACCGAAGGCAGCTCAACAGAATTAAGAAGTGGTTGGTGAGATTGTTGAACATCTGAAGTTTCGTTATTGAGCAGACTTTTAATGGAAGATCTTCTGCTTCCGGCCCCCTGTTGAGAAGATGTTGAAGATGATGGGCCAGAAGAATGATTGTTGCTGTGAACACCAGATGTAGGCAATGATGGCGAAGGCGCAAAGTGAACAGAAGGAGTGGTACATGAATCTGCAACTGCGGGTCCTGTCAAATTCTTTCTTGCATCAGCGCCGGAATGTTGGGTGTGAAGTTGAATGGAAGGCAATCTGGGTGGTGGTAAGCCATGCGGCGTCGATTGTTGAGAAAACGTATCCATGGTCGTTAGCATCGGTATTTGCATTGGTGTGGACGCATCCCTGCTGGACTGATTGAAAATGGAGACAGATGGCGTCTGCTGGGATGGCATACCGTTTTGGTGTCTCTCGGGGACAGTCGCACCGTCCTGCGATTCTTCTTCCCTACCAGAGTTCTGGATCGCGTTAGGTCCTTCAGCAAGAGACTGCCAACCCATCTGTTCTGCATTTCGCTGGAAGTAGTTGCGAACCATAGTGGTGGATTTGGTCCCCAATTTTTCAGAAATCAAAGCCCACTGAGTGCCAAACTCTTTGAGCAGCCCAGGAAACATGTTAGTCTCCTTGACACTCCAATAACTTGACTTGTGAAAACCATCACTACTTCTCGCTCTTTTCTTAGATTGTTGAGCCTTCTCGTGGTCTTCGTTCTTGGAAGATGATGATTCCTCGATAACACCATGCTCTTTCGATTCAAAGACAGCTGCAGACGCGATTGGGTTGAGATCTGTAAGATCATTATCTACCTCATCCAAGTCCTCTATTTTCCGCTTGGCGGAGTTATCCATCGCCTTCACATCAGAGATAGATTCTTCTTGACTCTCGATTCCACCCTTCTTTTTAGATACTGCTGCAGTTATTGTGTCCACTGCACTATCCGTTTCGGCCTCAGTTTCTTCCTCCTTTTCGTTTCGCAAATCGACAGTCGTTGTATCTACTCCATTAACAGCAGCAATAACCGCGGAAGTTGGCGTTTGTGAGGTAGATTCCTCTGCTTCAGCATCTTCATCTACCTGTCTGTGTTTCATGGGTTGGCTCACCTCATCGTCTTCAGTTTCGTCGATAGTCTTATCCTTTTCAGATTCATTGTAACCATTAGAATCAGTGAGAATATTTCCATTGTTATCGGTTCTAATTGTATCGCGCTCCTTCTCTTTTTCCTTACGCCTGCGACCAGCATTAACTTTACGCTTTTTGTTCCTATCAATAAGAAGCTGCTTGTAATTGGTTTCCTTCTTAGTTCTATAATAATGCAAAACACATTCTTCGGGCTGCCGAAGACCTCCCATGTTCTGCGAAATTTTTCCAAATCTCTTCGGGTAAGTTAAGTACGCTTCCACAAATAGCTCATGCTCCTCGTTTGTAAAATTATCGACAGCGTCTTTGTTCACCCTTGCTGCCCATTCGTCTTTGTTTGTAACAAGATTATTGACATCTTTGAACTTGATAACTCTCTTTTGAACGGGATCGAGGATCATTGAGGGAATTGCAGCCGCGAGCTGATGGTGTTTGTAATCAGGATCGATTTGTAAAAGAACATTTTCCATTTCGTTGTCATCAACAAAATCTCCACGATTGCGTCGCCTACTCACAGCACGCTTCTGTTGATTTCTCTCCTCGACATTATTGTACTCTTGAATTTCATTCGACTGGTCAGCAGGGACGGAGCTTTCACTTTCTTCTTCTTTGATCTCTTTGCTTAGGTCTTCCAGGTCTCGGCATGTCTTCGACCACTTGTGATCCAGATCTAAAAAAGTCTTTTTCAGCTGAAGGCGCTTTAGAGTTTCTTGACGTTTGAACCTACCAAGGACCTCGAGTAGCGCTGGCTTGACTGCCTGCTCATGTACGACAATATTCTGGGATATGAAAGGGTACTCTTGCAAGGAAACAATCGGTTTTTTGAATCGATACTTTTGAGCACGAACTGAAGTATTCACCTTGTGATTTTTTATTTTCCACAATTTGTCTTGAATCTCGTTCATGGGAAAGATACAGCCAGGAGCATTTCGCGCCAAACCAGTCTCTTCCTTTGGTTTATTTTTTACATCAGTTGACGGCAGAAAAGCAGTTGATGGTAGTTTTTCCTCTTCATTCTGTCCTGTAGACGATAGGCTAGCAGCCGTGACTGAAAAAGTTTCTTCACTCTGTTTCGGAGGCGATAAGCTTGCAGCTGAAATCGAAATCTTCGGTTCACTGTCCTGAAGGAGCGAAGGATCCCTCTTTAATGGTTGTGTGATTGGGGATGGCGGCTCAATCTCTGCTTTATCGTGCTCTACAACACCAACTGGGCCATTGGCAGGCTTTTCAAGTGTCACTTTTTCCCTTCTTGAATCCAAATCGTACTCGGAAATGCCAGCAGGTTTGAGGCCACATATCCCATCCTCATCTTCGAGCTTATGTTCTACCTTCTTTTGTTTCTCAAGATCAATTCGCCCATGAGCAGTTGTAACCATTGCTTCTGTCTCACGAGTAGTTTGGGGAACAGAATTAATTAGACTTGACCCTAGCGAGTGTTCGTTTTCATACGATATCGAAGGCGGCTTATTTGTTGAGTCGGTATCTCGCTCATTCTTGTACGGAGTATATCGATGGGAGTACGGTTGCAGATTATTTTCGTATCGACTGGAGCCATGGGACTGAGCCTTGTCGAAAGGGTGTGGTGCACTTTGGGCTGGAGAACTTGAAAGGTGTTCTTCACGGTAGTCGGAAGGATATGAATCCCGCCATTTTGTAGATCCCCGTGCTGAATATCCATGGCTGACAATTTCGTTGCCATCAGATACAGATGAGGGTCGGGGTCGACTGAATGGCGCTGGCGTATAGTAATTGTGATAGCTTTGTTTGTGAGCAGGTTGTGTTTGGTAATGGCTGGAGTTGTAACGACTAACGGAAGTTGATGAAGGATTCTGGTGCTGATAATTTGGAAATCCAGTTGAAAATCGCCTTGAATCGTGGGAGCTAGAGCCTCGTGCGTGATTTTGATACAAAGGACTAAAATCAGAGCTATAGCGGCTGCCAGAGCGTGGATTTCCATTATTGCTGACGCTGCTGCTGTACGATGATGAGTATGGTCGGCTTGAGACGCTAGGGTTGTACCTAGAAGGTCTGGGTTTCGAAACGGGTGCCGAAGTATGCTCTAAATTGGTCGCAGCTGCTGCAGTGTGAGGTTCAGCAACTGGACTATGTGTGGAGTTTGAAGCACTGCCCATCGCGGGTGATGGACGACGATAAGACGCATACCTTGGGCCCGAATGGTACGGTTTTTTGTCCCCTAGCCGGTGAGACGGACCTGGTGGCCCCATTTCAACGACAAGTGTGACTTGGCTGTCTACCTCTTGGATTTGTCGATCGGACTATTAGATGCCACGGCAAACGTGCAACAAAAACCTAAATATGCGCTGAAAACTTGGGGGAAAAAGGGGCAGCTAGCGTTCAAAATATGGCTCTTGGACTATCTGGATGGTATATTGGTCTAAAAGCCCTGCTTATGCTGTCTTAACTGGAGTAATTGTCGATGCTGAATTGATGATGTATTGGGTTTGGATATTTTGGAAGTTAATATTTTGAGACTAATTACCAAAATCGCCTCCTCGTCATTGGTGATTGTTGGTAACGTGATCAGTCTCATCGATTACAATGTCATTTTGATCCAGGAGAAAAGTCCAGACGTTGAGCCTTGGGTTAGTAGGAAGAAGCTAATTCATAGTGATGGTATTTGGTTATCTTTCATCGCGGTATATATCCCTTTAGTTTGTTTGGGATCCTTTCTTGGGTTCTCACCGACAAGTGACCCGTGAAATATTGAACTGGAGAATGAACATTAAGCAGCGGTTCTCGCTTCAATCAGGGTTCACCATGTATAGATCGCAAGGCTTAAACGTCCTTTGAAACTGCTGCTGTGTAGTGTTTCGTATATAGTGATATAGTACCACAATAGGGTTTTCATTTTATAGGAGCTTCAGAAACGGAAAGGACAGTAAAATTGTCCAGGAACGAATAAATCGTACATTGAAGTGGTTGGTAGGAGCAGTTCCAGGCTCTTATCGTCCGTGTGCGAGTTTGTACGAGTTTTTTTGCCCATACTGTGTGTTCATTATCGTTCTCTGGGGAGAGTAGACGACAAGGAAATTGAGAGAAAAATATTGTCACGTGCTAGAGTCCCCATATCCAAGATACGGATACGATTAACAAGGGCGATCCAGCGAATATTGAACCGTTGGTACTTTGATATTCTTTGAAGTGAAGATTCCATTCGTTGTGTCTTGGCTTTAAGTATACCAGTTGATGTAACAAGGCTTTCTTTGTTGTAACTCTCGTGAAGGGCCAAAATCTATTGAAAGAAAAAAAACATTCTCCATGCATATGTGGTTATCATTACGTAGACTCTTGCTTCGTTCTGCTTCAAACTATCCGATCGCGATGTAAGCCAGCACCCGAAACGTTTTGCACGGTGGAACAAAACTTCACGACGGTGAGTGAAATGTCAGTGAGGTGAACATTTTCTTATTTAAGAACAAGTGTGAAGCACCGTTCAGGTGAACATTCAACCGCTGTTACCGTTGTGATGTAATGATGGAGATCCTATCCATTGAACCTCGCTGAATCCTTTCAATGGCCAATGACAGTGATGCAGGTAGATAATTGTCACTTTGTCATTACGCCGTCGTCTGTTCTTTGTATCACGTGACTAGTTTCACTATTTGGTTAACACTCTCCTTCTTAGTGGATACAGAAGACCGTAGCAGGCTCAAGTCTACTACTTGCTCCCAAGCGTCGTTCAAAAATTCTGAAAAGTTGCAGTTTCTTCGACTTGCGCAATTCACAATTTGTGCATGTTTTTCAACTTTCAACCAATTCCGCCGTACTTGTAATTCAAACAATTGCACTACGAGACGGTAAAATGCACAGCTTTACCATAAAACCTTTAGTAATGCGCCCTTCGTCACTTCGTATTCTTACAGCTCAAAATCTAAAACGATGACATTATAGTACGGAGTGATTACTCGATGTCATTTTAATTTCTCAAATGAACGAGTAACACGGAGCAACACGGAGGAACACTGTACATTTCACTTGTGGTCAACATCCATCCTGAAAGCCCGGTGTTGTAAGCACTATACCCTGGCCTCATGGTTCAACCATATAACTGTCATATTGAGCGAGAAGTCCTCGAGATTTCAAGACGTCATGCGGTAGATTGAAGAGAACAGAGATGCAGCAGAAAGTCCCCCTTTCAATCCCTTCAGCTGCAATGTTGAGTCACTACAGACCCTTCTGAACTCCTCATAAAGCCCCTTGCTCCAATATGCAACAAAAAAATCTTCATTCCAGTATTCGGCTTTCCCCACTCTCACCGGCATACGAATCTCAACAGTACCCGAATACTTCCAGGACAAAAAGAATCTTTGGGCCTTCAAGTCTGACCTGGTGTTGTTTCCATCAACACAAAAACTCAGTTCTGAAGACATACCGTCACACCATGATCAGTCACACCATCAAATACACTGAGCTACCATGGCTTTTCTATCAGCCTTGAACTTTTCCAAAAGATGTGGTCCCACTAAGAAGAAACCAATAGTTCCCACCGTCCGTCTACAACTAAAAACGGTTTCCCGCGCTAAGACGAACCCTCAAGATCTGCAAATCAATCCCTTTTCTCTTCGTCTACAGTGAAACCAATTTTTTGCCGGGAAAAACGCCAAGGAAACGAGGCAGGGACTACTTCCATGTCACCGGGCCAACTCTGACTGCCCTGGGATCGTTGTATTAACAACATCATGTCACTATACCTTCCTCTAACCTCTTTTGACGCGTCTCAAGTCTAGCCTCATCTCGTGTCAGGTGCTTTGACGCGTAAACGTTAATGACACGTTAGGGCAAGACGCGTGAAAAAAAACACCGATGCCTAAAGGAAAAAAAACGCGTCGCGTAAAACTGAAGTAAAACCTAAAAATGTGATGGCTTCACTTCGATATAAAAGGACCCTCCTCAAGATTGATTCATGAATCTAGTTACGAAAGTCTCCAAGTGTTCTGGTCTAATCAATCACGCAATGATCTCGACTGCCAAAACCACCACAGCTGCAACCGCAGAATATGAAAATGGAATACTTGGTTTGGGGAGAAAAAGGCTAGCCTTTGAAATCTGTGAGGATCAAAATCAGGATGAAGAACTAAACAGTCATATTGCTAAGAAGCGGGCTACCAATGATTGCGGACTGCTTACACCGCCTGGCTCGCCCGTGAAGCTTGCATTCAAAAAAAATGTACCTGGAACAACGGCAGGTTCAGTATATTCCCGTACCAAAGCAGTGCTCCAAAGGTGCTCGAAACTCTCACACATTGGTTTCGAAGGTTGTCTTCCAACGAGAAATGCGCAATTTACACAGATTATGCAATTTTTGACCAGTTCGATAAGTTCTGGACATGGAGATTCTCTCTACGTCACAGGACCTCCAGGAACTGGTAAAACTGCACAAGTGGACCTCATAATACGCGAAAAGTTTCCAACGCTGGTTTTGGAGCAGCCGCGTTTGCAACACGATCCAGAACTTCTCAACACCTCTTTTTTCAAAGCAGATGAAAACAACTATCAATCAGTAGCTGTGGTTTCCATCAACTGTATCGCCATCAATAATGCCGAATCCATTTTCGCGAAGATCTACCACTCGTTCGCCAAACAACCGACTATGATGGTCCGCAATGCTGATGACCTGCAGCAATTCATGAAAAAGCATACTCAAACCACATTTGTCGTTATTCTTGATGAGATGGACAAACTGGTGACATCGAGTTTACAGGACACTAATGCCACAAAACACATATTTGATCTTTTCTTGATGGCTAAACTGCCGTTTCTGAAATTTGTTCTAATAGGCATAGCCAATAGTCTGGATATGAAGGATCGCTTTCTCTCAAGGCTCAACCTCAGGCAAGAATTGGTACCCCGGACAGTCTCTTTCGCACCCTATACCGCGGAGCAGATGTCAGAAATTGTGATGGAAAAACTTAAGACTTTGGATACAGATACTATCATACAACCTATTGCCATCAAATTTGCTGCAAAAAAGTGTTCTGGTAACACTGGTGACCTCAGAAAGCTTTTTGATATTCTCAGATCAAGCGTTGAGATTTTAGAGCTGGAGTCCTTCAAATTGAGGAACCCAAGCGGTCTGAAAAGCGATGCTGTCAAGGTCACCTTAGCCCATGTTGCCAAGGTCTTTGCAACACTTCACAATAATTTCTCAACCAAATCGCGCATAACCAAGCTCAACATGCAGCAACGACTGGTACTTTGCTCTTTGGTACATCGCGAAAGATCTGACATCTTTCAAACGCAAACCTCGCTGGACGACGCGTACGAATATTATGCAAGACTACTGCATCAGAAAGACACCATTTCTCCGCTGGAACGGAAAGAATTTTTAGAGATTTGCAACGCTTTGGAGTCCTGTGGGGTAGTGAATATAGCTCAAGGGAAATCGCAAGGCAGGACCAGACACATTGTTAGATTCATCAGATCCAATGTTGATAAAAAAGAGTTCACTGACGAGATTAGCAAAATGCCGTCATTGAAGGCTTACCTATAGATGACACCTTTAAGATGTCGACAATAAGTGTACTTAGCTAAATCACAATGCATACTTTCACTCCCTGAATTCTTGGAGGATGACAGTTGTATGATATGATCTTTTTCGTCCTAGATCCATACAAATGATTGTTCGCTGTTCTTGGCTCGAATTTGGCACCTTGTCACGCCGGTGTTCAGTGCCTGAAGCCCCTCGATTCCAATGTATAGACTCGTCACTGGTTTTCTTACACCGGTTGATAAACCTTTCACTTCTTGTAGCTGCCATGCTGCATTGCCTTGCCCTTGTCTCAAACTCATGATTTTGATCTCCCCGTTGGTGAAGCCTAACCCGATCAAATCTACTTCGTCTTGGTGCGAATGGAGACTTTGATTTTCGTCTTCGACCCTGAGAAAGCTCGCAGCACTAATAGTCGTATCAAACTTCCGTTCGACGTATACTGACCCATTGAGATTGCAAATTGTAATCATGTCTAAACCGTCAAGAAACAGAACTGTGGCTGTCGTTTCACTTACGGCGGAAAGAACGACCTTCTCAGAATAGCATCGGAGTACCTGAAGAGTGAGAGTGTCCCATGAATATAGGTTGCCCTCAAAGTCCAAGGAAAGTAACATATTATATTGACTGGAAAATTTTAGCTCCCTGATCGAGCAGAGATGTGCGTCTAGTCGTTTTATCTCGGCTAGGGTTGTAGCAGTGCCCTCTTTAGTCCATTCCCAAAGTTTGATGAGACCTAATTCGTCTGCAGTACATAGTTGCCTGCCTTTCAACCTTTTCAGACACGTAATCTTACAGTGATGAGCATTCAAAAATTCCACTCCATCAACGTAAATAGAGCAACCTATGAAACTCACAGCAGTGTTTTCTGAGCTATCAGAAGCTCCCAATTGCTCATGGGGCACCGAGTAATTTTCATCACAAATGTATCGAACGTGTGGCGTTTCAGCTAAGTCGCTGAAAACACAGGTTATAGAAGGTAATGGGAGTTGCTGAAGGAGCTTCTTTGGGTGCGACTGGTCAAAAACTCGCAATGGGCTTTGACCAAAATTATGAATGATACCAGTCACAGCCACACGCTCATTTTCGTTATCAATTTTGTCTAGATTGACAGCTCCTGGATAACTTAATCTGTTAAAGACATTGACTGCCTCGACGGCAGCCTCACCCGTTTGCTTAAAGCCGAAAATAAGGTCAATCCAAAGATGAAGCCGTTGAGAAACATAAGGACTCTCCAGTGCTTCCCTGTTTTTAGCAACAAACAGCTTCGGATCATTTTTGGCCCATGGTGGTAAAAGAACATTGTCTACTCTGTCTCCATTTTGCAAAACACCAAAATTGTATGCGTTAACATTTTCAAGAAATTCAGGTAGATAAAAAAACTCGGGGATTAATTCTCTCACATCAGTGGTGTTTTCTTGGGAAGCTGAGCTCCACGTTCGCTCAATTGAATTAAAGAGCCTATCTGCATGGCCGAATTTACCGTCCTGTAGTAAGAGATACGAGTCAACAAAAGGTGGTATGCGCATCATATAAGAAGAAACGATCATCGCCGAAGAATAATGAGTACCATAATGAAACGGGCGCTCTCCGTCCCCCAAATCTCTCAACGCATCAAAACGCTCAATGAACTGTTCCTTCCTGCGCTCTGACTGTGCTCCCATAGGCTTCGATAGATCCCTGAAAGTTTTTGGACTTGTTAAATCGAGCTCATCGCTGTGGTAGTCTGCTATGATCCATGGAAAAACTGGGTACTGGGTAATATCATTGAACGTCCGTCCCGCAAGGGTATTCAACAATATCAGATAGTAGAAGTTGGATATCTGGCCCGATTGCCAAAGTTTTAAGGCTTTAAAAGAAGGGGACGAGCTATTGCCATACGAAAATACGTTGGCGACCTTATCTGACAGCGTGTACTCAGAAAGACCATTTTTGATATTGATATTATCACTCTTCATTGCAAGTTCGTTGTAAGCATCCGACAATATTGTCTTATTCTTAAGTTCTCTTCCTTTCCTATGCAACCAGTCGTAAGCGTCATTACGCCATCCGTTGTTGCGAAAAGTGTAAAAACTGCTCTTCCCGTCATCAAACGATATTTCAATTGCTGAATCTCGTAATAAAAAGGGCCTTTTCAGTATAAAAGCCACCTCAGGTAACTTCCAGCATTCTATTTTGTGCTCCTTTTTCAAAGCCTTGTCTTCCTCTCTAGAACCAGAAATCATTTTAACTGCAGGATCCCGTTCTGTAGAAGTAGCATCGCACAGGTCAATGACTTTTGATTCACTTCCTGAGTAAAAATAGCCAGAAATGAAATACAAATAATTTGCTCCCAGAATCAAAACTCCTTCAGTGACACTTAATCCAACAACATTGCTACAGTTCCAGATGCGTTTGATAGCGTCTCCCTTCTGGAGCATTTTTAGTACCTTTCTATTTCTATCGTGGCTATTGTCTGTTTCGAGGTTGAGCATATCCAATTCTTTGATAATCTCGAAAGACATTGTACTGCTAGCCTTGCGTTCACTATTTTGGCCGGCAGGTGGGTCGTCTGGAGCTGACTTAGCCTGTTTCTTGTCTTGAAATAGAAATGACACTTGTGCGTTCTGGCCAGGATAATTTGGAATGAGTCGTTTTCTCATTCTATTAGAATCTTCCATAGGATCAAGTGACCATTGTCCTTTAATTGTTTTTGGGATCTGGATCCTACGCCTACTATGAGTTCTTCTTCTGAATTCCTCTAATCGCTGGCGAAACACAACCAATTCGTCTTCTGCGTCATTAAGCATATAAAGTCTTCTTCTCTCCTCCGCAGCTAGAACCGTTCCACTCATCCTCTGACCATCACGACAAAAATTTTTGTACATGCTGTCGAGTTCCGCCAAGCGCCTCTCTAGGGCTTCCTCTCTCTGCTTTAGCAAAAGGATTTTCGTTGCAAGCCTTCGTTCCGCGCTGTACTTAGTAGAGCTACTTCCGTCCAATCCTTTCATGTGTTTCTTACCGTATGCTTCAAATGCTGCCCTCGCCTCTTCGGATCTTAGACACTGAAGGAGATCCTCATCACTTGCCGACAAAGAGAAAAGTAGAATTTTGAGCACCTTTTCTTTCCTGGCACGGTCAATGATATTCGAAATGATACCAAGAAGACCTTCATGGTGCATCACTATTATACGCAAACAGTTAAGTACTGCTGTTTGAGAGTTTTGTAGTGCTGGGATTGTCAAGGACCAGGCAAGCGCGCTAAAAAGAAAAGACACGGCCTCCAGGTCAGCGGTAGCATCTTTGTCCTCGGCCCGAAACAAAGCAGACTGTTGAAGCAGAGTAACATCAATGAACCTAGTCAAACTCGATGATGCCGTATTAGGATCGTAGGTTTCAATACTGCTGAAAAAGGCAACGCTAGTTTTGTATACTATCTTGTGGAGAGTTTCTTTTGAAGCGCTGCATTTTCTGTTCGTTGTTGATTGATGAGCCGACCTTTCAAGACATGTTGTCGCAATTGCGTGAGTCTTGAGATAGTGGCCAACTGGTAGTTCAAAGAAGACAGAGCTGTTCGTGAACGTGTCTAGCAGCTGAAGAAGATTTGACGGAAAATGATCACTCTGTTCGAACAGTTCCGTAAATGACGGTATGAATGTTTCAAGCTGCCCGAGCACACTTTCGAAAGGCGAAATCCAATAAAATTGTTCCACATAATGACGGTTTGTTTTGTTTCCCCTTTCCTTCAATAAATGAGATATTTGATCGCGAAACTTCTTAGGGCTCGAGAATGATAGGTGGTGCAGCAATGAGTTGGTTAATATGGTTGTCAAACCTTTAGATGCGCAAACGTATGTGTTTGCATTTTGAGGCTTCCGGACCGTCATCAAAAGACCTAGTAGCTTTCCAAGATACAATGATTGCCGAGCGTCGAATAAAACCCACCCAGGCAAATCCCCCTGTAAAGCTATAGCACTGCTCAAATAACGACAAATCATTTCATCCATATCTAGCGGATACGCTTTGACGTCATTTAGAACTGCCCACTCTAGTAGGTCCACGATAAGGCAATGATTATCTGAACGAACATCACTTTTGCGAGCAGGTTGGCCATTTTGATCTGCTATGGACAATTCCATGAACAGTTTCAAATCATCTGCGGCGAGATCAGGTCGCAATAGAATGTTAATGAGTCGCTCATAGTTTTGGTAATCGGTTTCCTTGATGATACCATACAAAATTCGGAAGCCGTTGTTTCTCACAAATCTTGAGTGCGAGGTGACAGCTGACTCAAGGAATTTTATCAACATGCTCAGGCCACTGGATATCACAGCCATAGAATGAGCAGCATCGATTATCATCAACATGAGCTTGACAGGAAAACTTTCAGTCAGACTGTTAGATAATTCCTGATCTTCAGCAAACAGCATTTCACCTAGGGCGCTGTTCAATGAGCCCAAAACCAAAGACGCACTCCGCTCTGACCTCTTCTTGACCTCAAAGTAGATGAAGTTAAATAAAGATATAACTTCAATTTTTGAAGATTTCTTTATGATAAGTTTCAAAATATCTGTGATCTCATTGCGAATGCACTCGACAATTTCAATCCGCCGCGAGTCCGAGCAGAAATCGTCAAGAAATTTCGTTAATCTATTCAAAAGCTGTAAGTTCGCGAGTTGCTTATAATTGAATTCCGCAAAATTGGAACTTTCCAGCGCTTCATGGAGCTGGAAAAACAAAAAGCGCAGAATCTCGATAGAGAAACATTCTGCGGATAGGGCATTCTCTCCTACCCACCAGCCAAAATTTAGTAGCAGTGCAGTACATGCCTCCCTATTTTTCACTAACGAGTCCGCCGAGCAATTAGTATCCCACCCACAATACTTTAGAAAAAGATTCATGAAGGGAAGTGAGAGGCTTGTATTCAGTTTTAACAAAACCTCGGAATCGATAAATAGACTCAAGAACTCGTAGCCTATCTGATCTTCAAAAAATTTCCGGAGCTCGGTACATTGCATCAGAGCTAGCCAATGTTCCATGTATTCGTACAAATCGTCAAGGTTCCTAGAACACTGAAGTACGCTCAGAACATGATCGAAGACACATATTGTCTCGAAGCATGAAAGTAGAGAAGAGCACCTATAGCACAAGACTTTGCCAACATGACTAGAACTCTCCTTGTCCATGATCAAGGTACAGCTTTCAGTGTTTGACTCCCAAGACTCGTCTATTACCTCTGAAGGGACAAAGCGAACGATCAACTTTGTATTCCTCAATTGCTCTGCGTGATGTGCGCAGACACCCATCGTCAATCCCGGAGTCTCGATAGATGCGCAGATTTCCAGTAACAGACTCACATCCACTTCCTCTGAAACTTTTTTTCGGCCACCGGTGCCATTAATCGTGTTTCCAGGCTCCCAAAATGGTAAGCGATTAGTTAATTTGATGCCTGTTTCAAGAAGAGGTTCAGACCATACCCAGAACTTGAAAACCTTGAACGAGCATATCATGGATCCCAGCTCCAATTTCTTTATGCTGCGTTCAGAGGAGGGGGTTTGTGGAATCGATATACTTTCAATTAGAACTCCGTCGACATAAAGGGTGAACGTATCTCCGTTTATATTCAGTGAGATGTTGTACAGGACATCCGTATTGAACTCAAAAGTTTCGAATACCGCAAGTACAAATTCATCATCCGATATGCACAAGATGGACTCACGTATCTCGACGAAGAGATTGTTGTTGAGCGAAAAAATTCGATTTGAAGTTACGCGATGGAATATTGTCCAGAGTTGCAAACACAGTTGATGTGTATAGGAATCTATTTCGAAAGTTTTGTATGCATTATCAAAAAAAAGTAGACTTTGGCTACTGAAATCTGACATGGTGTTGCCTAACGTATTCAGGATTTGAAGCGCCGTTCTTGAACCCTTTTCCACTTCACCATACAGTTTCTTTAAGTCCATAGGGTTGCAATCAACAGCCAACACCTGTGTATAAAGTTCACTTATGGCATGAATTGCCACCTCTGGAGCTTTGAGCTTTAATGTCAGAATACTCCAAAGGTTATTTTTCAGGTTCGGGATCTGGCTAATTTTCTGAGCGTTTATGAGTGAGAGGTATGAGAGATGCAGCAAAATATGTGCGAAACCAACGACTTCGAAGCTTGACTCTAGCATGTCCAAACTGAAAAGGGTGCTCCATTTATCTGGGTCATCGATGACTAAATTATCCTCACCTTCACCGAGATTAACAAAAATCGCCGTCAGTTGGTCGAATACATATTCTGACACCAAAGCGTGGCTAAGGGTCCCCAGTTTATCCTGACAGCCACTGAGTATCCCCCACAATGCATCACTTAAAAGCGTTTCAGTAGACTCTCCGTCCCAAGAATCCTCGAACTGAAGGTCTAGCACCTCAGACATGAGAACCGTATAAGCGTTCCCGGGAACAGCCATCATGTATCTACAGGCTATTGGATACGCTAGGGCGCTGGATCACCTCCGTCTGCATAGACGTTTGCAACATTAAGGCAGAGATTAAGCACCGGCTAAAACTCTAATATAAGATGAATCCGTCAAGAATGATCAGAACTCAACGTCCAACGAGCAGGATCTTTTGAGCGTTTATTATCAACCAAGAAGCTGCTATATTTCGAAACCGCTCATCATTTAGTTTCTGGTTTAATTGCGGTTTTTTGAGCAACTTTTATCGGCTTTTTGGGAAGTCTAGTCGTTCTTCTTGACATTTTCGAGTTCGTTCTGAACCTCCATCCGATCGGACTGCTTCTGCTGCTGTTGCTGAAGCAGCTTTTCTTCGGTAGCCTCCAAAGCCGCTGCCGCCTCCAGCTTGGAGAAAATTGAGGGGAAGATAAGGGCCACAATACCTGTGACCACAGCAGCAAGTTTGTACTTGGATGATAGAATGCTAGCAATCGGTCCACTCTTGAACAAATCTGAGTTTCTTTCTTGCAGGTAAACTCTCAGGGGGGCCATGTTGACGAGTGTGATTGGAATGTGTGATTCGAAGGGAATTTCCTCGAGCTGTTCGGGATGCACGATTTCGGGGGAGGGGAAATTTTCCTTGCCAAAAACGTTTTTGTAGGCTTTAACTACAAAGTCCGTACCGTTGTGAGAGCTATCTTGTTCGATACTGATCAAAATTCGATTGGGTTTGAGGTTGAATTCTAGGGACGATGTCTGGAGGACGAAAAAATTCGTGGAATTGGCGTCTAGAGGCTCCGGTACTTTCTCGAACCCAAATTCGCCATCAATATTATGAATTTTCGCCGATGCCGCAAATGGTTGACCCTGGTAGTCTCCAACCTGAAATAACTTGAAACTGGTGTTTACAATGGATCTGCGAGTGAGGTTGAAGGGCGAAACGTCAACTCTTCCCCGCACGGTAACACCCAAAACTGTGTGCCAAAGTCCGAAGAATATACACAAATATCCGAAAAGCATGCTTACTCTCTTGAAGTGGACAATCGCTTACTTCTCTACAGCTGTGTCAGCAGCAGAATATCAGCTCAGTATCCCGATGTTTTCAATATTTTTCAAATTTCCAATTTTTCAGGTATAAAAGGGCTAAGGTTATTGAATGAAAAATTCCAATGTCAAACCTGAGTATCATTCTTCTTTCAAAATACATCAATTTACATTTACATTCAAGAACGAGTATTATTGTAGTGGAATTGTGACTATTCAAGACAATATCTTCTCTACAACTCGGTTCGAGAGAAAAACAGCGCGACGCTCAAACCGTTATTACTGCCGTATGGGTTTGCCATCTGTGTGGCAGGTTTGTCGTCGCACATAAGTTCCAACAGGATGGAAAGAGTAGTTGACCGTTTAAAAAGGCTTTGAGACGGGTGTCTGAGAGAGTGGCTTTAGTAAGATCGCCGTCCTCATCAACTTATAGATTCTTGGTTTTTACATATTTCTTTCAGGTTTCTGAGCCTTCTTGGGTCACGAAATCCTCTCGCAAACATGTATGTAGAACCTCTGACCATAAAAATGCGAAACTCCTGTTTCTCAGATATGTATCTTCTTGATTCCAATGTTGAAATCCAAAGGCATGAACATGAACAGCAGCAGCGTCGTCATTAACTAACTCTCTTACCACGGATTAGGATGTGACTACTCTTTCTGAAACACCCACACATCATTTGCTGTAATTTTTTACACTTATGAAAAAATAATCATCTCTACACGCAGCGTTCGTGATTGTCATGTCTTGGGCTCGTAGGCAGGGATTCCTACAACCTAGACGGAACTCCTCTCTGGAGCCTGGAAGGAGTCCTTACTGTCGCGAATTCGTCCTGGTGGGAATCCTCCCTCCATTTCCAGTGCTGAACAGACCCCTAGGCCGGATAGACCAGCCGGAAACTGACGCAACACTACGTGAGACCTGCCCGTCTTAAATATTTCAACCTGAATTCTACAGTGTCAACCTCTTTGATTCACTAAGAACCCAAGACATCAAGAATGGCTAAAGGTACGTAAAGGGGTGGTCTCCTGTTTAAAACCGTTTAGTTGATTCTTCACCGCATCTAGTCGTTTCGCTCAAGTGGGTTTGGGCGTCCTGAAAAACGATATCTCTAGCGGTTTTTGGACACTCTTGAATAAGATCAAAGTGGACCATTGGCTGCGAGGCTGTTGTTCCAAGGGATAGAGTTAGATGGCGAATGTTCATATCATTCTCTGCTTTCGAGGCTGAATGTGTGCCACTTTTGGTGAGCACTGCCCCTTGCAACGAATATTTCAGCTTTCGCCGGTTTAGTAGCATCTAAACGGTTTCAAACAAACGGGACTTTAATTTTATCCACATAATATTCGAAGCACCAAATACTGACATACTTTTTTTTCCTTCAGATCTAGTTCAAGCTCGCGACTCCTCTTTGGTTTTCGGCGTTGCCAGAATCTACGCTTCCTTCAACGACACTTTCGTGCATGTCACCGATTTGTCCGGTAAGGAAACCATTTCCAGAGTCACTGGTGGTATGAAGGTCAAGGCCGACAGAGACGAGTCTTCTCCATACGCTGCCATGTTGGCTGCCCAGGACGTTGCCGTCAAGTGCAAGGAAGTTGGTATTACTGCTCTACACGTTAAGATCAGAGCCACCGGTGGTACTAGAACCAAGACCCCAGGTCCAGGTGGTCAAGCTGCTTTGAGAGCTTTGGCCAGATCCGGTATGAGAATCGGCCGTATCGAAGATGTTACCCCAGTTCCATCTGACTCCACCAGAAAGAAGGGTGGTAGAAGAGGTAGAAGATTGTGATTTTGCTTGCTTGTTTAACAAGTGCATTTCACTAAGCATTTTACAATTTCTTGTACTTTTAATAACATTTTGTAAGTTAATACGTTAAGTTGATACTGCAATGGACATAATTTGGGAACCATTAGCGCTGATAGAATTGTAGCTGTAGTCTACGAGAATGGGACGGTGCACAGTCCAGAACTTGGAGGTCAATGGATAGCTTCAAGGACACGGCAATTTGAAGTGATTATCGCTATCTTCTAGCCATCCCTGTGCATCCTGAACATCTTTATCGTCTACGCTCTACAAAAACTGCCATCAATAGTAGCGTCTATCACGGTATAATGCTTTGTGCCTCCCACTGTCAATGTCATTGACACTAGTACATAAGCTGGCCCATGTGGGCCTCAAGAACAGCGCTCAATGAGTGCCGCCTAGCTTCGATTAAGCCAGATACTGCCACTATGGCAGTTTTTGCGGTTCCAATTGGCTCAGTGGCTTTAAAGTACACGTTTACATATTATGCCTATGCTCAATGTGTCGTTGTGCTTCGCTTAGTAAACGAAACCCAAGATCTTACCAGCAACGTGCTTTCTTCTGGCCTCTTCGTGGTCCATAATACCAGCAGAAGTGGTCAAGATAACGTAACCGAATTGTCTGGCTGGAAGCAAGTTCTCAGTCCACTTCTCGATGTCGTTGAACTTGATGTTGAATCTTGGGGAGATAACACCACACTTGTTTAGTCTACCGTTCAACTGAACCACGATCTTACCGGATCTGTGGTCGTCGATGTATTCGAATTCACCGATGTAACCGTGCTTTTGCATAACCTGCAAGAACTTGATGATGACCTTGGAAGAAGGTCTGATCAAGACTTGACGCTTACCGGTCTTTTCGGCGTTGTTGATAGAGTTCAAAGCATCAGCTAGGACGGAGGCTCTGGCCATTTTGATCGATGTGTTATACCGTTTTGAATTCAAGTGTTTCAACGCACTGTACTGGAGTGTTCAAAAGGTTAAATCTTACTACTTTCTGGCTAGCTGCTGTGCACTCGCGCTTGCAATGGGCCTGAAAAATTTCATAACCCTGATGTGACTGCTATTACAACATCTAACTTAATAGCGTGGTGTTAGGATTTTGTAAAATATTATGGAAATTTCAAAAATGATTTTGAGTGGGTTCGCGATTTGTCGAAAATTCTATAGTCTACGAGGAAGATCCAGAGAGGGAACCCACCTGCCCGGTCGAGATTTAGGCAGAGCGGCTCTATGTTGCGCTGCGGGGGACTCTCTGTCTAGCCCATGAGAGTCTCTGTCTAGCGGTGCTGGGCCTAGCCTAGCAGTTTCTGTCCGGCTTCGTGTGCTAGGCCCAGGATCGCAATGGGTCTCTGGAAAACCCTGGAGAGATTGATAGGTATACTTTGAAAGATGGAACAGAATTACATTCACTTTGCCTGACACTATAAACCAACGACTGTAACGATGGCTGTATGTGCAATGACGCGGGATATTTGACGAGGACAATGGTGGAAAAGAGAATGAGATTGATTGTTGAACTTTGGGAACGGTTTTAGACTAAGATCATTGAAGAAACCGAATGGGTGACAAAAATAAGCAATGTGGAACTTGAATAAGGCTAGTGGCATAATATCGAAGATAGAACATTCATTACATCTGGTTTGGAATTCTGCGGGAAGACTTTGAGAAAAAGCCGCTACATGCGCTAAATGTTCCAAATGGAAGAAGTGGAATATGCAGATAGTCCTGCTGTATCGTTGTGAAATTAACAGTGGATTGAGGAAGAACTAGATCCGATATGTTCGACTTTTGCGTCTCAATGTAATTCAGCCCGTGAAACCTATCGTCCTCCGTTTAGGACACCTTTTACTAACCACTCTCTGCAGGCCCAAAAGTCTTTCAAAATCAAGCAAAAGTTGGCTAAGGCCAAGAACCAGAACAGACCATTGCCTCAATGGGTCAGATTGAGAACTGGCAACAAGATTCGTTACAACGCCAAGAGAAGACACTGGAGAAGAACGAAGATGGGTTTGTAAGCGGATCTATCGATCCCTACGGCTCTCCCGTCTTCTTTTTGTACCCATATATCATGCTGTCATTATGGTCCCGCACCACGGTCGGGGAAGACTGTATAATTTCTCTATAGTACGTTAGATTGCAATTCTAAAAAAAAACTAGCAACACGTCGATTTCGGTAAGAATTCTACGTTCTTCCAGGTTCCGCTTGGTCCCCCAGTTCAATCTTCTACAAGATACGTCAGTTTTCTTATCAACACTTGAAATCACAAACAAGTTTCATATACTATCTAGCTAATTGGTGTTTTAGAAGTTCATCATCGTATCCGGGATTTAGCAATCACTCAACATCATGTTTTGCAAACGTCCTCGTTGACTAATACACGATGTTGCTTTACACTAAGCTTAAGAATTTCAAGAGTATTCTAGTACTATTTGTCGTCTCATGCCGACGCAGCTTCTGGCTTGCCCTGTTGTAAACATCTTACTTATGAATATTCAATTTGTTAGGTGAGTTTTTCTTATATATATGGATCACTAAAATAAGATGAAATTTGGTTATCATCATGTACGAGCATTCGACCTAACTATACCAGGGCTTTCCCAGCCGACACCATGGGGAAACTACTTCATTCATGGTCATTCTTGGTGACCCAGAATGTCAATCTCAAGTTAGAAAGTGCAAACATCAAAAAATTATCGTATACATATCTCACATAAACATTTCGGGCTTCGGTCCGAAGTCGTCTTCTTGCACTATAGCGCCTGCCTTACGAGTCCTCTCCACGTATTCGCATTCCTCTGAATGCAGAATTTCGCTGGCCGTAGGGCGTTTCTTGTAGTCCGGCTCTATCATGCGCCGTACCATTTTTTCGAGGGATACTCCATCAATCAGAAATTTAGGCACCCATGCCGGAATTTTACTGCAGGTGTCAACCAAAAAATCGAGTTTGTTGGCTTCACCATGGTATGACATGTTGGTGATCTCAGTCGTAGTGTGCCCATTCGAAAACAACGAATCTGAGTTAATTTCGGTGGAGCTGAGTTTCCCAGCATCAGATAAATCACCAGAACGCAGTTTGTGCCAGGCATTGCCATTGTCCGGCAGCATGACGTTCGCAGCTATTTCAACGATCATTAGCCCCAAGGAAAATATGTCGGCCCTAAAGTCGTAGATACAGTCGGATATGATCTCTGGAGCGATGTACTCTCTGTCACCTTCGTTCTCCAAACCATTATTAACAACAGGTAATTTCGTCGCCATTCCAAAGTCGGCGAGCTTCAAACTACCTTCGAATGTAATTAAAACATTTGCTGGTTTCAGGTCTAAATGTGCAATTTGGCAAGAGTCGTGGATGAAATTGAGCGCCAGACTTAATTCCACTATAACTTTCCATATTCGCCAATCATCTAATCGCGCTTTCTTGCTCACAACTTGCTCCTTGAGGAAAGAATCTAGGTCGCCGTTCTCACAATATTCGGTCATCACGTAATAGAAGCCTTGGTACTTCCATGAGCTTATGAAGCTCAACACATAGTCTTTCCCTTCCTCATCTAATGAAGTCTCGCTGATTTGTGACAAAATTTCGATCTCTTGCAATATTCTAGCCGTTGTATTAGATTTATTAGGTCGCATGCTCTTGACAGCATATTTGATGCCCGTCTCTGCAAAGATTACCTGGTAGACGCGGGAAAAATGGCCGCTACCAATTGTGCTAACATTTTTGAATTTCGTGGATAAATGTGAATCCGGACTTATATGTATCTGTTCCGAAGGTGGCGAGGCAGGTCGGCTTATTTTCGCATTGATCGATCTTTTTGGCCTCGACATAAGAAAAGGTGAAGGCCGTCGTATTGTGTAAGGCGATTTTGTTGGGGTATGCGATGGACTTCCTGTATCTCCAGAAAACGTTATTGTAGGTGCTGTGGAGGGGGCACGGCCAGAAAGAAACCCGTCATCATCGTCGTCGTTTCCATACAAATCGTCTGTGAATTGTTGTAATGTGTTGGTCAAAACTGTATTACTGAACACCTTGGATGTTCTTGCAGGTTTATTCTTGCCAAGAGACAGCGAAGAATTCGTGATATTGGAAGAATGGAATCGGCTATTGGCAGCACTAAGCGGTGACTGGTTAAGAGAGTCATACCGCCCAGTTGCCGATGTAAATGATCGCATTGGGGAGTCCATAATAGACGAAGGGTCAAGACTTTTATTATGTGGTGATTTCTTGACCGGTGTGTCGGGCGTGCTGAAGACTTGCGGCATGAGATGCGATTGCATTTTTGATTTGAGACCAGAAGACATGAATGCAGTTTGGTCAGGCTTGGCGTTCGAGAAAGCCTGCTGGGTATAAGTTTTCCGCTGCTTGGTGAAATGAGTTTGTGAGGGGGAGAGTGAGCTGCTTTTGGATCTGTTTGGAGAGGTTTCAACCTTTTTGTACATCCATTTGCGTAAAACTTCAGGGTCGTTTACGAACGGAGAAAGTTCACTTTTACTAGCTGTTCTTTTGAGATTTGCTGGCGTTTCAGGTCGTTCTTCGAATGGACTCCAGTTATCCATATAATCGTTAATAGCAGGTACTTGAACCAAATTCAACGTTCGGGCACTTCTGGTGAGTCCTGGCATAGGAGGTTTGATGGGCCGATCTTCGTTAGTGTTGTCGCTGTCGTTCATGTCGTTGTTGTTATTGTTGTTGTCATGGTCATGGTCATCGTTGGTAGAATCTTCGAAAAACTGTAGGTTGTTGCGGTGTTCAGAGCTGTCCAGCAGTTCTGATACCTCGTCAACTTGCTCCAAACGTGTTCTGTGGGACTCTGGAGATGAAAATGCCAGTTTGCGACGGCTATTTTGGTCGTTTGGACTGAGCAGCGTTAGCGGGTCTCTTTGCTGAGCGATTCCTGGAGATCCATCGTCACTGGCTTCTGGAAGCTTGTAAGACCGGCTTCGATGGTCTCGATACATGATGTATTTCGAGAAGCAGGTCTCACTTTGAGGCCAAAAGGCTTTTGGGGTGGTCTAAAACTGGAAATGACAAATGGGGCGTTTGAGGCCGCAATGAGCTATGGCCGCTGCAATCGAGGTTGAACTTGTAAGTTTTATTTCCTCCAGTTGTGGGTACGCCCTCTACAATTACAATCACGATGGACACCTGTTGAAATTATCGTGTTCGCGTTTTCTGCATGCAGATGAGAAGAGCCCAGGAGGGGTTGAATTTTCGCGTCGTCGTCGTAGTAAAAAGGTCAAAAACGCGAAATCGCAGCAAACCGTGACTGATGAAGAGGGCTGGATAGAGGGTGGAGCCAGCGGAGTCTTTGAGGATGTTAAGCTTTGAATCAAGCGGCCGATGATGTGTTTTTTGACCCTAAAAACGGGATCTGACAATGACTTTTGAAAAACCTCAGCTAAAAAGCAAATTTCACCTTTTCTAGAAAGTCTATCGAACTGGAATAGACGGAATAACCTGTTGCCATTGTGAGTTGAAGCTTTTGCAGCTTTACTGCTGCAACAGATTGTAACGTTTTCGCCTTTAAATGTCAGTTAGTATATACACATATTTGTATTAATCTCTGCCAAAAAAAACGCCCAGAACGGTGCGTAAAATGGCAGAAATCCGTATCTTGCGGTGCTTTGAGTAGATACACATTACTGGATGGATCTTATGGGATTGTGAAGCTTCTTCAGCGCTGTCTTTTTGTCTTGCATTTGGGTATGAAAGAAAGTATTGAGTTTAAGGTGTAGAGAGAGCTAATACACAATTTAATGATCCGGGGCTCACTTGTAGAACCAAGGCTTTAAAGTAAGGAAAACTGACCAAAACATGAAAAGCACGAAGTAAAAGGGAAAGAAGTGGGCTTCAATTGCTTTAGTTTAGGAAGGGTGTTATTCAAAAGGATTTGCCAGTTCTCTTGACGGTTGTGCGCGTTAGAAATAAACAAATGTAAAGGGTCACGTGACCGCGATGACAGCGTTCACAACAAAGATACTCAAAGCGTACTAGACTAGGATCCTGAAGCAGAAGACAACTCACCACCTTGTTTCCTGGAGATAAAATAGTCTACAGGTTTGCAGCTGCTATAATTAATCAAGATACCGATACCAGGATACAACACCTTTACGAAGTGACCGCTGAAGCCCGTGCCCAATCGTACAAAACCCTGATCACTTCGAGCTACTGATCACTGATGTAGGGGAACCTACTCCTGAAGCTATGTGACTGATGTCTGTTTATACTCGTGTTGAGACTCTGTTTCTGGAGTGTTGCACGATAAACGTCCCTTGTCTTGGGTATTTCTATCCAACATTGAAAGATGTTAAAAATATTGTTCGATTGAGTTAGAAATGTTTCTCCGTGGTGTATTTAGTATAAATAGAATAAGCTTGCAGGGTGGAGAAAACGTCTTCGACGAATGTAAAAATGTTTAAGCATTCCGAGTGCAAATGGCGGGAACGGGCCAGTCTAGAAGCTATATGATCAATTGCAAATGGTACCACTTGGTGCAATCAATGTCGTTCGTGATAGAATAGTAGTAGTTCTAGATTCTTTAAATATCTTGTCAATTCTGTCACTGTCACAGTGTCACGTGTATGAGTTCACTTTCTCGGAGATCTGACGCTTTACAGACAGAGGTTCCGACGATATGGTCGGTGGTTATTGCGACGCATACGCGGTCTTACATAGGACTGGTGACGAATCACGAACCCGGACGCCAAGCCCGGCGCGAATCTGAAATGCTCAAGGATTTATGCCATCACGTATAAAATGATTAAACTAGAAACGAATCCCGGTGCGAATCCAGCTCTTATCGATGGCACATTCCTACGATAGGTTAGCAGTCCGACGGGTTAGCAGTCCGACGGGGCTGTTGATTTGAAATTTGATTCAGAACCAGTGTCAAGCTCAGGATGAACACAACTCGTGGAAGAAACAAGAAGCCAGCGCGTAATAAAAGCCAGTAAATGTATAACGAATACGTTAGTGAGATGCGTATATGTACAACGCAGACTCGGACTCGTACTCGTACTCGCCGGACTTGTAGTCACTAAATTCGCCCACCCTCGAATCTACTTTTTACCAGTACTACCAGAACACGGACAGCCCATACTCCCAAACTCGCTGTTGTCAAGATAGAAAGAATATAGCCTGAAGTAACGAAATTTCAACTGCAAATAATAATCTTAAAAAATCTTAATCTCAGTCAAAAAATATTATGGAAACACAGTGGTAACGACATAATTCTCGCGTTTATTCTATGAACATAAACCGTTTACGCGTTACATTGTCAACGCTCTAATCAGGTTCGTTCAGATCAAACCTCTTCACAATCGCTCTCATCATCTGACATTGTACATATCTGAGAGTAACCAACCCATCATGATGTAATACCATATGTGTCATCTGCTGTTTACTCATTACCCGTGTTACTTACCCATTGCTACCGAGTAATGGATTGTTACTTACCCATGTTTACTCATTGAGTGAGTCGGCACACGTGACTTACACGACTCACATATTATTTCCAATGAATTCTCTCAAATTTACAAGACCTCCTCATTCACATCTCTTCCTAAAGCAATCCTCCTCTCTACGCCAACAACCTCTTATCTCCTTCAATTTTATAACTTCGGTTTTTATACCCAACCGAACTTTATCACTGGCAACTTATCGTGACGCCCAACGTACTAAACGACCCTTATCTCATGTACTCATTGCAGATCCATTTTCTCGGATCATTTAACAAAGGAGCGAAAAAAGCTTCAACATACGTATCTGATAAAAGACGTAAGTAAACTACAAGTACATCAGCAAAAAGTTCCAAAAGTCTTTGAACACACATTAAGAAGTCCAGCACACATTGAAAAGAAGCCAATCGGTGCGGAATTAAATGCGTGTGGTGAAGAAAAAGCTCCTGGTGAGCTGTTTCGTGGTTCTTCTGGCTTTTTCGGCCCTTTTCTCGGTGCATAGACACATCAATTCAAGAAGATCTATTAGGGAGCAGTTTTACGCAGATGTGTTCCACAATATCAAGAAATTCAGCCCGATCCATCCACCTAAGCAGCGGGAGTCTGTGAAGCTCAACGGGTGCGATATGGGAAATGCAGGCATAAACAAGGGTGATTCCATAAAACGCACAACATTCGAAAACTTGGACCGGTGCTACAAATTGTCGAAATTGCAGTTCCAGGGGCTCCAGACCCCGCACATGGGGTTTCTGGAAACGATTCGGAAATCGTTCGACTACCAGCCCGAAGCGTCAATCCACGGGGACCTGTTCCCACAGGAAGAAGGATTTGTCACCGTGGGTGGGGGCAGGTTTTCGCTGCTGTCATACACAATGATCAAAACCATGCGGGAACGTGGCTCCACGCTGCCTGTGGAAGTCGTGATCCCCCCGCAGGACGAATTGGGCGAAGATCACTACTGCAACGAGATTTTGCCGCAGCTCAACGCCCGTTGCGTTTTCTTCAGTGACGTTTTGCCCAAAAAACTTGTCAAAAACTGGGAATTCAAACGGTACCAGATCAAATCCGTAGCGTTGCTCATTTCCAGCTTCAAAAAAATCGTTTTCATCGACGCAGACGATTTCCCTTTGAAAAATTTGGACGATATTTTCCAAAGCCAAGTGGTCAAACAAAACGGGCTGGTACTGTGGCCAGATCTGTGGAGACGCGTTACAGCTCCCGTTTTTTACCGCATCGCCAACGTGGAGGTCGATTTGACGCGTCGGGTTCGCAACTTGGGCGACGACGTATCGCCTCCTTCGCGTTACGTAGAGCCCAAGAAAAATTTGAACCTTGCAGAAATTCCCTTCCACGATTTTGAAGGTGCTATCCCAGATCCCACTTCAGAATCGGGTCAAATGGTCATTGATAAAGTCCGACACTTGAAAACCTTGCTATTGGCCCTGTACTACAACGTCTATGGACCCGAATGGTACTATTCTTTGATGTCGCAGGGAACCGCTGGAGAAGGCGACAAAGAAACGTTTGCGTCCGCGGCGCATGTGCTGGGCCTACCGTACTATCAAGTCAAAACTAAATTGAGCTTTGATGGCTATTTCAAAGATGGCTTTCATGGGGTAGCTTTATTGCAGCACGATTGCGTGCAAGATTTCGAATTACACGAAAAAGCTGTTGACCGGGTTAAGGCCGATCTCGCCAACTACAAAAAATACGATGCTGATTACGACCCTGAGACTGAATTTTATGGCAAGTTGATAAAGCGCGACGACAAAACTGACATCGATGTGATGTTTGCGCATGCCAGCTTCCACAAGTTCGACCCATGGCAACTCTACCACGAGAAAATCTACCTCAACTCCGATGGGTCTCAATTCCGCTCCTTCACCAATCTTGGTAAGATCGGCAATTTCGATTTGGAGCTCTTCAATTTCAGGGTCTTGCAATCTGCACTGTGCTCTTCAAAAGTCATTCAATTTGCGTACTTGAAAGATAAGTTCAATACTCCCAAATGGACCGAGGTATGTCAATACGTGAAAGACCGTGTTGATTTCCTTACCGAAACCCATAAAAAAGCCGTTGGGCTTTCATAATCGCAGTTTTTGACCTCACTGATGTTTATACTGATCTTCCGACTCACAATAATGCAAACAACAAAGATAATTGGTTTCGCATCCTATTGGTACCTCAAAAGGACACCATAGAAACTCGCAAAAGCTTTAAGTTTTCTTCCTTAAAACTAACCGCTCTTGTCAAAACTCAGCTACAGTTTGTCAAAACGTCCCAGCTCACCTACAGTTTTAACACACACTTTGGGTGGTTAACTGATCAAAGTGAGCGCTAACCATCGCTGGAGTCACATAATTATTTAATGATAAGAGTATATTAATAATTTTCTATAATCAAGTACACCAACTGACCTCCCAATTAGAGACTGACAAGAAGTTCACCATTGAAAAAGGCTACTAAAAGCCCATTGAAATTCTTTCTAAGTTTAAGGTCACTGGGAATGGACGAAGAACGCACGAAATATGCTGCCACAATTTTGGTAGGCAAAAAACCGCTCGAAGCAACCGAAATTATTCGACTACGGCTGTCGCAGGCCAAACTTATTAACAAGCAGTTCTTTTTGCTGTTCCGGGAGTTGGCCGAGCTGAAACGTTACCACGCGCAACAATTACGCAAGATAATTGCCAAGAATGAAAATTTAAATAACTTGTTGATGCGGGACATGCTTGAAAGCAGGGTATTAACGTCAGACGAGTTGCGCGACTTTCGATTTGATTCATTGGGCGAAGTGGCTGGACTTTGGGACGGAATCTTGAACGGATTGAAAGTGGACTTGCAATCCAGCACCTCTTTGTACCATTTGCTCGATAGAAACGTTTCCGCTGAGCTCAAGGAATCAACTGAAAAAGATCCCTTATGGTTGCGGAGTAGAAAGCTGCATTCCAATCTGTGCAGAATAGCAACGGAACACGATCAACTCACGAATGAGGACAACGCAGGATCGGGGTCCGTAGACACCAAAAGAATTGATGAAATCAATGGCCAATGGGACTCACAGGCCGCTACTCTATTCGAGATTTTCGAAGAAACAGACTACAGGAGACTTTTAGAGCTTCAGAACTGTATTTCTAGGTATGAAGGTGGACTGATCGACTATTCCAATTCGAACCGGGAACAGTGTGAGAAGACGATGGCGCAAGTCTTGAATTTCGATGTTGAGGGTGAAATCGATCGATTTGCACAAGCTGCTTTGAATTACGATTTCGATTTTAAAATACCAGCTATCAAAGAAAATGGAAACACTGCTACAGCAGAAACTGCTTCTGGCACTGTCAATAGACAAGGAAAGTCCACGAAAAGTGGACATGGAGCCTTCGGTGGACTCGCTAACAGGTTATCGTCTTCAGGTACTGTGGTCAAGCACGACCTTATGAAATCCGAATTTTCTGATGCGGCTAACAACACCACACTGAAGCCCAAGCAACCTGCCAATAAATTGAAATCAAAGATGGGCTCGCTTTTCGGGCGGAAAAAGCTGAAAAATAAAAAATCTGGAAAGCTCCAGGAAAATACTATTCCTGAAAGGGAGGAAGCTTCGGTAATGACGGCGGACTCAAACAGAAATCAAAGCGTAAACGTCACCTCAGACTCCGGTTCTCAAATCTACACCTCTCGTGCCACTGCTGAGACATCTGATCATGTGAATGATGTCGAGTTGCCTCCTCCCAAGCCAAGTTTCGCTGGAACAAGCTCAACGCTCTCGATAAATCAACCCTCGTTAAAACCGCAGCCCAGAGGAAGGACAAATACTGGGGACTTACGTATGGCTGATAACACACCACCTGCACGCAGCAACGATGCTCCTAGTCTGGTAAATGGCTCGCAATCTGGTGGGGCGTCCTACTCTACGGTGGGGGCGCCTGAACCCATCACAAACACCAGCCATCCTATCCATATACAGGCTCCTCAGGTTCCGGCCCCGCCTCCTGCTCGCAAAACGGGCCATCCTCCGACTGCTAATTTAGCAAGGGAGTCGCATGGTTCTGTTCCCGCCCCAGCTCCAATTGCGAGACGTGATATTCAATCGACCCTATTCACTGACTTGTCCCAAGCCGATATAGATGCTCAACAGAGCAAGCGTCAGGTGTCCCTTGCTTCTCAAATGACTGGCGAATTGAAGGCTTTGAAACCACAAGTAACAGGTTCATCGATATCAGTCCTACCGGCCTCGGGTCAATCGATCTTTCAGCACTCAGAGCTCACATCTTTTGGACTCAACGCCAGCGTGGCTGAAGTAATCAATGCCACTTTCCGCGAAGGAGGTTTGACCTCGTCACAGCTCATTGGTGAGATTGCTCTCAACTTCGTGGCCGATAGCGACACTTTGCCAATCGACATTAATCTGAGGATTAAAAATTTCGAAAGCGTGGAAAAGGTTATTGTGAACCAGGCATTTATAGAGCAAGTTGGGACCGATACCTTCAAAGTAAATCCACACTTCATTGAGTCTAAGACATTAGGCGCGTTCAAATACGCACTTTCTGAGCCTGCTGCACCTATTGTGATAAATCCAGTATGGCGGTTTGAGAACCATCAGTCTAGCGTAGCGCTTACTTTAAGTATGGCGCCCAGCGTACACGCTTCTATCCAGCACTTGGTCATTGAAGATCTTATCGTATTCGTATCGATCGAGGGTGCCAATCCCACAAGTGCACTATCCAAGCCACAAGGATCCTTTAGCAGGGAAAAGAAGAGAATAACTTGGAGATTCAAGGAACCCATTACCATCAATAGGAACGGCGAAGAACGTTTGATCGCGAGATTTTTGACGGATGGAAAGGCATCTGAGTCGTCGAAAGGTGTCGAAGCTAAGTTCACAATAAGAAACTTCCACTCAGGAGACTCTATCGAATTGGAAAGCCAAGAAGTCGATGTTAGCGACCCCTTCGCAGCTGATGCAGCTTGGAGCCCTGTGACTTCCAAACGTACTTTGGTAGCAGGTAACTATTCAGGATTGTCCTAGATTGTTGCCAATGCGTGAAAGCTGGGATTGTAAAAAAAATAAAACAAAAATGAATCGACATTGTTATGAAGCTTGTGTGCAGCGTTGTATGAATATGTAATTTAGTAACTTGGGATATGGTCAGGACTGAATCGAGTCACAATATTCCAACCATGCCAGGACTGGAAGCCGGCGGAAGACAGCGGGATGGAATAAGAGCTGCTTTCACTTTGCGACCTGGAAGTTGTGATTTCGAGTTCCGCTAGGGACGACGAAATCGGCGCCATATCGTTGCCCTGTCGCAGCGCACGTTGGAATTTCAAATCACGGTTTGCGAAGACAGAAGGCACATTTTTGTACCGCGGGTTCGAAAAAGTTGGTGCCACTGTCCGTTCCAGCAGAAGTGGTCTCATTGATTCTGCGAAATTCTTAAGTCGCAGACGTTGCAGCGGACTCATGAAATCCAAAATATGTGCGGTGTAATTATCGCTGTGACGAGTAGCTGCGACCCGCACCGCAGTGAGTGCCCTCACCATCCGAACCGCTGGGGTGCCATTTTCAACCCCCCAGGCTTCCACGATTTCCTGCACACGTTTGTTTGCTGGTGCGCGCAGACTGGATAGCGCACGTCTGTCGTTTTGGACGCACCAGTCGTCTATCCTTTGCGAATTCGACACTTCAGTAGCTTGTTCTTGCCGTTCAAGCTCATTCTCGCCATTTTTCACCGTAACACCCGTTGCCAATGCGGTCTCCGGCATGAACTCGTCCCGTTCGCTGGAAGTGGACAGAATCGCGAATTCCTCCGATCGCACCTCGTTGGTGTACAGGTGCGAATCTTCGCTCACCTCTTCTTCAGCAGCCGCAAAGGGCTCCACGGGTCTATTCAATACTTGGATGTCCCGGGCACTAACATTTCGATAAATCGTCTCTTCCCACTCGTTGAAATTCTGCTGTGTTAAAGTCGCCTGCACCGCAGATCGCGAGCCCCTTCTATGGTAGCTATTGAAAGCCATTTTTACACACAAAACTATACAAAACCTAGAAGAATTTGTAAGTTTATCTATAGATGGATTTTACTGGTTAGTCCTCTGTACATCTGCTCCTGGATATGTATGTGTGTGTGTGTGTGTGTGATGGAAAGGCATCTTGTAGGTTAAGGTATGGGAGCCATAATTTAGTGAGAAGGGAGAGTCATGTGACGTTGGGAAGGAAGTAAGGTTTTTGAAGAAAAACAAGGTGAACGAAATCAGCCGTTAATGATGTAGGCTCGCACATTCGAATGAAAGATTTAAAGAGACAGTTGCGCGCTTTTTTTTTGAAACATTTAGGGCTCAAAGGGTTCGATTTATCAGGTAAACAATTCGTAAAACCATCATCTGTCACTTTTATTAAGTCTGACAATGCTCACGTGATCAACGACAGCGATACTTTACCGTCAAAAGAACTGGTTATCATTTTGGTAGCATTCATGTACATCTTGAAACGTACTCCCAACGTCTGTGCTGTTAAAAGTCTCTACTTGCAATGAAAGATAAACAAGCACTGGTGACAGGTTAGGATATAGTGATATGTGTTTTCGAACTTGACCTACTTTTGCTGAAAAAAAAAACATCTTGGGGCAAACTAAACTAAGCGACAAACTAGAGTCCACGATTCTTGTCTGAAACCCTCATTCCCTTGCTCTTCAGGACAGCTTAATGTCATACCACCATTGTTTAATCACCATGTCACTCTGAACGGACGCCTAGAGGTTTCATCAAGGAATATTAAATCTGGGCCCATTATATATATATATTATGCTGTAATGTAAATTCCTAAACGTTTCGCGCTCTCATTGACACTTTTCAGCGACCCAAATCAACAATCAACGTCGTACCACTGTTCAAAATGCTCCGTCAACAAGTTCGCGCACTTCACGCCACCGCTAGAAGGTCTGATTTCTCGAAAATGACCATTGTCGGTCGCATTGGCTCGGACTTCACCGAATACACGTCTGCCAACAACAACAAATATCTCAAGTACAGTATCGCGTCACAGCCCAGAAGAGATGGTACAACAAACTGGTACAATGTCACGGTGTTCAACGAACCTCAAATCAACTTTCTGACGCAATACGTGAGAAAAGGGTATGTGGGATTAACCTAGGGTTCGAATTCCTCGAGAGAAATACCATAATTTCATTTTTACTAACTTTGATCCAATTCTAGCGCCCTTGTGTACGTCGAGGCAGATGCCGCCAACTATTCGTTTGAAAGAGAAGATGGCTCCAAAGGCACCACGTTGAGTCTTGTCCAAAGTATGTTTACAGCACAACAAATCCAATAGTGAACTCGCCAATTTTTTGTGTGGAAATCAGGACACTTACTAACTACACATCACCAGAGGAGATTAACATGCTCAGAAACGGCAAATCTGAAGAAACTGCCACCGAAAGCTCATCCTAGAGATGACACCCCAGTTGTCAACCATATCGATTCAACGTTGTTTTTTTTGTTTTGAACAGAAAGGGCTAACCAGACCCGCTTTGTAAGATTACTCACCTTGTAATAAACTGTGCCGAGGGCTCTTAGTTATGCCGTTTCCAGACCTGAAGGTGCTATTTTGAACCCTATCATCCACCCAGGCTACGTATCTGATGATACTACGTATAATTCGATAATATCTTGAATCCTACTGGGATCAGCTCTTCCAAGGCGATACACTCATAGACGTACCTCCTCTCAACCAGATCCCAGTCCAGCCGTCTCTTCTAGTCATTGGTTTAAGTCTCATCGACATGTCCGAAGTCTCAGCAACCTACAGTTCTCCAGAAGTCGAGAAACAGCTTTTTACGGTGGACTCTTCGCTAAACCGCTATAACACTACCAATGGCAGCACTACAGGCCCCAGCGCCTATGTCTTACAGGCTGGACAAATCGACAAAGACAAACCAGCAGAAGCAAAGCTTAATAACGACGGTGAGCCCACATTTCTGAGCAAAGTAAGAATGCAATTGACAGGTTTGCAGGACGATATCAACGAATATTTAACACACCGAATGGAGACCGCCAAAAACAAGAAATTGAAACAAGACGATGAACTACGTATCAAAACCGAAATCGACAAGCTTCTAGATGGCGGAGAAGAAGATGATAGCGATGAAGATAATACGAAATAGGTGTCCCACATTGTTTTCAATAATAGTTACGAAAAAGAGCCGAATCAAGACGAGAAACTAGCCAAACCAAATTCCATTGACTCCCATCGTTTAGCTGGCGCATTGATCCTGGCTAGAGATGGTAAACCTCGAAGCTTACGACTGGGCACGTCGCAAGTGACTTCAACGTCCAACACATGTTATTGATGCGCTGAGCATCTCATCTCATCGCAGCTCGTACCCAACCAAGGAAACCGACTAAGATTCGCAATCGGTCAAATCAAGAGATGGATAAGGCGCTGGACAAAGACTCGAAAGAGGAACCTGGCTTACAGGAAGAAGAACAGCTTTCTGACCCCTCTTGTCCCGCGCCGGTGAACGAAAGACGGCTGTTGTGGAAAATAGATGTGTTTGTCTTGTCATTCGTTTGTCTGCAGTACTGGATCAATTACGTCGACAGAGTTGGTTTCGCCAACGCATATGTTTCTGGGTTGAAAGAGGATTTGGGGCTGCGAGGCGACCAGTTTAACTTGATCAACACCTGCTTCACAGTAGGATACGTATTGGGCATGATCCCCAATAATTTGATGCTTTTGGTAGTTCAGCCACGGATCTGGTTGAGTTTCTGCACTCTTGCGTGGGGTATATTAACGCTCTCTATGTACAAAGTCACCAATTTCCGGCAATGCTGCGCAATCCGATTTTTCCAAGCCATTTTTGAAAGCTGCACATTTTCCGGAACTCACCTTATCCTGGGGTCATGGTACCGCGAAAACGAGCTGAGTATCCGTTCGGCCATTTTCACAAGTAGTGGACTAGTCGGATCGATCTTTAGTGGGTTTATGCAAGTGGGAATCCACGATTCCCTAAATGGACGCAGAGGATTGGCGGGCTGGAGATGGCTGTTTATTGTCGATTTTTTGATCACCATACCAATTGCCATTTACGGCTTCATTTTCTTTCCTACAACCCCAGACCACATGAATCGTAGGTCGGAAGTTCCAAGATGGCTCTTTTCGAGTCAAGAGCTTGAGTTTGCCAAGCGTAGACTGCCACAACGCGATGAGCGCGCGAAACTGGACTGGTCCGTGTTTCTCCGTGTTGTTGGAAGATGGCATTGGTGGCTGCTCTCATTGCTGTGGATTCTGGGTGGTGAAAATATCTCTTTGGCGTCAAATTCGACTCTTGCCTTATGGTTACAGTCCCAAGGCTATTCCTTGGCAAACAAAAACCAATATCCAATGGGAATCTATGCTGTAGGTATCGTTGCTACATGTGGTGCTGCCGTTTACATGGACAAATATCGCCATTCTCAGCATTGGCATGTTGCACTTTTCATTGGCGTTGTGATGTGCGTTGTAGCAATCATGATGCGGGTGGCACCCATCAATCCTGCAGTACTGTTCACGGCTCAATACTTGGGCGGAGTTTCGTATGCTGCACAGGCCATTTTTTTCAGCTGGGCCAACGTCGTGTGCCAAAATGATCTACAAGAGCGGGCCATTGTCTTGGCTTCCATGAACATGTTTTCCGGAGCTGTGAATGCATGGTGGTCACTAATTTTTTACTCTGCGGCAATGGCACCTCGGTATGAGCGTGGATGTTATGCATTGATTGGCACTGCCATCGGGAGTTGTGTGGTGGCCGTGTTGATCCGCTGGCTTCAGCGCCGGGATCAGAATCGAAGCTCAGACAAGCGCTTGAATTACGCCTCAGCAGACTCCTGGCAATGAATGTTGTCTGAAGCTAGGATTCCAGGCATTTGATAAGACGACTTGTCATCGCTTCGCATCTGGGAACAGATTTTTGTAAGTTATTGTTGTTACACATGATGATGATTATGAGCTTGATGGCAAACTTTATCAGTGGTTATACGATGTACAGCAATGAGAAATTTCATTCCTCTGATATTACTGTCGCCCTGGTGCATATGAACGGCTTTGATTTGATGTAGTTGTAAATACTACTTCGACTCTTTTCAGATAAGTTCGTATATTGTCAAATGTTGACAACTTCATAAGGCGTAAACTGGCAACGTTCATGGAACAATGCCTCTTGTCGAAACCACCGGCACATACGTCTCATGAGAATCGGCGACATACGCACAGTAACTTGGTTTTTCAGTCATCATCTTTCCTGTCACCGATTTTTCCTCGCGTAGGACTCCAACTCCATTAATAAGTTACTCGTCATCTCTCTCTCGCCTCCACAAACATCAAACAATACTACACATGGTCCAAAGAGGGTTGTCCACTTGGTGAAGTTCCAAACCCATGTTTAAATCCATTTTTAACCTTTTTTCTTATCTTGGAAAGCTCCAAAAATTGATCCGAAAAAAGCGAGTAGAAGCCCATTCAATGCTCTATTACCGTAAATTCATTACCATGTCCAGTGGCATCAAACAAAGCGGTCAAACGGCTCTGTCGTTACCATTTGTTAGGTCTATCTCTTTTCTCAAATAGCGTATTGCGTACGTAGTGATTGTGAAAACAAGAAATTACAGGTTAACGCATTTGACGAACTTTATACACGGATCTTCACGATTCTGCATCTCTAAAAAACGTCAAGAATCTGGTCTTTATCAGCTCAGAGCGCCCACTGTTCTGATTGTGACGGTCAAGAGTACCACAGGGGATTTGAAGCAAGCAAAACGGTAATTTGTTGCTGCTAGCGCTTTGTATCGGGCTGTTGAGAATGGCGTTCAAACCCAAGAAGAAAGGAGGGACTGAGTCTTCGAGCTTTATGGAGCGTATTGCGAAAAGATTGAGAACGCTATTGGTGGACTCGCGTCGCAAAAGGACTCAGGTTTTCTCGTTTGGTTGTATAGTAGTGGGATTATTGGTGATATATTTGATGCAGGGTCTTGTTTTGCATAAGAATAAGCAAGATTCGCATTATCCACAGATACATGGCCATTACACAGAAGAGATCAGTTCAACACAACCTTTGATTTTCCCTCCAATTGAACACGCAGATCGTCTTAAACAATTGAACCTTAGAAATCTTCATATGCTGCGGATCGACTTGGATGGAAACAAAAAATACGTGCTGAAAGAAGATGATAAGCCTACAACCGATAAAGAACGTAAAGAAATTACAGATGACTTTGAGCTTGTGAAACGAGAGTATCTAGACCATGGTAAGAGGGTATTTAGCAAAGGTTCAGACTCACCTGAAGTTGTAGTCGTCACGCTGGTGGACTTTGACCAACATGACGCCGATACACTTATTCCAGTGGTTCAAAACAGAGTTGACTACGCACAGAGACATCGGTACGGTGTATACGTGCGGTGGGCCCAGGAGTTTATCCCCACGATCGATGATCAGGATTTGACGAAATCGTATGAGTTTCTCAAGCCTTTGATGATGCGTGCCGCAATGCATGCGTTTCCTAAGGCCAAATACTTTTGGTTTTTGGATCAGCACGCGCTGATCATGCGTATGGATCTGTCACTGCAGGCCCAGTTGTTGGATCGGAAAATCTTGGAACTTGCCGTGCTGAAAAACGTTCCTGTCGTGAAGGGCTCTAACATCAAAAGTTACAACCATTTTGTCCCAGATCAGGCCGAGGTCATCATCCCACTGACAAACGACGGCCAATTGGACTCGAATTCTTTCATCGTCAAAGCCGGCCTCTACGGTAAAGCATTCATGGACTATCTGGGCGATCCGCTGGTGCGCGACTATTCCTGGCCGTCTTTCTCTGCGAGCATTGGGCACGCTTTGCAATGGCACCCGAGCTTTCTAGCTAAAGCCGCTTTGGTGGTTCCCAGGACCATTGCCAGCGTATACGATCCTACCAAGTCCATCACGGAAAAGGCAAATATCGATGACTTTCACTACACCCAAGGCGATTTTGTCGCCTTGTTCAACGGTTGTCAAGAAAGAGATTCGTGCGCTAGCAATTTGGGTCTGCTCTACCCACAAATTCAGAAATAAAAAGCTACATTCTGGCATGAACCTCTAAAACCATGCATCCTTTTTCGATCAACGAAGTGAAAGATAGAGTTATTACGCATCTACCCACCAGAGAGTCACCATGTACAGAATGCTCGATGGCGAGAACAAGGCTAAGGGCGCGCGTACCGAGCTGACCGAACTACTTGTAACTCTAAAGAAGCGCGTTAGGTAGTATATATATTTTACTTCACTAAATCAGATTCTCCACGTGCTAAATCCATAGTGAATAGTCTCAAGGGCGACCACTGACAACACATTGAAAGTTTTCGTCCCATCGACGATCAAATTGTAGTCTATTTCGCTTGACGACGCGAAACTTGGTTTTTACCTGTCCTCTTTACGCGTTTATTCATTATTCTATACCAGTACGCGTAAATTGAAGCTAAATTCAGAAAAACTACACGAAAAGTTCACCGCTACAGATGCGAAAAAAGTACCAACCAGACGGAAGGGAAACAAGGTTGGTGAGAGCAGTTCTAGCCGAAGATGCCTGCAGTAAAAATATTCAGTATCGAGCGAAGCTTAGCGCTGCGCATAGCTTTTGTTGTAGTTGGTACTAGCACAGTTTTCACTATCTAGTTGTACTTTATAGTTCACTTCGAAATAGCGAAGTGAAGAGAACAGAAGCGATTGAGGAGGGCCTATGATGGATTCGAGAATGGGATTGTTGGTGAACTCCGAAGACGAACATGTGTCTCTCTTAACGCAGCTGCAGCGTTTGCTGGAGCCTCGTCAGATGGATGCCACCACATCAAATACATCCAGTTGTGACCCGTTGAGCAAACTTCTGCAACAATCCGCTGCGTTGAGTGCTACGTGCAGAAAAGTGCTGCAAAAACATACGGGTGTAGCTCAGCAGCAGCAGCTGCTTCGCTCAGTATCGGATTATAGCAGCGTGTTTACCAGCTGGCTGGAAGACCACGAAGTGCAACACTCTTATTCCACGCTTCTCGAGCAATCAGTGACGCTCATCTTCGAAACCAATGAAGCCGTCCTTCTGCGGCGCTTTTCACCAATATCGGAGTTCACCAGGCTCTTGTTGGCCTTGGTTCGTCGATTGCAAGAGATGGCCTCAATGTGCATGCCACCAAATAAAAAAGTCCTGTCCATCACCAGATCGTTTGAGGAACGATTTTTGTTGCAATGGAACCGTGTGGACTCCAACTCTTTCCGATATGACGACGTGAAACCTCTGACAAGTCTCATTCATGGTCATATTGGTGCACCATTGGTGGATGCTGCCAAATCTACTGAAAGAGGCTACTTCAAACTTTCAGCACCCGTATTGGAACACCACAACCGTCTAGTGGAGCTTTTCCAATTGAGCACTGGAGAACTAGGCATATTTATAGTGAGTTCAGGACAACTTTCACCGATGTCTGTGGATCAGGTTTCGCAGCTTGTTCTCGTTAGCCGGAATTTGAAGTCCGTGCAGCTGGGCAGAACTCTACTTTTCCCACCTCTCAGACAGAATGATCTCCAAATTGTTTCTACAAGTTCTAACGGTATCGAGCTGAAGGCCAACACAGAAAATGGTGTCAAGCTCACACTAGTTGCCCTAAGTCCTGCGCAATGGAATAACAATTGGAGGTCGTATTTTGAAATGATGTTCCGTGAGATCACTTCGGAAGTGTTCATGCCGTCAGAGCCACAAGTCTCCAGTCTATCACCGTCGACCGAGTCAAGGCATTCGCTACAAAACTTCAGGCTCAAGCACAAAAAGCTGTCGTCCCTTCGTCCGAACGATAACGCTGGTCTCGGGTTCAATCCAATGGATACCTCTCCACAGCCGAGCAAAGTTGTCGATGGACGCAATGTTTCCCAGTTGCATAAGTCTAAACCTTTAGATGGTTCTCTGGTATCTCTGGTCTCCTCCCTCCATCCACTAGAGGATTTGGACGACTTTGGGTGCGAGTCGTTACTTAGACTGGATCAGGACATCAACATGCAGGGATCTCCAATATCACACTGTGAACCGCGCGTCAGCGTGGAAAATTTCAAAAGGATAAATTCTGAGTCGTCAGTGTCAAAAGAGGAAGTTTCCTCTGGCGAATACGCGGAAGACGGTGAAAGCATTGTATCGTCTGTGGATGACCAGAAAAGCGAGGGACCTTTTGATTTGAGTTCCGAATTTCATCGGCCACAGTTGATTAAAAGGAAATCATCATCACTATTGAGCATCTTCAGCTCTAATAAAGCTAAGTCCTCATCCAAATTGTCAAAGGGTACGCCGCTAGACTTCCCATCCGGTAACTCGACTGCAAGTCTATTGAAACTGCCCAGACCGCAATCACCCGCAGATGAAACCCCAATAACATTTCGCCAGGACGAGTTTTGCTCGTTACCGGCCGAAATTGATGTTAATGAAGGCTTCCAAATCTGCAACCACAGCGTCAAGGTCTCATATTGGTCTTCCAACAGGTGGGAGTCGATATCCTCAAAGTCTTTGTCTTTCAAGCTTCACGAAACTACCGACGGTAGGGTCGTGAGCATACTGTGCAGCGCAACAGATAACGGACTAATAAAATTGTGCGCCCTTGTGACACCGGACTGGAAGGTCACTAGACCTGCCGCTCAGGATGTTCAACTTAGAATCCCTAGCTCCAGCTCTCTTGTCTCAATTCTACCCAGCGGTTCTACTGTCATCAGCCTGAGATGTCAACAGATCGACAAACTGATGAACACATTGCATCACTGCATCAGACAGAATCTTCCTTCGCGAATTCGAGCCTCAAACACTTCAGGCACACTGTCCACCACCTCATCTACATTCAGTGGACTTGATAAATCTGTGACACGCTCGGATACAAACTCTACCGGGTTATCATCGATTGCACAGGACATCTTCAGTCGCTACAAGGACCAAACCGTATCCCTTTTACTGTTGTCCAACGTTAAAGTCCGACTTCATTACAGAAATGGCAAGGCAGGGTGGGAAATCAAGGATAAAGGTTTACTGGGGTTGTATTCTCAGGAACTGCGAGGCCATGTTATAGGCATGAAATTCGATGTCATAATGGGCAACGCTAAGAAGCAAGAGTTCGTTAGTAAGATCAATGACATTAAAAGTATTGGGCGTACTGGAATCGCATTGGTTCACGAGGAGAGTGATTACCTGGTAGAGTTCAGGAACCAGATTGTCGCGAACGAAGTCTTCAGACTAATTTCGTGCCTGATATAATGTGTCATTGACTATAAACTATGTACAAAGAGCCTTTTTAATGCACAGCAGATTTCAATCGCGGTAGGCCACCAAAGCCGCGGCATTGATGTTCCTTCTTATGTCCCGATAATCCACGTCGTGAGTGTCCTCGACCTCTCCCCACCTTTCGATCTGATAGACGGTCTCTAAAGTTGCACAATGGGCAAGTTCTTCCATCGTAAAGAAAAGTTCCGGACTTGGAGAGTGGGCTTTGTTTCGGAGCAGCAGAAGTCCACATATGAATGACTTGGCGGTAAGGACGGTTTTCTCAAAAACCGCCAAATCCCACATCGACAAAGATCTCAAGTATTTGAGCGCCGCTTCTCTTGTCTTTTCGGATTGTGCGTTGCCTCTAAGCCCGTGCATGTCGGCGTCTAAGATTTGAATAGCGATAGGCTCATTTGCAACGCTAGACAGGAAAGTCTCCGCGGCTTTGATCAACGGAAGATACAGTTTGTCCTGAGCCGTTCTAAGAGCGCCTTCAAACTCAGACTTTGGTGAAAAACACAGTAATGTGTCTGTGTCAAGATACCGAAGTAGAGTACGGGATATTTCTTCTCTATCTGCGCCGATTTTGGCCACGAGTTCTGCGTCGGCATCCGGTTTGGAGGCGTATTCCAAATCAATGCACCGGGAGACCAAAGACGTTACGGGTAAAGAATGAGGTTTGATCGATAAAGATGCTAAATTTGACCATTCATGCTGTAAAGCTAGGCCTAGAAGTCTGCGATCGCGTGGGATCGTCATATTGTTGCCCAAAGGCGTTCTGACAGGTTTATTGTCGAGTTTGAGTGTGACGTCGTTACCATTTTCCTCGATAGAAACCACATTCCAGAACTTCTGCATAGTCTTCGACACTCTATTCGTTTCTGTTTGCAAGTTATTTTCGACGCTCGAGTCAATCCCAAGAGCGGTGCTTTGAGCGTAAAACCTCCTAGTCTTGAATCCACCGCATAGATTGCCAGATTTGTATAAAAGTCTTCTAGTTCCTATTCTCAACATCTTTTAAAAACTGACTACCTACTCACACAATAGTCTAAGAGCGATACAGACCAACCGAAACTTGAGCTGAAGAATACAAAGTATAGGGCCGATTTTCCGGACCAGTTAAAGCTGATTTCTTCACTTGTTATCAAAGATCGATGAGTTAGGTGACGATTGTCAGAATTCGATGTCAATATATTAATGTTCTGCATGCATGTCAAATATCAACTCAATATTCAAGATTTGATCAAGCCTGGCGAAAGTTGACAGACGTTGACCATTTTAACAGCTTGTTGGGCCAATCTTGATCTTATCAGAATTAAGAGCATGTCACAAAATATTGTACAAGAAATGGCCGCTTCTCTGCGGTCAAATAAAGCCCAATTGGAGGTAGTAAATGTTCAGTTGTCACAGCTCGACAGACAAAAAAAACTGGCAAAGCTGACGGCGCAAGAGCTTGAATCGTATCCCGTTGGGAAAGTCTGGAGGTCGTGTGGGAAAGCGTTTGTGCTGCAAGATAGGTCTACATATACTGGAGATCTGGCGAGCGACGAAAAAGTGGTAGAAGATCAATTGAAGGCATTGAAGATCAAGCAGAATTACTTGCAGACTACCGTGGATAACACGTTAGACAATCTCAAACGTGTTATGGAACAGAAATGAATAGGTCTAGGGGGTTCGAAGGTGGAGTGTGGACGGATGGGGATATTGATAATTTATACATATACACAACGTATTCGAATGTGTCTGGGTGTGTAAGGCTGCTCTTTCAGACCGCACTATAGCCACCTCTTTGCGCAGAAGACGAAGAGGACCGTCCAAGAACTTTCGATACCACTTCTTTGGTGAATTGCGGCAAAGAAGACGCAAGGCTTGATGACCGCTCCAAAAACTCCTCGCGGAATTCACGCAAGTTGCCACCCCGGGTGCTCATGTACGATGTAGCAAGCAGATATATAAGCGCGAACAACAAAGCATAGGCTATGAGCCATAGAAACCAGGATCCAATGCTGGTGCCCTTTTTATCGTGGTCCGGCTTTGGATCTTTTCTGTCATCATCTTTGTTATCCCCGTCTTTCTTGCCATCGTCCTTTTTCTTGAGACATCCAGCGTCTCCCTCCACCACTAGCTGCACTTTCTTTTCCTGCCACGTCACAGACGTCACGGTGTTGGAACCTTTATCGGACGCACATACAAACGTTATTTCTGCATCGATTGAGTTGCTCCCCCATTTAGCGTCTTTGAGTTCCACCACAAGATCCCCGTTGTAGTTTTCACTTACCCCACTGGATACAGACTCTGGGAAATCAATCAATTGCGTAAGAATGGGCTTATCGGGATCATCATTTAAAGTGACTTTGGTTGTCCCGCATAAAACGTCATTGTCCTTACAGCCTTCAGGAGGCGTTTCAGAGCTTTCCTGGCATATATTGATCCACCAATCTTCAATTGTGCTGCTCGGAGGCGTATCTCTGGTGGTTTGATGTGAAATACTGTACTTGTCAACGTTGTATTTCTCAAGGAGTTTGTTGTGAGAGCATTGGAAACCGAAAACTGCCCGAGCCAGGACTGAGGCTGCTGCGAGTTGAACAGCTAATTTCATCTCGAAAAAAAAGACGAGAATATGCGAACGATGAAATTACAAAGAAGCTTCGCCAGATGTGATGGGGAAAGCCGTCGATTGGTGTTCTGGATAACACATTTAGGTTTGACATTTACATATAACGAACGTCTTGGATATCTTTAATTTAGGAATACTTCATTCGTATCTAGTGATATATCTATAGACTTGAATATCGCGGTGGGAGTTTATTCGATAGAGAGGGCTTCAATGGCCAAGAGTTGGACTTTGATTGTTCACATCTAATTCAGCTCAACAAATGGTCTTCAACCCTGTTTCCTTTATGTTCTACTACCTCGTTACACGGTAATACGAATTATAGAAAATGCGACACTGTCACTTTGAACGCTTGTGACGCACATCGATCTGACAATAAGTGTCGGGCGTGTTTTGATCATATCATCCTCCTCTTATTTTGTTACAATGACCGACAAAAGGCTACTGTATCTCTTACTTAATCGAAAACAGTTCCATGGCGCCGTTTTTTTTCGCAAACGCAGAAGTTTACTGCGAAACCGCATAGTTCGAGATCAAATGCATTTTCAAAAAAACTTTCACTATAGTTACAGTACTCTCGCTCTTGCAGGATCTTTTCCTTGTTCCCGTACAACCTCCCCATACCTTTTGTTCAAAACCCATACTCCGCTCCTTCATTCTCTACAGTAAGGGCTCATCGTCTTATACTTCATCATTAACACCGATTAAAGCCAATTTCTATCTCGTTGGACTGCTTTTCCTCCACCCATACATCTTACTTCAAAATATATAAAAATAATTTGAAAAATAAAAATATGTATTTTTGCGAATCTAATCTTGGAATTTTTGTTTGCGTCCCTTTTTGTTATGAAACTTGTTGTCCAAACCGAGCAGGAACCAAGCCCAGTGCGTAGTCAGAGCCTCCAGTACCAATGTCCAGCACGGCTGGGCAGTCCGCCAGCACCAGTCTCCCTCTAGCGGTCTCGTCAGCCAGTGCCACGCCGCGCCAGGACCTCTGCCTAGCTTCCAGCCTGGCTCCTAACCTCTAGCCAGGGGCTCTCTACTCTGTCCACAGGGCGTGTAGCAGCTAGGATCGTGAAATTTACCAAAACTTCTAAAATTTGGCAAATCATCACCAAGTAGACCCTCAGTTTACAGCTATCTCCAGAAATCAACGAAACAATGGCTAGATACGGTGCTACTTCTACCAACCCAGCCAAGTCGGCTGCTGCCCGTGGTTCTTACTTGCGTGTTTCTTTCAAGAACACCCGTGAGACTGCTCAGGCCATCAACGGATGGGGTTTGGAGAGAGCTCAAAAATACTTGGAACAAGTCTTGGACCACCAAAGAGCCATCCCATTCAGAAGATTCAACTCCTCGATCGGTAGAACCGCCCAGGGTAAGGAGTTCGGTGTCACCAAGGCCAGATGGCCAGCCAAGTCTGTCAAGTTCGTCCAGGACTTGTTGCAGAACGCTGCTGCCAACGCTGAAGTATGTTAAAGTGATACGATAACGCAAGAAAGGGAAAATGAAAGGGACAGAGAGACAGACAATAAAGTCTGGACATATACTCGGAGAAGAGCGTATTTTACCACGATTGTGGTGAAACTCATGGTTTGTTGCAAAACAATCACAGACTAAAAATCACTCTCCTTCTCCTTTCTTATATTCCACCGAATTTTGACGATTCATCTTACTAACACACTCAACAGTCTAAGGGTTTGGACTCCACCAAGCTTTTCGTTTCTCACATCCAGGTCAACAAGGCCCCAAAGCAGAGAAGAAGAACTTTCAGAGCTCACGGTAGAATCAACAAATACGAATCTTCTCCATCTCACATCGAGCTTGTCCTAACCGAAAAGGAGGAAGCCGTCGAGAAAGCTGCCGAAAAGAAGGTTGTCAGATTGTCTTCCAGACAAAGAGGTAGATTGGCCGAACAGAAGCGTATTTCCGCTTAAATTCTGAACCAACGGTTATAAACTCAAAGATAGCACCTCTACATCACCATTAACACTTCTGTATAATCTAACGCAAGAAAAAAATTGTGCCGTTACTTTCCTGATTGACTGACCAAGTGGAGTCAGTCAGTCTTATGTGTAGATTAGCTGCGGAGCGAGCTGTATTCACCGGTGTTTAAAACTCGGCCTTTCTTGTCTGTACACCCATGACTTGATTTGGCGAACGTCTTACACAGTGACTTAGATCGGACTTCTCAACTGACAGATTCAAAAATTCCGTAACTAGCAAATTCTATATTTTTACACTCTGCTCTACTAACTTTTCGCCTCCGCCAAGACTCGTTGCGTAAATGCACGTTACCAGTACCAGGCCATGTAGACCTAGACAGTACAGCATAAATACAATTCTGGTTGTCTTGTTAGCCAGCACCACCTTCGCAAAATTCAGAAATAGCTGTTCTAAAGGTGAAAGCCCCTTTTTCTTCATCCTATCCAGCTCTTTTTGTTTGAAGTCGGCTATTGGATGGAGAGATTCGTTGTAATTTTGGGAATAGTCCAGTAGATCCTCTGTAACCGCACCTTTAGACCCATAAGATGACAGAAACCTTATGCGCTCGTACATTTTGGCGTTATCGGCTTTGAGCTTGCCAAGTTCCGCGCGCAACTGTCCGTCATTAACGTTCGTTTGACGCAACTTCTTTTCCAACTCCGTGGTCTTGGCACGTAGCCTATCTCTTTGCTGTGTTAACATCCGTAAGACGGTTGAACTCCCACTCTCTATAGGTTTGATGTCTGTGTCCTCCGGAATGCCAATAATCGAGCTTGTCGGTGAAAGCTTTCCGCCATACCGCGTAGAGGTTCCAACACGGTTCATTTGTCGCGTCACACCTGACATCATACTTGCCGTGTCATTTATAGTACTGATGTTATCCATCCGCTCCAAGTCCGATTCTAACTGCACATTGACCTTCTCTAACTGTTTCAGCTGCTCTATCAGCTTCAAGTTTTCTTTTCGCACTGTAGAGGACTCTTTCTCCATCCCACCAAATTTGCCACGAAGCTCGGCCAAATTGCCTTGAAGTTTCTTATTCGCTTTCAACAATGTTGAATCCACACTGGTTCCATCCTCGTCTGACGCTCCAAATTCAATTTTCTTGAGTGCTGTCAATTCCCGTTTGATAGCTTCGTAATCTCCATAGACATTAAGTTTCCGAGCCTTTTTTGCCAATTCGTCCTGTACCAAAAGTAACTGCTGTTCTAGTGAATCCATGCGAGTTTCTTTGTCCTTGATATTTGTTTCTAGCAATTTATGTTCGTGAGCAAGGGAGGCGCTCAGTAGAGCGTTTTCCGACTCTAATTCATTAATCTTCAAATTTCGGGCGTCCTTTTCTAATGCTTGCTCTTCCTCACTAGTAGCTTTCGCCAATTGGCCACTTAAATCTTCGTTCCTTTTCTCGAGGTCCAAAATTCGGGCTTGTGAAGACTGCACCTCTTGTAGCAGTAACTGCTGTTCAGCAGATTGACGTTCTGTAGGACCTTTGTGTGAATCTCCATTTCCATCGACTGTTTGTGTTAGCTTACTTTCCAAGATTTTGTTGGTGTCTTTGCTCGTTTCTAGTTGGCGTGTTAACTCCTTCTCGCGTTCCTTCCAATTCCTTTCTTTCTCAAGAAACTGCGAGCTCAGTTCTTGCTCCTTGGCCGCAAGTCTTTTAGATAAAGTCTTTGCGGAATTTTGTTCAAGGTCCAGAAGCCTGGCACGTACTTTGTCGTAATCGGCCCTTTTCGAGATTTGGTTTTCCAAATCCTCAATTTTACCCTTTAAAGTCTTGATGTCATCTGCACTCTGGGTTTGCTGTACTGACATTTCAAGAAGAGGGTATGGATCAGGAGTTTCTGATAGTTTCGAATACAGGCTCAACACTAGCTCTTCTGCAACCTTTGATCGAGATGTCAAACTGTCCACCTCCTGCTGATAACTTTTGATTATTTTGTTCACCTGTCCTAGCTTCTCTCCTTCCTCGAGCCTCTTAAACTGCTTGGTCTCTGAAGCCAGAGCCCTTCTCGAGTTCAATGACTTAGACTCAAGCTCTTTAGCTGTTAACACACCTTCGTCCAGCAGCCGTTGTAGCTCCGTAAAGCCCGCTTTCGACCATACTTCAACAGCATGCTGGAACACCGTATCGTCCAGCATACCTCAATTCTAGTTAGGAAGCTTTAAACGAGACTGTTACTTCAAAATGTTGTTACGTTCCTTCTAAGTGATGAGGTGTTCCTCTACACAGGTGTAGTGAACAGGCTCTTATTATTATGGATCAACTTATACGTAATTAGTTTTAACAACCCATGAAAGATGAAAACCCTGGCATCAATCTTCAAACGGCTTCTGATCCCGATAAGACTTACTTCAGCATCTTTGAATTATTTTCAGCTTCATGTTGATGTAGATTTGTTGATCTCAGCGATTCTTTAGACTTGTTTTGATTGAAAGTTGTTGAAAATCTAACTATTCACGTAATTGTTGCCAACACGACGAGACACCATCGAGAACTATATTCACGTACGCTATATGCCAAATTCAGCTAATCGTATCAAGCATCTCTCGATGTCGAACAGCCCAGGGTTTAGTGTTTGGAATTAGAGGAGGCACGATTTTATGTTCTTGATTTTATGTAATTGGAAAGCATTAAAGGATGAACCAACGCGGAACACACATTACATCAAGTTTTTAGGATTGCTTTAAAGCGGTTATTTATTAGTGATACAATAAGTTATGTTCTTACACATAATGATTATCTCTCTTGATGAACCTGAAAATGTGCCGAAAGTGCGAAATCTGACATCCACGATGCAGAAGTGACGTATTATGTGCACTGAAGCTGATATTAAATGCAGATTGGCTTACCAGGTAGTGCGTAGAACTCGTTGCTCGTAATGTGCTTTCCAATCTTTGAAACGGACGCACCCCGCCTTAGAGGACTAACCGGACCAATACCGGTACGCCTGAGGGGCATCGACGGACACGGGTTTAACAAACGGGTCTTTCGTTAAGTCATCGTCAGACTTTCGCCCCTGACTGTGCGGCGTGCCATCCGAAACGGGCGTTGAAGACATGCCTTTCCCGAGGCTTGTCCTAGCGGGTTCCGTTTGTAGCTCTTTGAGGTCGTTGAAATGTGCTTGCAGCTTCATTTTGTCATCGAAATCGTCAAGGCACTGTTGCAGTTTGGCATTAATAGCGTTTGAGTGCTTTGCCAACGATAGCCTTTGTATGAAAGTGTCCTCTTGTTGCTTTTGGATAGCCTTTTTCTCCATCTCCAATGATTTTTCCATTGTTGCCAGCACTTGAAGTTTTAAACCAACCTTTTTTAATTGAAGTTGAATCATCTCGTTCGCCAGTGCGTTCATATGTCTTTCTTCGTTAGTAGCAAAAACGTGTGATCTGGCACCGAGTGTTGCTAGAGCAAGCTCACTGCCTTCTTTGATGTAGCTGCCGGCCTCGGGGCTTGTCTCTTTCTCGCTGTCTGGTTTTATCGAATCTATTGCTCGATCAGTCATCTTTTTCACCATATTTGGATCTACCAAGCCCACCAAAAATGCTATAGTGGACATGACGGGATTGTCAGCTTTTGAAAAAGGTAAATGTGGTGCATATTTCAAAGGACCCAGTTCATCGCTAATGTTGGATTGTAAAAATGGGTCTTCGATGGGTAGTTGCAGAAACCTCAGTATGCATTGTTCTGCAGTTTTATTACCAACGAAGTGGGCAACTCTTTGCCAATCACTTTTATGTTTTTGCAACCCCTGCAAAAGTTTTTCAAGATCCTCTTTCGACCAGTCTTTATCCGCGGTTTCCAAAATGTTAGGCCTTTGAAGCTTTACTTTGGGGCCCAATGGCTCAGAACTACCTTCCAGCTTCCTCTTCTTGTCATCCCCGATTTGTGAATTGGTTTCACTTGGTTTTGTTTCTTCCGAATGCATTACCCCAGGGCTTGGATCTATCTGATGCATGAGTTTCTTTAGACGTGAAAGGTCTGGAATTTGTATAGCAGGCTTATAACTTTCAAATGGGAAAAGCCCACGAGGAGCGTCATGCTTTGTCGTGAAATCTCCGGTGAAAGGTGGTTCCACTTGCTTGGGCTTGATCTTGGCATCGACTTGATAGTTGATTAAACCCCATTTAGTAAGAAATTTGTGGATTCTAAGGATGGCGCCAGCGTCACCGCATAAACTCCGCCTCGCTGCAGTCATTGTGAGAAACTCATTAGGATTCAAGCGGTAAGAATTGACCATAAAATTACGGTACTTGACGTAGACTTGAGGCGTTTTGGATGGAATCCGGTTTGTGAAAAACTCTGGTAAAGATTGCTTTTCAACGGAATGAATTTTTTGTAGATGGAACCAGCGCGCATACGACGGTATGACAATATCATGAGATTGTGGTGTGGCCAGATCTGCAGGCTTTGCGGTCGATGCTTTACCAGTTATTTCTGTTGTGATGCTATGCTGGAGCCCATGTGAACTTTCAACTTTGACGGCTGAACTTGAGAGGGGATGTTCCGTGCCGGGGTTTAAGTGATGGTCTTCTTGGCCATAGTCTGCATTTGCAGATTCCACTTTTCCTTCTTGTGCATAATCTGTACTTTCCATAGGCTTCTTTGTTGCCACTTTAACGCTGTTTTTGACACCTGGCTCGATCGAGGATTCGACATATGTCTCATCTTTCCGTTCATCATCCCTTTCGAACGGTAGCGGTTGTTCGCTTGATTGGTCGTTCTCATCTACGTCAGCACTATTCTCTTCATGTGTTTTTTTGTGATCTTCAAGGTGCCCTTCAATGTACTCTTGATTCACTTTCGGTTCTGCTTCCTGTTCTTCAACCTGTTCTTCTTGCGGTTCTTCTACATGTTCCTCTTTCGGCTCTTGTCTCTGTTCCTCTTCCGGTCCTTCGATCATTTCTTCTTCCTGCTCCTCTTTCCCTTCTTGGTCCTGCTCTACTTCTGGTTCTAGTTCTTCTCGGTTGAACGAAGTTGCACTATTCTCCATTGATTTTGAAGCACTGCTTTTAAGTTCTTGCGTAGTTATTTCGAGTTCCCGATCTTTAGTTTCTTCATTCTCAACGTCCTCGTTGCTTGTTATCGCCTGCTCATCTTCTGCGGTCCTTGAGTTTGGGTCTGGTTTGGATAAGTCTTCGGAAAGATTTGTATCGGTATGAGAGAACTCAGGACGAAGAGAATCGAGAGCCGGTCCCTCAGGGAAATGAGCGCCTTTTGGGGCCTTGACGGTAGAATCTTGTTTCTTGTCTACCACCGTTTGCGGTTCATCTTGACCGTTAGTATCGTCGACCGCGAATTCGTCGTGGTTTTCGTGGATTCCGCCAACAAGGTCGCGAGCACTTGATTCTAAACCTTCCGAATCTTGTTTGAAAGCTTCCTCCATGGTCATTGATGAACAAGTGATCTTTTCTGGCAGCCAAACGGCAAGTCTTGTGTCCGCTGTTGGCATTCGAATAGTATCGATATTTGGGTAGGTTGATATTTCGAACTTTTCACTATTTGGTATTCGTGGATGGTGATATATGTTTTCAATTGTTTACGATCAACTTTTTGACAGTGAGAGTTCAATGCCAGAAGCTGGGGAGTTGTATTCGAGTTGGCTAGCGTTTTGTTAAATTCATAATCAAATTAGAGTTTGAGATGCATTGTGTTACGTTTTTGTCGTAAAGGATTATGCTGCATTTGGGGTTTTGACGGGAGCAAAAGCCTCGCGTCATTGTGAAATTACTTAAAGTTAGATACATGGCTCACCCAAACGATATAGGTAATTGAAGTCTGGGTTATTAGATGCGAGAAACGATTTTTAAGAGTTCGTTGATCATTGTGATCACTCTGTACTAATCTGTCATTCCATAAGTTGGCAATTTGAGGTTGATTGTCCACGAGTGAGGAAAGTTTGGACCCTGGATGGCAGTTGAAAAGCTCTTCATCATGCAAGCCTTTTCATTGTCATATTTCGCATTAAAAACATCCGAATAGTGTACTTTTCGATCCTCTAGACATAGTCCTGAGAGTTTAGAGAGATTTCAGATCACTTTATCTTATTGCGTCGCTGCACGTGACACGAGCTTTTTACATTAGCTGAATTCTAAGACAATCCGTCAAGATTAGCAGGATAAGTCTTGGTATAGGTGTTTATTAATGGAAGCAGTACACACGGCTCCACAACACATGCACTTCTCTTTCCTGAATAAAAAAACAGTTTTTGCCATTACTATTGAAAATATTGTTTTCCACCCGGAAACTTCTCACCTCGTGAGAGTCGGCTACTAAAATTCAAGTTACTGACCCAAGGTATACGCAGAATTACCGAAATACTCTTGCTCATGTCGAAAGAAAAATCCCAGATCTCAGATCTGGGGTCACGTGATATACTCGTATCAAACGACCAGTGTTTCTTCTTTTCACCTTCAATCAACTGAACCACCCCCAGTCCATCAAAACTTGCTCAACCTAAGCTCCTTGCCATCAGTCTCGATACCACCAAGTACAACTTGACACATACTCTCTCTCTGTCTCTCTTTCTCTCTCACTCTAACTCCCCGTACGTGATGACTCCTCTCGAGGCTTTCCCCCAGATCAGCAATCAACTTTAACTATATGCTATATTTAATCAAGCCTCTCTAAAAAACAAGCATTCTTTCATCAACTTTGACCAACAAGAAAAATCCAAAATCATAAAAAATACAAGGACTTGTCCCATTAGAAACAATCCTCGATGCGTCTGAGTTTGTTGTTGGCTTTTTTGGTATCGTTTGCAGTCGCAGACATAGCTTTGGACAAGCCAGGATCGGGCCTAACTTTTACTGCCAGCGGTGGTACAGTTTCTATTCCAGTGGAGTTTTCCGATAATGGGAAACAACCAACTTTGGATAAGTTCAAATACTACGTTTTTTCGCTTTGTTACGGTGGTAATGGTGTTACTAGCGATGATTTCACGTGTATCAACGGAAATAAGGTTGAACCAAGTGATTTGACAAAAAACGGAGATCTGTATACTTCGACAGCTACTTTCGATAGCACAGCGGCGAAAAACGGTCAGTATTTCTTGCAAATTTACGGCTACATCAGTGGGGATGGTGCCGCCACGTTCTCAAGTACACAGTACTCGGCCCGTTTCCTTCTGAGCTCGATGCAAGGTACCGTAGGAACCACTCTTACAACAACGTCGCAGCCAGTAAATCAGGTAGCATACAATACAGGCACTCAAGGTACGGGCATTGATTCTGCATCCTTCAGCATTCCGTACACAGAACAAACCGGAAGCACGCGGTACGCTCCCATGCAAATGCAGCCCACAGGTTCCGTAACGGCCACGACGTGGACCAGAAGATTCCCCACAAGTGCAGTGACCATGTATTCTACTTTCAACCCTTCCATGCAACAGGCCAGTACCCTTACACCCGGTTGGTCTTATAAAATTACAAGTGCCGTAAATTGGGCTACTCCTCAACCATATCCAACGCAAAACAACGGCTGGTACGATCCCAAGTCTAGACAGACGTTGACCACAAGGAAAATCAACCTGAAACAGTGGAAAGGTACAGGATTCGAGACAAATTCTTGAATAGATGGGGATGGTAAGAAATCGGCGTGGAGACGCACGATATTCAATCAGAAAGAAAAATAGAACACACACGCGCAAATTGGTAAAATATATCATAGGTAAAAGAAAATGCATTTACAGATAATCGTAAAACAGGAAACGACTTTTCCATTCAAAAACAATAGAGATTAACATGCATGTTTTTGCTTGCCTCTCTGCAACATCGCACAGAGGTTTTTTAGATGAGGTCCTTGGTGGGCGACACAAGCCTAAGTCAATTCCGGGAACTTGCTTGCAAGTTGCTGGAGTGCCACCACTCCGGCTACACTTATCGTTTCGCCTGGTGGGAATACACATTTGACAGAATCCAGTACCAAGAATCCAACGTCACCGGAGTCATTACTGCGGCACACAAACTCGTACCATTCTTGCACCTCGTAATTCACACTTGTAGAGGTTCTCACGTTTGTAAGACTCACCATTTCGCCACCAGTGGTCGGGCTCGCTATGATAATCTGGTCGCGTTGAGGCTGCGCTGTGACTTGTCCTATTATGCGGAAAACGGGAGAAGAAAGCTGGCCCAGTTGCTGGGGATCGACACGGGGCGTTAGACTCGACATGTTATGACGTGTTCAAGAGGTGGAAATAGGGTGAAATAGTACAGCTCGTAAGACGTTGTGTGCTTTCTTATGAAGCTTTAAAAGTTCAGATGAATCGCGTAATCTGTTGTAATTCATTATAACTTTATATTAATATAACCTGTAACGCGTCGCTTATGTAATCATTTATTACATGTGACTTTAGTCACGTGACCTTTCTTTTCCAATCGTTAGAACTAAACTCGCATTATTTAGCGTCAATTGCTAGATGGCTCTCAAACGGATAAGGGTGTGTGCAACGGGATCGGAAACGCCATCACACTCGTGTAGAAGACCCGATAAATTGCGCTCGTTCACATGGTATGAAGCTTCTTTTTCTTTGTGGATGCGAACTTTCACCAAAACAGAAACGCTTGTACGGAGCCCACAAATAGCACGGTATTTGTGCTCCTCTGCATGTCAAGGTCTTTTCTTCATCTTCTTTGACGTTTGCAGTTGTCTTCAAAAATATTGGCACGTGACTGCTTTCTACAGAGCTTTTTTTATGTCCGTCGTTTTTTGCCGACGTCGTTTCTCGAACGGGTATGTGAATTACCTGTTTGGGATTAGGGGTCTACGAGATTACGTAGTGTTAGATTACCTTGGGAACTATATATAAATGCCAAGAGATATGGAATCCATATACGTGAAGAAAGTGCGATTGAGAACGCCAACAGCTGTTTGTTTCTAGCCTTACTTGAGAACTGCTGGTTATTTGCCATCCGTGTAAGCCTTTTTCGACAGCCGCTGCATCTACTGTCGAGAAAAAAAACCGGTGGAATTGACGCAATGGACGCTAAATACGAGCCGTTACAGGGCTCTCGGCTTCAAAATCATCGATTTAGCAACATTAAGAAATTAACGGCGTTGCTAAGCGCAGGTTTAGCCTTCTCTTCTTTAATTTGGTACGCTGGGTCCTCGAGGAACGTGACCTCGGCAGATTCCGTGAGATGTGGGAGCATCGAGCCGGTGAGCCCAGATTTCGACAAGTCGATCGAACTGATCTTCAGAGACCCAGATTTCCGCCAAAAGTCTCTCGAAAGATTCAGCGGTGCGATTAGAGTTCCTACAGAAATCCAAGACACCAACCCACAACCAGGGGATGACTTGGACTACTACAAAACGTTTTTCAAATTTCACGATTACCTAGAGGACACTTTCCCACTGGTTCACCAGCATTTGAAGCGCGAAAAGGTCAATTCAGTTGCACTGTTGTACACCTGGAACGGTTCAGACCCGTCCCTGGAACCCTTGCTGCTGACTGCTCACCAAGATGTCGTACCCGTGAACCCAACAACGGTTGATGACTGGACATATCCACCTTTTTCGGGCCATTATGACAACGAAACCGATTTTGTGTGGGGTCGTGGGTCTGTAGACTGCAAGAATCTGTTGATCGGAGAATTAGAGGCCGTTGAACAGCTTTTGAAGGATGATTTCAAGCCACAGAGAAGCGTTATTCTTGCCTTTGGGTTTGACGAAGAGTCGTCCGGATTGCTCGGTGCACACGACCTCGGTGAGTTTTTGTACGAAAGGTATGGTGACAACGGAATTTACGCTATTGTGGACGAAGGCGGTGGAATTGTTCCTATCGATAAAAACGTTTATGTCGCGGCTCCAATTACTGCTGAAAAGGGCTACGTAGACGTCGAAATTATCGTGCACGGTACTGGCGGTCACTCTTCTGTGCCACCGGATCACACTACCATTGGAGTTGCAGCAAGCTTGATTACTTTGCTGGAGTCCAATCCGTTCGATCCGACTTTTACCGCAGAAAATCCATTCTACGGTTTCTTGACGTGTGCTGCCGAACATAATTCGCAACTTCCAAAAGACTGGAAAAAGGCCATCTTGGATGCACCTTTTGACACCAAGCAAAGACACAAATTGATCAGTCTTGTCAGTGCTGAGAGGCCGCTGCGTGATTTGCTAAGAACCTCCCAGGCCGTTGACATCGTCAAAGGTGGTATCAAGGCAAACGCCTTGCCAGAAGTAACCTCCTTTCTAGTCAACCACCGTATCGATATCAACTCCTCAGTCAAGGAGACTCTAGAAAGGGACCTGGGTTTCGTTAAGAAAATAGCTGAGGAGTTTAACTATGGTGTAGTCTTCGAGGGTCAGGAAGTAATTCCTTCCACTAATCTTGGTTATATCGAGGTTCTTTCCCAAAAGACTCTAGAGCCAGCACCCCGCAGTCCGGTGTCAGGCTCAAAGGTGTGGGACCTTTTTGCTGGTACTATCCAAAATGTTTTCAAAAATGGTCATTTCAAGGACGAGCCTGACACTGAATTTTATGTTACGGAGTCCCTGATATCCGGAAACACAGACACCAGGTACTACTGGCGTTTGACTGAAAATATTTACCGATTCCAGGCTGTCATCGTTGATGAAAACTTGATGCGCACAATACACTCAGTGAACGAACACATTTCTCTGTCGTCACATTTGTCAACCGTTGCCTTCATCTATGAGTATATCATAAACGTTAATGAGAAAGCGTAATCACAATTGGACTAAGTAGACTTTAAATAGAACAACACAGTCTAGTAAACTGTTGAGATATGAACGTCTGGTGGTATTTTTATCATTGGTTTGTCTCACTGAGCCTTGTTTGAATTTTGGCGGTGATGTTGTCAAAGTTGGCATCTGTTGACATAAACATGAAATGACAAAACAAGAACGAAGGGAACCTTACCTATAATACTTAAAATAGCTGTACTTGTCCCTTACCGGTCAATTGCCTGACAGATTAGGGACTATTATTGATGTTACTTACGACTGCGATGTCGGAAACCAGCATTTTCGTCTCTGTCTGTGAACTCAGTTCGCATCACAGTCGAAGTCCCAAATGAAGAACAGGGACGACTTGGAACTTCGAAAAACTTTCTCGAGCGTCGGACTCTCCTGAAAATACAACGAACGTTAGTGTGATTGTAACTCCGAGAAGACAAGCTTTGGCAGCCCTTAGAGTATTGAGCAAGTTCTGATTTGCGTGGCTCGAATGCTCTCGGTGTGCAAATGGAAGCTTCTCTTCATTGCGACCCAGTCACTTTTCTTGAAAGTCCGAAGCTTTGTCTTCCATCACATTTCTGGCACTACCATAGTCTGACGACGAGGACGGACCTTCTGAGTGATATGAAACCCGCCCCGTTTGAACAGTTGGGTCGGATGGGTCGTTAAAATGGAGATCATCATCAAAACTGATCGGCGCCATGGGTTGTACCATGTAGGATAAACTTTCCAAATCATCTATTTTACCACCTTTCCCCCGTATTCTTTCCTTGCGAACCCTTTCATGAGGCAGCACATAATCAATAATAAAATGAGATGGCGAAGTAGGTGTGGTGGCCTCGAATTCGTAGGATTCACCATCAGAGAAACCTTTTGAGGATTTCATCACACTAGTGCCATCAGAGGAACTACCAGGACCACCATTGTTCTTGAAAGTCTCTTGATCGCTGCGGACAAAGTAGGAAAGCTTAGACCTGCGCTTCTGACTCCTCGCTTCCAAACGTTGCGAAATAACATCCATCAATGGTCCTAAACCTAAGCATCTGGCGCAATCTGCGTACATTTTGAGCGCATCTGTACCGAGTCCAAAAACAACAAAGACTAGATAAGACATCAAGATGTACAGCCAAACGCTGTAAAGTGGTTTCTTGATATCGAGGCGTACCACTGTATTCCATGACGATTTGTCGTGAATCGCTTGAAAATTGTAACCACTGCTTAGTTCTTGTAGTTCGGCCACAAATGAATAGAAAGAGAAGGGGAACATAACCAAAATGATCAAAACGCAGAACATGAGAAGTCGTGCAAATCGTGCCAAATTCAAGCCACTGTTGGTGCAGTGAAGAATGTCCCTGACATCTTTACGTTTCTGGTAGAAAACGTGAAGCAGTAATATCGCGTAAACAAATCCAACAAACGACCATGCAAACATCCACATGGTATAAACCACCACGGTTTCCCACGTTGGTACAAGCAGATTTTGGCACCCATTGTACCTAAAAATTATAAATCTGTAAACCTGGACCACGTATGATAGTCCCATAACGGCGATGGGTGTGATTAAACTGAAGCATAGATCTGTCCGTAACTTGCGCCACGACTTGGGCTCTGGAAGAACGCTGTCTGCTTTCAAAATGGTGTGTAAATTGAAGGCGATATTAGCTACAGAACAGGATAATCCCACATTGGCTCCGACTTGCAGCTTCGTCATCAGGTCACACCAGCCGTAACCTGCCCATTTTTGAGCAAAATCAGAGCCGCCCCAAATTGCAGCATCAACTATGAGCTTGATGTCCATTATTATAAGCCAGACGATCAAAATGATAGCTGGCGTATTACGAGTCTTTGAATGCCATGCTAGCGGTGGAAAAAGCAGAACAAGGGCTACGACACCCAAACCAAGAATTGTAGAGGAATAGTTCATTGATTAAAAAGCGAGTTAGCTGAAATCAATATTTTGAACCATAAGTCAAGCTGATCTACCACCAAGACTAATCAGATCGAGGCAGGGGTATTTATGTGTCTTTAGCTCCCATCGTTTTCATGGTTTGAGGTTCAACTCAATGACACTCGAGAGGCTCAAATAGACCCTTGAAACAAGTGTGTGGTAACTCTGCTTTACTTCTGGAGATCAATGAAGTCAGTTCCTTCCTGTTTAGTTCACCAATGAGTAAGAATTGGACACACACGTCAGTTTAGGACAGAGTGATAATTCAAGGAAGGCCCGAGTACTAAATCCGAGTACGAGACTCAAGAGTTTAAAGGCTAACCACGGCAAAGACAGGCTCTTCGAGTAATGGCCTTAGTAGAAAGCGCTAGTTTGTCTTTACCATCTAAAACTTGCGATTTTTCGAAACGTATATCTCTAGTTGTATTTTGTCTTCCGTAATTTCAGAATAAGACTGTATGGGCAACGCTTGTCAGGAAAGTGAAGGCGTAGAACCACAATTTTCCGGGTCCTTTTTCAAATAGGGCATAGGCGTTGGACTTAGAAGTAGTAGATGGCGCAGTGGCAGATATGGTGGCCAGCTTGGTGCTATAGCTCTCATCTTGGTTGTAGGAAGATAGCAGGTTGTTTAAAGTGTCGGCACTGATGGTTTGGTCGAAAGAAGTGTTATTCGAAACGAAAACCACAGTGTTCCCGGTGGAGTCGAATACCACACCACCCTGCATACTACCCGAGGTGTTCCTGGAAATGTAGCCACCAGCCTGGATACCGGTTCCTAAATCTTCGATGCCCTGGAATGTGTGGAACGTGGAGTACAGATGATTTCTCTCAGTTCCGTTCATGACTTCGAAAATATCGAATTCTCCGCATCCGCTGGCCCAGCACGAACAGTTGGCGTTCGTAGGGTACTGCGAGGTCCTTGGGATTTGGTCGTTTAGCAACCAAATGGCTGGCATGTCGTAGTATTTAAAGCTCGATCCGTTGTTTTGAGTTTCAGTGGGCATTTCGAAATCGAACAGGAACATCTTGGTGTCGGCTTCGAAACCGTGGAAAGCAGGAATGCCTTTCCGGTAAACACCACACGAGTTCTTTGTGCTCGATTTAGGGCAGCTAACGTTCGAGAAAATAGTGTACTCTTGGTCGGATTTGATCAAATTATCGTTAGCAAGATAGGCAGCGGTCTTGGACGACGAAACACCATCAGAACCTGCAAAAGTGAGTGCCTGTCCAAGCACTGGCGAGTCCGTGCCAGCTTTGGTCAAAAATGTAACGTTTTCGCCCGTTTGACTACTAGCGTCGAAATATGCCACTCGATTCCAGCTCGAGGAGTTGTCTGTGTTGCCCACTGTGAACGACGAAGCATTGTAGAATGCAAACTTATTGAGTTTCAAAGGTCCACGGAAATGCACAGAGACTGCCTCGGAAATAGGGGCACTCGAGCCAGAAAACCAATCCTTGGATCCTACAGAACATGAACATTTATCAGTGTCTGGGTTTTTGATAGACGTTACTGGTGTGTAAGAACCCGTAAAACCGACATTACTAAACTCAACTTTTTGGAATGCCTGGACATTATCGGCAGCTGCTGAAAGCTGAAAAAGCCCGGCAGCTGCGATGAACACATTCTGGAGCTGCATTTTCAAAGAATTTCGAACTTTCTCAACGAAAAAGGGCTCAAAATTGACCGTGAAAAAAGAATGTTAAGAAACTGCAGTTCTCTATCCTAAGTTAAACCACTGATATGTGTGATTTAAAACAATCCAATGAGTGCTGTGTGGCTACCTTTGGAGTCAGTGAGTGCCAACTTATAAAAGGTAGTTTCGAGGTTTTCGTCGTATGCTTCTTTTTATAGGTTTTCTGGGCTAATTTATCATGTGTGCAGGAATTTGGCCAAGCCTCGAGCTTCGATCACTTTATCATTTACTGTCACTTAGTAGAATGATATTTTTCAGTTGCCAAGCTCGAACCGGAGTTCATGGTTTTCTGGGCATTTTTCTACTAGAGCGAAACGTCAAAACCAAAAACAGGATTACCGTTATGTAGCACACCGAGGATAAACCAGCCCTAAGAGCCCAATTGAGGCGAAACTTGTAAAGTTTGGTATGCCATTGTATAACATCACTAGCGACGGAGTGAATGTAGTCACTCCTGGCGCTGGCCAAAATTTGGCTCAAACGGGCAGTGTTGGGTCTTGAGCGCGATAGAGGAGTGTCCAATCGATTGGGTGGTGGGCTAGAATCATTTTTGTTATTTTCGTTTGGTAATATTCTTTTATCCGGCGAAACCTCTTTGGCTTTGCAGATACATTTACGATGCATCTCCAGTTCAAACAACGTAGGCTGCTCGTCATCCGTTATTGGTGGCAGTTCGAAGTCATGCGGTACTGCGAAGCAGGTATACGCAAAAATTGCAACTACCAAAATCCAACAGACCGGGAAGATAAATCCGGCAAAAAATAGTCGAGGCATCCAGAATTGAGTTTTTTCGCACAATAGACAGCTTTTACACTGACAAGAATAAGTTTTCGTATACTCTTCGAATGGCGGAAGTGCGTATTCAACTACCGTGAGAGATTCTGTAGCCGACATTGTTTGCCGCAGCGATCGAAATAAAGGTTCACACGAGAACTCTGTTAAAATTTACTACAAGTCCTCTTTCTTGCCACGTTATTGACGCAAAGCATAGAATCAGCCCAGCATTTTATATCAGAAATACTAGTCTTTAGACCCTTCAATAATGTCTCGCATTGTCCATCAAAAGTGCCAGCATAAGTAAAATGTCAGCGTCAGCATAAAATAAAATTACCGTTTTGGAAAGCACCAATACCAAAACCAGTTTTGAGCCCCTGGCGGAAATCCAGTTTCGATACAGTGCTTCTTGAAACCCCGACAAAGCTTGTCAATTACCTTCTTAGTACTACACAATATTGTAGTATAAACATTGTATTCCTGATTACTTTTATGTGCTGCTAAATGTGCTCGAAATATTTACAAAAGAGCCTGACGCGACCTCGATGGAAACGACTGAGTGCATCAGGTTTGCTGCATCTTCCGCCTCGCATACCTCTCCGAAAACTTCTCCATATAAATTTTTGTGAACTCCCGCACCTTGATTCGTTTCTCTTTACTCAATTCCGCAGGAGGATGCCTAGTTTGATCTTTTTTCACTTCCTTATTGGAAAGTATCTTCGCTATGTCGCGAGCACATTCTTTGATATGCTCCTTTCCCAAGTCCTTTTCATAGTGCCGGACCATGTTAGGAACAACGGAAGCGAAAAGTTTATTCCACTTGTGCATCAGATGCTCACCTTTTGTCTGCTGCAACCTTCTCTGTTTCCGTTGCTGCTCTTCTTCTTCCCTCTTCATTTTGTCTATTTTCTCTTGCTCTTTTTGTTGGTTCACTTCCGCAATGATTTTCCTTAGCTCTGTCTTTTTCTGATCTTCCAATTCCATCTTTAGTTTCAACTGTCGCATCTCTTCGTTTTTGAGCCTCTCTATCTCTTTTTGCTGGTACTCCATCCTCTGCTTCTTCTTCTTTTCGTATTCCTCAGCATCGAAAACACGTTTTTTCTTGTTGGCAGAGCCGTTCGCGGCTATGTCAGGAGTAGTATTCCGACCGGGTTTCCTTGCACCGTTGAAAGTTTTGCTTGCCCCGTTCGGTGGTTGATGTAATTTAGTCTGCTGCTGCGCATTGTAATAGACCGGTTTCCCATTCTCGTGGATCAGCTCCCAGCCTGGAGGCAACCTGATTCTTCGCAGATCTGTCTTCATGATTGAAATGTTTTCCGAAACGTCTTTCTTCGTGATGCGTTTATAGGTTTCGAAAGAATTCCATTTTTGTAAAAGAGCCTCACAGATATCGTAGAGACGCGGTTCGCACTTTAGTTCTTCTACTTTGTTCCCGATTTGAGACGCCAAGATACCATTTTTTGTTGTTTTTGGGAGGCAATCCAAATAATGCAGTATATCCAGCTGGAACTCTGCATCTTCGTGAAAAGTTGTGAGGAGCTTACTAAAGCACCTGTATCCATGCAGTTTGATAATCTGGTAATGCAGGTCTTGGTCTGTGGTGAGTAGAATCCGTTCCGTTAACCTCCTTATGATGAGGATGTCATCTGCCTGCAGCAAAACACTCATTACTTTAGACACTTCATCAAAACGCTCACAAGGAGTTAAATCCAAAGACTGAACAAAGTCAACGTTGACATTATTGATCTCGCTTTTGACAATTTTTTCGCCTTTCGCTTTCATCATTTTGATCCACTTTTTCTCCACTGCGGGGACCACACCTAAGGCATCTGCATAGTTCTGTGGAAGGAGAGAGGCAGCATCGGTCTGAGTTTTGCCTCCCAGAAAGCCAATGCAATTTGGCTCATCACAATAGCATGGCTGAGCAGTAGCGCCGTAGCGATCGACATTATAATCAAATGTGATTTCTTCGCCTTTGGCAATACTACGATGTGCAAAGATTCCCATTCGTAGCTTGCCTGCAACATCCCATTTATTAACGTATGCGTTGGGGTTACAGGAGTGGTTGCAAAACCTGGCGAGAGAGCCCTTCTTGGTGGCATCTATGAACTCACCCGCTTGCAGCATCATAAAATAGAAGTGTTTCAGTTTTTGATGATCATAGTCTACCATACGTTCTCTGAACTTATCTTCCGGTATTACTTCCCCAGTGTACTCGTATATGAAGTGATTGGCAGCGATGTCACAATCAGCTCTCACTCCATAGCCCTTTTTCTCCGTCCGAAAGACCGAAATCTTTGCGTACTGTCGTCTTTGAAACCTTTGATTCTGGCATTCGTAACCGCAGGATCCACATAGTTCATTTACGCACTCAATCAAAGTCAATCTGTTGATGCAGTCGGAATCCTCCCCACAGGCTCTGTTCTCTCCGTCCACACGGTCCTCATAGCAATCACACTCGATATAGTCGTGAGATTTTGAGTTTCCGAGGTCTTTAAGTGCGTAAAGACAGCGTTTCAATTCCGTAAATGTTGTCAAAGCTTCCGGAGTCTTGTCATCCTCCATCTCGAAAGTTCGCGGCTGAGCGACGCTAGAGACACCAAAATCATCAGATTTTTTGGGCGAAGACGAACGTGATGATACCATGTTACCGTATCTCTTGAAACTAGACTGACGATCCACAAAGACAGAGTGCTGATGCTGTAGTTTGACGTTATTCAAATATTGGTGAAGGTCGATGCTCTCTCAAATATCGAAAACTTGAATGCGAAAACTCATCTGTACTCGACGATACTCGGTAGTTCACGTGCCATCCAAATATCAGTGCTTCGAAGCTGGATGTAACGGATGTAACGACTCCTTTGACGTCATGGTGCTATGTTGCGTACAATTTTACTTGAAATAGCTTCATGTATATTCGATGTCTTTAGTATTTTCATCGGGAATCGGTGGCACTCGCCTGCGAGATACTCGAAATTCATTCTTAGGTAGACTTGAAAAGCCAAAATTTCACACCTCTAACCCGAGATGAAGGGAAGGAAGGTCAAGGCTGGGTGTATGCATGCGTTTTCATGTATCAATTGCAAAGCCCTTCGAAAATTTGTTGAAGGGCCTGAAATTTCTCGTTAACGTCGGTAATATCTTCCCATATAACCATTGCTCGCTTTATGTTGCACTCGCATGCAAGTACTAGCTGCTGAAATTTAGGTGAAACGCTGGTGCACTTGCCCGAGGAGAATACCTTTTTCGTGCGGAGAACATTTCTCGATGAAAAGTGGTCGCGCTCTACAATAATATCCTTTATCTCTCGTGAACGGAGGGAAATTAGTAAGGTGCGAGAATGCACCTCGGTGTGCAAATCTGCCTTCATAGCATTTATGACTTTTCGCTCAGCATCGAGGGCTATCGGGATGGCTTGCAACTGAAACCATGGCACGAAATTGGGCAAATAAGATGTGTATCTTGGTAAAAGCTCTTCCGTAAGCCAAGGGTAGCCTCGAGTCTCAAAATCTGTAGGTACCTCCAAAACCGGAGCATGACGGTCAGAACCCTTTGTTATCATCATTTTGCAATCGCCTGGTTCGAACAAACAGATTGATTTGAAGGCTTCATCGACGCTCGAAGTGTCTGTAATCCTATTACAGTTCCTTTTGACATCGACATTTTGTAAGGGCATCACGGAGGAAGCAGTAGGATTCTGTCGACCGTTTTCCGTATGCGGCGAGCCTGGGGTACTGGAAGTCCACGGGAACTCATCTTGTTCAACCGCAAGCGGCGATGGCAATGGTGTAACACGGTTCACATTCCAGTTGGTTTGAGGCAGTGAAAAGTTACTGCCATTGTGATGTTGAAAAGGGAAGTGATCGGTGTACTCACCCACCTTCGCAGGTGGACTATGTAAGGAATTTCCAAAATAACCTGAGGAGCCCTGGCCCGATGTGGGTGCTGCAGTCATCCCCATGCGTTTGCTAAACCATGAGCCATAACTTTCGTATGCAGAAGACAACGACGAAGATAAGTATTGTAAAGAGCTACTACTGCTTTTGATGGACGAGGGTTGGATGACCTGAGCTGCTGTCTCATCTGAGGATAAGCTGGTAGAGCTGAGAGAAACATTTTTCTTTGGTATCTCCCAACCTTTACCCGTGATTGTGCCATATGACTTGGGATCATTATCTCGAGGACTTGTCTCATTATTTGACGACATTCCTCGCTTAGAGCTCTCAGCATGGGAATCTTGTTCTGTAACATCATTTTCTTCCAGAGTGGAAATTTTGCCTTTGAATCGAGGCCTAAGTAACGCCGATATCAGAAAGATCAATTTGTTGGCGACTGCCATATTCCCAGATATGACAACAATACGGCAGGATTCGGTTCGGGTCATTTCTGAGGCGAAGTCTTGAATGATTTTGGCGAAGAGCACGGGTAAAAATCGAAGTCTGTGACCATCTTTGATTTCAAGCCACTGGAAAACGTCTTTGAACCAACTTGAGAGGTAGTCGTAATTATTCGACGGATAGAGCAGCAATCTCGGTATTTCGGTATGCGATGACATGAGTGGCAGCACAAGAGTGTGAAGCGACTGAATGATAGATTGTGTTATCTGTGGATCGTGAACACGCAGATCACGCGGCAGAAATGTCAAATCTTCATTGACAAGTATTGCAAGAAGCAAATCCTGGCACTCATCGAGCCAGCGGCTCACATGTTCCCAAATTTCACTTAAAGCGGTCAAAAAGGGTTCTGGTAGTGATAGACATATAGCAAGGCGTGTGTCACGATGCGGCGCATAAAAAACCCGTGTAACTAGTAGGACGCCAGCGTTCGCTACTACACGAAATTTTTCGCTCTTATGACGGGTCTTGGCTCGTACTGGTGACCCAAACATGTATTCTTTTACCTCGGTCACAGAAATATGATCCATCGCTGTGCCACGGGCCGTGACATAATCAAAAACAACTTGATAGTTTTGCCTGCTCATGAGCTGACCTAGTTCTTGAGCTATCACTACCCTGAAGCGATGCACTGAGGAAACAGTGCAGTCCAAATGCTTTGTACCGTACAACTTCTGCTTGATTTCCTCATTTAGATGCGGGCTGAATTGTGAAGGCGGCTCCTCAGAATGTGGGCCCGCATCATGAAGCATATTTTTAGCAAGCAGACGACCCAACATCTGTGCAAGGTGGGAGCACAGCTGTGATGTGAATACTGGGTTGGGTACAGATGGGGAACGGCTTCTGATCCGAGGTGAGATTATAATTAGCGATGAGGTCACTAAGTACGTTCAAGGTCAAGCAAGGTGTAAGAACTTACTGCAAAGTGAAAGCGGTATGACCTTTCAGTTCCCGATTGTGTGGATTTGAGTCGTAAAATAAGATACGTAGCCACTGGATAGTTTTCACCGTTTTTCAGGCCTGAGCTAGGGACTCTTTCACCAACAGGGTAATGGTCAATCCAATTTTAGATAAAGAAAAACCGATAATATTAATAAGATAATTTAAGGTCTCCATCTACCGATGGAAAGAGCCATGAGTTACACATTCTGCTTGTTGATGAGTTAGCTAACGTGTTATTGAACCACGACCGTTTAGGTAAATATATGATATCACTTTGTACTAATGTGTCACTTTATGACATGTTGCAAGTTGGAGGTATGTAAATTAGCAATCGGTAAAGCTGGAGCTTATTCCACGTACTTTAGACAGTGGTAATGTGAAGTTGTTCCGGAACCCTCGCTAAGCATGCTAGGTCCACTCGAACGCCTATTCACGTCGAGTTTCGCACGTTGAACTCGCTGTAACGTTATGGAATTGGTGCTCAGAGAGACTCAAACAGGAAAATACGTATTTGAAAGCATCCTCAACCGACATGCACTCCGTTTAAGTCAGAAAATGCTTGAATTTTCACTGACTGGATCAATAGTCACGTGATCTCTTTTACTTGAATATGAAACTGGCTACTTTCCATCTTCTAACAGCATTTTTTAGAGAAAGCCTCTATCCGGTATTAAAGCTGGCGTATTTGATGTCTTCCGATCCACGCTTCACTCGTCTAAAAGAGAGAGACGGCCAAGAGTCGCGTGACAATATAAAGATGATCACCTCAAACGACTAGACATAAGTGATTGGTCACATGATTTAATTAGACACAGTTAATTAGATCAGAAGCACCGTATACGAAAGACAAACCGATACTACATCTGGTATGAACTTGGGCCCTTCTAACACCAATGTCACCACATTCCACTTGAGTAAAGATACTCATAAACCGCTGGGACCATCTCAAATACTCTTTGATATTCGTTGCCGTCTACTTTTCTCCGAAGAGCTTTTTTGTTTAACGCTATTTGTGGTCAAATCTTGAAGAACGGTCAAAAACAACAAATCTGGGCGAACGAAGTGTTGCAAGGAAAATTATGTTCGAAGAAATTCCAAGATGGGTGATATTCACGGCTATCTCATCTCTGCTGTGTGTTGCAGGTAGTCTTTGTGTTCCGGTGGTGTCATGTTTTTTCCGCAAAAGCTCCGGAGTCAATTCAAGACTATTAAACTACGGTCTATCACTGAGCGCTGGATCTATGATGACCACCAGTCTTAACAAGATGCTCCCTAAAGCTGAAAAGGCAGACCGTTTAACGGTATTTTTGGGGTTTGTTCTTGGAGTGACGGCTAGTTTTTTGCTGAACTTCATCGTCCATGCCTACACAAGTGAAAGTTTGGTACACTGTAGTCACGGAGAGGGCGACACAAAATTGCACGACTCAGACTCTCATCATCACAGCCACACAGATAATGTACTGGATCCCCACGATCATTCCCATTCTGAACATGAACACAATCACCACCACGGCAGCGAAAACGCTCCACACTCTGAGGGCGAACACCAACATCAAGGCGAACACGAACCACTAATTACAGGAAGACCATCGTTGAAGTCTGGACATGCACCCCCACTACGATCCAAGCGCTCAATCATAGATTTTTTATCCCGCCCCACGATTCGCGCTGGAAATTGTTATGGTTCAAAGTATTGTGTGCCTAAAACCGTTCGGTCTAGTAGCCACAGCAACCCTGAAGAAGTTTCCATGGCATGTCCGTCAGGCGCTTCCAAAATTGCCTGTCCAGAAAATGATATCGGATACGATCTCGAAAACCTCTCGGTGTATCGCGCCAATTTCTTAAAAGGTGAAATGTCTCACGAGCATTTGAACCGTCATGGATCTATTGGCTCTTCCTCCTCCACTCCGGAAAGTCTCGAAAGCGGCCAACATCACCACCATCATCTCGCAACTCCGTTCTCTAAGCTGATGTCCATAGGTATCCAGACCTGTTTGGTAATTACATTGCACAAGTTTCCTGAGGGATTCGTTGTTTTTTTTACTAATAAAAACAACTCAGATTCAAGGTCATTCGGGCTCTCCATTTTTCTCAGTCTCGCAATCCACAACTTTATAGAGGGTTTTGCGATGACTTTGCCACTTTATGCTGCTTTCAGAAACAAGGCCTATGCCATTTTGGCCGCCAGTGCATTAGGAGGAGGTTCTCAACCTTTAGGCGCCATAATTGGCTATTTCATTTTCAAGAGAACTGGGGCTCAGGAACTGAACATAAATATTCTTCTCAGCGTCACTTCCGGTTTCTTGTTCGTGATAGCCATTCAAATGTTTCAGACTGCAATCAGTTTTAGTGATTCTCACCATCATCACGACGGCGGTGATGAAGACGAGCAGGAGGAACCTCACACTTTAGCGACTGTGTGTTTGAGGTGGTGCTGTTTGGGAGCATTTTTAGTTCTCTCAACAGGGCTTTTCTCGTCATAGCAAGCATGGCTCATTTCTTATGCGTCGTTATTGCGAAAATTTCTATTGCTGACTGCATTTCTATGAAACTTCTGTGACGGGTTCCAGGTGAAGTTTCATTGTAAGAATATAAACAAGAATGTCTTTACTTTGATGTATGTAATTCTTGCAGAATAACAGTATCTACAGAATCATCCGTTTTTGAATCGCCTCCCACCAGGGGCAGCCTGAAGTGATGTTTGCCCCATCGAAAGTAGAGCGCTGTGATGGCGCCTAAGAACGCTAGGTACACTACGACGGCATAATTCATTGTCTCGAATGTCACCGGGACTCTTGGTGGTAAGCATATCACCACCATAGTGAAAAGAAGCCAGCATATGCTGCAGATATTCACCGGCCATCCTAACCTGTACTTTACTTTGATCGGTGAGCCGCGTAAAGCTCTTCGCCGTGAAACAACAACAAGAATCAAAGGGATACAGGTCGCCGAGCATAAACATAGAACAGCAGCCCCCATAAAGGCATTGAATGCCGCAGCCGATACCAAGGCTAACAGTCCCAAAAGATATGATATTCCCATACTCAGAAAAATCGAGTTTTTGGGAACTTTATGCTTCGAACTCGCATCTACATGAGACCAGAACTCACTGTACGGCAGAGCCATATCGCGACTCATACTATAGACAGCACGAGATGAAGTTGTCATGGAACCGATACCAGAGAAAAACAGGTTGCCCAAAATCATGATGACGAGAAATATCGAAACAAACATTGAATGCGTTGAACTAGTGAATATCAAAACGATCGGCATTACCCTAGAGTCACGAAAAATTGTTTGGAGATCTGGTAAAATTATCATTATTGGCAGCAGAAAGACGATACCAACACAAGTTGAAATGAGGACAGAGCTTGACATGCCCTTGGGAATGTCCCTCTCAGGTTCCTTTACTTCATCAGCTAGCGCCGGAAGCATACTGAATCCTTGAAGCGTGAAGTTAGACTGCTGAAAGCCGATCATGAACGACAACACGGCACTCGTGTATCCTGAGCGGGAATTGTCGAAATGGGTGAATGCGAATTTCAAAGACCGATAGGAACCCGAGTGGAAGAGCAGGAGCAAAATGTCAATGAAAATCACGGCATAGAGAATCCAATAAACGCAAACCTTGTTTACTGTCTCTATCGTTCCTGGAAACTTTAAATTTATTAGCCCTACAACACTGACGATCAGGTAGAAAGCCAAGACTGTGAAAAACATGATGAGATCTTCCCTTATGAGCCCGGAATTTGCCATGTTGATAAGCGAAATGGCAAGTTGAGCGCCTGCAAATGTTATGCTTGTACTCATAGTCCAGTTCCCGAGAAGCATGAGCCAGCCTGTAAACCAAGAACAGCATAACTTATAGTTTTCTGGTGCCAGCATCGCACTACTGCCATGCAATTCCATGGGGAATCGTGACACAATCTCTCCTAGTGACAAAGAACATAGCCAAGTTGCAAACCCACATACTATAAATCCCATGACTATAGTCAACGGCCCACCATTATTAAGCCCTATGCTTATAGTAGTGCTCATACCTAGAACGGGGCTCATTAGTGCAAACCCAAGACCTATGATGGAAATTTTAGATAAAAACGCTCGGTCCAGTTGCTGCTCATATTTGAACCTTTCTACTTCCTCATTGCCGTCATCATCATCATTTTCGCCTTGTAGAATCCTCTCCCAATTAACAAGTTTTGCCCCTGCTTTTAAGCCCAGTCGATCCTTCAATATCTGACCAGCTCTTATGGAGGCTTGCATTGGTGATAGCCCAGAGAGCGAAGCTTCCAGTGTGTCATGAAAACCCTCTTTCGAGCTGCACTGCTGGCCTTTCTGCTGGTTGACTGACAAGTACATTATTGAGAGATGACCCGTATTCCATGATCACCTTTTCGTGGCCGTGGGTCTCACGCTCGTTGGTATATTAAGCCCCAGCTAACTGACAGTCTTTTAATGCTTGGAAAGTTGTGGAGCAGGGTGAAGTACTGTAGTGCTCGCTGATGTCTTTCTCGAATTAAAAAATACATCTCCCTCAACATTTCTCGGCATGAGGAGAATGGCGCAAACTATACCACGAAAACTATCTCAATATGCATCATGAAACAGAAGCAAACTTACAGGCTCAACGGCTATGTTCACTTTACCTGGTCTCCCATGCGTCTTTGAGTTCCATCTTCATAAAGAGTGTAGCAGCAGTATTGATCACTTTGTACCATTATGTCATCTTGACAGTGATTAATATAACCTGAGTAAAGCGACAATCCTACATGGTATGTTAGGCTGCCCAGCATCTCTTCAAATGTTGTTTCGGTACTCAATGTTGAATTCGTCCGTGGTAATATCTTCCTTTTGGACCCGCGCGGAGGGTGAACAAAAACCGGGGCGATAGGTCGAAATATTCAAAATGGTACTTCTGTAAAGGTTTGTCAACAATGAATCAAGGCCTCCAGGAAAGGAGGCCTGTCAAAAATGAGGCAAAGAGTTCTCTTTTGATCTTAAAATAACCAAATCTCGGTTTTTCCATCCACAATACCTTCTAATGATATACTTTACTTGCATGCATCGTTAGAAGCCTGGGCTAACTGTTTGTCCCTAGACCATTCCAAGAAGAGACTTGAAAATGGAAGTACTCAAAACAACTTCCTCAATGTCTCTATCATTCAGTCTACGACCACTGTCGCTATCCACACTGGCCGTTGACTCGATGTACCAGTTGACGAGAACACTTGGTCATGTGATAAGATATGGGTTCAGTTATATTAATATCTTAAGTACTGGTGGCCGCCAATTTGAGCAACATTGGCCGATGAGCTCAGAAGTTCGAGCCCAGAAACATGGACGAAGACCTTTATGATGAGTATGTTAGATACCAGGCAACTCTTTAAGCGTTAACGCTTTGATACTAACTTGTTTTGACAGATTTGGAAATTTAATCGGGGCTGAATCGGATAGTTCCTTGTCCGAAGAAGATGAATCGCATGATAGATCTGGAGAAGCCCAATTTGCGGTTACTCACGAAGAAGCGGACTTAGAAGAAGGCACATCAGTACTTGTGTCAAGGGATACGCTAGCTACAGCTTTTTCAGAAGATGTAGAAGTTTTGGTGGAGACTGAAGATCAGCAGTCTATTAACAAACCGCTAGTAGAGCCTGCACAACGCCCCAGAGACGACACATCGATTTACAGTAAAGGGGCTAAAACAACACCGAAAGTTACATTTGACTATGAGTATTTACAAGCGTTGCTGGAGCTCCCAGAAAGAACCAAAAATATTTGTGTTATGGGTCCTTTAAACTCGGGCAAGACTTCGCTGGTGGACCTCTTGGTGTGGGAATGTCATGACAAATTAGCTAACGTCTCCAAAAAAATTCGGGAGGGCTGGACGCCGCTTAGGTACCTTGACAACACAAAACTAGAAATCAATCGGGGTATCAGCTGCAAAATAAATGGATTCACCTTCCTCGGTAGTGATCTACAGGATAAATCCGTGGCACTGACCATGCTTGATACTCCCGGACACGTCAATTTTATGGATGAAGTTGCAATTGCCATGTGTGCCTCAGAGGCTTGTATTGTGGTGGTCGACGTGGTAGAAGGAATAACAGCGGTAACGCAACAACTAATCGGTCAAATTCAGAAACGAGGCCTTAACATGATTTTTGTCTTGAACAAGATAGATAGATTGATTTTGGAACTTCAACTACCGCCTAAGGATGCGTACCTAAAGATCGTTCATGTTGTAGAACAAATTCAAAGGTGCACAAGTCTGAAGCACTCTCCTGAACTAGGAAATGTTATTTTTGCATCTGCCAAACTAGGCTTCACGTTCAGCATAAAGGAGTTTGTTCTTTATCACTATCAAAATCGATTGGGTCCGGAAAAAGTAAGGGGTTTCATTGATAGACTGTGGGGGAACATATACTTTCACTCCGGTCAGTTTTCAGAAAAGCCGAACACCAAGAATATGACGACTTTTATAGAATTCATTCTGGTACCATTGTACAAAATGTTCACACAAACGTTGGCGAACGAACCGAAGGAAGTGGCGGAATTTCTGAAAAAGCGGTTCCAGATCGACCTGAGTCCCAAATTGCGGGAGTTGGATCCACAACCTTTGCTGAAGGCAGTATTGAGCTTGATATTCCGCAGCCAACGTGGTCTGATTGACAGTATTAACGAGTTTAGTCCAAGCGCCGAGGAAATTAATATCATCAATAAGACGAACGCTAGTCTAACTTGTCCAAGTCATGCTACTTTGGCGCATGTTATCAAGGTAATGGATTACTGTGGCGAGACCTGGGCACTCGCCAGAGTATACCAGGGCAGCATCAGCGTGAATGATTCCTTGCGAGTAATCGATGTCGACGCATCGAACGATGAAGATGCGCCTACAGCAAAAATACGTGCGATGGCGCTCTTAGGTGGCAGATACGTCGTCCCTATCCAACGAGCTAACGAGGGCCAAATTGTTTTGGTAAGCGGTGTTGAAGATTTGCTAACAAAATCTGGAACACTCACCACTATTGAGGATTTCAAGTTCCCTGCGATCGACTATATCAATGAATCCACTTTCAAAATAATCCTCAAACCGTTGCATCCTCGTGAACTACCTCTGATGTTGGAAGGACTCAATAAGGTCAATAAGTTTTACCCGGGGATGGTGACAAGTGTTGAGGAAACTGGTGAAACGGCAGTATTGGGCACCGGGGAGCTCTACTTAGACTGTTTGATGTGGGATCTTCGAAACAACTACGCAAAGGCTGAAATTCTGGTGTCGAGTCCGCTTGTTAAATTTGCCGAGACCTGTGTCAATGAATCATTTGCTTCGATCCCTGTAAGTGCCGCTAGTGGTAAAAATCTTACCTTGAGCGTTACAGCTCAGCCGCTTGTAAAAGACTTGACCGATGATTTACTGAATGGCACTTTAACCGGAAGGGACACCGAAAACATTCGTAAACTTGCCAAATTACTACGCGAAAAATACGGGTGGGACTCTTTAGCTGCCCGTAACGTTTGGAGTATACAGAACGGAAATGTTTTTGTGAATGATACCTTGCCCGATGAAGTTGATTCTGAACTTTTGGCGGGCGCGAGGGAAGCTATATGCCAAGGGTTTGAGTGGGCAGCGCGGGAAGGTCCGCTAGCAGAAGAAGCCATTCATGGGGTGCAATTCCGACTTTTGAGCGTTGTTGCCGAAGAACAGGTGAACAAAGGTCAACTTGTCTCGCTTGCACGTAAGGCTTGCTACGTGGGGCTACTCACTGCTGAACCTGCTGTCCTGGAGCCCATCTTTGAAGTTAGCATAGTGGTCAGGGACCTACTGGTGGAGATTTTGGAGGAAATTTTTGCTAAGAGACGCGATGCGCGAATCTACAACCGCGTCAAAATTCCGGCCACTCCTCTCACGGAGATATGGGGACAGATCCCAGTGATCGACTCGATCGGCTTCGAGACTGACCTGCGGCTCGCTACGAACGGGCAGGCGATGTGTCAGCTGCATTTTTTCAAGAAAATATGGCGGAAAGTACCAGGAGACGTTATGAACGAAGATGCACCAATTCCCAAACTCAAACCTGCTCCTCGTCAAAGCATGAGTCGCGATTTTATTATGAAAACTCGTCGCAGAAAGGGTCTGTCATCAGACGGTCACGTGACACAGGATGGACCTTCTTTGTCTCGCTACATCAGCCCTGAGCTCTTCCAAAAACTGAAAGAAAACCATCTGGTATAAGTCGCCTCTATCAAAGCTTCTGGCACCATATTATGGTTTCCCGATCGCAACTGTGCGAGATAATGAATTTTTTCCCGTCTCGTCTCACAATACACTCTATCTCAATGTTTTTGAGCTTTGACAAAAGTCGAAGAGCTTGAGAGATATCTTTCAATCGATTGACGCTACTTGATATTAGTGTGAATTTTAAGCTCTTTCTGAGCCTCTTCTCACTCATAGCCTTCGTTCAAAACGCTCTAGCTCATCGCTCTTCAACTGGACCATACTTTAAAAAATTTTCCAATTTAAAGCGATGAGATGAGATGAGATGAGCTCTCTCATCACATCACTACAAGCATCAAGCCCCGACAGCAGCCTTAAAAATGGTCAAGGGTTTCAAGCTTAAGGACTTCTTGTCGCGTGAGAAAGAAGCGTCGAAAACTAACCAAAAAAAAGCGGCCAAAACTGCTCAAAAACCAAAAGATTCAAGCAAATCAGAGGAAAAACCAATCGTCGTGACCCATGAACAGATTGTCGAAGTGAAACCGATTGTCGGTGGTGCTGAAGTCGCAGATGTGACGGAGGACTACCAAAGTCAGGTTTTGTCGAGAAAGGACCGGAGAAAACTAAAGAAACTAGAGAAAAAGAAGAAATCCGACGACAAGATCGAAGAGGGAGCGGAAGAAGAAGATGAAGAGAACGATGAAGAAGAAGAAGAAGAAGAAGAAGAAGAAGAAGCTGTACCCGCTGCTTCCAATCTGGACCTCGAGAAGTTGGAAATGAGTGAACCAGAAGACGATGAGGAAGAGGAAGAAGATGAAGATGATGAAGCAGAAGAGGAAGAAGAAGAAGAAGAAGAAGAAGAAGAAGAGGAAGAGGATGTACCACTTTCAGATGTTGAATTCGATTCTGACGCCGACGTGGTGCCTCACCAGAAAGTGACCGTTAACAATACCAAGGCTATGACACATGCATTGGAATGCATCCAATTGCCATGGAAAAAACACTCCTTCCAGGAACACCAATCGTTGACATCAGAGACCAACACTGACGAAGGCATGAAGGACATTTACGACGACACCGAAAGGGAGTTGGCCTTTTATAAACAATCTTTGGAAGCCGTGCAACAAGCGCAGCAGAAACTTTCATCTCTCAAAGTGCCATTCCAGAGACCTTTGGACTACTTTGCTGAGATGGTCAAGAGTGACGAGCACATGGATAAATTGAAGACGAAGCTTGTGGGTGAGGCTAGCGACCGCAAGGCTCGTGAAGACGCGCGCAAACAAAGACAATTGAAGAAGTTTGGTAAGCAGGTTCAGGTGGCCACATTACAGAGCCGTCAGAAAGACAAGAAAGAAACGCTCGACAAAATCAAGTCGCTCAAGCAAAAGCGTAAGCACAATGAAATTGACGATGCTGCCTTCGACGTGGGGATCGAAGAGGCTGCTGCTACCGATAAGCCCGAAAAGAGACACAGACCCAACGGCAAAAGGCTGGCGAAGGATGCAAAGTACGGCAGCGGCGGTATGAAGCGTTTCAAACGCAAGAACGATGCTGACTCTTCTAACGACGTTTCCGGATTTTCCACCCGGAAAATGAAGGGCAAGCAATCACGTCCCGGTAAGAGCAGGCGTTCTAAGCGTTTCTAAGTATTTCTAAAATTCCAGAAAAAGGGGTAAAGAAGAGGAAGAAGAGCAGTGAAAGACCTGTCGCATTTTTGCATTGTATAATAACATCTAGCTTATCACATCTGCTCGACTCTGGAACCACATGGATCCCATCTTATTCTCGTTTTACTGACGCCTGATCTCTAATAGTTTCCTCACACTAAAGAAGTCACTTTGTCCCAAACTGTCACAATTCGAATATTTCGTTTAATGATTAAGATATAAGATGAGAAAGTTACGACCGTTTGATCAAGTCCAGCACAACCTTCTACAGAAGTGTATTCAGCAGTAATTGACTGATTTAAACGATTGAAATGTCTGCAGAAGATAAGAGAAATAAATTCTTGGGAGTTTTCCCAGCCCTTGTGGATGAATTGAAGTCAATCTTGTCCGGTTACGGCATGACCGAAGATGCCTTGAAATGGTACGAGGACTCATTGAATTACAACACCCCTGGCGGGAAATTGAACCGTGGACTATCAGTGGTGGACACATATGCTATCTTGAAAGGCAAAAAATCTTATGCTGACCTCTCTGACGAGGAATATTTCAAATTGGCTATTCTCGGATGGTGCATTGAGCTTTTGCAGGCATATTTCTTGGTGGCTGACGACATGATGGACAAGTCAATCACAAGACGTGGACAACCATGCTGGTACCGCGTTCCCGAAGTCGGTGAGATTGCGATCAACGATGCGTTCATGCTGGAAGGCGCCATCTACTGTCTGTTGAAGAAGCATTTCCGCTCAGAATCGTACTACGTTGACTTGCTAGAGCTATTCCACGATGTCACGTTCCAGACTGAGCTGGGACAGCTTCTAGACTTGATCACCGCCCCCGAGGACCGTGTTGACCTCGACAAATTTTCGTTGGAAAGACACTCGTTCATTGTGCGCTTCAAGACCGCGTACTATTCGTTCTACTTGCCCGTGGCACTAGCAATGTATGCTGCCGGAATTAACAGTGAGCATGATCTGCAACAGGCCCAAGCCGTTTTGATCCCATTGGGCGAGTACTTCCAGATCCAGGACGACTTTTTGGACTGCTTTGGAAAACCAGAGGACATTGGCAAGATCGGCACCGACATCCAAGACAACAAGTGCTCTTGGGTCATCAACACTGCGCTCAAGCTATGTTCCGCAGACCAACGTAAGGTTTTGGACGAAAACTACGGCAGAAAGGATGCCGAAAGCGAGGCCCGCTGCAAGCACGTGTTCCACGATTTGAAGATCGATTCATTGTACTTGGAATACGAAGAGAAAACCGCTCACGACCTCAGAAATCTAATCCAGAACACCGATGAATCTCGTGGGTTTAAGGCTCAAGTCCTCACTGCTTTCTTGGAAAAAGTCTACAAGAGAAAGAAATGAAAAAATAAAAAAAGGGCAACCAAATCCCTGTTTCTTAAAAGGCCAAATTTACATAAACCCGACGCCTCGTATAGATAAATACTCAAGTTAAACTTCCTTTACTGACATTTCTTTCTACCTTGGACGTCGGTTATACTCTTTAGCTGTCATTGCGACCAATCAGAACCCAGTATTCAGCGCATACCTTTATACGATCTTCAATTTTTCCGAAGTTCCCACTAATTAACACCAAACTAATCGAAGAATCTCACATCTTGATCATTGAAAGGTCAACTCAGGATCAAACAGGTACTGCATTTTACTGCGTTTCCAGCACTAGTAGTTCCCAAACACACTTTCGAATACACGCAATGGGTGGAGCATCAGCTAAGACTTATATGGGATGGTGGGGTAGCATAGGCTCACCCAAACAAAAGGGTGTTACCTCGTACTCGGTTTCGCCATACGCCCAGAAGCCTTTGAACGGTATTTACTACAACGCGGTTTTCAACACTTTCAGAAGAGTCAGATCCCAGTTTCTTTACATTGCCATTCCAGCTGCTATGTACTGGACCTGGTGGGTCAACTGCAGAGACTACAACGAATATCTCTACACTAAGGCTGGTAAGGAAGAACTTGAAAGAGTCAACGTTTAAGGAGGGGAATGATGTATAAAAGACAAACCAAAAAAAAAAAGATGCATATATTCCGCTTCCCAGCCAACAAAGCCCCAAAAACGGCTAGATATTTATAGTCCCAGGAACCTTCATTCATATATATATGCCTAGTGGTCATGTATACATATACACATACAGGTTATCTACGCAACGCGATGTGATGCTAACGAAAGAAGAAGAAGAAGAGGATTTATCAAGTCCGACGCTACTAGTGGTCTCTTCCCATTCTGATGTGTACCGGAAATTATGTCCCAAGAAAGATGCGGAATCAACGAACCAGAAAAGAAGGAAACAAAGAGACGCGATCTAAATAGTGGAAATATCTAAACGTTGATAATTCAATCCAATACACAACACAACGGTTTAGGAAGTGCAAGATGGGTTCAATATCGCAACTAAATGACACAGTCGTACATTGTGATATTTAAATATATTAAGAATACTCATCTTCAATATTATTATCCTTTAAACTCCTTCTTCAGTTACAAAACTCTATCTGAATAGCACCAAAAGGATCGTTCTGAGCCTCTAACGTGTTTAACACCTACTATTTGAGATAATGTAACGATGGCAGAACTTTTAGATCCCACTTCAAGCTCGCAGACGAGTCCTCATTCGTCAAAACTGGGCATCAATATTTTAGCGAGTCGGAACGAAGGCGAAACTTCCAATACTACATGTTACGATCCTGCCAGGATATATGACAGGAGTGGAACGGATCCCAATGGTACTGGACCAAAATGGATCAGAGGAAACGAGGTGCTTCTGCCGGAACCAAAAACCATGTATCAACAAAGTCAAAAATCCAGATCCAGAAGCACTTTGATTCGAGTTTATTCTGAAACTGAGCGTTCAAATTTCCACGATTCTACGGGTGCCCGCATTCATGACGACTTAAGGTATAGGCCAGTGCATCATGATGGACAAAATGGCTCTCCGTCCAAAACTAGCCCCATTGACATGAATATAAAATCCAAGCGACGACACTCGTCTTCCACTGAAGAAGAACGTGAGCTCTATCGTAGAAACGCCAAATTTGCACAACACAGTTATGGAGACATGCAGGACGAATACATCCCGGATTTGGATTTCTCAAATACAGTGTCACAATGGCAAAGCGATGAAAATATTCTCGAGAACAGAGGTGGCGGTGGGCAGCGCCAAGAACAATCACAATCGCCCTGCTACAATAACTGGGCGGATTACGAAGCAGACGTGAGTCGATCCTCGTCAATGTCATCGTCTTCCATTGTATTCAAGTCAGCCCACGCCAAAGTGGGTCCTATTCCTCTTCCTCAAAGCTCTATCCCAATGGCCTCTCCTCAAAGTCTGCGTCACCAAGATACAAACACCGAGTTTGATGAGAGAGCACCCCGTGGCTTATCCCTGTCCTTTGCAAGAAACAAGGCTTCACCTAATATTAATGCACAGCCTGGCAGATTGTATAAGAGACGAAGATCGGGAGTAAATTTTGGATCACCATCTTCACCATGGGCCGCGACATCAGCCATTGCCACCAGCTTCGCATCCTCCAATGATGGCCCCTTTTCAGCTGAAGAAATAATAGATATCATAAAATATCTTCCAGAAGATTTCACTTCCCTTCCATACAGCCAGAGGAAAAAAATTCTGCTAGAGCAGTTCCCTAGCGTTAATTACAAGTCTATGATGGCAAGCATTAAGAGGGCCCAGCTGACTTCTGCAAAAAGCAGCACCCAGTTGCAAGCAAATAGGTCTAGACGTGGCTCGTTGGCTTCACAATATCTCAGCTCGTTTACGCCCTCATCCGCTTCATACAAGCCCGATGACAAAGGCTCGACAATCATGGGTTATACCTTAGGCAAAATAATAGGATTTGGTGCGTGGGGTATGATACGAGAATGTTACAAAGCCACAGTTGGACTTCCCGAGAAGGGCCAGAGCACAAGCCCTGCCGTTAAGGCTGTCAAGATTGTAAGGTTCAAAAACAACGGCATAGTAAAAAACCAGGTTTTGAAAGAAGTGCGAATGTGGTCCAAATTGAAGCATAAGAACATTTTACCTCTGATAAAATGGCAAATTGATGAATCGTATGCTCTATACTGCCTGACAGATAAAATTGACGGCGGAACATTGTACGATCTGGTAGCCTCGTGGGGAAACGCGAAAAACTCGACAATTGATCTTGCTCTGCGATCTAGGTTTACAGCCGAATTAGGTTTACAAGTGGTGGAGGGTTTGAAATATATGCACTCTCAACAAGTTGTTCATGGTGACGTAAAGTTAGAAAACTGTCTCCTGACTACACGAGATAATAGGGACAAATGGACAGTAATCCTGTGTGATTTTGGCATGAGTTCCGAATTCTGCCAGCCTGATGTTCTTGGTGAAAGCGATGAAGACTCAACAAAGTTTTCAGACAACTTCAAACCTTTCGCCAGATCGCTTTCCAACAGTGTGCTCAAGGATACACTAAAAAGGCAACACAGATCAATAAATCATGGCAATGGGCCGATGGGTGTCAGCTCATTTCCTAAGCAATATGGACCTGCATTGAGCAGCACAAATCTGACAGGGACTTTCGCATCCCACGGTGACCTGACCAGAGCTTCCAGCATGGAAAGCATTTCAATTTCAACATCTGTGGGAACGGACTCTACTCCGATTGCTGGCGCAAAGGATGAAAACTCACATAACTACATCGGGTCGCTACCCTATGCAGCGCCGGAGCTTTTGGAGCCCATACCACCGCCACTTTCTCCATCTGCAGACGTATGGGCCTTAGGAGTAACCCTTTACACGATGTTAATGGGTAAATTGCTATTCAAACACGACTATGAGCCCCGTTTGCGTGCAATGATCGCCGCAGCCAAATATGACACACGTCCTTTGGAAAAGGTGTGTGGTGCCAATGATGACAAGAGTTCATGCGGCTCTTTGTTTGATGCAGTCAAAGGTTGTTTGATGAAGGACGTATCTAAAAGATGGAGTCTAGACTCCATCGAAGCATCTCTGGTGGACTATATTGATTCTCTCTCTGGACCGGCATCCGATATTTCGGCCCGCGAAAAAACTGAAGCGGCTAAAAAAGTCGACGAATAATAATCAACCCAGTGCCAGACACATAAAATGTGCTTCACCGATTCATTGATGTAATCGAATGTATCTTAGTTCGCTTTCATAGTGTCAGAAGCCTCTATAAAAACGTTGATGTTCCTTTGTACGAAGAGTTCTAGTTTTACAGGAAAATTACCAAACTTTTGAAGGTTTTATACTATATCATCATTGAGAAAGAAGTTCAAGTCCATTCTGGACCTTTTCACTGCACTACAAACGCTGGCAAAATGATTTACCTGAAATCTGTGATCAAAGTTATTGACAACTCCGGTGCTCAAATGGCAGAATGCATCAAAGTTCTGAGGAAAGGTTCACCCAAATCGCCTGCGAACATTGGCGATAAGATCGTTTGTGTGGTGCAAAAAGCCAAACCTTTGACTCAAAATATCACAGGTACGTCAAATACCAATCGTGTTAAGAAAGGAGATATTGTACATGCTGTTGTGGTGCGCACGAAACAAAAAAATATGGCTCGTGCCGATGGATCAACAGTAAGTTTTGGTGATAATGCATGCGTTCTGATCAACAAGAATAGCGGTGAACCACTGGGCACTAGAATAATGGCCAACGATGGTTGTGTCAGCAGAGAATTAAGAGAAAAGGGATTTAACAAAATTTGTTCTTTGGCAACTCGTGTTCTTTAGATGAGAATTCCTGAGTTTTGGAAATGATCATTACAATGTGCTATTTGGGGCTACATACTACGTTTTTCTTGTATATAGGTAAATGATGGTGAATCCGGTGAATCAAGTGAGACGGCAGTTACATGAAGTCTGCTTGAGTGGATATGAACTGTCCGTGAGATGGGGTTCAATGAGCCGATTTGGTGTTTTTATATGGCACACAACACCATGTCCTCTTCATCCAATTACTGTGCAGTAGTTTCTCAACGCTGGTTCGTTTTTCAGGGTTCCACTGGAATATCGCATAGAGACACAGCCTACGACAGCGATTGACCTCAGGCGATACATGTTTCATCTCCTCGAAAACAGTATATTCTCGTTTGAGGCGCATTTCTTCGACAAAAGAGGCATACACGGGATCCTTATCAATTAGAGGTATTTTCCAGAGGTAGTGGCCCAATACCATAGTGCAGTAGATTACACCACAGCTCCAGCAATCCACATACCGCGGATCGTATTCCCGATGTGCAATAAATTCTTCGGGTGCGACATATGGTTCTGAGCCCACAGCGCCAGTCTGGAAATGTACCTTCTTTTCCCAGGCAGTCTGGAAAACGCAGCTAGTGCCAAAATCACAGATCTTTAAAACACCTTGTGGGTCGAACAAGAGATTCTCTGGCTTCAGGTCACAGTGAGCTATCCCATGATCATGCATGTACTGGACACCATGAAGCAGTTGTTTCATGAAACAGTCGGCTTCCAGCACATGCAAACCGCCGCTCTTTGAAGTACGCGACAGTAAGCTGTATAAGTCACCAGAAGGACAGAATTCTAATACTTCGACAAAACCATCGGGAGTTTGCATTAAATCGAGCATTTTCAAAATATTGGGGTGAGATTTGCGCTGCTCTGAGTCTCTTTGACTCAAAGCATGGCCGATAATAAATTCTGAAGTGAGTCTGGTCCCGAACTTCTCCTTTACTTCGTCTGCCTTCGGTTTCAATTTCTTCACGGCGTAAAACATCTTGTTGCCCTTGACATATGTCTCATCAAGGGAACGCTCGTCGGTAACGCTGGACGTGTCGATGCAACACACTTTCACAACACCATAGGCTCCGTGTCCGATAACTCCAACGGGCTTGCCGTACTTTTGGAAAAGAGTGTAATTTTTCTTGGCTATTTGTTCGTCCATGCTACCTTCCACCATTGCCCCGTCATGTATCTTCTTCGAAATTTTTCCAATCATGTCTAGTTCTTTCGATCCAATTGCTGCATTGGGATTAACAGGGTCAGGCATGCCACTCTTTTTGTCGCTATTATCAGAGCTGTCGTCGTTTTCGTCTTTGAGCTCTTCATCCATTATTCTGCTGAGCCTTTTGTGGAACTCGAATCTAGTTCGGGGTAGCAGAGATAGGGCGCTCTCGAGCCTCTCGTCGTCCTTGTGGCTTTTAAAAAAGCCTGTCAAAGAAAACATGGATTTGCCCCGGGCAGTGCCATCGTCGTCGTGACTTTCTGTAACTATGGGAGTTACTGACAGCGTATGCTTGTGATGACCATCCTCGAACACCATGAAAGTCTCCGTTTTCAGTACGCAATGAGCATCGTTTTCGTTTTCGTGTTTTTCGCGCAGTATGCTGGTATTACTTTGCGTTGGGGACCGGCCCCTATAACGGGACGTCAGCGACATGGAACGCGACCTAGCATTCGAGTTCACACTCGGATTTGGCCTTTGTAAACTTTTGACACGTCTTACAGATTCAGGATCCTTCGTCAACTCATTGTCGATGGTAGATTCTTCCGGGTGGGCATCATAGGCTCCGTTTCTGGCCGGTCCAGTTTGAAAGTAGTCAGATTCGTCCCCATCCGACGAAGCGGAGTCACCTTTCATTGAATATGACAACTTAGACCGTACTTTCGGATCATCATCGCTGATCACGGATTCCTGAGAAGTATTACCGTTTGCGCCCTGTTTCCCCAAAGACAGCTTACCAAAATTTGTCACATAGGACTGGGATTTGGCGTTTCTTGCCCCACTGCCAACAATTGGCCTCTGTGCTGGTACTGGTGCTGCCAAAGGTGTTCCTGCATTGGAATCTTTTCTCTTGCCCTCCAGTTCCAGTTCCTTACTTTTCGCCAACGTTTTCAGTCTATCACTGGTTTTCGCACCAGCTGCACCAGCTTCTGGCGTTCCAGGTGTTTTCCTTGGCGGAGAGGTCGATTTAAAGAGACCCTTGATCGATTTGGAAAATGATCTTGACCGTTTTAGCTCACTGTCACTGGCATTTTCTTCCAAAGCAGGCCGTCTAGACATAACAAAATGCGCTCGAACCGATGGTTCCGTCCTCTAGGAGGCTAAAAGCAGCTGAAATTCGCACTCTTGGGTCCGTAAATAGATCGCCAAGAATTGATGAAGAGTTGATATCAATGTGCTAAGTTTCGGTATCCCACGCAGCAATGGCAAAAATTAGTCTTGGACAATTGTGTCATAACTGACGGATGTGTCATGAATGCTTGGAAAACGACTATAAGGCCTGGCGCCTGGCATTTGCGATAAATTTGGGATCGTAGGAATGACACCATCAAATTGACCGGATTTTGTTTCATATGTTGAGAGAAAATTCAAGCCGCTAGCTGTTTGCAAGCATGTGTACAAAATCTTTGACTTTAGTCACAGCACTCAGGACGACCATGAAGGCTCCAAAGAGCGAGAATGACAGGCTACTGATGGCTGCAGCACGTCTATCAACACCTAGGAGATACGCAGTGGTGATGGCACTTGAACTGCACCCAAGTGTGAGTCCCCGTGTAACATAGTCATTCTCCGGAACTTTCAGAAAATTCAAAAAGGGCCCACCCATCAAAACGCCCACAATGCCACTGACAACGGTAGTAACAGCCATAAGAGTGACAGACCCATCTAGATTCTCCACGGTAGGCGTGCCCAGTGCCAAAGTAATGCTTCGTCCAACAAATCCAATTGACATTTCGCTCGACAAACCGATGTGGTGACAGATTACCGGGTAGAGTATCAGTGAGCCAGCGCAAAATAAGAGAATTGGAGGTATCATGCTCAGGAAATGGCGACGCAGATCGTGGCGGTGCGTGTACATGGGCAGTGACAGTCCCACAATTGAGATATCCATACAGGTGCCGAAAATATCACCAGCCCCAGGCCACACATGGCTTGCGAATGCAGCGTTATCGAAAAGCTTTAAGTAGGTCCTACCCGTTTTATAGCTTTTCAAGTCAGTCAGGAAATACTTTATCGCCTGGTGCTTGATCATAACTGACACAAGAAACACAATCCACGACAAGGCCACGGAACAGATTACTGGATGAAGCAGTTTTTTGTACGTTGGGTTTTTCACGAATGGATTGTCTATCACGAACATGAAAGTGACGACTGCGGTGAAGAACTGGAATGGCATGGTATACCAGGTAAAATAATATGTGAAGATGCTCGCGATAAAGCCAAGACCATAAAGCATGTGATGCAAGTGGTCCTGCCACATGTTGAAGACAAACAGTTTGTCAAAATCCTCGGAGAAAGTGGATGATTCTTGGTTCGTGAGAGCTCTTCTGCATACTGCCGGCTTGTTTTCGTGCATCGAGCTGACCTTTGGGGTGCTTGCGTTTTGGCTGAAGTAAGTGGGCTCCGGAGTTTGGACATGGATTCTTCTGATTGGACCTGTCGTTTCATCCGAAACTGAAGTTGAGTCGACCATGCCTCTTGATCCTGAAGGTGATAACGGTAAATGGCGCTGAACTTCTTCGACATTAGTTCTCCTTCTTTCCACAAGAATATTAGTGTTACTGGCAATATCGGACAACGCTGCGTCAGATTCGTAGCTCACCTCGTATTTTTCAGGTGCGCCAGTCCCGACTCCTTTACTGGATGACCTTCGTTGAGTTCTGGTAGGAGGAGTGAAAGTTGAGCCAGCCTGCATCCCATTGTCGATTTCCTCTTGTCTCACAAAGATGCTGATGAATCTACGACTCCCAGTGAGCTTCTGGCCTAAAATAGTGATGTATGCCAAGAGCACAAACGACAGCACATATCCAATGACGAATACCGCAACAATCAGAAGCGCGTCTTGCCAGCTTATCCATGGGCTCAATGGTAATACCACGAAGGCTGGAGTGAAAAATAGGTTCATCCACCTGAGACTCCAGCTCAGCGGAACATCTATAATCTTCACATAGATGTCTGCATAAGGTCTGCGCCATGCGCTTAGTGTGCACATGAACCCAAAATTGATCAGCATAACTGCAACACTAGCAGGAAACTTGACCTTAATCACATTCCTTATGAATCGATCGACACCGTACAATATACATAGAGCTATGATGGCACCTACAGGTACCAAGATATACGTTTTGATCAATTGAATTCTGCTCGTTTTTGCAAACTGCAGAAATAAACTCCAGTGTCTAAATACCATTTTTGGTAGCTCTCTAAAGCTTGAGAATCGGAGATTAATCCTAAATACTGCCATCGAGTCTCAAAGTGGGCTACGATCTGAGAGAGCCGATGATATTCGTAGCGACTATTGTGTTGATAATCTGAGTCGTCTTGATCAAAACTGGCGCGGTGAGCAACAATTAATATGAAGATCGTAAAGCACGAACACCATCGACGATGGACGTCTATATATACATACAGGAGAAAGAGCCTAGCCTAAGTGGAGCCCGCTTGGAGGTACTAGTTTCTTATCATTGAAGGTTTCAACAAATATTGGTGCAACTTTCGATTTTGAAGGCCGGCCATTGTCGAAACTTTTGCCAATGTGATGATGACAGGCTTCCTCAGAAATGCGTTACATGGTGGTTGGAGGCAACCGAGAAAGCCTACCTGTACCACAAATCTGGACGGAAAATGCATTGGGATGATTTGAATGGATGCTATTAAAGCTTGACAATGTCTTCTTCGGCAACTTTGACGTGGTCAACCTCGGCCAAAAGAGACTGCATGATTTCGGCTCCTTGCTTGTTACGCATATCTAGTGAGCCCACGGACTGGCCTTCCCTGTCGAGAATCTCCAAAACACACGGAACGCTGGCATTTTTTTTATCGTCGTTTTTCACTCTAGTGACCTGGAAATGCAATTGTGGATTGTAAAACTGTAACGTGGGCATGAACTCACGCCAAAACTTCCTGGCCCCCATGTGTCCATTGTGGTTTTGGCACTGGAACGTCAGATTTAGTCCCGAGTATTTTTCCGCATTTAGAATGATCTGGGACTCCAACGTGGTTGAACTGATTTTGTTGAAAAACTTTAGCTGTCTTGCCACACGCGACATTCTTATATGAATGATTTATAGAGCTCTTGTAGCCTTACCCAGTGGTATCAACGCTGTCCGATAATGTTCACCAGTTCATCGGTGCACATCTAAAATACGCATATTTTTAAAGAAATTAAGTTAAAATTTATCACGATTCACGTTGGAACAAACCATCCTCTAGTTCGTGGGCCTGTTTGTTTGTGGAAACATCTGTAGACTGTACGTCTTTTGGATGTTACATGCCCCAAAACGCTCTCTCCACGAAACATATTTAAGAATTCAACCTTCCAGTAATGCCAGTTTTAACTTTGCTAGACAAGTGATTCTCATCAGCTGGATGATAAATTGTAGCCCTTACCGACATGGTAGCTACAGTTTTCAGTGAGTAGAAGATTATCTGACACCACAAATATCCACCGGATGAGATACCTTGCGAAAAACGATCGCTCATTTCATCGTTATCATCATTATTATTTCAAAACTCCGAGAACAATTCTCTGTGAGTGTCTTCACCATCGCGCCCGTAGGTTATCTCCTCTTCTGGGTATCTATCATACTGAGACGTGTCACCTTGCCCTGCCTGAACAGGAGGCTCATAGGGAGTTTCGATGTTTCTGCACAGCAGTTTCTCCCACACCACCTCACTGAACCATGGATGGTTCTTAACGTCGTCACTGCCATTCTGCAGGTTACCTAATCGTTTGCTTAAATCGCGGGTTATCAGTTTGCTCAACAGATCTTGCACATCGGCTTGAAAAAAAGGCGGGAACTGCAATTCCGCATTCAGAATGTTTTCATAGGTTTTCATGGTATTGGAATCGTAGAAAGGCGTGTAACCAGCCAGCATTTCGAATATTAAGATGCCAAAACTCCACCAATCAACTGATTTATTGTAAGGCTTTGTACTCACCACTTCAGGGGCGATGTAATCTGGCGTTCCGCACAGCGTGAACGTCACGTCTGGCACAAACTTGGCAAACCCAAAATCCGTGATTTTAACATGCCCGTTCTTGTCAAGCAGCACATTTTCGGGTTTCAAATCTCGGTATATGATGTCCAGGGAATGCAAGTATTCCAGAGCCAAACACACCTCTGCAGCGTAGAATTTGGCCACTGGGTTCGGGAACCGCTGCGACTTGCGCAATAGCGAAAACAGCTCGCCACCTTCGATGTAGTCCATGATCATAAACACCTGTTGGTGGTCCTGGAACGTCCCCCACATGCGAATGATAAAAGGGTGAGCCACCACCGAGAGCATGCGCCGCTCGTCGTTGGTGTGTTCCACCTGTTTCAACTTGACAATCGTTTTCTTTTTCAGCACTTTCATCGCGTAGAAACGGCCGTTATGGTTGGACCGCACCAAATGTACCCGGCCAAACGAGCCGGTGCCCAGCGTACGCAAAATGTGGAAATCGTTCAAGTTGTATTTACCAGATGTTTGTCGCGGCTGAAAACTGGGTTTCTGTGCTGCTACATTTTCCAGGCCCAAGGAACTCTTGTCGAGCTGTTCCGATTGCTGGGTATCTTCCCGTGCAATCGGCTCGTGGAAGGACCCCTGTGTCACTTGCGGGCTCAAGACACCCAAGGGCAATTCTTGTAGTGTATCGGACATATCGTTTTCTGCTGAGTCCATCAAAGACGTTTATCCCTTTCGTTTGGTTTTGTTTGGTTTGCTTTGGTCTGGTTTGAGTTTGTCTGTTGCAGCTTCACCGTCGATCCCGAATGCTTGTAATAAGCCCACTCCCCTTACCTTTTGGTGAAGATGACTTTGCGTGTAAAATCTTGGAAAATAGCGCTCTCGTTTCGGAAAAAAGAGTTCCAGATAGCTCTTCGCCCTCAGAAGATAATGGTGCTACTTTCAACTACCACTTCCACCTTCCGAAACCCGTCGGACCTGGATTAAAAAAGTCGTTGGCACTGCTGAAAATAAATGCTCCAAATAATGGTCTTGAGTTCTCAACGGTGGATGCTTTGCGATTGTTAGTTTAGTTGCCAGCGCTTCCCTTTAACATTATAAATTTCCAAAAAATCGTTCTCGTTGAAAATCAAGCTTTCTTTAATTTTTTTTTTAGGTAATGAAAGCAAAACCGACGATTTCGTGTGTAGCGATCAAAGTTGTACTCGCGAGAGTACTCGTAATTCTGAAAACATGACGTAATCCTTTGCGCGTGTTGGACTCGAGTACTAGCGCTTCACCTATGGTATAAGCTGTTACCGATGTAGGGTCTTGATCAACATGGCGGATTCAAGAAGACGACGACAATGAAGCCAGTGTAGGATTATTGTCTTTGGGAGCAATGTCTCCGTTTCTCGAAGTAGGTACGCGTAGTGTTTGGGACGTCGAAGCGCGTCTGTCAGTAGACTTGGAGGCCCCGGGATCAGGATTTGTGTAACCGGCAGAATCGGGTCTTAAAGACATCTGAGACCGTCTACGTAGACGTTCAGGATCAGTGACAGCTTCCAGCGTGTAGCTGACACCTACGGCCAAAGCTGCGGCACAAAGTGGCACGACCATAAACGCCATGGCATGTTCTTTCACCGTCTTGCTATAGACCTGGAAAAAAACAGCTGGGAAAATCAACATTGTAGCACTCCGAACCAAAGCTAAGGCGCCGAAAACCTCTCCCAGCGACGAATGAGTAAAGTACTTGACAGCGGTCGCCTGCACCGTGGGCGAGAAAATGGCACTGACGTTCTGGAAACACGCGAACAAAATCATCGAATATCCACGCCGGTCGCCCACAGCCGCCGCAGCTATCGAAGTCGTTATAGAGATCATTGCCACACGCATAGAGATCAGATCGATATTGTCCACTGAGTTATCCAACCGTGTGTGGCGTTTTTTGAGCCAGACAAGCAGTAATGGGGCAAATACCAAAAGAATCAAAGTCCGACCGATTCCCACAAGTGACATGAAGTATCCCAATGTCACAGACGTCCAGTGATATTTGTAGGTGCCGAACAACACCATGGGCCCCATGATGGCCGCTGTCGACATCATGTAACAGACATCCATACCGATCAGCGCGAGAACGCTGCGGCGGGCCACAAGTGAGCCATCCGCAGATGGTGGAAGCCACAACTTTTTCAAAGGCGACAACAGGTCCAAAAACATCACCATGTGGTAGCGACCACGGTTATGGAGCGAGCTCGAAGACGTGTTCGACAAAATCGAGTCAAAGCTGCGGCGACGGTCTTGGGCTTTGAGTTGACTGTGTTCCAACGCCTGTGCATGGCGAGACTCCACCAACCCAAATGTAACGAATAGAATGCATCCCAAGACCAAGACCGCTGCAAAAATAAACGGAGCAAAATTGTTGTTGTTGGAAAGTCTGACCACAGCAGATCCTACCAGAGGCCCTGTACCCATAGTCCCATATATGGTACTCATCAGAAAGCTAAGGGCCATTGTACGCGATGCAGGGTCCGTGCAATCAGCAAGGTAACTATTTCCCGTTGCAATGAGCACCATGAGATCTGCTCCCACCGAGAGTACGCTGTTGGCCAGCATGATGCCAGTCTTGGAAAACGGAGTTTGCGGCAAAATTGTGTACATGATAGCAACGATCGATATTAGACGCACACACCCGATGTACTGTAAGATGGGCTTCCTGCCAAACCGGTCTGACAATTCGCCTAGTTTGCCGGCCAAAAGCGTGCTTACCGTTCCAGCCAAAAGCATCCGCACCGACTGAATCTCCGAAAACACTTTCTGCGCCTGTGCCATGTCGCACACTCCATCCCGCATAGCCACTTCACACGTCTTTTCCACTGACATCACAATAGTCGGCGAAAGTATCAAACTTTCTGCAAAAGTCAACAATCCAATCACAAAGCACAAAATCTCAACTCCCGGTTTACGCCAACCAAAACGGGTGTGGTGTCTTTGGCTTTCCTTGAACCACCGACCCTCATTAGTGTCCACTGAATCGCCATTATTGATTGTGTTGGCTAAGATTGCTTCACCGGTATGTTCCACGGCAGTCTCCAATCCTTCCAAATCAGGTCCCAGCAACGCCGAAACCTCATCAGACTCATCTGAGACTCTTTGAGTCTGAGCTTCTGCCATTTGTTGTTGTCGATGTGTTTTTGACGATTTGTCGATTTGAATCTGTCAATCAAGTAAACTTGATGAGAATGGGAACCTTGCCAGTTATTAACGATATTGGTTAAAGATCAACGACAAACAAAAACACGGTAGTTTCAATATCGCGACAGCCACCAGCTAGGATTTATGTATAAACCGATTTAATTTGATCTCGTTGTCAATTCGGGGTGTGAGATTGTCTCTTTTCTCGGCGATGGGATGGCCGGTTTATTACGCAATTTGAGTTCAGAGTCTCGTAATCAATGTCTCCCTTTGAAAAAAATATAGCGGGGCTACTAACGTCCGTTTGTCGTACTGGCTCCGTGGAACATAGTCAAGTTTACCGAACCTAAATGGTTGCGCAGTGTCCTTTGCTGCCTTCTGTTGTACGTTCATTGGGACTTTTTTTGTTTGTCCGTAAGATGCAGGGAAACATTTCTCAGCAGGATGTGGCTAATCAATTCCAGAAGCAACATAGCAAGCGAGGAGAGAATGGCCAAGCAATAATTGGAAATTGTGACACCTATGTCCAGCCAACTGCCCTCAGTCTTTAGCAAATAGAAAAATTGCAACGACAATATGTCACTGGTGCAAATAATCAAGGATGAAATGCTGTAGTCTCTGATGCGTAGCTTCAGGTTCAAAATTCCGAGACCCGTAGATAGCGTGATGTAGGGTAGGATCAGCTTCACCATCAAAAGGGCACCCATGGGGAATGGGTCGAAAACTGGCATCAATCTATAAACGGAATCGAGCGAGAAAGAAGAGATGGAGGCCACGTTACCGGTGCCGAAAAACGCAACCTGCATGAGGAAAAATCCAATAGTTGAGACACGTAGAAGTTGTAACCAATTTTGAGGAGCAGTGGATGCGTCTCTTAGAGATTTTATGTCTGACTCAATTTCGATCCACTGGTAAATGTAGGCAGTGAAGAAAAAGTAGAAAAACGACTCAAACGAGATCGTGAGAATGATAAACGCAGGCGCAAATGTCAAGTAGATGGTCAGCATCCTGACCCTGTAGTCCTGGTTCATTTTCGGGTAGTGACACAGAGGCATTCCCACCAAGGAAACGAAGAATACCAACCAGCCTGCAATTTGCGAGTCCCGCGGTAGTCCCTCCCGATTCTGCAGCGAAACCACAGATTTATTGGTTATTGCAACCATTGCGACAATAAGAGCGATCTGAACTAGGAACAACGTGGACGTGTAACGCTGAACACTGGATCGTACGCGATAAATTCCCCATAGTCCGCTCAAGACGATCATCGCACTTGCCGCGTTGATTTGCAACAAACTCTCCATTTTCACTGCATCAAACAAGGTGAAAACTGATATACAGCCGCTTGTGAGCAACCAAATTAAGTTCTGGCGGAAACCGCGGACACCACATGCCCAGGGATAGAACCCAAGCGCAATGAATGTGGCGGTGAAAATCCATCTCTTGAAAAAACCATAGACAATGCTTTCGTAAACACTCAAGACCGCCACAACGGCGCTGATTTTCTTGTTCATTGAAAGACCCTTGAAAAATTCCTCAAAACCATCACTTAAAATGACCTTGCTTCTGAATATCTGACTCCAAAAGAATAACGGGAACATCAGGTACATGTAAAAATTGAACGGAGACTTCTGGTAGTAGAGTGTGTAGTTCAAAACAACAGTCAAGGTTGCAAAGACTGTGTAATGGAAAACTGAAGCTTTCACTTCGTAATCTTTTGTTAAAATGAATAGTCTCAAGAACAAAACGAAGGAGTATGTGATCCAACCGACAAAACCAAACGTCACAATAGTCCTTGTAAATTGCCTGTTGTAAGTCGTCAAATAGTAAAGTGCCTCCAATGTGTTGGTCATCAATTCCTCTGTCAATTGAATAGCCAAGGGCTCCGAGGCAAGATCTCCTAGAGATACGCGATCAATCAGTTTCTCGATTTCTTGCTGGTATTCAAGTGGTGACTTCAGATCGAATTTGCTATATCTTTTGTAAAAAAACTGCGAAGCGACAACTTCCTCTTCCTTTACTAGATATTGCTCCAGAATGCTTCTAGCGTTGGCGTAAAGAGCTTTCAGTTTCTGTTCTTCAGAGCCGTCGATGTAGGCCAAAGGCAATTCACCCACTGAGTTCACGGGATAATCAGCGCCAATCAGGAAAGACATTAATGATGCTATGTCTGCTTGTTTCACATCGTTTCTGTTGATATGAGAAAGATTCCAACCCTGAGTATAGTTATCGTGAACGGGGGTGGTGTTTATGAGAGGTTTTTTGATTCCTGGTCCCCAAGCTACGAGTGGTGTTCTCGTGTTATTGGGATGGCCATCACCATGGGATCCAAATGCACTCATCCCATGGTCAGCGGTGAAAATAAATGCGGTGTCATCGTCACCAAAAAACTCATGGACCTTTGGCACCAAACTGGCCAATTGTGTATCAATATACTTGGCATTATCATAATACTCTGCGGAATACGGACGGTAAGAATGACCCGCAGTATCACAACCCAGAAGGTGGAGAAAAAAGACATTTCCTTCCTGTCTTATCTCCTCGTTGAGCTTGTTGTCGACGGTAGAGTTGTAGAAGAGGTCATCGAGTTTTTTGAATACAAAAGCATCCAGTTCGATCGAAGATTGCGTGAAGTCCTCAAACTCGTGCCCATACATCCAAGTGTCAATTTTATTGGCGTCTGAGGCCCCCTTTTGAAACATTGGTAAAATATCTGGCGAGCCAAAAGAGTACGTGTGTCTTGACTGGTTGAAAAAACTATCAAAATCGACAGGATTTTCTTGCCATCCTTTTGTCACGGCACTTACGTCTTCGTAGAACCCAGCAATCATCGCCACATGGCCTGGCCGTGACTCTGTTGGCATTCTGGTGTGTGAGACACCGTAGGTTCCATTGTTTTCCACGATAGATCTGATATACGGTGCCAGGTGTGCAGTTTCTCCAGTGACCGGATGTGTAATTTTCTCAAAAACCGTATCGGCGCGCAAGCCATCGCCAACCACTAAAAACAGCCGTTTTGCTGGCGGTTGGTCTGTGCTCTGGTGTGCTTTCATACCATGGACAAGCGGCGACACGAAATAGATGTCAAAGATTGACCATAAATAAAAGAAATGGAACAAGATTCCAACCACCACAAAGGTGATTCTTTGCTTACTCCACATAGTTCTGATTGAGGAAAGCTCGTGCTGAGAGGTCAATTGGAACCAGAACAGCTGCTGGCGTCTCTTTCGAGGTTCACCAATTGGGTTTATATACACGTACGCGTTTAGAAATCTAATTCTGACCTTGTAGGATATCGCTCTTGACGGCTCATCGCCAGTAGACCACCCCAACCAAAATGGCATCTTGTGTATCCTCATCGGTGTCCAACATGATAAAATGAATCCATGAGTGTACTGAACTTTTCTGCTACCACTTGCTGCCGGTTTTGTAATTCTTGTAATTTTTCTGTTACTTTGACATCGTACGACTTGGCCTGTAGAAGTATCACCTTGTTCTCGACGCGAGTGAGCCGATCCTTGAAAAGATCATCTGCTGTGGCTCGTGTTGAGAGTACATCCAAAAGTCTACGCTTAAGATTGTTGGCTTGGCTGTGGAAAACTCGTACCAATTCCGTCATCCGTACTAGGTCCTGATTAGTTATGACGTGGGTCTCATGCAAGATCGGCTCCATGGGTAAGACCAGGTTAGGGATAGCCATGTCCATTCCTAGCTCATGAACAGAAAGATGCTCCACTTTGTATATTCGCGGCAGCGATTCGTTCACGGGCCGAGAGAGGCCCTCATAAATTGGTCCGTGAGCGTGAACACTTTCAGAATTCTGCCTTTGAGTTCGAGTGTAGCTGTGGTCCTGTGAAGCGTTCCGCTCTGTTTTGAGTCTCTTTACCCGTACCCCGTCAAGCATTTCGCTCACTTGTTGCATGTCAAACAGCTCCTCGTCATTGGGAAGCACCGTCTCTAATTCACGCAGCCTCAAATCGGAGCCTCTAGTGAAATCCAATGCATTTGGAGTAGCTTTGGTATCTCCTGGCCGCTTGAGCGGATTCACTTCTCGCTGTCGGCTCGCGTCGTCGTTCAGTTGTGAATGTGTCGTTCCCTTTTCAAATACCTTACTCACAGGCGGAACCTCTGCTTTGGCTTTTGCCTCTGTTGGCTGCTCAGTCTCCTCGCGAGTTATGATATCTTCGGGATCGTGCTTGACCTTAACGTCGTTGAATTTTTTCAAGAGGTTTTTGATGTCTTGTAAAGTGTTTGCACCTGTATTGGGCTGGTTTTTTACGGGCGATGTGGATCTTCTTTGTTGCTCTCTTTCGTGACGCGTGGTCCTAGCATAATGCCGTTCGTGCTGATTTGAAAAGGGAGAAGAGCACGAAATGTTCCCGCGGTTGTTATCAGTGCTCAGCTTTGTTCTTTTTCCCTCATTAGCCATAGAATCTGGTAAATCTTGTGCGGGTCGGGCATCGCTCTTCAGACCTTGCGTAGTGGCTGGGAAACTGGAGTTGTGAGTTGAACCCCTCACTTTCGATCCCTTATTCCGTTCAGGCTCTGGACGCTGGTGCTGGTAGCTCTTAGCCTTGAATGTGCTGTCCTTTCCATTCCTGGTTTTGGCGGGAGAAGATCTCATGGCATCTGGATTTGTCTTTCCACCTTCATTTTCAACCCCGAATCCGTACGGTTGTTGTTCGTACGGTTTACTTTGACGCGAAAATGAGGTTTGAGGTGAAAAATGGCTGAAGCTAGCGGGTTTATCAACACTTTCGTGAGGTGTTCTTGCGGAATTCGTTCGAGGCATAGGCTTCTGAGGCGAAGATGTAGGTGTTCGAAAATCGCGATCACTCGTACTAATTTTCCCTGCTACCGCTGAAACCATTGAGGACAGTCTGCAAGCTTTCGGTACATATGTGTGAAGCCCCTTTGAAATCAGTTTCCGATTGTAATCTTGTCGTTTCTGCTTGTCGGCCAGCACCGATTGAGCGTGGGAAACCAGTTTGAACATCTCGGCTGCACCACTTGATTTGTTCTTGTCAGGGTGTATAGCTATTGCTATTTTCCGGTAGGCCTTCTTTATCTCTGCTTCTGAAGCATCGGTAGTTAATCCCAAAACCGAGTAATACGTGGTTTGATCTAGCCATTCTTCTTGTCCTACCATGTTCGAAAGGTTTCAGAGAACACCTCGTCAGTCTCAATTGTCAATCGATGAGTCCAAGATGAATATTAAAAAGAAGATGATAGAGCGCGGCCCTAGCGCGTCAAGAAACGTAGTGTATTTGCAAGCTCATCTCATCGTGATGCGTTTAGCCCGAAATTGTTCGATTGTAAATAGACGTGATATTTAACAAAGGCCTAAAAAAATAATCGAAGCGACCTCGGTGAGGATTGAACTCACGATCTTGCGATTAACAGTCGCACGCCTTAACCAGCTTGGCCACGAAGTCCCTGAAATTTGATGAAAGGTGAAAAAAAGCATCTGTACATACGCCTATTATTAACTCACGTGTGTGCAGAAGTGCCTTTGGGAAAAACAAAAAATTCTCCGAAGCGGGGAATCGAACCCCGATCTCCACGGTGAGAGCGTGATGTGATAGCCATTACACTACATCGGATTGTTGTTGAAATGTCATGAATAACACATGACAATAAGATAACCAAAGATCACAGATGAAGACATTCTGTCTAAAGTCTAAGAGAAGACAACAAGACTGAGAATGGAGGCTGTTGAGTCCCAGAAGTCTCAGGTCTAGGCTATGAACATGTCAGGAATACGACCATGCAGAGATAGAGACACAAGGTATAAAAGACGAGCATGACATGCTTGTCTTACGGTTATCTTATATGCTAAAGAAAGCAAGTAGAGAATCATAAGTAAACATTGAACAAGTGTTTGAATCATTATTATATCCGCTTGGGTATAATAGAAGTTATCGCTAAGTCCCACCTCTACTTCGGATCGATTATCCGGGACCGTAGCATAACATGAAAGTAGAGAGGTTTCAAGATTAATATCAAGGTTTTTAGGTCACGAGTATGGACCTGCTTGGTGAACAGATGTTTGTTTGCATCGCGACGAATGTAACTTGGGCACTGGAAAACAATGCGGGAAGCGCATTTTCAAACGAGCATTATTTACCGCTTCAAACCAACATATAACATTTGTTTATTCTTTTATACTTTACATTTACAATTTTGGATGCAATAACGAACTTTTGCTTGCGTTTTACAATATTATTAGATTCTTCGGTATGGCAACAAACGTCTAAAAAAAAACAGCACCGGTTGCTGATACGTCCAGGATTACCCCACGCCTAATAGCAGGTTTGCAACAAATCTTAGGGGTTCATAAGAGGGGATATGTCAAAGGTCTGAATAATCTGCCTTGTATCCGCAGCTTTTTCTCCCGCGTCAGTTCTTTTCAAATAATTTACATTGGACAACTATATAAAGTACGGACAAAGAGTTACACTGGGGCTCAAAGAGATAACTGGTCCAACTAGTTTCAAATCGGCATCACAAACTTCAAGTTAAGCAGAAATGTCAAGTGGTAAACCGTTCAAGCTTCCCTTTGAAGTTTCCAAACGAAACCTTTGGTCTAACGTCGCGATAAACTCTGCGTTCGGTCTAGGTATATATTTCCTATACAAGGACTACACGAGTAGCGGTCACAAGCCAATAAGTGAACGGGCAACCAGAACCGTGAACCAAGAGCTTCCTGACCCTATCACACAGACACCCATTAATGTCCAAGGACCCTTTGCACGTAGAAACATCTCCTACAGAGAACTATCATTTGCTACTGTAGGGTACGGATTCGTAATGCAACTGGCCAATATGGCGCACGTGACGTACGGCAGAAACTCATTGTTCTACAAAGCAGGTCTAGCGTCAGTATTCTTATATCCACCTCTACTGTACTATTTGTACAAGGCTCGAGAGCCAATTCAGTAGTAATACAACCCTGCATATAATCCATGTGTAGCTAGCTAATGAACATTATCAGAATATCTGGTTAGTGACGCTAAAAAGCAGTTAAAACATATAATCTTTATAAGAAAAGAACTAGTGTACATGTACTTGAATGAATATGGTCTCCTGTAACCTGGGAGCCAAAACCTGAACACAATTGGCAACGCAAATTGTGTTACGAACGAAAGAATCGATGAGCCGCGTGGGCGAAATTGTTAAAAAAGATGAATCGTGATGCATTTCTGAATTGGGAGTGTGGAACTATGCCCAGTTTGGTTTAACAGTCGATTAGCTCGATAACTTCCAAGTGGACTGGAGCACATTGAGAACCAATGGACTCGTCGTACAAGTTGTAGAAGCTACCCGATAGACATTGGTAGAAAACATCGTGTTCACCGATGGCTAAGTTACCTTGTGGGGTAATAGCCCAACCAGCGGCGTAGATGGCACCAGCTTGTGGAGGAGGACCGTCAAATTGGAATTGTCTGTTGGCAACGATGGAACCGATTCTTCCCTTGGAGTCCTTTAGCATACCGTTGTCCAAAGTCATGGATAGAGAGCCTTCAGCCTTGCAAGAAACGGCAGACACGAAGGAAGAAGCGTCAGAAGTGGAAGCTGGAGAAATCGAGGCAGAAGTGGAAGAGGCCTGGACTTGACCGTCATGGATCTGAGAAGCACCGCTCAAAGTAGTGGCGTTGGCAGAAGTAGCCTGGATCTGACCGTCACCGATCTGGGAGATGGCTGGGGCAGAAGGCTTCAAAGTGGTGGTAGTGGCCTGAATTTGACCATCACCAATTTGAGAAATGGCAGCGGCAGAGGACTTTGGAGTAGTGGTGGCAGTGGTAGCCTGGATTTGACCATCACCGATTTGCGAGATGGCTGCAGCGGTGGACTTTGGAGCAGCGGTAGAGGTGGTAGCCTGGATTTGACCGTCACCGATCTGGGAGATAGCAGCGGCAGAGGACTTTGGAGAAGTGGTGGCAGTGGTAGCCTGAATTTGACCGTCACCAATTTGTGAGATAGCGGCAGCCGAAGATTTTGGAGTAGAAGTGGCAGTAGTAGCCTGGATCTGACCGTCACCGATCTGCGAAATAACGTCTCTCTTAGCGTGGTCGGAAGCGGTGGCAGCGCTCAAAGTGGACACAGAAGAGGTGATTGGCACCACGGCAATACCAAAAGTCTCAGAGTACGCGGTGAGGGCACCGGAGTAAGTGGCAGTAGGAGTCAAGGTGCTCCATGGCTCAGAGCCGGTAACGGCGGCAGAGGCAGAGGAGGCTAGAGCCGCAGCGGCGGCCAAAACGGTGGTGGATTTGTATTGCATTGCGATGTGATGTGTTGGGATGAGTAGTGATGATTGATGGGATGCTAAGAAAGAAGAGATAAAGTTGACAAGACAGATCAGGATTACAGAACTGATTTAACGCAGATATATATACGCATTGAAGTGATGCAAATGGCCTAATTGGCAAGGCTTGGTTGTGTGTGATTTGAAGCGAATGAATTTCGAGCTAAATCGCAGAAAACATAGTGAGCGGGTTGGGCTTGCTGTGGGAATGGAAGGAAGGTGGGCCAAAAAAAAAAAAGATCAGAGCGCTTGGTGCAATTATGTTCGAGAATGTGACAAGATCAGCCGGGCTTGGTGCTGGGTTATTACAGATTGATTGATGGTTGGGTTAGTACTGCAAGTTCTGGACTCTGTAGGCCTAGAAGCGGGGATGGCCCGATCAATATGAATGAGGTAAAGTGTGGAGGTGGGCGTTCCACCAGCCATGTTAATTTTGCAATACATGGCGAGTACGGGTGGGCGAGTACAGGGCAGATGAGCAAGACAGGTGAGCAAGACGGGTAACGCACGGATACAAATTAGAAAGTCTAGGATGGATGAGCAAGAAACGAGAGAAAAAAAAAGCTATAGTAGGTAGTAGTCACTAGACCTGCTGGACCAATGTTTGGAGAGTGTTTCAATTGTCTCAATGCTAGCGATTTAAACACTTTTCTTATGGGTGTATAGCTTCATCACCTACTGCGAGTACTCTCTCACGTGACATGTGTCTTAATTTTCACGATACTCTCTTAATTTACCACCATGGGCGAATCCCAGCCACTTGCCAATTTTTTCTCCCTCACACTACCACCTCCCACTTACGACCACCCACTATCACCACCCAGCCATTACTACACCATCTACAAAATTGTCTCTCCATCTTATTCATCTTATTGCACTGTTCGCTTAGTTACGGCAATTCCGGCAATTTCCGGCAAACCTCCCCCCTGCCTTGCCCTGCCCTGTCTTTTGTTCTTTACGCGTTACGCGTCTTTCTTACGCGTTTGTTTCGCACCAGTCACCTAGAAAAGCCGCAACCACAAGGGAAGACCAAAAAAAATTAATCACGCGTCACAGCCATCCTATTGAATCAGGACAGGAGAGCAAATGCCGGTGGTACCCAGCCACCACCCAATCACCACCCAATCACTACACACTAACCCATCCATCGCCTTTCTTTTCCCAATTCGGAAAATTAACGATCCCCATAAGATTTCCCAAAACGGTATTAAAATAACCTGGCGCACATGTGCGGGCGGATCAGGTCTTTTTTTAGAAGCGGAAAAGAACGGCTTGTCCAACGGGCAAAAAAAGTGTCTCTGACCCACCGGGTATATAAGGAAGACAATCCGGCGGGAATGGTTCTGGGATGTTCTCTCCTCTGTTGTTCACTTTGTCAATTGGTTTATTTTAGGTTTCAATTCCTCAAGAGAATTACATCTGATCGCTTTCTTTGTCCATCGCTAGGCTTAATTGCATCTCAATAAGCGCAGAACAGTACTCACTTCAGTAACTCATCATATCACATCACATCAGATCACATCGCAATGCAATACAAATCCACCACCGTTTTGGCCGCCGCTGCGGCTCTAGCCTCCTCTGCCTCTGCCGCTGTCACCGGCTCTGAGCCATGGAGCACCTTGACTCCTACCGCTACCTATTCCGGTGCCCTCACAGCTTACACTGAGACTTTTGGTATCGCTGTGGTGCCAATTTCGTCCTCGGTGTCCACTTTGAGCGCCGCCACCGCTTCCGACCACGCCAAGAGAGACGTTATTTCGCAAATCGGTGACGGTCAGATCCAGGCCACCACTGCCACCTCTACTCCAAAGTCTTCGGCTGCCGCTATCTCCCAAATTGGCGACGGTCAAATTCAGGCTACCACCTCTACTTCTACTCCAAAGTCTTCGGCTGCCGCCATTTCTCAAATCGGTGACGGTCAAATCCAGGCTACCACCTCTACTTCTACTCCAAAATCCTCTGCCGCCGCCATTTCTCAAATCGGTGACGGTCAAATCCAGGCTACCACTTCCACCGCTGCTCCAAAGTCCACCGCTGCAGCCATCTCCCAAATTGGTGACGGTCAAATCCAGGCCACTACCTCTACCGCTGCTCCAAAATCGTCTGCCGCAGCCATCTCGCAAATCGGTGATGGTCAAATCCAGGCTACCACCACCACTTTGAAGCCATCTTCTGCCGCTGCCATTTCTCAAATCAGTGACGGTCAGATTCAGGCTTCTTCTTCCGCCGCTAAGCCAACTGAAACAGCCGCTTCTCAGATCAGCGACGGTCAAATCCAGGCCTCCTCCACCTCTTCAGCCGTGCCAACAGAATCTGGTGCTTCCCAAATCCATGACGGCCAAGTTCAGGCTTCTTCCACCTCTGCTTCTTCTTCTCCAGCTTCCACCTCTGACGCCTCCTCTTTCGTATCTGCCGTTTCTTGCAAGGCTGAAGGCTCTCTATCCATGACTTTGGACAACGGTATGCTAAAGGACTCCAAGGGAAGAATCGGTTCCATCGTTGCCAACAGACAATTCCAATTCGATGGTCCTCCTCCACAAGCCGGTGCTATTTACGCCGCTGGTTGGGCTATTACCCCACAAGGTAACTTAGCCATTGGTGAACACGATGTTTTCTACCAATGTCTATCGGGCAGCTTCTACAACTTGTACGACGAGTCCATTGGTTCTCAATGTTCTCCAGTCCATTTGGAAGTCATTGAGCTAATCGACTGTTAAGTCAGATAAGCCACCACCCTTCTCAACCCAAAAAGCAAAAAAAAAGAATAACATTTCACTTTTTCTTTCCCAAGGTTATGACACGTCTAACCCACTACTGTGCTGCATTTTCAACACTCCTTTGTTCCATTACAACAATGCATTTCCAATTTTTCTCAACCCGACAGATCGACGTTCCCTTTGCATACATTTTAACAAAAGAAGAAATGTTACGGAACCCACCATTAACAGCATGAGGTTCACATTTCACACACCTTCAAAATCTTCTTTCCCACGTTGTGTTTCTCGTCCATGTCGAGAAACCCTTTTGATAGTTCTTTTAACAAGTGTATTGGATCCTAGCTACCTCTTGATGAGGTATAGTTACCAATATGCTCTTACATAATTAATTCAAACCATTTTAATACGTTTCATTCCTGATCAAAAGAGACTGAACTCGCTACTACGTTGTCGTCAACTTCACCTAATTATGTGTCTTCGGGTTCTTTACGGAACATACCAAAAAATAAAATCAGCTTGCACTCAGGTTCGAACTAAGGACCAACAGATTTGCAATCTGCTGCGCTACCACTGCGCCATACAAGCTTGATTTGTGAATATGAATGAACTAGAATTAGCAATGTATCAATAATAACACCACGTGAACCTTCTAAGCTCTTTGCCAGGTCAAGACCACAATCAAAAACTAACCTTTCACCGGTCTTCCAAACCGCCCTCGCCTCATTGATCATCTTAGAGCGACCTCAACATAGCATCTGTCATAATTTGACATCAAACTTGCAAAAAGTTCACCCTTCGTTGTATATTAATCATCACCGAAAATTGACTCTAAGACCTTGACACATATAAAAGCGCCGCTCCTCATACAAGCAAACAGCACTTCCTTCTCTTTAGTTGCTTGCCACCAACTCGTTCAATATGTCTCAAGTTACAAAGATCGCTTTGGTGACCGGTGCGTCGTCTGGAATTGGTTTTGAATTGACCAAACAATTAGCTGGAAAAGGGTACAAAGTTTATGCTGCCGCAAGACGAGTGAACCTTATCTTACCGCTTGAAAAAGAGTTTCCAGGGCTGGTAAAGGCTTTGGAATTGGACGTTGCAGAGCTTTCCCAAATTTTGGCCCTCAAAGAGCGTCTGGAAACGGAACTACCAGCCCAAAAATTGGATATCTTGTATAACAATGCTGGGCAGAGTTGCACTTTTCCCGCCACGGATGTGACCAACGATGTTTTGGAACAGGCCTTCAAAGTCAACGTTTTTGGGCCGATCAATTTGTGCCGGGAGTTGCTGCCATTTGTGATCAATGCTCGTGGAACAGTGGTTTTCACAGGCTCTATCGCTGGTATTGTGTGTTTCCCATTCGGATCTGTCTACAGTGCCACGAAGGGAGCCATCCACAGCTATGCCAAGGGACTACACATTGAAATGAAGCCATTTGGCGTGAAAGTCATCAATGTGGTCACAGGAGCCGTATCCACCGATATTGCCGACAAACGACCCTTGCCAGAAGGCTCCGTTTACAACATTCCCGAAGCTGCGGAGGCTCTTGAAGCTCGTAGAACCATGGCAAAGGACAACCGTCCTGAAAGTGTGTCTAAATACGTTCAAGAAGTGCTCAGAGACATTGAAAGTTCCAGAGACCCGATCGAGGTGTTCCACGGTTCATTTGCAAGTATCGTCCAATATTTCACGAGGTATATTCCGTACTGGCTCGTGGAGTTCGCGTTGGAACGCAAGTTCAAGCTACATGGTTTTAAGGATGCGCTCGCCAAATCCAAGCGTGAGTAAACAACAAAATTCGAAGCCAAAGTGGGGATGGCCCACAATTGTGATTATGACTCAAATAGCAGAAGGTATTGTGTACTTACTTAGAGTAAAGAAACGAAACGGAGCTATCTTTTAACGGGGGGTATCCATATATGCTAAAAATGATCTAAAATGGTATGGGCGAACTAAAGTAAGACGCTGCCAAAGCTGGTAACGTACAGTGGAAGGTTAAATGGTAATTTCTACTAGAATTCTAGTGAAAAGAATCGTTTAGCAGTCGACGAGCTTGACGATTTCCAAATGCACTGGAGCACACTGGCTACCAATAGTTTCGTCGTACAAGTTGTAGAAACTACCGGACAAACATTGGTAAAAAACGTCATTGTCGCCAATGGCCAAGTTACCATCTGGGGTGATAGACCATCCCGCAGCGTAGATAGCTCCAGCCTGTGGAGGAGGACCATCGAATTGGAATTGTCTGTTGGCAACGATGGAACCTACTCTGCCCTTGGAGTCCTTTAGAATACCGTTCTCTAGACTCATTTCCAAAGTGCCGCTGTTTTTGCAAGAAACGACTTTGATGTCAGATTCTGCGGAGCCTGAAGCAGAGGCAGCAGCAGAGTTGGAAGATAGAGTAGTGGTCTGCTTAGCACTAGACGACTGTTGGATTTGACCGTCGGAAACCTGGGAAGCAGCAGCAGCAGAAGAGGTACCGGTGCTGGAGCTGGAGGCCACAGGCTTCTCAGAAGTGTTTTGGACTTGACCATCGGTGATTTGAGAGGCGGCACCAGCAGTGGATGTGCTCTGAGACGTAGCAGCAGACGATTTCTGGGTGGTAGTGGTGGACGCTTGGATTTGTCCATCGCCGATTTGGGAGACAGCGTCTCTCTTGGCGTTGCCGGCAGTGGTCGTAGCAGACGAAGCAGACGAGGCACCGGACGCATTGGCCACAGGCTGGACGGCAATACCAAATCCGGTCGAGTAAGCGGTGGCAGCACCGGCAAACGTCTTGGTGGGGGTCAAAGTGGTCCACGAAGATGACGAATCGTCAGCAGAGACAACACAACCTGAGATCAGGGCAGAAGCAACGACAGATTTGAAAAGCATAGCGAATGGAAGGGTTCTTGGCGTAAAATAGAGAGAGCGAGATAGCTACAAGACTAGATCACTACTGATGGCAACAAAATAAAAGAAGCTGTCTCAAACAAACTCACACATCAGAATCTGCCAACTACAAGTTCCACATCCACAGCTGCTTTGCTTATATACCAAGACATATACGCTAAGATTCCGGGTACTATTCCGGGCCCACAAGCCCGCTACAACGATCTGCAAGACGAGTCCCGAAAAAAAAAATACGAGTTCGCGGCCCCATTCACAGCCTGCCGTTCTTTACTAAGTCGAGCAATGACACGATGAGTAGTATCATAACATCACTTTTGACCTGAATTACGGCAATGACAACAATTAGTAGCGTTAACGAAAGACAGAAATAAAATAAAATAAAATAAATTAAAATAAAAAGGCCTAAACGTTAGCACAATTGTACGTGTCGCGTCCATGGTTCGAGAACCATTGAAGTATTTTTAAAGTTTTACGTATAATCGCACGAGTTCTGCGAGAAACTCTGCCGCGCCAGAGCTGTTAAAGTTACGGTTAGAGCCAAGAATGTGGAAGTTATAGTTATTGACGTATTCTTCAAAAGTTCTGGCTGATGTTTTTCCGGTTACCGGGGACAACCAAAACGCGGGTCAAAATTCGTGGCTCGAGGATACCGCGAAAAAGGATTAGCTGTGTGTGCTTAGAAAGGTGCGTGGGATTTTATGGGTTTCCAGGGTGTAATAGACGGTGGGTTCTTCTTCTATTTCGGGAAATATGATTACCGTTTCTGGACAGTGGGGCCGCGCGGTTGGTATTGCTGTTTTGGGACACGCGGCTGTGGTAGAGGAAAGGAGGGTGTCTGGGTGTTTAAGGGGGATCTCAAGACCTTGAGTCATTAGGTACGGGATATGAAACGGATGCGTTTATAATGACTTGATGCTGATGAAAAACTGACCCGAACATCATTTTTTCCCAGTGTGTCGCAAATGGTGTCAAAACTGTGAATGAAGGCATCACTCATTGATAATGTTATCATTAGCAGCGGAGTAATGGAGCCAATGGACAACGCAAAGGTAGGGGCTCTATCCTTAGCTTTGAACACTAGAAAGGCTTTGTTTTAAAGAAGTTAGGACCACGCAGTCTCATGCGCCCGAAATGCACTGGCTTTATTGAATTTCACAAAATTATGTCATATTCACGGAGTTGCTACCGAAGAAAGGTTTCAAATGTTCTAAGACTCAATGACAGCTCAAGGATGTGCTCCAGCTATATTGCGAGCGTCACTGGGAACAAAAAGGTTACGGAGTTCGAAGATTTGAGAAAAATGGCTTGTAACTTCGCACGTACACGACCCGAGAACCGACTAGAGGACGCGCACCAGCTAGTTGAGCAAACACAGCATATGGTGATTAGCATACCATGTATAACGTGGAGGAGTGGCTTCACCTGGATCTACTGGTAAAAATGTCCTAGAGGTGCCCAAAAACCCAGAAGACATCAGCTTCTGGTATTCCAATTTCGATAATCTGAAGATCGTACTGCTGGGCACAATAATTGGTTCCGATCCACGCAACACACGGTATAGTATTTTGCGTGGAAAGCCCTGGCGAATGCAATTGAAATAATCAAGTGCCATAACGTCGGTGACAGGCTCTGAAAAAAGTGATAACTACTCATTGAATTTCTGTCACCACAAGTCGAAGACGTTTGAAAGCCTTTGGATTCCCCATTGCATCTTCGGCTGTTGCCAAACTACAGTTATAATGTCCCACGCACTAGTGATCGCGGTAAAAAATTTCAGCTCTCAGCTTTTTAGGATAATCACCAGCGTATCATGCATTAGTGTGGTTTCAGCAAGCTCATCAACCAATCTAGGAACATAATGCGTCACTCGCCAATGCTCTACTTTCCCTAGGCAAAGGTTCTCAAATCGGGCCGTATAATAGAGGAATGTTCACGGAACCGGTGTTCGAACTTCCACAGGTGAAAGCTCTCAAGAGCTTACATTACAATGAGTACATAAAATTACCTGAATCTACGTGAACTCTAATTGCAACTGACATACTACCGTTTACTCCTGCGCTTTGTACTTCGTTTGGATTTCTTACTCGTTGTCACAGCCTTTCTTGACAGATCAAGCGACCCCGCATTGCACACATCTCCCACTTTGACAAGGCCTGATCATTGCTGCTTTGATTGGAGCACAGTTGCGTTATGTAGTGCAATTGTGAGCTTAACTTTTCAGCATATTGACCGAGAGGCTCAAGTTTGACAAGCCGATATAACCCAGGATCATTACAGACACAGTCCCGACTGATACAGAATATCATGGAGATAAGCTGATTTAAAACAGTACATGTATCAACAGTGAGTTCAACCATCACATTCATCAGCGTTTCAGCGACAAGTAGTTCCAATTGACGTGAAGCAAAAACCATATCCCGGGAGGCTGACATTGGGGGCGCAAGAGGAATGTTTAGAGTTTCAAGTTCGCTCTCCTGGGAATCGAAACCCAAAGAAGTCACAGAGGCTCTCATCGCAGATGTCGAAGGCATTGTCGTTCGACCAGAGGTAAACTTAAAATCACATCCTAGAGAGTTACCTTGGAAACTTGAAAGCCCAGAATGATCATACCACTGAGAAGTGTAATAGAGAAGGGAAGAGGTTGCTGCGCGCGACAAAATGTGATGCCCAAGATGCTGTCGCAGACTTGATACATTGAGTTGAATTTCTAGTAAAACACTTTTTATCTGTCCAGGTCGGAGGCACCCAATTTCAAGTGTCAGTTCATCGGAAGGCCGAGCCAACTCTACCAATCGGCCATTACGTTCGGCAGCACAAAACTGGGCCACAGTACTATCCGCACATCGTAGACATGCGGATAGAGACGTTACAAAACTTTCGTGAAGCCCTGTTATAAGGTCACTAACTGATATGTCTTTCAGGGCCTCAAAGCCAGTTGATATAACATTGTAAGTTTGACCTTCAATAATGTCGCTCAACAGTACCTGACTGTTGAATGTGAAATAATGATGGATCGAATACCGTAACTCACTTACAATTGATTCCAACTTGCGCTTGATTCTCCGTATCTGAGGATCGTCTTCCTTTCTGTAATAACGCACAGGAAAATCATTTCCAATGATAACGAGCTGCTGAACGTGGTCCTGGCTTTGCTCTATCGTGCAGATTAGCTTGTAGCATGTCTCAAGCATCACTGCCAACTCACAGGTGTCATTTTCGAAAAACTCTTCGTTACTATGAACCATGAGGCCATCAACAAAATCAAGTAAACCATCCCAGTCTTTTTTCACCATGCCAATAAAAGTCCCAAACGGCCCAACTCGGCCAGCACCATCTCTGCCTACTATAACAAGCCCAATTACATCTTGTCCAGAAAGGCAACCTAGGCACTGCATTAACTTCGTCTTTAGTGTGAGTAGGTGTTCCTCATTGGAATGGAGCTCTGGATGACAGTTTATAATACTGATGCAAACAACAAGTTTGAGAGGCAACCTGCCGTGCGGAGTGAAAACGCTCGAACGTGGCCCTACTTCTGTACCCTCATAACTTTCCACCGATTTTGGACGTATTGGCATGATCATTGATTCGGGGAGAAAATGCCAATTATTAGATGTAAGCTGTTCAAGTGGGACAATAGATGAACTTTGTTCTTCTGGTGTCAAGAAAACACGTTTCAGGTAGTAGAACCACTTACGAATGACAGCAGGATCACCATCACAGTGAAGAAAAATCTCGGGCAAAAGTTTGGATTTCAGGTTCATGATTATTGTATTAGGGTCCAATTGGTGTAACTGAGAAATCTGGTCTCTGCTAACATTCCCAATGAGACTCTCATCGGCTACAAGTACGAGTCGTTCTTGAAACATGAAAGCTGTAACAGTAACCCATGTGTCCTCGTCTTCAGAGTAGCTCATTTTATCGAAAGTCTCCAAGGATCCGGTCGAAAATGACAACTGCAGTGTCTCTTTGACGTAAGTTTGTATCTCATTCCGAATGCGTACCTCTTTGTTCCTCAACAAGTTTGCAGACTCGATAACGCTGCTGCATTCGGGAAGATACGCTGTCATCACATACTGAACTTTGGCCACGTTAGCATCCTCGTTTATGTTGAATTTCGACAGTTGCGGTACCAAGTGTATGCGTGGTTTACTGAGATCCAAATCATAATCAAATCCATCACTTTTAGACGCGACACTTCTTGATTGAAATGAGCTCGTTCGACTGGAAGGTGTACGCAAATGTTTTGGCGATATACCGAGACCGCTATAATTCTTGAAACCATCGCTAGTGATTTCGGCACTTTTGATAACTTGATCGTAAGGTGTCCTGAGATCATGTATTCGAGCACTCTTGCGATTTCGAGAGTCATCAGGCTGACTGATTACCTGGGCTTTAACGTCATTTGCGGTGCATAAGCTTCCACTGTCGCCTGTATCACACAAGCCAAATCCTCCGCAAAGAATTTTTGCCGTCATCTCGCTGACGACATCTTTCCTCTTTGGGCTGGAAAGCCCACCACAAATTGAGCATCTGGGTAAAGTGTTGGCAGGAAGAAGTGCTTCTAGGGATACCAGAAAGCAGTTGTAGTGGCATTGGTGATTGCAGGATAGTTCGATCAACTTCTCCCCATCTAGAGCACATGTGAAGCTTTCGCCACAGATGCTGCAGCTGCTTGCAGCAAAGTTCTTGGGTCCTCCTGAAAGAAGAGCAACATTTTTTCGAAGTTCTGCTGCACACGTAGGGGACTCTACTTCGGGATATAAATCATTCCAAGGGTCTTTGAATATCGGTTGCTCAAAAGTGCAATGGCTGTTAGGAGAACCTTGTGAAGTGAAATCGAGACGCCTGCGTGGATCTACCGAGCTTGCAGTGACCCAACTAGCACAGTCTGAAGACGAACAGTCTGACCTTCTGAAGGCCATAGGTGATGCCAAAAAAGGCGCCACTTTCGAGCTGGTGCTATGAGCTTTGTGGGGTGTGGGACGGGGCGTGATTGGACTCAAATGTAATGGGGCTGGGGCATTGGTACGCCTCTTGCCTGCAATCATGTCTGGTTTTGCCGTAGAAAGCGAAGAAGGGCCAAATTCGAAATCTCTGCTTTCGCAAGGTGCAAATCTAGAAGAGTTTCTGTGAACAATACGTGGACGCTCCTCAAAAGTATGGTGACTACTAGCCGGTGAAGAGGCATTCGAAGCGCTTAAACTGCGAAAACCAGAGTTGACCCGTGTCAAAACGTTTCCTGAAAACTTTTTGAAGTTTCTCGCTGAAGCCGGAGAATTACTTCCAACGCTAGGAGGAGAGTGGACATTCTTTGTTCTCGTTGTAGATATAGGTGTGCGAACCTCCATCGTTATCCACTCGACTCTAGTCTGGTACGACAAAACAGCTTCAGTTGGCTGTGATATGTCTTTCTTCAACTTTTCAAGTTTCGGATGGGTTTCGTCTCTGCCTACGTCTTGTAGAAAAATCGATCCACCATGTCCCATTGGTGGAAACGCCGCTTAAATATATCTTCCAAACCTTCAGGATATCCCTAGGCAGCGGAGCAGAATACTAGGGGTGCCCTTAAGGCTTTAACTTGGAAAACATCGTATTTTTCAACTCGTGCGGTTTAGGGTATAGTGTCAAACATAATGGGGCAACCATGAAACCTCATCATCGATTGAGAACAGAAAGGGGAATGAGGGGAGCGACATAGACCCTAACGGCACTGTGGATCCTCAAAGATGTCTTAAAAAACGACCTTGATTCAACACCGATGATCAAATTGGTTTTGAATCTGAGATTCTCCATGTCGGGCTCATCTCATCTCATCGTAAGGGAGATTCGACGGTTGACAGACTTAAAACGCTTGATCATTCTGACCCATACTGACATCACTAAAGAGTAGAAGGTGTTTAGAATGCAGGAACATGCTGGATAGTGTCGAGTGCCTGCGTCGCGCATTAGAGCATGACTGTAACGAGCATTGGTGTTTTATTTCAGTACACCACATCTTATGGCTATGATTTTTGGATATTCCATACGGAAGATGGACAACTGTATGGTCAATAGCCAAATGTCACCACATGAATGCTGAGGCGTTCGCGGACTTATAATTAGGTATCTTGTCAGATTTTTGGTTGTTGCGGGACATCTTCGATCAGATTTTTGATGTGCTTTTTAGTGCGGACTTATCGTGTAGAAGTCTCGAAATGCTAACAAGTGTCTTCAAAAGTATCCTTTGCAATGGCTCTTGTGATCCACTAGCGTATTTTTTCCCTCTCATTCTTCATGACAGCGTAAGAGTTTTCAAAACTGTCATCACAATGAGCAGTCTTGTTGCCATAATTAATAGAAAAATTGATCACTCAGTAATTTTCTCGAGCCACCAAAAGCAGCAACTAGCTGTGTCTGTTTATATCCCAAGCAACACCCGTAACCTTCTGTAGTCTGTCCAAAATGTCAATTATTGGAGTGAAAAGTCCAAATTGACGCTGCTCGCCGTCATAAGAATGCAGCATCCCTACTACTCCTAGTCCTAGGCTGGTGGTGAGCTTTGTAAGTATCCACGCGCCTGAATCGCCACCAGCTGCAAACATAGGTGTGGGAGAAGCAACAATAAACTCACTACTTCTCAATTTCCCGTCTGCCCAATAAATGAGTTTAGAACCGTTGATTTGTCCTCTCGTAAAATTCGTTGTGGCACCGACCTTAAATACTTCCATACCTGGTTTCATTTTCAGCACTTTGTCCTTCACGTACAGATTTTGAAATCTCAAAAATGGGTTTGCCATTGAGCTTACATCGTCACCGAGAAAATTGGTGCACTGAACATCGGAGCTTACTTTTATAATGGCAAAATCAGATAGTTTTTGGTCGATAACGGCCCGTTCACCCCAAACTACCTGTCCGAACGTGTTTTCCCGCTGCCAGTCGAGGTTTTGATCGATCCTTTCCGCTTCCTGGTCAAAAGCAGCCTTTTCTACAGATTTGGGAGGGTAGCGTTGAGACTCTTCCAAAATGGCGGTCTTATACTTTTTCTGTAGCACGGCGGATGGAACAGATACATACGGATAGTCATGGGATTCCGCCAGTGCTACATGAGCGCAGGCCATTGCGAAAGTGGCTCCAGTAAATTGCGCCAAAGAGGCGTCGTTTGCGTCTATTTGAGGGTAGACGTAGCCTCCGAGCGTACCGGTGATCTTTTCGCTATTCTGAGATGAGATTGACATCGATATTGGTGGTGAGCTCCCATTTGGTGGAAGCCGATACGGAGGATGAAATTGTGAAGAAGGTGTGGCCTCCATTGGCTGCGGTACCTTTGCCCCTGGGTTGACAACATCGGCGCAGGTTGTGATGTAGTCTTTAACGCAGTAGAAATGCACATCTGGAAACAGAGAATACAATGCTTTGATCATATCGAAATGTTCTTGTTGAGGGTCCGGCAGGCCAAACGAGAGGGTTAAAACTGCTGATGATCGATCAAGGCCTCTCAAAACGGGAGCGATGAAAGCACCATCCTGATCGGAAATTCTGGAGGAATCCGTCATTGCAAGCTTATCCATAATAGATGCAAGTTTGGCTTTTCTCGGCAGGTCGCATTCCGCGTCAATGCAAAAATTTCTAGGCTGAGGCAAAGTTTGTAGTTCCGAGGCTTCTTCTAAGGGAATGTTGAGCTTTTTAAGGAAAGTCATAAAACGCCTTATTATGATGGCTCTGGAGTTATTGAAAACTTCGGAGAAAAGTAGGTTATCAACAAAATGCAGGACGATTTTTGTAATGCGTCTTAGAGCAGGGCTTTTGCTACAGGAAATTCGATGCGGTAGTCTTGCCGCAGGAACGCCCGGCATGAAATCTTTGAAACATTCTGCTGCTTGTATCACAGCCTTTGAGACATTGGTGACATTTTGATGGATATCATGCATGAGCCCAACCAAATTTTCATCCAAGACTTCCAGAGCTTTGTCAAACTGTTCCGAAGCTAATGCTGGATCATCTTTTTTCGACGACGCAGCAGTGCGAGCAGGATACTCATCCAAGAACGAACCGCTAGTCACAAAAGAGTCACCTTCCTCAGAAACTGGGTTTAGAGATCCGAACTTGCCAAATTCTAACACCCGCAAGGGCTTTCCCACGTTCTCCACATCTCTTTTCCCTGTAAAGTTGGCGCTATCCTTCGTGCTGCCAGTGTGCATTGAAGAAGTACCAGTCCGATGAGTCTGACGACTTTTGGAGAAAACCGAGGACGACTGTATGGAAGATGATATTCTGCTCGAGGAGTCGTCACTTTTGCTTATGTTTTCCGTGTTTATGTCCCCATCGTCTGTAGCTCTTGATGAGGATGAAGCGCCTGATGAGATCCGTACGTTACTCAACTCTTCATTTGTAGATTCATCGTTGTTTTCAGACGACTTCCGGCTGAGGCCTAGGATCCTCTTAGGCATTATAAATAGTTAGCGTCGTGAAGATGAGCTTGAAAGGTCCTAGCTTCGCAGGAACTTGTTGTGTATTTACTGGTAAATTTGTTCAAAAGGTAGTCTATTATTCAATATGGATGTAAATTATTATATCTACCATAAACCATGAAAATGAATTAGACAAGGAATATCGACAATATGGATGAGATGCCAGCTTTCCGTTGTTGGTTGTGAATTTGGTGATGCCAGGTCATTGCAGATTCAAATCGGAGAGAAATGGTTTTGAGTGGAACAGCACTGGAGTCTCTTATTTTTTACTGTCTGAATCTATTAGCGCATGAGCCGATTTTCTTTGATTTGAGTCGCTTTCCCCGACTTGACTAGTCCCCTTTCCCTTGTACGTACTCACAGCGGGAATGTCTGCTTTGATTTTTGTTACATGAGTCGCATAGGCGCGAGGCTCGAGCCGGATTAAGGTGTGAAGTGGAATTGACATCCACGGCGATTCTTCCTGGGGCACATTCATGAAGTACGCATAGATACACCTCAAAACAGCCTGATGTGTAATGATAAGGATATTTTCTTGTCGCTCGAGCTCCATGATGATGGGCTCGAGCCTTATTACCACGTCACGGTAAGATTCACCACCGCGATATCTGTACTCATACTTGTCTTCGTCCCGTGCCTTGAAATCCTCGGGGAACGTTTCTTCAATCTCTTCATATGTCATGCCGTCGCATACACCGGCATCAAGCTCATCTAGAGCTTTCCATTGTAATTGCTTGTAGGGTAAATCTTGAGCAGTCTCTTGCGTTCTGATCAGCGTGGATGTCCACACAGTGAGATCACGGTTACCTGCAGATTCACGCACTAGTTCGGGTAGTTTTTTGGCATATTGAAGTCCTCGGGGCGAAAGCGATGAATCACCTCCAATTTTTTTCTCTAAATTGTAAATCGACTCACCGTGCCTTGACAGCCAGATGTAGCGCGGTTTTATGTGCAGATTCATCACGTAAAACACGATCCGACTTTCCAGGTAGGTTTCCACCTTGTTGATGATAACCTGCTGAGCGATATTGATCAATCGCACAAATGTTAGATCCCTGTCTTGTGCTTCATCCAGCGCTTGGTATACCTGCTCGTAGTTCGCGATTCTCTCCAGGAAATCGGCCGTCGCAACGTCAGGGTCCACACCCTTGTAATCTGGTGAAGAAGTCTTCACGTCTGCGATGTTTCTCAAGATAAGGTCATTGTCGTCACACCAACTTTCTAAGAACATCGGCTCGATAGAGTTCTCCCTGCAAAGCTTCAACACCCAATTCCGCCTTTGTCTCGTTGAATTAGTCGCGTCAAGGATGGCCACAACGCCTTGCTCATCTGCAAACCAATTCATCATGTCGATAACGGCCTGTGTCACTGCATGTTCCCTTATTTTATATGCCTCCTCGTTTGAAGCATCGAAAAATTCCGCGCTTGGCCTGGGAGCACCTTGACGCCTATAGTTTCCCACGTTAAAACACTTGGACTTTATGGAAAGCCAGGAAAGATATCGCACAATCTTCTGTGAGATGAATGATTTACCTCTGGCTGGTAATCCCACCATGACAACACATATTCTTAAATTCTGAACCTAGCGAAACTTGCAATCGACGATTGCCTTGTGTTAGTCCAACTTGTCGAATAGTTTTTAAGCATAAAGCAGTCTTCCAAAGACACAAATACTAGCACCAACTAGCCATCGCTTCTGTACATACATTTGATACCGTGTAGACAGGCATTTTAGCACGTTTTTGATCCGTTCTTTCGACTCAAGTCCGAATGATAAGCGTCCACTAATTATCACAGCGATATATACGCTTGATAATCTAAAGAGGACTGCACAATTTCAAAGATCGGTTGACGATTTGGAGTTGAACCTTTACTGAAATTTGCTAAAGTTGCAGAATTGTACTTATGTGTGTATTTCGTTAATGATGATATATCCAGTGACAGCGATTTATACATTAATCGCCTTGAATCGATCATCAACGTCTTTCTGGTCTCTGATGTACTGTAATGTTCGATTGAAATGTTCAACCGGTATGGATTCAAGATGTACAGCTTTGGAAGGAGTGGCCTTGTTGTAAACGGTCGCCACACTGCTTGCAGGATTACGGTAAATGTAAGAGCCATCGATACCGATGTAAGTGAAATCGCTGGTGTTTTTTGATCCATCTCCGAGGATGGGGTTTATCTCGAGTGCTGAAGAATCGAGATTTGTTCTTATCAACTCAATTAATCCGTTGATGTATTTCACTCCTACGTGAGTGGAGGTCTCGTCGCCGTGGATGTAGTAGTAACAACATCTGTCGAGAATCTCAACCATAAGCTCGCAACTCTGTACGTTGTCCATCACAGAGTCAGCAACTCTGAGAGAGCGCTGGAGACACTCCAAGACCCGCTTGCCCTCGCGGAAAAAACTCTCTGTAACACCTTCCTCTTCTCCCAGCGGCGAGATTTCAGTGGCCCACCACAAATGTGAGCAAGTGTATACGGCACGGCACTGATCTTGCTTCTTGAGCAGCTTTGACCCATGTAGCGTGCATCGTGTTATCAGGGTCTCGTAGTAGGACTCAGTGTGTAAATTTCTTGTCTTTTGTAGCGTTTGCGCCATATTCACAATGGCTTGAAATTGAATACGTGAATCGCTCAAAGATTCTTCGAAAATAGTGAAAGCTTGCGAAAAGAAGTCATAAGCAATGTCGCTCAACTCACATTGATCCGCCAGCGACGCTGTCTGGACATTCAGTTTGTACAGCAAGTCAAAACAGCCCGCACCACACGCGTTATAGAGATCGTTAATAATCCGGGATGCATGCTTAAAAAGCTGTTTCATCGTAACGTGAAGCTTTTCGCGAGTCTCTGGTTTCTTCTTGGATCTCAGTTGACACCTTCTAATTAATTTCCAGTAGTTGGCTAATATGGCCGGCGAATGGTAAATGATATTCTTCCCACTCTGCTGGAACCAGTTCCTGCACGTCAGCAACAATTCCGAATGCGAATCAATGGACTTGTTATAGCATAAATGCGTAAGTTGCGCTAGTTTCTCTTGATCTGGGGCGAAAGTCCAGTTCCCAGAGTCCAGTTCGCTTTCTTCATCCAACATCAGCGAAGAGCTTGCTTTTTCTGTAGTCGACTTAAATAGTGAGCCGCAGACCTGAAGAATTTTCTCAAGCTCGGCTTTTGAAGTTATCCGCCACTCAGCGTACGTCAATGTATCCAGAATCTCGTTGGCACAATCTTTTTGGAGCCTTAAATTCTGCGCAGAAAGAAGTCCTTCGTAGGCATCGCATTCCGTTAATAGCTTCATGAAAAATGCGGTGTCCGATTTGATTTCTGAAGCCAGCAACAGGTCGTGGAAAAGAGAGTCAAGTTCTTCTGAAGCAGCTTTCCCGTAATCTTTGCATTTCTCATGCATGAACTTGAACAGTACATCAACATTGCTGATATTATCCGGGTACCAGCGAAGCGTTAGCTTCAAAATTCCTCGAATGACAGGGGCGAGCTCTTGCAACGACAAATCTGGTCGCTCCTCACTCATTTGACTAAGGAATTTCCAGAATATGAAGAAAAGATTCTTGTCGCCTTCTTCAACACTCATGAAAGCCAGTCCCCGAGTTAGGTCTTCCACATCGGTATTCCGCTCAACAAATCCGTTTAACCTTTCCACTAATGTCAAAACGACCTTGTTTATGGGTACTGCAGGGTTAAGTTTCAAGATCGTGGTGAGAAGATCCGACAGTGTACCCAGATGGAATTCATCTGGAAAAACTTGGCAGACCACATCCAATAAGTACTCTTGGGACACTACGTCTCTGCATTGCACGACTTGATCGAGAATTAGCGGAAGTATTTCTGTACGGTATAGCTCGAAATCCATTTCGACAATCTGAGACAGTCTGACCAAGTTGGCGCCAATCAAAACCTTGAGCTCTTTTCTTTCACGGGTACGTTGCTCGCGTTCACGTAGAGGACCCTGGTGTTGCAAACGCACCCACAGTTTATTCATTTCGATGAAATTTGTGATGATGAAATTGACATTCGCCTTTTTGGCTTCGCTGTCGTCTGCTTGGAAAAACTGCTTAGTTCGCTGTGACAGATAGTAGCGCAGAAAAAGGCCCCGGATCGGGTTTTGAACGCCTTTACACATCTCGATCATATCTTTGAAGATTTCTTCGCGTGGAGCGTCGGCGGATTGCAAATACGCGCTTCCCACAGTTATCATGAGGTACAAGCGGGGCAGAATGTTTCCTGCATATTGCACCAGTTCGTACAGGTCAGCCAAATGATGCCTTTTTGTATGACTTTCGACGAAATACGTTGACAAAATACTCAAAGAGTCGTAGATCGAGATGTATAGCTCGTAGTACTGCTTTGGCGATAACAATGGGCTTCGTAGCTCTGTCAGCATGACCGAAGCGTGTTTCAATGCGTCCATAAGCTTGTCCTGCACTAGACATCGTTGCATCAATATCGTCTGCTGTTTGCAGTTGGTAACGGCTTGGTCTATAGTTTCTGCGTAGGACATTGTTTGTGGCGGAAGGAGTGGGGAACGCAGTCTTTTAGGGTGAGAGCCGCTATCCTCAGCGATGTTACTCGAGCGAACGATAGGGGAAGTTTGATAGAACCACCCGTTTGAGTTTCTATATGGTATATTATTATTACTTGCAGGAGCGAATCGTTCGTCTAGGGTGATTCCATCATGTGATCTGTCTTTCTAGTTGAGGAGAAATCCTGGGGCTCAAAGCGAGAGTTTTTGACTTGGATTTATGACTGTTCACCCACTCGTAGAGTCTTACGCGTTGTGCTTGTTTGAAGTTGTGTTTCTATGCGAAGAAACAGACTAAAAAAAAATCCAAAAAAGGGACTCCCTGTGTCACACATCGTTTTCAAAAACCATACGTGTCCGTGAAATTGCATGCTCATCCTGTTATCCTACCTCATCTGTCTCCAGATTCAAGAACACCAAGCGTTTCTCGCCCAAGTGTGAGCGTCAGTGTTAGGAGTTCGGCATAAATTAATTGAATAACGATATCTACCCAGAAAGCGATGAGGTCAAAAAAATAACCATAAAACCGACGAAACAAAAGAAGAAGTGGCCAGAAAAGGCTAGAAGAGGTCAGAAATGACCAACTATCTCCAGGAAATTCCAATCATTTGTCGTAACTTTTCTCTTGAAATCCACCCTTCCCCGAATGTATTTCTAAGTCGCTGGTGCTCGTCCGGCCCACTATTTCTATGACTAAAAAACTAAACACATACGACGACCAAACACATCTCTGAAGACAATCTACTGTGGTATCCAGTCACAACCGTTTCTTGCGTCGTCAGACGCAGTGTAGGGTCTTCTTCAGTATCCCAGTAATTTGTCAACCTTCCGAACTCGTGCTGAGCGCTCTTCTACGCATGTATAATTTTCACTCACATTACGGCCCAGGTTTCTAAGCAGATTTGCCCGATAATGCCGAATAATCAGCTAGAAACCGAACTGGTGATGGTGTCCTGGCGAGACCTCGCTTATGCTTGTTTGCTTATTGATGTAGATTTATGTAGAAGTAGAGCGTAGAGTAGGATATAAGAAGAACAGAGGTGAAAGTACGGATTCCAAAGGGTTGTTGTAGCACTAATTACATCAAATCCATCTTGAAGCAACGAATTATAACAATGTCTGCTGCAATTGGTGCTAGATTTACTAGAGCTCTAAATAGAAATTCGCTTTACCTGCTTGCGGGTGCCACAGCAGCTGTGGGTGCCGGAGTAGCGTTCAACAATTACCAAAATGGTCGCAGAAACCAAAAGCAAAACTCTCCAAAAATTTGGGGCACTCTCGCAGCCGGAGGTGCAGGCTTGCATACAGCGGAAGTGCAAAAATCGCCACAAGACTACCAGAAAGTGTACAATGCGATTGCCCAAAAAATGCAGGACGAGGACGAATACGACAACTACATTGGCTACGGCCCGGTCCTTGTGCGTCTCGCATGGCACGTTTCGGGCACGTTCGAAAAAGCTGACAATTCCGGCGGGTCCTTCGGTGGTACGTACCGGTTCAAAAAGGAAATGAACGACCCATCCAATAAGGGTCTGCAGAACGGGTTCGATTTTTTGGGGTCCATCCAAAAACAGTTCCCATGGATCTCGCACGGTGATTTGTTCACTTTGGCCGGTGTCACAGCCATCCAGGAGATGCAGGGTCCCAAAATCCCTTGGAGAGCCGGCAGGGTGGATCAGCCAGAAAACACAACCCCAGACAACGGAAGATTGCCCGACGCTACCAAAGATGCTAACTATGTGAGAAACTTTTTCGCGCGCATGAAGTTCAGCGACAGAGAAGTGGTGGCATTGATGGGCGCCCACGCTTTGGGAAAGACACATCTCAAAAACTCTGGTTTCGAAGGTCCCTGGGGCGCTGCAACGAACAGCTTCTCTAACGAATTCTACAACAACTTGCTCAACGAACAATGGAAATTAGAAAGCAACGACGCCGGCAACAAACAATACAACAGCAAAAGCGGTTTCATGATGCTTCCTACCGACATGGCATTGGTCCAGGATCCAAAATACAAGAAAATCGTCCAAGAATACGCCAAGAACCAAGACGTTTTTTTCAGCGACTTCGCTAAAGTGTTCACCAAGTTGATCGAAAACGGTATTGAGTTTCCAAAAAACATCAAGGCCACAACTTTCAAGACTCTTGAGGAACAACAGTAGTAAGCGAGAAACGCAGGCTCACACCCACACAACGAGGAGCTTGCCAGCTCCCCCCACTCTTATATTTATTTCTGCCTCATATATACACTAATGGTAACTCTTATTTATATCTAGTCATCTAGACAACAGAGTCAGGATCTTGCTAGGTAAAACAGGATCTGAATATCGATGATTTGAAGCCAAAAGTCTCCTTGCAGGTCCATCAGTTGCGTAAAGGAACAGGTTTCTCTAGTCAATCCTCCAATCGCATGATCATCTGACGTCAAATTTTAATATATAGTTCTAATAACTTGAACCTGCCAGTGTGGAATCTTGCAAGTCAAGTTAAAAGATTAAACTTCTAGCTAACCATACTTCAGAGGTGAGATGTTATCTTCGATGCTTGTGGCTAACAAAAGTTCTGGCAGAATTATTTGTAGACAGCTTTCTGTTTTCCGTCCCAGATTGTCAGATCAAAAATTGAACACTAACGGGCAAACCGAGACAAACTCTAAAGACGTTTTTACATGGACGGATTTTTTCCAACTCAGGAAACATGAACGCAGAATTAACCTTGGATCATCAGTAGTCACGGCTCTATTAACAAGTAATGCCTCTTGGGCGTACTTGTCGACCATGGAAATCGACCCAATGCAGACAATCATGGGATTCGATCCTTTGGTGGTGGTTTCGGCCGGTCTCTTGGCTTCCGGTGCTTTTGGGTATCTACTAGGTCCTATCTTTGGCACTACTATTTTCAAGATGAGACAGAAATCCAATCTTGCCGATTACAACAAGAAAACAAAAGAGTTCTTGAAGCATGTCATTGAGAACCGTGTGGATTCTTCTTCTCAAAGTTTCAGCAACCCGGTGCCCGACTACTACGGTGAGAAAATAGGGTCTGTGGGTGAATACAGACAATGGCTCAGAGACTGCCATGCATTCCGGAGAAAGGCCAGAGAATTTCTTTAGATGCATAACGGGAATTCAAAAATCAAAATCATTCCCCCACAAACATGTCCACAATTCCGCTGACGAATCGAGAGGTGAGCTCTTTCCTACTCGAAATATTGTAAATTAATACGAATAACAGGTGCAGCATTAACGACAGGGTGTAAACTTTTTGGCAACAGTTCAGGCATCGTAGCCAAAAATATGGTCCAAGAACCCGCTTATAACTGCTAGAGTTTTATTCCTTCATGTATATGCCATAAAATAATATCATGTTCGCGTCTATACATGACTATATGTGTGTATCTGGATAGCTAACAAAGTGACTCCTTCCGATTACTGCAAGTCGAAGAGCAGCGCCTGGAATACATCTCAGTGTTGGATCTTGTTATCGGTTACAGCCTGTGCGTCGCGTCCGTTTGGAGCAACCTCATTGTAAGCAGGTGGGATTTCAGGCTGCGCAGATTTGGAAGGCTCGGGGGTCTCACCTGAAATCTCCTGAGCCTCCAAAGCCGAATTTTCATCCACAAGCGCGTAATCAGAGCGTTCAGAACTCGTTTGATAAATCACATAAACAGCGTGTAGGATACCAGGGAAGCCGAAAAGGAGACACAACAACAGATTTATCCAGAAGTCCTTGGAACTCACTCCGCGACGCAAAATGACTGGCAAAGGTGGCAGGATTAACGCCGCCAGCGCTAGAATCATATCATCCTTGTTCACGGTGTATATGTTGGACATGGTCGCCAAGATGACTGATTTTTTGGGATTTGAGTTCGAACTCCTTGTCGATAACGGTGTGGGCAGTGGGCTCATCTCAATTTAATCATAGGCTGTATAAGGACTTTCTGGCAAAACGTTAGAAGTGATAACATCTTCAATTCGGTCGTATCATCTGATTCTAACTCCGGTGTGCAGTTTTACTTTCATTGGGCAATGTTGTTCCTTAGAATAGCAGGATTTCAAGCCCTAGATATTGGCAATGCGCTCCAACTCTATATTCTAAACTTCTTCCGCGATACGGGTTGGTTTTGGTTATCCACCCCAAAATTATTAGGGAATCTTCTTAACTGTATGCCGTAAATTTATGTTAAATTCATGTTGATGATCATGGAGAATGAAAGTATAGTTTCCACTGTGCCTACAGCACAACAGGAGCAACAGACCTGTTCTGCTGCCATGAAAACTCCGCGATGACGAATTCATATCACTTTATACTTGTTTGTCGTTTCTTTACTGACGCCAGATGCCAAGATGTCACTTTGAACTATACTGACACCATTCTTCATGACTGCGAAAAGCTCGTTCAAACAAAAAGCTGCGCTCCTGCGAGCATCACAACTTCACACGAAAAGCCGCGATATCCAAAAATGAATCTCACACCAATTCTCAGCGTCTCCCGCAAGCATTTTTTTTTTTTTTTTCAAACGGACGACCATGCCAGTTGTGACTATCTTCTGTCAAGAATTTATTCACTGAAAACAAGTCACCTCCTGGCAAAACGACTGTCTTTATCCCTTAAAGTCCCTTAACTAGCGCTTGAAGCTTCCACTATATTATTCCATACTGGATTCTCGGAAACAGGTCAAATATCACACGCCTTCAGCTTAATGTTTAAACACACGCCAACTAAACCCACTCTAGGCCGAGTGTAACCTTAGTACTTCCTCCATAGCTGCTAGAGCTCTGCTGATTTGAAACGATTCAAATTCTTAAGATGATACTCCGTATAATGTTAGATTCCTCATAGTAAGCACATCTTGATATTAATATATATCACTACCTTACCTAACTCTTGTAGAAACACATTGAAATCTAGAGTCCATCAAGGCTCAAGAAGTTACTTCTTGCACCTCCAGTCAATCCTCATTTCAAATACAAAGGGTCTATTATAATAGCAGCCACTCTTCCTCTTCACTTCCCTCAACAATTCGGTGATCGGTTGAATTGATCTTTTGAAGGGGACATCGATTAAAGAACACATATCACGCAACTTTTATGAATCATGGACTTTCGTGCTGAAATTCCACCGTTGGACCTTTTGTCAGAGATATTGTCTTTCTTGCCACAAGGAGATCGGCTACAATGCACTCTAGTCAATCGCCAATTCAACAGCATCGCCACAAAACTTTTGTATCGACGAATATACCTTAATGACTCTAATGTAGTCAAAAGCGATGTGATGAACTTAGCGGTGAATTGGACGGTACTGTACGTGCCGAATAGGCTGCCTGAGCCTATCGCGCGGAAAGTGGCAGATCGGAAACTACGCAGTTTGATACGAACGCTACAATCTAACGAACATGCCGTGCAGGCTGTTGAATGGGTCAGAATCAACTGGGATCTAAACCCAAAATGGCAAAAGCAGTTTCTTTTCGTGATCTGTAACAAAAGTGAGTCTCTGCAACGACTGGAAAACGTAACAGATCCCGCCTGCAACGACATTATTGCGCATGGTAAAGTTTCTAGCGAAAAACTCACAAGCTTCGACATGGCTCCACCCAACCCTAACGCAGGTTCCGAAGTAGACCCTTCATACATTCCAAATTTGAAAACCTATCTTTCGCAAAGGATCTCTTCACGAATAACATACATGAATCTTTTCATATGTCCCATTCTACTCTTCTCGTGCTTATACCCTCTAAGAGACAAACTTCAAATCGTGGATCTCAAACTGCATTGGCGAGTGGAGTTCTATCAAAAAATGTATTTCAAAAAGAAAATATCCGAACGCCCCATTGAGAAGCTCTCTGATGTCTTCGACGCAAGAAGTCTACAAGTCCTCACAGTAGTTTCTTGGCATGAATGCCTCCTACCCAAGGAATTGGAAATGCTCCATCAATTCCAAGATTTTACAAACTTAGAGGATCTATCTCTGATTTCCATCGAACAAGAAACCAAACCTCTGATAGGCCTGTTCTGTAAACTTATTAAATTGAGAAGACTAAAAGTGGACTTTATTGAGCAACTATCTTCGCAGTCCACGAAGCCAGAGGTATTCCTTGCTATTTTACATTGCTGTCGAGAATTAGAATTTCTTGACATGAGATTTGAGGGCCTCGATGCCCCCATTGTCGATGTGGAGAGAGGCGATTTCAGGCTAACGCAAAAATGCCATTGTAGCGCTTGCATGCATGTGTTCGACTCCACATTGCGTCAGAAGCTGTTTGTGTTTCCCGAAGATTATGTTTTAACAGATTTTAGAGACGTGATGACAAAAGATATTTTCCGGATGATACGATTTCACTGCTTGCTCCCGTATTCCAAAGCCTGTGACTACTACCCAAGCGTGAGAACGTGCCCGATGGATATCGATAAGTTCGTTTCACTGATGAATAATGACCTGAAGCTTTACAGAGCGAGCCGATCTCAGCTTGTCAGAGATCCCGTCACTTCTGATGAAAGTGACTCTTCAAACGAGACAGGCCAACGAGACAGGCAAACAGACGCAAGCTATCCAGAACATCTCCTAGAAAGCGATGAAGACAACATGTTCACTGACCTCGTTCTTCCGCACAGACCGCTCACGCGACAAGACGTAATAGCCTGTTATCACGCGCTCATTCACCACCATAGGAGAACTTATATCGCGTTACTGACGCAATTTCCTAAATTGAGGTTCTTGGTACTGAATGATATCGCAACTGTGGTTGTAAACGAACATGAAGAACGCGTACTGCAGCCAGTCTTCTACAATGAAGGGTTCAAATCGAATCTTGGTGGATGGACTCAGAAAGGAAAGCGGCGCAAGGACTCTAAAGTCTTTGTGGAGAAATCAGTCTCTTTGGATGGCATTGAGTACAAAACAAACTGAGGTTTATCTTAAGAATATGTGGTTGCGTCAGACTTGTGTATGATATACCCGTCGTTTCGAGCATTTACAGAGTTTGGGCCATTCATTGGGAGGAAGTTTTCGAAACTATTATGCTGCTGGCTCGAAGAAGTCTAGAAAGATCAATGGGTCATAGTTGTTGTTATCTCCAAAATCAAGCAAGGCGTAGTTGAAGTTATCGAAGACATTGTCTGGCGAGTCCGTAACGTTAGCCGACGGTAAAAGTTTCACGACTTCAAGAAATGACGAAGATGCTTTACTGAAAAATGAAGCAAATAGGTCGTATTCCCCCTCTGAGAGTTTTTGATTAAATGGTAAGTACTGAGTCAGGTTATCGATGTCCAACTCGAATGAAAATAAGCCAGCAGGCATGTTTAAGCAGTTGTCCCACAATTCCCCCAATTTCTTTTTCCCGTCGCGACGATCACAAAGGTCTATGAACTTTTTTACCTCTATAGGGCGTGTTTCAGTCGAGGGCTCGCCATCTTTAGAAGCCTGTGTGTAGAATTCCAGTATGGTTTCGAACGGATCAGTTTCGTTCAAATGATTTAACGTTTTGAGGGTGATTTTCTCACTAAACATTCGCCTGAAAGCTTGATAATAATCAGTTCCCAAGTTATTAAAATATGTCGAAAGTGTTGCTTTGTAAAAGTTCGTCAGAGTCGCTTTTAAACCAGCTTCAGGTGATCTTCCCGAGCGTAAAATGATAGAAGGTAAAATTGATATTACGCTTCTCAAAGCCAGCTCAACAATTCTGTTAGTGTAGAATCTGGCAAAGGTCGGGGTTTCCTCAAAATTGAGCAGATACTCGCAAAGATGAGTGACCTCTAAAATTTTTTCCATCAGTGCCTGAATACAATCTCTATATTCATCGAAATGTAGAACGATCTCGCAATTGATAACCCGAGCATGTTCTAAGGAAAGCTCAAGAAGAAGGAGAACGAGGTTCATTTCATGGTGGAGAACCGTATCCAAATTGCTGTCATTTAGGTCATTTCTCATTAACTGCTTCAAGTGACCTGACAGTTTCATAATAAGATCAAAATCAACCTTTGTTGGACAGCTGCTTATTGTTCTGGCAATTTTTTCCAGCAAAAAATCGTAACGTAACATTGGCAAGGGCAAACCGTCGTTTCCATCACTATGGACTCTCATTGTCGTTCCGATAAGACAAGGAAGACCAGTCAGTAAACTTATCTTGCGATCCCAATGCAAAACATTGCACCAAACACGCCGGTATTCTTTCAACTCTTCCAAAGTTTGTGAAGGGTCTACAGCGCATGAAATTGTTCTATCTGTAACAAAGTCTCCACTTTGTGTCGTGCAATGCCATCCTAAACCTATTCCATAGGATCCAGACACGATCATTCCCATGAGCATACTGCTTTGTTGGAGGTATTCGCCGTCTCCATCGTCGGGTGCGCACCATTGGTAAAATCTTAGCAAGAGCATGGTTTGTAAATTGAATAGTGAGCACTTTCTGAAATTTTCCCCGCGAAAGATGTGGTGGCTAACAGCAGGAAGGTACCTCTCCGTTTCAATGCTTCTGATACTTGAGTACGTATCAGGAAGGCCTGAAAGTTCTACCGAGACCTGAACGATGAGTGTAACTAGGAGGATGGTAGAGTAGCACGCATAATCATCAATACCGTATTTCGCCTTTTTAACTCCCGCATAAACAGCGTGGATCTTAGTTTCCAAAGTCTGAAGATTGAAAAGTGGGCACAGCTGCCAGATATGGTCGACGTAATAGGGCCAAACGTGCTGAAAGAAAAGATTACAATCCGGAATCAATTCAAGAGAAAATTCTGTACCATCCCATGATTTAATACGATTCTTACGAGACGCACCAAACTTCTCGAATAGCTTTTTGCAAGTATACCAATGTTTCGCAGCTAGCTCATCGCTTAAATCTGCTGCTTCTTCTTCCAATTTTTCGAGGTAACGCAGGGAATTGGGAAGGCCTTTCATTGGCGAGTCTAGATGCTCTGGATTGTTAGCGTTTTTATTTAGTCCTTTTTCAGCATTCCTTCCGCCTGCTGCTGCTGCTACTCCTGCATGCTTCCCTTTACGTTTTTGCGCTTTTCTATTGGTATAGCGAGGACCAATACAAACAGAGCGTAACACACGCAGATACACATCTCTTTGTACACTTGCTAGTGTCGTAAGCGGCGCCACGTAGCAGGTGCCGGATCTTTTTCGATTTACGAGCATACCTGCAGGGATCAAGTTGATGTATGAAGCTTCAACATGAGGTATCTCGAACGAGAAATCAGAACTTTTACGCTGCTGCAATTGGGTACCTAAATCTGGAACATATGAGCACGTTTCCTCCAGCCCTAACTTGATGCACGATCCACAGGGCTTCCCTTTGTCGCATTTAGTCTTACGACGTCTGCAGTTCACGCAAACAATAGTTTGACGTCGCCGTTTAATCGAACCATTACGACTTTTATCTACCTTTGAGTCCGCCATCCTTCCATAGCGCTCCAATGATGAAGTTTGCTAGTTTTGAGGTATCATTCAGAGTATTATCGGACTTACTTTGGGAGTTAGTACCTTCACTGCATTAAAGACTTCTCGAAGTGATGTGTAAATTGACAAATATCACTTCATACCATTCTGTCGTTTTTTGGTGATGCAAACTATAATGATTTGGAAGAAATATCAATGAGATGAGGCCTTGGGAACTGGAATGATCAAACATAGATCATCAACAGTGAATACGACATTCGATGCAAAGAGGTGAGCTGAGGATCGTTCCATGGCGATTTGAGTCAGATCTGACGAGAATCGGCGAATGCTTGTATTCTGCCAAACACGGGACAGCAGACTTGCGACATCAGGCAGTATTGGAAGTCAAGTGCTGGGCTAGTAGAGGGCCATATGTGCCGCACACAGTGGAATCTACAGCACACCTGACGGAAGCCAAGTTGCTGGATGAGCAGGCGGTCACTGGGGATACCATTCTACAGCTAAGCTACACTATGGCGATGATCCGATTCGTAAACGGTCTTCTAGATCCGATGCAACAATCACAGTTTGCTATCCCATTGCACGTTTTGGCAGAGAGAATGGAGCTGCCATCCTGGTTCGTTGAACTTCGGCATTGCGGGACTCATGAAAGAGAAATGCCAAGTTTGGACATGTTGCGGGTGGCAGTGGATCAGGCGTTAGAGTGGCTATGGGATAATTTCTGGAACGCGGTACCAGGTCAAGATCTTCGCCGTAATAACAAAAGCCAAACGGATTTCAACGAGTTATGTTTGAATGAAGCGGCTCCGGACCAGGAAAGCGTAGACAAACTCATAAAGAAAGTGCCATCGATCGCGAACCTTCTTGCCAAGAACCCCAATTTGGGCAAAATTCAGCATATGTCATCTTCGTTCACAGGCGATGAAGCTTCTCGCGATCCTCCGTCTAAAAAACGCAAAAGTCAAGAAAAGCCAGAGGACAAGTTGGAAAGATTTGTGCTGCTGGCCAAAGAAACGTGGAAGACTTGCAAGTCACAACCGGACGTCTTCCTGGAGAAATTCATTCGAAATTACAATTGTAGCTCACCGGTCGTTTTAGAGCTGCTATCACAACGAATCCAGCCGTTTGGATATGAACTGAGTCGATGGGTTTTACAAAATTATCAATTGAGTCTCAAGTCGGAAAAAAGTCCACTCCGAGAAACCTTCGATGTTTCTCAGCTAAAGAAGTTCTTACCAGAGATGTGCAAACACGCCCTGAACGTGAAAACCATTATTGTCGACTGGGAGAAATGGGCTGACCTACTCCGAGAATATCCAAACTGGATTTCACTTCAAATTCTACAAAGCTGTAAAATCGATCTCTCCACCGTAAGCGAGAAATTCCGCAGGCGATATCAGTCTGAGGTGGCAGAGTTGAAAGTTCTCTTCGAGAGTTACCAAAAATGTGTTACGAATTCCGAGCTGACAATGTATCAGTTGACACCCTCTGTCAACCGTGCAAGTGGCACGATGACAGCGTTTAAGAATCCCATTACCAATTCTACAAACGCGATCTTGGACGACTTGCAAAAATTGAAGCAGAATGCAGCGGAAAAGAAGATATACGCATGGGAGCCTGTGAAAGATTGGACGCCGCGACCATTCGGGCAGACCTAATTAGAAGCAAATAGAAGCACAAGATAGAATCAAGAAGCCATAGATTTTTTACGTTTGAACTATCATTTCGCAAACGTGTACTCAGACATCCTAGGAAGGTCTCAAGAATGAGCGGTCAACGTGAGCACTATACGATGGGTTCGTTGGCGTACTCCTACCGTGGAAACTGCGAATGTAAGGTACCAGTTTTCATCATCGCACACGATTTGTCGAAATGTGAGGCTACGCTCGGTGTTAAGGTATATTTCAATCCCAATGTCAATAATCGCCTTGGAAGAGCTTAGTTGCGATGCTTCATGGACGCTAAACCTGGTCTTACACGACAATGTGTGATACCGGTGTTATAGCAACCATGAGACCAATACCAAATGTACCAAAGGCTATACACTTAGCACATGGAGACTTTCGTTGAAAAATAGACCTTTTTTTCGACTGATGGCTCGGACACTTGAATATAGTGAACGCCTTTTTGAAGGGCGCCCACTGGCAAGAAAAGCGTATGAGTCCAATAAATTGGAAACTTCGCGTGGTAGAACCCCATATCGTCATGGTCGAATCGGACTGGGAAAGAAGTAGACCGTTATCGTCACGGCCGTCGAAAAAAAAGCCCACTGAAACTAGTCTCAAAATGTGCTGCAGCATAAAGACCTAATAGTACATTATTGGCATTATACAACTGTCTTCCAAAGCAAGTACTCATCCTTGAGTACCCAGGGACAATAGCACCACAGCTCCAAAAGCTTCCAAAAGGTAGCCACTGTGGCACTGCTGTACTATGTCCCCATTGCTGACTTTCACAAAGCTTAGTGATCGAAACGAAGAAGGTTTAAAAGCAGTTAGGTGATGTAGCCAGATGTGGTTTTTCGTCCTCCTTATATACTTGAAAATCTCGCTATGAAAAATTTAAAGCTTAGGGCATATCGCGTACGTGGTGATGTAGAAACATATTACCCGGATTTCTAATTGTCGCTTCTGACGATTGTGTCATTGTGAATAATATGAATGACAAATTAAACAGCGAGTGAGACCAATTCTGCAGATGATGAGGGAGCCCAGGTACTAAGTTCACCTGTTGCCGAGTCATAATTAAATTTGTTTTGTACATTCGCGTTCGCTTTTGCTTTCTCTCTTTTTTTCAAATGACATTGTTCGCTCCTGGACAAAACAGTCATTACCTGATGTGCTGTATTCATGAACAGCGTTCAATTATCAATTTTGTAGTTACTGGTATTTCGTATAGACCGCATTACTGGGCGCTTTCAATAGCGAAGAGCAGGGTTCGACACAGATCACTTTGTACTATCGTGTCACCGATATATGTTAAGTTAGTACCCCGTGTTGTGATAAAGTCTAGCTAAATCGATAGTGCTCATATACACGCTGCTTTGACCTGAGCTAATGTCCCAACACCCTAGAATAGACCTTTTCTTCCGTTCACTACTAGATAACCTTTTCTTCGGGTCGTACGCAGTGTTTGAAAAATTTGGGTTATTGATATGTAAAAATTGACTGCGATGCCATGCGATGAGCTGTAGAACAGGACTCTTCAAGGCAGAAATACAGTCGCAAGAGCATGCTAGAGACTATCGGAGGCGTTGACGCTACGGGCTACAAGAAGTGCAAAGACCTTGGGTCTTTTGAAGCCTCTGGGAAAGAGGTCTGGTTGATAAGAGCACCCCGCGGGTTGGATTTCAGCGAGGTCAAGTCGCTACCCGTAGATTTCACCGGCGAAACCCACGCAACATTTGACAACAAAGGCTTGAAGTTCGAGGTTCGTGAGGACTTGCACGATACTGGTGCTGGTTTGTCGGTACTTGTGCCTGCCGATAAGAAGACCTTGGTAAGTGGTGCAAAAGTTGACCGTTTATTCACTATCAGTGAGACAGTTGACATCGCTCAAAAGGCCGAAGACGGAAAGCGTAAGCTCTCGGAACCAAATGATGAGGCGGAGGCACCAGTAGAACGTAAAAAACACAAGAAGGACAAGAAGGAAAGCAAAGACAAAAAAGAGAAGAAGGACAAGAAGGATAAAAAGGATAAAAAGCACAAGCATAAATGAAATCAGTGGAGAAAAAGGCTCAATAAATAATGACGTGTATCATAGACTTGCTGTTAGCTTCAAATGACAGTATTTTTTCCCACCATTAGAAAAACATATGAATTGAAGGTGTATTGACTGAAATGTGGATTTGCATGCCAAGAGACCTTTGATTTTGCAACGGCGAGAATCGTTCCAAGCGGAACTGTAAATTCAGACGGTACTGCTATTAGCACATGCAGTGTGTACGTATCTCTGCCCTCCATACCTGCCGCTATTGAACCCTGAAAATTAGCTGTAGAAACGAACCTCACATATTATAGAAATACAACAATATAACCCTCGCCTTGACTGCAATGCCGTGGAATCCATAAAAAAAAAAAGGAAGAGAGATTTTCTTCTATTATGCACGTTCCGAATAGTCCCTGAGAATACCTGCCATATGGGTATTTGTGATCTTTCCCCGGCGCTGTTTGCGCTTCTTGACCTCTACACGCGTAGATTGCCTCTTTACTGTAGCCGGATCCACACTGGCCGGTTTGAGACCCAGGTCTTGCAGTTTGCGAGGCAACTCACCACGCTGGGGCAATTTACAGTTTTCCCACATTTTGACGAAATCCTCATCAACACCTCCCAATGCTCCTCCAAAGTTGTACCACACGAATCTGGGCTGATTATCTTTCTTGGTACGTAGCACAAGAACTCTATTTCTGTTTTCAAGTTCGTCAACCACCTCCGTGCACTGAGGCCACCCATCTTTGAGCTCTTTGCAAGATATTCCCTTGAATGTCACCTGTGCACGCAGCAACTGCAGCAATTCTTCCGCTGAATGCACGTCGTAGATCGACACGTATTGCAGCGTGTTGTATTTGGCATCAAACTTGATTTTATTTATATTTTTGAGCAGCGGGATGACGTTATTTTCTGGAGACAGTGAAAGATACGACTCGATCTGTTCTATAGGCACTGCCTCGCCACGTTCTTGAATGTATTCTGTTGCCAGCAACAACTTAGTTGACAAATGAGTCCCGCTCAAACTTTGTTCTGACGCTGCAGACGAAGCGACATCGGGTATTTTGAGCTTTTTCGAAGGGATGGCAGGACTATCTTCTTTTTTCAATGGCCGTTTTTTGTTATCAACTTCAAGCGCTTTTTCTGCCACGATAGCAGGAGAACCCGCTGGCTTTACTTTGTCTTTGAATGCATTGAGATTCGCTAAAAGAGGATCACTATTGCTCATCAGACGCTGATGCTTCCACGGTTTAGTGTAGTGCACTTATGTCAAGACCCGATGCCCTCTACTTCTTCATCAAATCTTAATATATCATTTCATTACTACAGATAATTAGAATTTCGAAAACAGGGTGTTACCCGCACCTCAAGAGTTCTGAGACTATATAAGCCAGAAGAAATCGATTTTAACTTCTTAATACCACTTTTGTACTTATCATTTGCATTTTCTTCAAAAAATATCAGCAACAGTTTCAATTGCCCAGCTTGTACTTGGCACTGGAATGGCAGGGCCGACCTTTGAGTCGCCTTTATTTTTTCAGCTTTGTCGTTTCGCAGCTGAAGTCGATTCTAAAGCGTTGTGGCTTACTGTTGTAGAAAAATGCTATATATATAGCACTCAACTTTAAAACCATTGCTGTTGGAGGTCTGCTTCCCAATTTTGGGTCGAGCGGCCGCTGAAACGGTGATGACCTGAGGTTTGGGATATTTTGAACGTTTCGTGTGTGTAGTTTGTGAGTTTCTTGGTAAAAAAAAAAGTAGACGAGCGATGCAGCACGAGCTGCACAAGCACTGGGTCTAATCTTACCTTATTTATTGCCCATATCAATTCCCCGTTTATATAAATTTTACTACCATTTGTGACCGAGCCAACTCTTCTTCGCGATGCAAGGAGTCTAACACTCGTGTCAGCGCCAGTCGTGCTTCTTCAGAAACACCGGGATCGCGTGTGGAAAGCTGTAAGAGGTTGTCAAGTTGCCGCAGAAAGCGGTACTGGTACACTGACGTTCCCTTGTCCTCCGCCGTGTCGTAGTATATTCGGTTTTCGATGCTGGTCCGCACTGCTGCCAGACATCTCTTGTTTGCATCGCCTGAATGCGATTTGTGCAGCGAAAGGGCCCTCAATGATTCGATAAACAGGCTCTGCATTTTGGTGAGTTGAATACTCTGTGGATGAGGTAGCTGGTGAGCCACAGAACATAATGCCTGGTAGAGACCCATAAGATCAGAAGCATTCAAGCCACCAATTTTGGCAGACCGCTCAAAGACTCCAGAAATACCTAAAACTCGGTGATCACACTTCCATATCAGTTTTCGAACCACGGGCGCTAAATTGTGCCACTGCGACGTCCAGCGATCCGTGTAATCTTTGTATAGAGTGACTGCTTCTTGCCCTCGCAGTCTGTGAGCTAGCATAGCAGCCAATTCGAGTTCATGACTAAAACCGGGCAAATTTTCACGAACCTGGCTCAAATGCGAGAAATTCTTGTTCAAAATTATTTTAGTCAATGCAGCTGTACTTATTTTGTTGCTCACTTGCAACTCCAGAAGTAAAGCGTATAATTGTTCACTAGAAAGGCATTTGGAAACTCTGTCCTGAATGCTCAAATGCTGCGACTTCGACACCACGTCTTCAACGCCCGTTTGAGCTATAGATTTTTCAACCACTTGTTTCAGACGGGACATAAGGATGTCGTAATGAGCATTCACACGTTTTCTATGGTTTTCTCCGTCGGGAAGTTCGTTGTTCAGCAAATCAACCACTTTTTGAACGTGCACGGCGTCAGTCCCTGACTTTCCGAACAGAGACGATATTGTGGTAGATTTGGTCGCATGGGTCAAAAACTTGAGGGTATTCTGTGAATCTGCTTTGCTGCGTTTAGCAAGTGCTGCCACAACAGTGGTAAAGCTTCTTTTCATGCGTTCAGCAAAGTGAAATTGTCTTAATTGAGTGAAAATCGAGCCGCGAAAAAGTAGGAGTTATACGGCTGCAATTTTAAAATAGCAATGATCGTAGACTGGAGGTAATGGGGTTCTGATCTTATGCTTTCTATCGCTGGCGGGACTGAGGTTGACTTATCTCATGCTTTCCTTAGTAGCTTCTTTTATATATTAGATGGTGATCACTTTGTACTTGTCTGGCATTTTCGAGTCTCAACCGTATACATGAAGCAGGGATTGTAGACAACCAGAAGCTCATTCGGTTTAGACATACAAACGCTGCCAGTCACTGGTTAGTTCTCTAAGAGTTTTTTTCTGTATGTATTTAAATGTGATGTCTTCACAGAAGTAGTATCCAAAAACCCCCATCCTAGCCTGATTGACGATCCCATTGCCGCTAGACACTTCTCAGGACTGACTTCAAATGCGTTTATCTGTATTCTGGAGTACCTGTGACCTCTTCATCTTACATTATTCTCCTTCTAGGCTTCAGAATAATGTCAGTGAAAGTCCACCAAAAGAAGTAATCTACCAAAACAAAACCCGCGTACCAAATACAATTGATATACATCGTCTTGAAACACAGGTCAATTCTGATTCACATGATGGCGACAAAGCTTGGAGAAGACAATGACAGACTCGAAAGTGCGTTTCTTTTTTTTTGAAGCCCGAAAAGGGGCTTTCAGAAGAGCCACTCAAATTACCGAAACTCAATCATCACTTGGATCCAAATAATTATGGGCTGATTCACCGTTGGTCCATCATCCGAACCAAACTTGTCCGTCGTTGTCGCTATTTCCACCACTGTGTTTGTATCACATGATCTGAGACTCGGTAATTAAATTGACATGTACATCTTGTTCAAGAGACACTAAGGCGGTACAACTCCGTCAAAATAGCATTGAAGGGCCGCATTCGGAGCTGTATTAGCAGCTTGAACTTGTTTTCAGGCTTTTACTGGCTGTTAGTCCTTTTTTTTTTTAGCTTTTTCGTCTACTTTTGGAGAAGTGGACCAACTTCCTTTTTTTAAGGTAGCAGACATACAACATCAATGGAATTTCTGCCGGATGACTTGGCATCGGCGGTGAGAAAGTCGTGGTCGGATCCAGCAGTTACCGAGGGGCTGGATTCTCCTATCGGAACCCCACGTGGAACGCCCAGAAGCTCGGAAGGACGTGGATCGATGTCCCTGGATTCAGGCTCACCGGTGGACTATCAGCTTTTGAACCACCACTATGCGAGCTCCGACGTGAACAGAAAAACTAGCGTTCAAGAAGAGATTTCAGAAGTCATAGGCAGTATGGATCCGTCAACTTATCCTCCTGTTCCTCAAACCACGCGCAGAAAATCTATAGAAGAAGTCTCGAAAATACGCCAGTGGTTAAACCCTCGCAGCTCATTTTCGGGAGTTTCCAGCGAAGAACCTCTTTTGTATACTGATAATATGTCCCAGAAATGCTGGGTTACTGTTGTGGAAACAGAAGACGACTACTGGCCAATTTTGGTTTTACAGCACTCTTTGATTAGTAGCGGATCACGCTACAGACTGCTGGTACTCTATACTGAAGAGAACAAGACCGTTGCGACGCATTTGGCACACCACAGCATCGAAACATGGAAGGCGACGGATATCGCGCCCATTCTGGTGTCGTCATCTTCAGCGATGCCAGCAGCGGTGGTCTCTGACCTGCCGCCGTCTTCAAGATGGTGCAAGCTACTGCCTTTTGTTTCGCTAGCAAATACCTTCGATCTGGTTTGCTACCTCTCGCCACGTTCATTTGTGTTGTCTAATATTGATGAACTGCTTGACTCTGAAGTGGTATCTTCTGAGATCGACAACGAAACATGCGTGCTGCTGACAAACTCGATGCAAGATTCTCCCACTGTCATGGTTATCCGTCCCAACAGAGAAATCGATGCCTGCATTCGCGAATACATGACGGTTTACACAGATGCAGAAAACAACGGAAAGTGGTCCAAGCTGCGAGGCTCAAACGATGCTACTGTACTAAGAGAGTTATTTCACGAATCCTGGGGGATCGTGGCCTCTGAATACTGTCACACGGGACTTGACAGCGTGCCGGCACATGCCAAACTCGTGGAATGCAGCACAACACAACCATGGAAGGCTACGGACAACATCAGCACACTATGGCAGCGTGCATACAGTCAAGTCAACCCATAGTCTTAAACACTGCTTTTCACGGCAAGTCCGCCTGACCATTTACAGTTCTTCTACCCATCGTTGCTAGCTCTGCAAGTGTGTGTAGGTGGTGATTAAATAAGGTTTTAGTTAATGCTGATATTATATCGAACTTCACCGTGTTGGCAGTCTTCTTTATCATGGTGTTCACTGTCCAAATCCTAGGATTGAGATTGAATACCAGGTTCAACGGTAAAGTTCTTCAAGTTCTGTTCTTAAAATTCGAATCCGAGACCTTAACATAAATAAATTCGAAAACGGTAGGCATCATTAAACCTATGATCTTACTTAAAGGTAACACTCAGGAAGAAACTATATTTTAGAAGAACAACGTTGATAGCGCCCAAATTCTTTGTGTTGATCTTTATACCATGCAATTCGCTAATGATTTGGAGCGGAAAGCTTTTGACAAGCTGGTAAAGAACCTGCCTACATTGATTGAACAAAAATGCCATGGCCACGATGAGCTATACGGTCATAAGCTTTTGCCAGGAGAATATTACGAGGAAACAATTGCGCACGCTCTGGTGTACAAATTCTGTAAAGCGTACAAGTTTGAGTACGAGGCAGCAGCTTCTGCGCTATGTAGTACTTTGAACTGGAGAAAAGAATTCGACCCATTGAGTGCTGCTTTTAGCGAACGTCACGACGAAACTTTAACGAAAATAGGTGTGCTAACCAAATATCCTGAAGAGCAGGCCAACAGGAAAGTTGTGACCTGGAATTTATATGGGACTTTGGCCAAGCAGACGCATGTTTTCAAAGACATCAACAAGTTTCTGCGGTATCGAATTGGACTGATGGAACGGTCCATTGGCTTGCTGGATTTTGACGATGAGTCAAACAACTATGTGGCACAAGTTCACGATTACGATGGCGTTTCTATGTGGAGAATGGATCCTCAGATCAAAAAGTGCACAAAACAAGTTATTGCCGTTTTTCAAGAACATTACCCAGAGTTGCTGTCTGCCAAGTTTTTCATCAATGTGCCTAGCCTGTTGACGTGGGTTTACGATGTGGTTATGAAGTTTGTGAGTGAAGACACTAGAAAGAAATTCGTGGTGCTAAACGATGGTACCAAGTTGGGCCAATATCTTCCATCTGCTCCGTCCATTCTTTATGGCGGTAAGTCCAAAGAAACGCTACAGGCCCAAAATGTCCTTGAAGTGAGGCCGACCGACTATACACTTCATCTGTTCCAGCAGAAAGTATCTGCGGATGTCGAGTAATCAGGCAGACGTTGCGTGTATCCATAACCTGTGATAAATAATTTACTGAAACTACGACATTTTATATTTGTTTCGGTTGCTTTCTACTAGTATTAGGCGGATCCTTGCGCTGCAGCGGCTCTCTGGTCGGCATTGTATTCGAAGCTTTGCATTGGCTCCAACCCCCATTTGGCTAACATTGCTTTGTCTTCGTCCCAACCGTTACACATGGTAGTCAACATCTTTTTACCAGTGAAAATGGCATTACAACCAGCTTGGAAACACAGGAATTGTTCTGTTTCTTTCATTGTGTATCTTCCTGCTGCCAATCTAATAATTGCGCGTGGCATGGTAATCCGCGCTGTTGCGACAGTTCTCAAGATATCGTCAAACTTAAGCTTCTTGGCATCTGATTTTTTCAAGTCTTCTGCCATTGGAGTACCGTTGATGGGAACTAGCCTATTTATCGGCAGTGATTCTGGATGTGGGGTCATGTTAGCCAGAGTGTGAATGAACCCTACGTGATCTTCTTCGGTTTCTCCCAGCCCTAAAATACCACCAGTGCAGGCTTTTATGCCTGCAGTTTGCACATTTTTGATGGTATTCAAACGAGCGTCATAGGATCTGGAGGTAATGACTTTTGGATAATGTTCTCTGGAGGTATCGATGTTGTGATTGTAAGCGGTCAAACCGGCTTCTTTGAGCTGCTTTGCTTGGTCTTCATTGACCATTCCTAGTGTCACGCATGTTTCCATTCCCATAGCGTTGACTTTGGTGACCATTTCGGAGATTTTGCGCAACCCAGATTTACGACCCTGCATATCTCTCCAGGCTGCTCCCAAACAAAACCTAGTCGAACCGTTTTTCTTGGCCTCTTCTGCCTCTTTCAACACCGAATCTAGTGCAACGAGTTTTTCAGCCTGTACTCCGGTGTCGTAACGAGATGACTGAGCGCAGTATTTACAATCTTCTGAGCAACCACCGCTTTTTATGTTCATCAAAGTACACAATTGCACTTTAGTTGGGTCGTGCCATTTGCGATGTTGCAATTGAGCCGAATGCACCAGTTCCAGCAATGGCGTGTTGTAAATTTCTCGTAGCTGCTCTTTGCTCCATACATTGCTAGGTTCCTGCAGAGACAATGCCATTTGCAATGTTGAAGTTGAAACCGGTGGTACAACGGCAGAATCCGTGGCTACGCGAGTAGCAGTTGCCGCAGCACCTTTCAGCTTGTTGGACGTTGAAATAAAGCGTCTGACTACCGACATAACGAAAATATGCTACTTTTTACACACTATGATGAGCTGCTGGAGAGTAAACGCAGTGTAGAAGTTTTCCAAGCTGGCATCAAGAACTGAACAGTGGGTCCCATGTCCGCTTCTCGAAAGTTACTGGTCCCTTTTTATAGGCATACGGACCAGCCTCGAGCCAGATCACTGGTTCAAATCATGTTGGATTTTTTATAACAGGATGATTAAACCAAACGACCATTGAGTCGTAATGAGATGACTCAAGAAATTGAGTCAAGCCGGCAAAGAACTACAATCGAAACAGAAGATAAACAACAAACGTGATAGAGATAGCGTTAGCCACCACGTTGTACAAGATGTGCATGGTATGAGTGAGTGTTGGGATGTCGAAAGACTGCTTGAGAATTAATCGACTATTGAGCTTGTCATGGGCTCGGAGTCACGAAGGTAAATAGTGACAAACGTCGAAGCAAAGAAAGATCAGCCGGTTGATGCACTAGCATGGCAAGACGTCCTTGGATGACACAATGTGGAATGTTAAGATGGCAAGGGAGAGTCAAGGAAGCTTTGGAATCTTAGACCCGTTGTCGTGCAAGCTTGAGTAAAAAAGAAACAACTTAGAAGTGACCGATACACACAACGAAATTTGGACGCATCCTGAGAAGACCTTTGAAGGCCGAGAAAGTACCTTTTGTGAAGCGGACATGGGTTCCACCCACTGTTTGATTCTTGTTACCAGCTTTGAAAAATCGAATCACGTGATCAATAATTGCTCGATACTTCCTAAACCATTGCAGCAAGATTATTACCATCACAACGAATACGATAGCTCACCCCAACACTAGAAGCACCAACAGCTCTCCATGTATCTGTATAACCTTTCAGTGCTTGAGATGCTATATCACTATATACGAACAAGACTGATTCACGTCAAATCGGTTTTCCTTACCTTCAACCCACGAATCAACTAAGACCTCTCCAGCCACCTTACCTCTAAATTGTCTCTCTCACAGCTTCCGTTCCGCCACTTCTTCAAATCTCCATATCTCTTCCAGGGCGTCACGAAAACATAAAAACGATAAGAAACTCACATACATAAAATAACAACTCATCCATTTTTCCGCATCTGCATCTCGCGGAAGACTCCACACTCCGTACCCTCCCAACTTCTCCAGGATATACACCCTTCATTTACCTTTATCATCGCCAATGACAGTTTATTAGCAAGCACGTGATATACACGTGACCACTAATGATTCTAGAAATCTCTGGAAATTAACGTGCATATTCCCTAATACGCGACAGCTGTATAAAAGGCCAATGACGCGCACACAGCTCATCCCTTCTTATTTTGAAAGAAAGCAAGAACTATTAAACACTTCAGAAAGGCGCTAACAAGTGGTAGCTTATTCGATGACTTAAGAATACTCAGTCTGACGCACGATATTACACACTTGCACACCATGAGGATCCAAAAACCAGCGAGAAATCTGAAGAAATCAAGAAATTTGGGGAATTTCCGGAAAATGCACTCCGTCTCAACGGATCATCCCCGTCAGGGCGTACTAGTGGACGAAATGTACAGTGATTTGCTGCCGCAACAGCCGACAGGGGTGTACTTTTTGCTGGAAGTACACACCCAAGAAACCGGACTTACTCCGCATGAGATCGTAGAAGTGGCTGACGAAAACCAAGATCCGGCAGTCAATGTGCACGCAGACGTGGAAGTGGAGGAAATTCTTTCACCCGGTGAAAGAACCTACGATGATCACAACCGCGCTCATCGCGATGACGAGGACATCGAAATGCACGATGGGTGAAAAATTAAGAAATGGGCTGGAGTAGACTGTGAGAAAGTGGAGATAGGGATCCCAAGAAGGGCGAAATATGGAACTCACTACTCTCACACTGCTTGCTCTCGAAAGAAACACCCAAACACAACAAAATCACCAAATCACGTGCAAATAACATCACGAATTACGAACAAAATGATGAGTCTAATGTCACATCTAACGAACCACTTTTTTTTTCAAATTTAAAATTTTCGTATTCAACATCAATGGCGAGAAAAAGATCGACTGGCTACGATTGATAGTTTCGATTTTTGAGATCTGAGACATACTAGGAATACTCTTAGACTCTTCGTTTCACCACAGCTACCGAGTTAATCTCCACTGCTTTCAACTCACTGATCTTTTGGTCTTTCAGCTCCCGTTTTCAGTTTCAATTTTGACGCATTTCTCGTAAGGGAAAGTGATCACATTCGATAACAAAGATTGAACTCACAAGAGTTTTTGTAACCAAACACACCTTCTAATAGCCAAATATGTCGGCAGATCATACTAGAGACCCATGTCCCGTGGTGATTTTGAGTGATTTTGGTGGTGCCTTTGCCATGGGTGTCATCGGTGGGTGCGTATGGCACGGTATCAAAGGTTTTAGAAACTCACCCATGGGAGAACGCCATTTAGGTGCGGTCAGTGCCATCAAAGCTAGAGCCCCCGTGGTGGGTGGTAATTTTGGTGTATGGGGTGGTCTCTTTTCGACGTTTGATTGCGCTGTCAAGGCTGTGCGTAAGAGAGAAGATCCTTGGAACGCCATAATAGCCGGTTTGTTCACCGGTGGCTCCTTGGCCGTCAGAGGCGGCTGGAGGCACACCAGAAACAGTGCCATCATGTGTGGCTGTCTATTGGGTGTTATGGAGGGTGTGGGTCTCATGTTCCAAAGATACGCCGCATGGCAGGCCAAGCCAATGGCTCCACCTTTACCCGAACCTCAGCAACCTCAGGCTTTGGGCGCTTAAACGCCTTATATGCTTACCTAACACTATCGTGTCATGACTTGCTGCCGCATATGGAGTAGCTTCTTTCCAACTATATTATTTCGACATGCATACGAAGCTTCCGATCCTCTATCATGCGCACAACTCCCTTCCCCACCATGTATATATATACACACACACACACAAACGCTTTGTAATGAGAACAACAACTTTCACTATTGAATATGTTTATAATCTTTATTCGAGAAGAGGCCCTCCCTCCGCATCAGTAGCGTTCCAAAGAGGTGGGAACATTGTCAATCGCCAATTTTCAATTTGTTGATCTCAGATGAGGCAGTTCTATCGTGTACCAAAGGTGCTTTTCCTGCTGCTCTCGGCTCGGTACCAGGTGGATACCATTCACCCGTGAATGGTTGCTGGGTAATAAAAGGGTGCATGGCCGCTTGTGGCGGTGTCCATCTCTCTAGTGGGTTCAAATCCAGTAAACCCTTCAAAAAATGCGTCAAGCATTTCCGGTCTAACTTCTCTTTCTCCACCAGCTGTTGCGAACCTAGTAGTTTTTTGGATAGTCGATAATTATCGATAATGTCTTCCAACTTGTTCCATTTGAAATATTGTTTCCCAACGGTCTCATTGCTGTGAAAATCCATGTTGTAATCGTCCACGGTCTTCACCTCCCAAGACTTCCCGTCATCCTCTGATTTGGTTAGGAAGTTGCATGAATTTCTGCCCATGTCAAGCATCCAAGTTGGTGGCAAACCTAGGGTATTAACTATTCTGGTGATTTGGTTAAACTCCGATGAACCCGGGAAAATCGGAATGCCCAGAAATAATTCTGCAATAATGCAGCCAAGGGACCACATATCGATACCCGTCGAATATGGAATCCCCAAAATCACTTCGGGCGCTCTGTAAAATCGCGACTGGATATATGTGTATAAAGTTCTCGACTCTTCGCATGCGGACCCAAAATCAATCACTTTCAATTCAGGCCTATCGAGTGAAACCAATAAGATGTTCTCTGGTTTCAAATCGCAGTGTATTAGCTTGTTGTCTTTCAAAACGCAAAGGGAGTCGAGTAATTGTCGAGCAAAAGTTCGAATCAAACTTATCGAAAGTCCGTGAAACTGATTTTGTTTGAGAAGTTCGTAAAGATTACTGCTCAATAGTTCAAAGACCAAACACAAATGATTTTTGTGAACAAAAGTCTCGTGCATGCGCAAGAAATGATGTTCCCCATTAGGATCAATCTTACTGTTCAGTAACTCAAGTATTTTAGCTTCCGTGATGCTCTGATTCAAATATTCGCTTTTCGATTTCACCACTTTAACCGCCACGATCTCTTTTGTCAACATATTTTGACATTTAACTACCTGACCAAATGTTCCCTGCCCTAATATGTCCAAGACCAAATATTTACGGTTTTGTTCGGTTCCCAAGACATCATTCACATATAGGATATAGTCGCTGTTGACGTTGTCAAAACCATTATTGTGCTTTCCATCGCTAGGTTTGGTCAGTACTCTCTTCGGGTTTCTAGAAGTCTGATAAGAAAAATCCGGCGAGCAAAGTGTATAGGTTGTAGTAAGTGCTTTTGTGAGAGCAATAAGTGGAGAAACGGTCTTAGAGTCCAATGATGCCCTTCTGTACTTTGGTGTAGCATTTAGGGTCGGACGCAAGTCGTGTTTTGACAAAATACGATGGGTTTGTGGCAATACAACAGGAAGAACATCGTCTTGCTGTCTTCGCAGCTGCTTCATGGGTGGTGACATTTGTAGCGGTACATGGCCGCCTGCATTATATGAGCTCAGTTTCCGATGAAAGGGCGACATTGGAGCATGAAATTGAACTTCTGGCAAAGCTGAAGCTGCTGCAGCAGCCGCCGCGGCAGCAGCGGCCGTGTTTGCCGTTGTAATTGGTGGTGGCGCAAATGCATGTTGTGGTGCCACGGCTACTGATTGTCGCCTATGCATTTCCTGGCCGTAGTTGGGATATCCTTGATACGGCAGAAAAGTGTGGTGAGGAGGTGGGAATGCATCAGGAGCTGGACCCGCCGCTCTTGGAGGCGGTATCACCAAGCTAGAGTTTCTCCTGCGAGCCCTGCTTATGAGCTCTTCTTCGTAAGTTGTGGGAAGTTGCTGTTGATGTGAGAAGACCAGGGAGTTCCGCTTCGAAGCTCCTGTATCGTGCCAGGGGTTTCTGAATCCGTAAGATGCCCCATTACCTGTGGCTGCCGCAGCAGCAGCAGCCTGTTGCAACTGCAGCTGCTGCTGTTGTGCGCTAGTCATGAATGCCGGATTCCAGAGGCCTTTATCTGACTCTGACATATAGCAAATCCAAGCCTATCCGAACCGGGGTTGGAAAGGCGGGAGAAAAATGCGGGGAATAAGAACACCCAAGTTAATTGGGATTTACAGCACGGTTAAATCTAAACTAAAAGTTGCTAGATGTGGGATGTGGTTTTTGGATGTCTTATGTCTAAAAATTGTATAGTTCAACAAAGAGCATTTTACCATGTGAGAGGGCCAGCAATTTGTTGATTTATGAACATACTCGTCACTATCAACGAAACACTTTCTGGTCATCAGTTCAAGAGTGTGACGCGAGTCTGCGATGTGTTTGAATTGTGAATTTGGGACGTATCGAGGAGCCTAAAAACGTATGGGGTTTTTGGTTTGAAAATTTGGGAGCTGGTAGAAGGCGGTGGTTTCGTGAAATTGATTTTACTTGATATGAAATTTTATTGAGAACTGAGATCTTCTTAGCGACGAGTTGAGCCTTTATATACTCGGAAATTATAGACTAGAACTTTCACTTCTTATCGCAGAGATGAGGGACTTGTAAATAAATTAATTAGAGGAATTCAGTACATTTAATTTTTTGGACTATTTAGAGAGCTTGAGTTGGGTGATATATTGTTAGAAGCTAGCAGGGGCTATGCATGAGCTTAAAAACAGCACAGAGGCTCAGTCAAGTTGGTTGGGAGATGTATTTTGAATGTGTGTTGGGTATATCGAAATGCCAATGACACTGGGAATTGATGTAATTAACTCCAGATCACTATGTACTTTTCTGGCCGAAGTGAGTAAATTTGCGATTTCTTGCCTTCCGGGTGGGCATAATGATGTTTTATCAGAATAAGAACAGCGTGTACTATAGTCAGTGAAGGGAATTGAACTGGTCGGTAGGTAATGTCGGAGAACGTACAATAGCGATGGTTCACGTGATATACCAGAAGTTTGTGACAGCGACGGGATTTTAAGCACAAATTAGCTAATAAAGCAACACTCGAACCATCCAATCGGCGTCCAAAATCCAACAACTTTCAATGCTAATCTTATTGTAGCATGTTCAACCAAATTGTCGCGCTTTATAAATATACGATTTCTATCATTTTTACCTTTCATTACTTATTTGTTATCATCTTACTTCAAAACGTCGTTGTTGCTTAGAGTGTTACGCGCGCAAGAACCGGGCCGCGGAATTAGTCAAAGGTTCGTCAGTCGGCGCAAACATAGACGTCTACTTCGATGCGCCTAATCGGATAACGCAGCTTACGGATTGTGAGGGGATGTAGATACCATGGTACGAATCTATTCCGGAAGTTGCTTGAATCTTCAAAAAATTGTTTACTCATGGAAAACTGGCACTATGAAACATCATTAGTAGCGTCCAGCTACTTATTCAAGCTCTCAAACCGCTCAGTAGCGAGAAATCTCACTTGCGTTACTGGTAGATCAGGTGTTAGATATTACAGCATCACGTTGTACGTTGGAAATAACGAATCTGTCGCCGTAATGAATTCGATTAGAGAAAGAGGACCCAGTCGATGAGTGCACACACCGTAATTCCATTGTCTCGACCACTAGCAGCTCACCAGGTCGTGCTAACATTCTAATCGCAATGAATATCTCCACATCTACGTTTTCAACCAAAAGAAGAGGACTGAAAAAGGTCGAAGAGGAAGAAAATGCTGCAACTTTACAACTTGGCGAAGAATTTCAACTTACTCAGGTAAACCATCAAGGACAAGAAGAAGAGCTGATCGCATTGAATCTGAGTGAAGCAAGACTGGTAATTAAGGAATCTTTGGAACTGCGTAAGAGACTTTTCAAACAATGGAATAAAAGAGACGATACAATGGAAACGGACGACGACGTTGATGGAGACGCACACACACAGAGCCACGAAAAAGAACTTCAAAATATTGATAAGCTTCTGGAGACAACCACAGGTGGGAACAACCAGGCGCTCAAGCAAACAATGGTGTATCTGACGAATTTCTCACGCTTCAAAGACCAGGAAACTGTAACTGCTGTCACTCAGCTTTTGCAAAGCACAAATCTGCACCCATTCGAGATCTCGCAACTCGGATCTCTTTCTTGTGAAGATGCCGATGAAGCCAAGACTTTGATCCCAAGTCTGGGTAATAAAATCTCGGACGACGACCTTGAAAGAATATTGAAGGAGCTGTCAAATCTCGAAACGTTGTATTAAGACTTTTCATGTATTACAATAGTGCTATTCAGATAAAGAAGTACTGGCCTATATCGATGTGTGCTTCATGAAGTATTTGCCACCCCCGCTTTTCCACCATCTAGCCAGACAACTGTGCGCCTTGACGTCGATGTTGCTCTCGGCATTTGGATCACACATGCATCTTTGTCGCAGTCTAATACTATGGGCCGCTGGACAAGTTCCAAATGGAATGTGGTAATATCCCAGCTCATCGAAATGAATTATCTCGTCTTGCCGGAGAAGAAGAGCAACAGCAATAGAATGAACTGGAGCGTCACCCCATCGCTCTAGATAAAAACCCTTTCTCTGGTCTAGGTGCTCGAAAAAGTTCAGGTACTCTTTGCTCCTGAAAAACGAAAGATCGCCGATCTCGAAATTTGACCAAAAATGACAGAGATTGTAGTTAGAATTCGATTGAATAATTGGCATTTCTAGTCCGATCATGCTATCGTCAGTAATGAAATCATAGCTATTGGTATCAAAATCAATCATATCAGGCTGATCTGCAATAAACTCTTCTACCGCATCCCACAACGTTGGAATAGTATCTTCATATTCATACATTGAGATGACAAAACCGTACTTTTTGCGCTGCTTCCGCATAATCTCGAAGGGGTCGTATGGGAAGTCGCAGTAGTATTGTACATCCGGCTCGACACGGAAGTAGTACTGATATCTATCCAGTAGCGTTTGCCTGAAGAAGAATCCAGAATTGAAGCGGCACATATTTCTATAGGATTTAGAACCACCGTAGATAATTCCCTTCTCATGCATCAGTTGTAGATTACTTTCGAATTCCTCTTCGTCTATGAAGCTTGGCTTATCCCAATCTGAGGTGGGTACTAGGCCGTAGAAGGTTTTTCCACTTGCCATTGCCGATGTTGCCTCGATAAAGTCATCATCAAATGGAACATCGTTCAAAAATGTCCAATCGTACTGGTATTTCCTGTTGAATCTGTCCTCTAGCGATCTCATAGATTTGAGGGCGCCTTCAATTTCCCAGTTCCGTACCAACATTAAAAGTGTCGCATTTTCTCTCTTGCTCTGGTAAGCATAGTCCCTGCTCAAATCTTTCTCATGGTCTTCAAGATAGCTATTCGTGGAAAGTTTCGGCAGGACCCGTGTTAGACCGAAACTCCTCTCTTGGTCAAACTTATGCAGTACATCAAAGCTTTTTTTGAAATACTCTCGTTCTTTTATGCGATGAGCTAAAGAAGTCGATATAACAGCGTGTGCAATGAATAGTAAATAGGCAAAGATTGCTGTGCATGATATGATTCCTCCTATTGTCACTCCTTTCTTCATGTGCTTTGTTTAGAGACCATTTCCCTTGACTAACGAGCATGATACTTTCGAGGTCAGCATATGCTCATATAAATATCAACATTTTGATGTACATCTGGCAACAGGATTGGGAAACTAGAAGAGATATGTATATGAGCTGTGAGATACAGCCGAATTAGCGTATATATGGGCTTGTACCTGAATTGTTTATCCTTGGTATGCTCCTTAGTCAAGTTCAAACTACAAATTTGTTGAACAGAAATGGAACCGATGATATATACGTTTCTTGGACATCGTTGGCTCGATTCAGTTGGAAAGATATCCATTTCATTACAATCGAAGTTCATCGTCTACAGTAACGGCAGCTTTTTTTTCCAGCCTGAGAATCGGCAAGCTCGTACTGTTACTAGTCTTGACGAAAATGCCCGATATGTCACCTCTGATGACGCCGCCCTGCGGTTTTTTGGATTTGTCGGTGAGAAACGAAACAACGTCCTGGATGTTGTGGACCATTTCTTGCGGTGTGTGTATGCCAACTTCACCAATTTTCACGCTCAGACAGTTATCAACATTTGGGACGTAAAATGTATTTTTGGCAATGCTTCTGATTTGAGCACGAACGTAGGAAGAGTCGCACTCTTCAGGAAGTTTCTGACCTTTGATTTTCGCATTGCGAGCCATTTGAACGATGAATGGTAGTTTTTTCTTACTGTGATAGAAAGCGCTTCCAAGAATCGAGGGAAGCAGATGATGCACTCTGTAGTCTGCGACCACCAAATCGTATTCCTTGAAGAGCTTATTAAGCTTGGAGCCACGGTATTTACCCTTGAGGTTTCTGACGGAAAGTACAGTTTTAAACAAATCTGCGGTAGCAGGATCCTCTGTCAGAGTTTTCCTATATAGCGTGGATGGATCTTTTGTGATGAGTAGAATTCGGAGGTCTCCAGGCTTGTGCATTCTGCATTTGGTGAGTGGGATAATACGCGGAACATGATCGTTTTTCAGGCCTATAGGCTTTTCCGTATTGATTACCATGTGTATGTTCTTGTCGTTGGACAGTTTTGGGTCGTTTTTACATCTTTCCACCAGAGATGTGAGAGCGTTAGTGGCTAGATTATCCTTATCAAGTTGTTTCAACGACATAAAGACGTTCAAGTTTTAAATGTGGAAGTTTGTACCGAACGTTTGACCAACTCTTGTTTACCTTTGTCGATCCAAGTCGATGAGATGCGATGTGATGAGATGAGATGAGATAAATGAGTACTGAAAAATTTCGATGCCCCAGAGACAGAACACATCTCCGGTCTGAGCGCTTGCAAGGGCGAACGTATATACAGGATGCATAGCTAAAAACCTAAGTGCATGTTTTTGCGAAGTATACATTGTTTATAACAAATAAATGCGACCAGTAAAAGTTTTCACGAGCACTTGCGTAGAGTTATGTTCCCGACAAGTTATCACAACTTGTTGTCAACGGAAGGTGGGAACGGGCCTTCGGCGCCTGGTCTGTGGCGGCTGAACATTAGGTGAAAGAAAAACACTTTTTCTTCTCACGCTTAATCGAACAACTCACTGATGTTAGCTGGAAGCTCTTCGATCTGGGTAGAGTAGAATCTTTCCAACTCTCTCATGGCACCAACGTCCTTGTTGGTGACAAAGTTGATAGCAATACCCTTACGACCGAAACGACCACCTCTACCAATTCTGTGGATGTAGTTCTCCTTGTTGGTTGGCAAGTCGTAGTTGATAACCAAGGAAACTTGTTGGACATCGATACCTCTGGCCAACAAGTCGGTGGAGATCAAGATTCTGGAAGAGCCGGTTCTGAACTCCTTCATGATGGTGTCTCTTTGCTGTTGTGGCAAGTCGGAGTAGATGGCAGAAACGGTGAAGTTGTCGGCGACCAATCTCTGAGTCAACTCCTCGACCTTTCTTCTGGTGTTGCAGAAAATGACGGCCTGGGTGACGGAGATGGAGTCGTACAAGTCACTCAAACAGTCGTACTTGTAGTCCTCTTCTTCGACGTTGATGAAGAACTGCTTGATACCTTCCAAAGTCAGTTCGTCCTTCTTGACCAAGATTCTGATAGGGTTTCTCATGAACTTGGTGGTCACTTCCAAAACGTCACCAGGCATGGTGGCCGATAGCAACACAACCTGGGTGGTTGGTGGCAAAAGGGTGAAGATCTTGTAGATCTGCTCCTTGAAACCGGAAGACAACATTTCGTCGGCTTCGTCCAAGATGAACATCTTGATGTGGTCGGTTCTGAATCTTCTGCGCTCAATCATGTCGAAAACACGACCTGGAGTACCCACAACGATCTGGGCACCGTCTCTGAGAGCCTCAGCGTCCTCCGTGAACGAAGTACCACCGATACAGGCGTGCACTTTAATGTCCATGTGGAAAGCCAATGCCATCACCACTTTCTGGATCTGTAGAGCCAATTCTCTGGTTGGGGCCAACATCAAAGCCTGAGGGGCCTTGACCTTTGGGTCGATCTGTTGCAAAGCTGCAATCGAGAAAGTACCGGTCTTACCGGTACCGGACTGAGCCTGGGCAAGCACATCGTGACCTTCAGTGATAGGCAAAATGGCACGTTGCTGAATGGCAGATGGGTCCACGAAACCGTAACCGTAGATACCTCTCAATAGCTCTTCTTTCAAGTTCAAGTCATCGAACTTGTACACGACCTTGTCGTAGTTGGTTTGAATCTGGGATTCTTCAACTTCCGTGATACCTTCAGACATATTGGGTGATTTACTTAGAGATCTGAGTCTGGCACTGTAAGAATGAGAAAGGAGATGTAGGTAGAGTGTTACAGCTCATCTTGGAAAAGTTTTATGATCTTAGTTAGAGTCCAGTTGAAAAATTTGCATTGCCAGCGCCGTACGAGACGAGTAAATGTACTCGAGTATAAATGCGTACACAATGACAAAATCCACCATGTCACATGATTGAAGTACTCGCAAAACATGAGTACACAAGCCGTATAAAATGACGACATTTTTTAAATCATGTGACTTCTTTTTATATCGTATTAAGTGATGGTGAATATTTAAAGAATTAAAGCTACTCGCATATAGATCTATCTATACGCTATGATATACGATCAGACAGAGGATCATAGAAATGAGAGTCAAGTCCGATGAGCAAAGGGAGATGGACAGAAGAGATGTAAAGTAGAGGAGAGAGAGAGAGAGAGGGAGGGAGAGAAGAGAGACGATGTTACCTATTAAAAATTCTGGTAACTCCTTCTCTACACGGCTCTCTTTTCACATGAAATCATCATCTTGCAAGTCCGCTAGTTGTAAGTCACAACTGGATGCTGCTAATCAGTCTGGGAAAACCCTCGTTGCATCGTGTCTGTCCGGATAAGACTCCCAGGGAAACACGGGGCTCGGTCCCAGCACCAGTTTAGGCAACTCGTCCTCGAGCAATTGGGTCTCCAGGTTCCATTCGAAATGAGGCTCCAAGTCCAGCGTTGCCGCCTCAGGAAGCCCGTTCGGTGGCGGTGGCTCCTTGGTGGCATCCCATTGTGGCGGCAAAAGGGGCACAGCACTCTCGCCCTCCTTCGAGTCATCGCTTTCATCATCTACAGTGGCATCTTTGGTTTTTGGCGGTTTGGGGTACTGTTCGACAAGCTGCAGATACAGACGCCACCACTGCTGACGATATTCGTCGTCCTTCTCGTCCGCCACGGTCTTCCAAGGCTTATTCTTCCCGATAAAATGCACCAATTTGATCTCATCTTTGAAATATTTCGCAGCTGGCGCGTTCTGGTATCCACCATTTGGAATTGTCATGTTATAAAAGAACGGTAACCGGATCCAGCCCGTTTCCGTTTCAGCATGCTGCTCTTTTTGGCACGCAGGGTTGAAGAACTGATTCAGCACTCCTTGGTCCGCACCATCGATGGATTCTGTGCTCAGAACAAATCGTGCCAAGCGCTCGTATACAGTCTTGTCTGGCACAAGTGTGAAGACCCCGCTGTTGAACAGATCAGGCCACCCGCAATCCGGACTTGCCCCGATTTCGTGGCTGGCCTGATTCTGCGTTGAGTCCAGGATGCCCTCTAAAAATGCGTTCACGGTGCTGTTCGCGTTCTTGTGGTCTACGAGCAGACAGTCACAGTCTAAGTACACAATTCGTGCAAACTGCGTGAGCCGCCAAAGCTCCAATTTTAAAAACGTAAATGACAGTTCTGGTCTGTCCAGCAGTTCCAGATTAGGTTTATTCAATTCCACAAGCGTTTCAGAGACATGCTCTGAGCTATTGACTGGGATCACCTGGTCATACAACAGGCCTAACAGTTCTACTTCGTAATGCCGGGCTTGATCCTCGAGTACTTGCGAACTTACCAGAATACAGGAGGTAAATTTAAGCAATTCCGTAGTCTCCTTCTCTTCCTTATTGTCGTTATCAGCTTCAATCGGGTTTGCAGCGTTTCGCAGCTGGTGGCCCAGCGTCAGTGCGCCTGGGATGTAGTCCTGCGAATACAGAAGCGTAATTATTGCAACAGACATCTCAATGACGACGGATAACTACTTCTGTGTTCATCAATATTGTTTAGTCTTACTTTCTTGGACTCGAGCACTTAATTTCCTGACCCTTAATATCTTATATAACTTATAACTACAGGAAGAAAAGTGAAGACAGTAAGTAAAGTATAATCCAGTTTCAGTACCAAGAGGGGACCCTTGTGAAAAGCGATAATATTCGATAACGATCAAACGTATATTAATTCAATGGTGCAGAAATCCACAACAGACGGAGAGACCGCCAATGCAGACAGAAAAAGAGATATACTTATTTCCCATAGGTTCCTGATTTGTGACAGATGAGTGATGGTGGGGTTTATTGTTGTAAGAGAAAAAACTGTGAGAGCACGTAGCTACCAACTGTGATTTCTTTTAACGGGAGTAAGACCACACGTTCTTCAACAAACCGTCGTTCTGAGCCAAACGGTTCAAAGAGTCGTCGGCCTCACCTCTGGCTCTGACGTAGCCGGAAAGAGCGTAAGTGATGAACTCACCTGGCACAGCACGGCCTTCTTCGTCAACCTTGGCAATGTTGATTTGCACAGAGGCGTGGTCCTTGGCCTTGACGATTCTGTTAGTGGCAGAGCACTTTCTTGGAACGTAAAGTTCGACCTGAAATGGAGTTAGTAATACGAACAACATAATATTGGCAAGAGGGAGTGCCTGTACTCGAAAAATGCAACAAGTGCATGCGCAATGTTTTCTTCACAGTTGGCTTCGTTCCACAGCTTTCTCAGTATGACATATCATTCCCGTAACACTAAATCGTTAGCAATCCTAGAAAGCTAATGGAACACAGCGAAACCAAACGAATCCATGTCCCTTTTACATCTGTCTGACCCACTGATAATTTGGCTTGTCATTTCTGCCGCTTTCAATAAACATGTCAACCAGCGGTTCCGGGTTCGTTCTCTGCTCATACAGGCCCTCCTACTTTCTTCTAAACTCTGCGGTTCTGCACACATACTAGTTGGCCTTTGTCGTTTTCCATTTTGGCTTTGGTTTGTGCGATGGGGTCCTAGATTCGATATCTGAACTGCTAGTTTCAATAGTATTGAACCTCCGGGCGTGTCAAAATTCAAGGTTTTCCAAAGTCCACATCTGTTCCCGTGCGTGGGTTCAGCCGTGTTCGGTGTGCGTAGGTGTTGTACCTCAAAACGACATTGAGATTTTTCAGTCATTGTTGAAAAAATTGAGTCACAGATGTGTGGGTGTAAGAGTATCAGGGACAGTCTCAACCACGTGTGAAAGGTCTAACGTTTCCAGCTGTTTCCAGTTTGTTTCCAGTATCCGATGTTTCCAGGATAGAGGCTTTCCATGGACGTCCCAGAAACCGGAACATTCATTCCACGCCAATCTCGTCCGCTGATGGAGGTGTATGGGTGTTCTGAGCTGTGCTGTCTCAAGCAAGATTGGCTGACTGTTGATGATGAGAAAGGGACGTTCAGCGTCAGCGTCAGCGAAGTGGGAAGGAACAACTCTCATGACAAACAATTAGGCGCTGCCACGATATTACAGCTACACGTCGAGAAGTCATCAAAGATTAGTCCTTCTCAAAACTTTTCACACAATAAATATACACAGCACGCTATCCTAACCTAATATCATACTCTCGTCAACACGCACACACTTTCGACATGATGAGTCTGTGGAAAGAAATCGAAACCACGTAGGCTCTCGATCTTGTAGTTTGGTCCATTGTCTGTGTCTTGCAAAAAGTATTGCACATCTCGAGCCTGAGAGTGCACGTTGCAGGAAATGTACACGATACGAGCTGGATTGTACACGGCGAGCTGCTTGAGAAAAACGTCGTCACAACCCTTCCTCGGAGGATCCAAAATCACCGATGTGCGGTCTTGCGGGGTGTCAATAGACGCAAAAATGCACTCGGCTTTCCCGACCACAAATTTGCAGTTTTCCACGCCGTTTGCGCGTGCGTTTCTTTCCGCAAAGGCCACCGAATCTGCGGATACCTCTACGCCGATCGCTTTATCAACACCCTTCGATGCTGTGATACTGAACAATCCCGAGCCGCAATAAGCATCAACTAGATAGTGCGGGTCCTCGGGTCTCGAACCCTGGATCTGAAGATTCTCACAAACATATTCGGTCACCTTACCCAGAATGCTATTGTTATTTTGGAAAAACTCACCCGCAGAAAACTCAAACGTATAGCCGTTGATGTATTCTGTAACAACCTGTCTCGAGTCCGTAACGCACGTCTTGGCCAGAGGCTTGTCTTCTGTCAGCTCCACAAAAGTTTTCTCTCCCGTTTCAAAATCTCGAGATGCCTCATCCAGTTGCTCTAAAACGCCTTTGCTGGGGTCTAAAACACGGGTGTTCTCTCTCAACAAAATAGTGGCACCGCGCTTGTAACTTTCGAAGTCGCGTTCAAACTTTTTACGCTCGTTAGCCATGCCGTGATTCAAAATTTCGGTTCCAATAACACATTCTTCGATGTCAAGGATGCTCCTGTTTCCACCCGCGTCAGTGTCACGCCAGCTGGGTCTGCCCTTCTGCCCGAATCCAAGCGGCGGCCTGTTCTCTAGTTTTTTTAGTTTTTTGGGCATGTCAAAATGCGGGGTCAACTTTGTCCTGTAGTCGTACATTTTAGGTGATGGTACAGTTGTGCCTATTTCCGGTACCAGATTTCCCTCGATGAGCTTTGGCGCAAAATACTTATAAGCGTTGAAAACTGTGTCTCTCTTCAGTCTGAGCTGCTCGTCGTATGACAAAAACTGAAATTGACAACCTGCGCATTTCCCGAAATATTTACATTTGATAAGTTCGTCTTTCCTCAAGGTAGAGTTATGCGTTACTTGCAGAAGATCGCTTTCCACATAATACGTATGCGTTTTGAATACTCGGATAGTCACTATGTCACCGGGCAAAGCAAATGGGATTACCACGACTTGCTTTTTATCACTTTCTGTTGGGTGATCAATTATTGCGAGCCCATCACCACTGGCACCAATTTGCAAAACAGAAACCCCACTAACCTCACGGTGATACTGCGAACTTACGGGCTCTCCAGCACTGGTCTTGTGATTGAGGACAGCTATCATGTCATTTTCGACTTGATCTTTGGTGAGTCCTTCCTTGGTCAAAAGTTCTTCAATTTCCAGCTGTAGTACACCCAGCGGAGATGTTTGATCGACCTTCTTAGGCTTGTATTTCCTCAGCTTTATCTTTTTCGTTTTGTTAGGTCTGTTGTCATTTTCCTTGACTGGCTGGTCCGTAGCTGGTCTTTTCAAGGTCGTCTCTTGAGCTAAACCTGGATTAGCTGTTGCAGGAAGAGACATTCTACTTATGTTTCTTATAAGCAGTCCCGATCGCGGTAAATTGAGTAAAGCCAATGGACGTCTTACTAGACTTACTAGACCTACGATGAGCATTCACGAGTACTGCTGATGAGCCGATGATCAATTTTTTTCAATTTAAGCTCATCTCAATCGATGGCCATAAAAATTTAAATTTCTTAGCCTTACAGCATAACCGAAAAATGGGAAAGATCGAGCAGTAGTGATGCTATCGAAAAGGAGTCGACCAAAGCGATATCTGTCAATCACTTTAAGTAAAAAAATGAATGCCGTATTCAACCGTTGTAGCAATAGTGCATAGGCCCAAATTCTATATGTAGCGAGACTTCCATATGAGAAGTAAGGCCGATGTCAAACACCCTAAACATGCAGTAGAGACACTTTAGGGCGCGACGACTCAGAACGGTCGAGCAAACTTCAATATCTGACGTTTAAAGCGTCCATCACTCATGATGTTGACCGTCTTGTGGCGTTTGACATTGATGTAGTGCTCAATATCTGCCTGAAATCCATATCTCTACCTTCAAACCGTCAAGCTCCCAGTAGCGATGAGTGAGGATGAAGTTCAAAGACCGTAGGTAATAGTCTCTTATTCACGTCGACAACATATCGAGATCACTCGGATTTTGGGGCTCAAAGTCGGACCGCTCGCTAGGTGCCAACACGGAACGCACAAAAATGACGTTTATCACAGGTTCAACTAATCAATCCAGAACTTCTCATTTTGTGAACAAAGGTGTCATTGATTCGAAATATGCCTTTGTTACAAAGAATCGCGTCTTGCTTGTGATCCCAAAACGCCAGTTGTTGAAGTCCTCCCCGAGATATCATGTTTCTCTCTTAGAGACAAGACCATTCCCTTGCTAGGTCTCTGAGGCTCTCAATAGCTCTCTAAATCACAAGATTGAGCACCGGTGTTTGCGCCGCCTTTTGTTTTTCTTGTTTCGCGCAAATGGTAGGAATTTTCTTCGTTCACTTGCTGAACTGTGCAATACAGCAGTCATAGCGGCACCAAAAACTTCGTCGATGTTGTGATGAGACTTGGCAGACGACTGGAAATGGCTAATCGCACCTACTTGCTGCGCCAATGTCTCCGCAATTGTGGGGTCCACCAGTTTGTCGAGCTGATCCAAGGCATACAGGTCGCTTTTGGTACCAACCAACATGATCGGCGTGTCGGGGCAGAAATGACGAACCTCGGGTATCCACAGTTCTTCTGCGTTGTGCAGCGACGTCTTGCTGTCGGCAGCATAGCACACCATCAAAAGGTCGACGTCTGTGTACGATAATGGTCGTAGCCTGTTATATTCTTCCTGACCAGCCGTGTCCCACAATGCCAGCTCAATCACTTTATTGCTCGGTCCTCTGATCCTAGTCACGTAGTTTTCGAAAACCGTCGGTATATATTCTTTTGGGAACCTTCCTTGCGTGTATGAGATCAAAAGGCAGGTTTTACCGACTGCACCGTCACCAACCACAACAATCTTGATATGATGATCTACCGATCTCTGTGCTGATTTGACCTTCTCGAAACTTGCAACATCCGTCAAGGTCCGCTCGAAAGGTGCTGGGTGCTTGTAATTGATAGCAGTGGTACTCAAACTCATTGTAATGCAGAGTTTCACTTTCAAGATATGTTTTGGCCAAAATGATGAACAACAGTGTTAACAACTGGTCGAGCTTTATAATTCAATCTCTCCGTTAGACGTGAAGTCCACAAGTTTACAAGTCCCCAAGTCTACAAGTGTCTGAGTTTCTATTCTGTATCTAGTTATTACGCAGCATTTATCATGTATGCTTAGATATAAATATTGGTGTTACTAGTTTTGTTGTTTTCACTGCTGTGTTGTTTATTGAATCATTCTGGTGTATTATATATAATATGTATAAATATACAACTAGGTGAGTACAGTACGTCAAAGTTGAACGTTCAAAACACCATCAACACCAGTAAACATTGGTGGAAAGTCAAGCATATAAGGCCAATGAGCCTGGAAGAGTTCGATAATACACATTTACACAATGTTTTCTTGGACAATATAGCACATTACTGTTTTAGAGTGGCTTCAGCGCATTTTGGGATCACACCAGATGCACACGAATTTGACAAGTTCAAAGAAATCAACGAGCTCGAAATCGCGAATTTCGTGGCCGAGGATAACACAAAAGGGTTGGCTTTATTTCTTGACACAGATGAGACCATTTTGGCAGGGTTAGAGCCACCAAAACCCCCAGAAAAGGGCTCGAACGATGCCAAAATGATGGTAATTATGATCAAGAGCTCACCTAAACTGGACGATGATAGAGCAGTAGAAACACAGCTTTTTGCAATTAGCTCTTTGCATGCAATGACATCAGCGGCATTTAGTCGTTTGATGACCGCAGGCGCTTCTTTCATCATGGATTATACGGCCTCTTCGAGCGAATCCACGGAATTGGATGGTATTACGTTGCACAACATACGCTCTAAAATGGCTGCGTTCTCGGAACTGGCTGAGAGCGGAAAATCCAAGGTTGTACTCCCCGATTTGCTCTCAACAGTGCACCCCTTGGTGAACCGAATAGTAACGGAGGGCGCCACATCAAATAACTACCAACAATTCTTGGATGAGCAGTTCAAGGACACTTCAACGCTGAATATTCTGCAAAACATAGTGATGGGCTGGACTCAGTCATTGCGGTGCCTTACGGAATTGACGCGCGAGGTAAAGGCTGGAACACTGGAGGATGAAGTGACGTTTTGGGATAGCGTTGAAAAAGCGCTGGTGTCTGTTAGTGACCAGACGCAAGATTTAGCCGTACAGCTTACAATTGAAGTCCTACACGAGGCCCGCAGATTGCAGACAACGTTTGTCCATTTGAGCCAAACGGTTGTAGCGAAACGTTTGAAGGAGATACGAGCGTATAATCTGTTTCTTGGCGAGATCCCCATCTCGAAACTACATGCGGTAACTTCCCTTGATCAACTGCACCCGCTGATCTTGGAGCTGAATATATGTCTCAAAAAATTGAAAGTCTGCGCGTATCCCGTTTCGCGAGCTCAACCACTTTTGGAGCTTTTGACCGAGGAATTCTTAAGCAGGTTGCAAACAGTAGCTCCCGAATTGAGCTTAATGGATTTTGACTACTTCAACATCACTGTGAGAACACTTTTGGCCTTACTCAAAGAGTGGGATGACCTCGTTGCAGACCAGAACCTTCTTTTCAGAGAAATTGTGCGCAGGAGATCAGAAAAGGTAAAAAATATCAAGCTGGACCCACATACAAGCGCTCTGCGATCACGGATCGAAGAGTTTCAGGGTGTGAGGCGTAATTTACAAGCGTGGAAAATTGATCTGCTACAGACAGGTTTGACGAAATACGCAACCCTAGTCAATGAGGCTTATGAAGCGTTCTCCTCTATTAGTAGCTTGGTTTGTTCCAATGATACATGGACTGCCGCCATGGATGTATATAAAGCGCATTCCGTCTCTTTTGAAGCAAAAATTGCTGGTATATTGAGATTTAAGCTCAACTGCTGTCAAGAAGCTACGGAGATGTTTGCCGTCTGGGAGTCTTTTCAACCACTTCTTTCACGAGCAAGGCTGCGAGCAAATCTACAGGATTACCACCAAGTTCTGTTTGATTCTATACTACTGGACGTCGCAAAACTCAGGAATCGATTCTCCAATCAGCTCCCGGACAACCAGGTATCTCAGTTAATGGATATACCTGGATCTTCTTCTCGAGTGATGCAGAATAAAAATATTGAACGGAGAATCAAAAGCTTGATGAAGAAAGCAACGTTAGTGTTCGGCGATGAGTGGAAGAACTCTGTAGAGGGTCAACCAGTACACGAAGAGTGCAAATCAATGCTCGAGCTCGTTCAGATAGATGCGAGCGGCCAAACTTGGATTTCAACAGCAGATTACAGCCTTGATTTAGGAGATAAAACAGTGCTGGAGATTCGAAAGGATTCTGACCGGTTCAGTGCTCACGTCACATCAAATAACTCTTACAGGAACTCCTTTAAAGAGGTGAGGAACCTTAAATGGTTGAAATTCAATATACCCAGATCAGTTGAAAAACTCTCACAGTCGGTCAGAAGAGCCTACCCACAGGCTATCCAGCTGTCAGAGCATTTAGACACGTTTCTCATTGTCGTAAACAGAGTAGGGAAGAGCTCTTTCCTGAAAGCTCTTTTTAATGAACAAATCGATCAAGCCTTCACTCTGTTTGGTCAGTGCATGGACGTCAAATGGGAGTCGTTACATTCGGTCAATGTGGTTTCATCATCGAGAAGTTCCCATGACCTCCCAACTAAAAGCCGGACTATTTTATCCAAATTCAGAAATCTCAGCGCTTCAATGATTACAGCTTATAGCGCCGCGGAAATTCCAGATGAACTGCTCAGGGCTGCGGTCAACTCAATTTCTGATGGCCCGTTTCTCGAGGATCAATTGAAAGTTAAAATTGAGGTCATAATTCGTTTGAGTGAGAGGTTCACGACTTTAACCAACTTTGGCGTACGGGCTTTTGTAAATTATCTTGGCTTAAAAGTCGCTAAGGAACTAGCTTTGGTTCTAGAAGAGGCACTCAAAACCGATAAACTTCCCAAACAAGTTTATAGTGTTAGAGTCAACAGCGGGAAAATTACAATTTCGTCCCAACTAGAAACCGTTAAGGCTAAGTGGATCAACTACACCCAAATGATACTTGACATTGCATTGCAATCATTAGAAACATATCAAGATTTACAGAAAAAGAACGGCATAAACCCCGGACACAATCTTCTGGGTTATTTCAAAAGAAGAGCTTCTTTTATAGTCGGGAAAAGCTTAAGAGAACAAGACTCCATACTGTACAATGCTTTGGAAAATCTTAAAAGATGGAATAAATATGAAGCACTATGGAACCTGGCTGATGTTAATATTTTGGAAGAGTCAGCTCTCGACTTAGAGGCCGTTGCCTCAGTGTACGATGGACTTCTCACTGACCTAAATGAAGTTCAGGTCATGAACACACACGTGGAAGTAACACAAGCCTTTACAGTCAATCTGAAAGAAGTGAAATTCGCGGTCCAGACTTCTTTAAGAGAGTGGCAAGCGCGATTGTTGAAGGTTTTGGAAAAGCTGTACGTCGCCGAATCGAAAAGTTTTCATAATATTTTGAGTATGAGCCGGGCCCTTTTGGAGCAAGAGATTGGTCCACTCATGATGTCTTCACTTAGCGAATACTGTGAACTTCTCTCTGAAATTTCCAAGCTCGACCAAAGATGGGATGCAATTGAGACGCGCTTCTCGACAATTCAATCAGTCTCTGAGGTTGCGAGAGGAGACAAGGGCTTCTCAAGAGTCGGCGCCATCTCATTAGATCAACTTGAACTTGATGTCATATCTCTGAGCCAAGTGTTGAGAAAAAGAATTGCCTGGCTTGACCAGATCAAACCAAGTGCTATTTCTAGTCTCGATCGATGCTTTGACTCTCTTGAGTCATCTTCTAGATCTTTGGAGCTCGACTGGGAACAGGACAAGGCTGTCAAAGACACCTCTTCGCCATCTGCAGCCTTAGAAGCTCTTGATCTGATCGGGGCCCTGAATGAAAAGTATTTGGTGCAGCTTTCTCAAGTAAATGTCCTTTACTCAATCTTATCCCTTCCTAAGCGGCCTATCAATTTTTTGTCGTGCGCATCAAAAGACATCGCGGATCAAAAACAGGCCTGGGCCGCGATTCGCTCCGATTGGTCTACTCTTCAGCTCTTGCTTCAGACTAATTGGAATGACGTTAAAATTTCAGACGTCAAAGCTCGCATCGAGAGTTTTTTATCACAGCCATATGGCGGTCAACGAAATGTTCGAAAAAATGCTGTCTTAAACTCTTTTCTAACGCAAGTTCACTCCATTAATCACGCCTACAAAAGATTACAAGAAATCAAAGAGTGTCAGTTGAAAGCTCGCCACTGGTCTTCATTACTGCGCGATCGTGACAACAGTGATGACTCTGACAAAATAATCGATGCTGAGTCCTTAACACTTAATGACGTGTTGCAACTTGTAAGTAGTTGCGGAATTCTTGAACAAGTTTTACACGAAGCTCGCTCTGAAGCTGTGCTAGAGAGTTCTTTGGAGACGATCGAATCACACTGGAAAAATACGAAGTTCAAACGCTACCAGCACCTCGCGGGACTAATGCTAGTGAAGGAATGGAAGGTACTGTTTGAACTTGTGGAGGATGATCTTGATACCTTGCGGTCGATGAAGAGCTCTGCTCACTATAAACATTTCGATGATCTTTGCCAAAATTGGGGAAGGAAACTCAACAGCTTGGCGTCAATTTTCAAAGATTGGGCGGAGGCGCAAAGACTGTGGTTATATCTACAAGCCGCCTTATCGACTAGACAAGATTCCATTCTTCGATCAGAATGGTCAAAGTTTGAGGTTCTGAGCTCAGATTTTGCATTTCTTGTCTCGCGAGTTTTCGAATCGAACGTGGCATCCGATGTACTCATTGTGAAGGATTTTCATAAACTCTTGCGATCTATTCTAGAGTCCTTGAAAAGAATTATGAACTCTCTCAATAATTACTTGGATATCCAGAGGGAGCATTTTCCTAGATTGTATTTTCTGGGAAATGAAGATTTGTTGCAACTCATGGGCGCAAGCCAAAATTTGGAGCAAGCGTCTTTGAGTTTTAATAAGTTGTACATGGGCGTCTCGAGCCTATGCTGCAAAGGGCAAGCGATAACAGGAGTATTGTCTCGAGAAGGAGAGCTGCTTCATTTTGAGACGGCGTTAGAGATCGGACATTATTCCGAGATGAAGGACTGGTTGCTTGAGTTTGACAGTAGACTCAAATCATCAGTTCTGGAAGCGACAGAAAGCTGTCTCACTCAACTACAAGCAGGCGGGCTCAAGGTGCTCGCTCTAACATTTGAGAATTGCCTTTTTCAAGCCGCTTTGCTGTCGCTTCAAATATGGTGGACAACTGAGATTGAGAAACAACTGAAGTATATGGAGTTTAAGACTATAGGGGAAGACATTGATGGTGTCATACACCACCTCACTTCCAAAGCTCAAGCAACGAATGATGATCTTTGTAGGAAAAAGGCCGAGAATCTGATAATTGAGTGTATCCATCTCAAGTCATCTTTGACAATCCTGAAAGAATGTGATCGGATGACTGCCAGTAGTGTGTGGAAAGATACTTTCAAGTATTACTACTGCGCTAAAGCCCCAATTTCTCACCGCATGGAGATCAAAGTCGGTATCTCCTCATTCTTCCATGGTCTCGAGTATATTGGGGTTCCTGAGCGGTTAATCTATACTCCTCTTCTATCGAACTGTTTTACTGCCATGACGCACGCTTTGTCTCAAAAAAAAGGTTGTTCACCATTTGGCCCTGCTGGTACTGGTAAAACGGAAACTGTCAAAGCGCTTGGTCAAAATATGGGCAGAATGGTTCTTGTCTTTAATTGTGATGATTCTTTCGATTTTCAGTCATTGGGAAGACTTCTTTTTGGAATTGCTCAATTGGGAGCTTGGGGTTGTTTTGATGAGTTCAATAGGATGGATGAAAGTATCATGAGCGCAGTGTCGTCACAAATTGGAGAGCTACAAGACGCTCTTTTCCAGAAAGAAAAGCGCATTTCGGTCTTGGGAAAATCCGCTCTTCTTCATGAAAATGCAGGAGTTTTCATTACAATGAACCACGGTTATAAGGGGCGTCATAATTTGCCTGATAATCTAAAGACTAAATTTAGATCTTTTTCAATGTGTGAGCCAGATAATAACATCATAGCGAAGGTGATCTTGCTTTCGCTCGGTTTTCGGGAGGCCAATGAAATGTCTATAAAGATCACCAGCTTCTTGAAGATCTTACAAGAGCGATGTTCTAATCAGAAATTTTATGACTTTGGTTTAAGAGCGATGAAGTCAATACTCAGAAACTGTAAAACTTTAAGACACTCCATGTTTGACACAAATCTTGAGCATTTACTAAACCTGAGTTTGCATCAGTTGATTGAACCCAGACTAGAAGAGCAAGATCTGTTGATTTTTCGTGACGCTCTTTCAGAATTGTTTCCTGGATTACAGTTGCAGCAAGCTGATCAGGATTTTTTCGATTATATCAAAGCGGCTTGTCATCAACAGCAACTTGCACCCACCAACGAATTCTCCAAAAAATGCAGACAATTCTTCCATATTCAAAAATCGCAACATGCTACCATTATAAGCGGGCCTTCTGGTGCTGGCAAATCCAGTGTGTGGAAAACAACCCTCAATGCCATGTACTTGATGGATCAAATAGAGAACACGACTTACATTCTAGATCCAAAAGTATTGAGTAAAAGCCAGCTTTACGGATACCTAGATCCGGTAACCTTCGAATGGTCAGATGGTTTGTTCAGCTCGATTTTGAGGCAAATTACACGGGATGCTCTGGGAACGTTACAGAGTAAAAGAATATGGATCGTTTTCGATGGTGACCTAGATCCTGACTACTTGGAAACTCTGAACAGCGTTTTAGACGATAACAGGGTCTTCACCTTACCTAACGGTGAGAGATTTAGCATTCCTAGTAATTTGAATTTTATTTTTGAGGTGGAGACGCTCGAAGCTGCAACTCCTGCTACGATCAGCCGTTGCGCTGTTATCATGATAGGTCGCGAGCTTTACGATACGCCTGATATCTTACGAAAGCAGCTATTTGAATATGTTGCCCGTGTCAACTTCCAAGCTTCTCTGAATGTTGTCCGAGAAATTGACTTCATTGAGACCATACTTAAAGATTTCGGACCTTTGTTGAGCCGCTTATATTCAGAAATACAGAGCCGTTCAACAAATTGGCTTATCAAGCTGACAAAGCTGATCGACACTTTTGTATCCCTGGTGGGCTCACAAGTCCTTCAGGGAATGGATGACTTACGCGCTGTCTCGACCCAGGCTTTTAACTGTTACTTGAAAAAGACTTCGGTCATTTGCCTTGCATGGGCAGTTAGCAGTGAATGCAGCGAATCTGACAGAGTTTTTTTGGAAGCCATGGTCAAGGAGCTTTCACCTGATACTACATTTCTAAACTCTCTCGACAGCCCACTCACAGATCTCTTCGTTTCTCCAAAAGATTATAATCTTGCTTTATTGTCAACCCAGGTTCCGCACAACTCACTTGAGTCTTACCAAGTGCTATCTCCTGATCTGATAATAACAACGTTAGACACACTCAAGCACGAACGCTTTGTCTTTGATCTGCTCACGTCAGGAAAATCCTTGATTTTATGCGGTCCTCCAGGGTCGGGGAAAACAATGACGTTGAACAACGCTCTAAAAAAGTCGAAACGCTTCGAACTAATTGGTCTAACCTTTTCGAGAGAAACATCGGTTGACACAATATGCAAACTTCTCAAACATCATACGACAGTAACTGAAAATGCGACAGATATGGTGATGCGACCAAAATCAATGCTGAAAGATCTCGTACTATTTTGCGACGAAATAAATCTTCCTCGCACTGACCCTCATGGAGTGCAACCTCCTATTATGTTTTTAAGGCAAATTTTGGAAAAGCGCGGGTTTTGGAATACTGATAAATGCAAATGGGTTCGGTTAGAAAGAATCTTAGTTGTTGGTGCATGCAATCCAGCCGATGGCGCCGCGAGACATGTGATAAGCGAGAGGTTCATGCGGCTTACGCCCGTCCTCTCTGTCCAATACCCGGGTCCAGATTCTTTACGTCATATTTATGTGACTTTATTCGACGCTACATTTAAGCTGGTCCCAAATCTTCGTGATTATGCAACTGATTTTGCAGAGGCATCTCTTGACTTATATCGAACATGTTGTCAGAAGTTCTTGTCACGCGATAATTCTCTTTATGTCCTTTCGCCGAGAGACTTGACCAGATGGGTAAAGGGAATACATCATATCTTGGCGAACTCATCTGTCCAAAATTTGTCCGAACTTATAGAAATTTGGCTGTACGAAGGCTCTCGATTATTTGAGGATAGGCTTGTTGAAGCTGCTAGCAAAAAAGAATACCAAATTGCTGCTCGTGGTGCCATTTCCAAGTTTTTCCCCGGCCAGCAAACCCCCGACCCAGAAGTTGACATTCTCATTACAAACTGGTTGACGACAGAGTATAAGAAGACTTCAAGGCGCGACATAACGGCATTTGTAAGAGAACGACTCAGCACATTTGCTGATGAAGAGCTGGAGTGCTCGCTGATACCAACTGCCTCGTTAGTAAATCATATGGTAAGAGTTGATCGGGTTCTCAAGCAAGAGCAGGGCCATTGTATCATAGCAGGTCCAGATCGTAGTGCAAAAAGGTCACTAGTAAGGTTTGTCTCTTGGCTAAATGGAATGGAGGTGGTGCAGCTTGTTGTTCATCGTAGCTTCGACATTTCTGATTTTGACAAAATCCTCAAGTCACTTATGGTCAAATGCAGTATTGAAAATCGCAAGGTGGTACTTATGGTAGACGATTCAAGTCGACTGGATCCTGGGTTTATCGAAAGAATGAATACGCTACTGGCGAATTCTGATATACCCGGGTTATTTGAAGGGCAAGAGCGGCTTAAACTCATTTCGGACCTATCAACAAGGGCCGACAAATCGGGGCTGCTTTATGACAACAACGATGAACTGTACGCCTGGTTCACTACGCTCATTGCGCACAACCTTCACGTCGTTTTCACAATCAACAGCGCTGAGTCACACAGTGCTACCAACATAATGAGTTCTCCGGCGCTTCTTAATCGCTGCGTTCTCGACTTCATGGAAGAATGGTCTGACGAGACCTTCTCCCAAATTGGGGACGAAATTTTGCAATGGATGCCGCTTGAGCAGGACTATCGTGGCGAGCAATTGCAGAACCCTTTGAGTTCGAAGAGGGTCATGAGTGACACGATCGTAGAATCTGCAGTCGAACTCTTCAAACACTATCAAGGTCTCAAAATAGAGCCCCTGAGTTATGGAAGATATTTCGACCACCTTTTGATGTTCCAGAGGATTTATTCGGAAAGAAGCTCAGAACTTGAGAGCTTGCAGTATTTTATGTCCAGCGGTTTAGAGTCCATTAAACAATCCGCTTTGAGTGTCAAAGAGCTGTCTGTGGAACTTTCGGAGAAAAAGAAAATGCTCGAACAGAAGGAAATAGAAGCTCGGCGAAGCTTGGATAAAATGCTTGTTACCCAAAATGAGGCTGAAAGGAAGCATGAAGCCTCGATTGAAATCAGGAAGATCCTAGAGGTTCAAGAAAAAGATTTGACCTCACAACGAGCCCGAATCCAAAACGATCTTGCTTTAGTTGAGCCGGAAATACTGGAAGCCCAGAGAGGTGTCACCAATATCAAGAAACAGCACATGACGGAAATCAGATCAATGATCAATCCACCGAAGAACGTAAAATTAACACTGGAAGCTGTCTGTATTATCTTGGGTCATGGTTCGAAGGAATGGAGGGACATTCAAAACTACATTCGAAAAGACGAATTTATATCGAACATTGTGCACTATGACACAAGCAAAATGATGGACGATTCCACTAGGTCGTACGTGGAAGACGAGTATGTTTCCCGGCCTGGTTTTACTTACGAAACTGTCAAATACGCCAGTCAAGCATGTGGACCTCTTTTTCAATGGGTCTTGGCTCAAGTAAAATATGCTTCCATGCTTACAACAGTGTCGCCATTGAAAGAGCACATTTTAATGGTGGAACGAGACATTCTTCAAACGAAGGCAAGATTACTCGCAGCCGAAGATATGATTGTTGACTATCAAAAAATCACCGAAGAGTCTAAAAGCGAATACAGTTCAATGATAAGAGACATTGAGATAATCAAAAGTGAACTTAAGCAAGTACAGCAAAAAGTTTTACGTTCTCAAAAAGTGCTAAAGAGTCTAGTGGCAGAGAATTCAAGGTGGTCAAGTAGTATTGCCAAATTCAACGACAATAAAAGTCGAGTGGTAGGTGACAGCTTCCTTTCCGCCACCTATCTTTCATACTGCATGAGACACGATACACTAGTACGCCATGCTTTCTTATCGCATAGCAAGAAGCTTCTTTCAATGAAGAAGATTCCATATGATGAGAATTACAATTTTAGTGACCATTGCGTCAAATTCGAGGAAAAATCCAAATGGCTAGAAGAAGATTTACCAGACGACGAACTGTGTGTGGAGAATTTTTACGCTATACTCAAATTGCAACAGTATTCTTTTGTCATCGACCCCGAAAGCGTCGCGGCCTCTTCAATAACAAAGCATTTTGGCGTGAACCTGATAGTAACAAGTTTTCTTGACAGCGGTTTCGTCAAAAAGCTAAAAAACGCTCTCAGATTCGGGTCTACCATTTTGATAGAAGATGGAGACTACTTTGATCCCATCATTTCCGCACTGATAGCTCAAGAATTTAAAACCATTGGTGGCAGAAAGACGATTAAAATTGGCGAGGAGCTCGTTGACGTTTCTTCAGCCTTCAGGCTCCTCATTTCTTCCAAGAATGCAGCGTGTCCAATATCAGGATTTGTGAAGACACGCATGTCAGTCGTTAATTTCGTTATCGACAAATTTTCGCTACAAGCACAGTCTGTAGAGCTTACGTTGAGACATGAGAAATCTGAGCTTTGCCGAGAAAGACTAGAACTACGTCAATTAAACGGAAATTACAAATTGAAGCTCCGATCATTGGAAAAAGACCTTTTGAATGCTTTGAGTGGTTCCAACAGTGACCTTCTTGGAAATGACGTGTTGTTATCGGTGCTAGAGCAAGTAAAAAACTCCGCTTCCGAAGTCCAAGCTAAGGTGGAGGAAACAAGAGGTGTTCTCGATGCTATAGAGAAAGCGGCCACCGAATATGAAATCGTAGGCAGTCATGCCATGGGAATTTATGCTGTGATGGAGAAACTGTCGTCTCTTCACTGGAGCTATCAAATCTCGATCAAATCATTTTTGCGCTGCTCAGCTTCAATATTCGATAATATGGAAGAACCTGTCAAACAAGGCAGACCACAGCAATTACTCTCGACATTATATCAGAAGATCTTCCAATTTTTCTCCCCGAGTATGACAGACGAGCACAAAATTGTTCTCGCTACGCTTTTGTTCGCTCGCTACCTTGAGTTGAATTTTAATTCCACGCTTCATTGTGAATTTAAAAACCTTTTGTCATCTATCAGTACGAACACGGAATTTAGCGCTGAGACTCCCGATGAGATTTATTTATCCACACCGAAGTCAGACGTTGCACTGACTTATGTTAAAAGTTTGAGAGATAGCGTAAACAACAATTGCGTATTCTCGCAACTTTCTGGGACTTTGAGCAATTTTGAGGGCACCTCTTCTATGGGACTTGAACAGTATATTGATGCTGACTTTGATGTGCCTATGTTAATTCTATTGGAAGAGGGTGCAGATGTCACGTCCCGTATATCGCAGCTTGCGGCATTGAGGTCACTCAAATTACTTACGATATCGTTAGGTTCTTTGGAAAGCACTGCAATGGCCGATTCCGCTCTTACGGACTGTATTCAAACAGGCCAGTGGCTGCTCTTACAAAACTTACAAATGTCACCCGATTGGGTGAAATCGGTGCTGACGCGCAGTCTTGATTCTCTGATGAATGAACCGTACATTTCACCCAATTTTCGGCTATTCTTGACCTGTGACCTAGAGAGCACCAACATACCTCCCCCTTTGTTGAAAAAAACCTGGCATTTGGTGCAAGGCCGCAAAAGAGGAATTTTAGCGACGGCTCAGGATGTGTGGAGCACTTTGGCGCATCACAGCTCCATCATCGAGAAAAAGTCGCCCGCACAACTGTTCTGCTATGTTTTGTTGGCATGGTTTCATGCTCTTCTTGTCGAATACAGCAGCCTGCATCCTCTAGGCTTCACGAAAAACTACGAATTCAATGACGCCGATTTTAGCTCTGCCGTTTTCTATATGGACAGGCTTTTCGAAGCCATCGAGGATCATAATACAATACCTTGGAAAAACATCTGCTTCAACATAAGCACTATCATTTACGGCGGGAAGATAGACAACGATCGGGACTTGAAATTGTGCATTGGTGTTGGCTCCCGTCTGTTCACACCAGACGCACTCAAAACTAATTTTGAAATTGTACCTGGGCTATTGGCGCCGCCTGAGAAAGATGCTTACGAATGGAGCGACTACAAACAATGGTTACTGCAATGTCCAGCTCCTGACAGCTGGTCTGACTGGCTTGGTCTTGGCAATGATCTCGAGAAAGAGCAACAGAACTTTCAAGCCCAGAAGATTGCCGGTTCAATCTTGACGGTTTTGGACAATTGCTGACATTTCATACACATCTACCATACTAATTTGACGAGATCCGTTTGTAGAGGTTTCGATGGTGCTTTCGCTATTTTGCCGATGATCATTCTCGAGCGCAGACTCTGAATGGTTGCCCTACCAGCTGTTCAAGATGATCAGATAATATATGTATACATATATTTATATTAGATATACATATTATAGTGAAGCTTGTACATCAACAGATATAAAAGGCTGGTAAGATCAACAAGGCTTGATACCAAGGGCTTGACGTCCAAATATAGCGATGGCCGGTCGAAGTAGATCAGGAACAGAGTGTGAAATCACAGTCGAGAAACTGGATGAGGTCAAAACGTACCAGGATAAACATCCCTACGCTGATCCCGGAAATCATGACAGGGAACACTTCAAAAAGAGAATGGGACCTTTGCGCTTCAAAATGCGGGAATATCTTACGAAATATACGGAAAACCAGTCAGAAATGCTTTTCCAGTGGCAAAGTAAGTTTAGCAGCAAATTCTTGGATCAATATTTCGCATATACAGCGTTGATGGGGTCACACATGTTCTATGTTGTGATGGTTCCAATGCCGCGCTGGCTCGGCTATAGTGACGTTTGCCGAGACCTCGTTTACATTCTCGGGTATTCGATCTATTTGAGCGGCTTTCTGAAAGATTACTGGTGCTTACCTCGGCCCAAATCCCCTCCTCTCACTCGAGTAACATTGAGCGGATACACGACAAAAGAATACGGGGCACCAAGCTCACACACTGCAAATGCCACGGGAGTGACAATGCTTTTATTGTGGTACATCTATAGCTCCGAAACAATGCCGTTGCATTGGAAACTAGCGGCTACCGCAGGTGCATTCTTCTACTACTTCACACTTACATTGGGAAGAATATATTGTGGGATGCACGGCTTACTCGACATTTTCTCAGGTGCTCTGATTGGCGCTGTATGCTTTGTTGGTCGATGGGCAACTTTATCATATACAGACTTTGACGCGGCTAGTATGGAAGTTTGGGGCTGGTGGTTTCCTTTCGGCTCCGTTGCACTGGGATTGACTCTTTTGTTTACTCATGCGCGGCCCGTAGATCACTGCCCGTGTTTTGAAGATAGTGTTGCGTTTGTCGGAGTCATTTGTGGCCTAGAAAGCAGCGACTGGCTGAGTTGGAGTCTTTTCGGTAAGTCAAATTATCAAGTTTACTACGACTGGAGCGAATTTGGACTCATATTCACTTTGAGAAGGATCGTTGTAGGAGTGGCCTTGGTTCTGATATGGAAAAGTGTTGTGGGGAAAAAACTGCTGTACACGCTCTTAAACTTCGTATGGGCCGACGATAGACATTTGTATGCTCATGGACACGATGAAACTTCCTATTTAAAAGAAGTCCTGCCTTTTATCGGACGTTCGAGAACTGAACTTTTGTGTCGATTCATCCTGTATGCGGGCGTGGCTGCTGTTGTAGTTCTGATATGCCCTACGGCTTTTCTCTGGTTAGGTGTGTGAAGGGAGACTCAATTTTGCTTGATAGAAAAGATACACAGCAGATTTGAACGAGAACCCGAGATACAGGAAAGTGAACACCACCTGCGGTAAAACGAGTAAAAGGAATGATTTTAAGTTTTTTGCTGACAACCAGCCACCCGCGAACTGCACAGATACAACCTACGAAGCATCTCTGAGGTGTATTAAATTCGATATGCTGCCATACCTTGTTTTTAACGTATTTCGAGGTCTACTAGCAGGTGGAACTTGATAACTGTACAATCTTGAAAGAAAGGTGACCTGTCTGCTGAGCGTTCTTGCATGACAGGCTTTTTTTGGCCTCGCGAATGCTCAGAAGTTATGGGCTGTGCGGCTGTAAGATGAGAATGGCAAATTGTGAACCAACATGTTTTGCATTGAATGACCACGAGGAGGCAGGCCTAACGATCTAAAATGCTGAGTATATGCGGACTCAATTAATTACGCGAAACCGATTTTTGTCCTTTTCAAGAACAAAAACTTAGGCCGGGAAAGCTACTAAATAAGCCATGCTTTCCTCACGTCTTTGTAAATTTCAATAAAGGTCTTTTTCTCGAAATATATGGAATTAAACGTCTGATTGATGAAGCCGTATTTTTCAAACGGAAGCCGGTCAAAGATTCTTCATCTAGCTACCTCATTTGAAACAGCACTACAACTTGTTGGGCTATTCTATCAATATATCTATAAACCAACCCGATTCGGGAACAAGCCTCAAATCTGCCGCCGTTTTCGAATTATGAGCGTATTTTAGAGTCTACAGAGTTCTTCTTTGATTGTTTAAATGTGGAGCACAGCACCTGAAGTGTGTTTCTGAGTTTTTTAAATCACGATCGAAAGCTCGGCGGCTAAATTTTAGAGACTTTAATTTTCAAACCAATAAAATAGTATATATAAAGCGACAGAATTTAGGAATCAAAAAGTCCCCAAGTTCACTTCACACTTCAACAAAACATCGTTTGAAACAGCACACGAAGCTTGGGTGTACTGGAGAAATACCTATTATGGTGGTGCATAATGGATCAGTGCTATGGTATGTGGAAAGATGGTGGCTGCAGTTTGAGAAGGGAAGCGATTAGTTTGAAGACAAATTAGAGTCAGTTTAAGGAAGAAAAGAATGGCAGGAAAGTGACCATTGACCCTGAATTACATAGTGTTCAGTACACCGTTTACTTCAGGGGAAATTACAATGAAATTAGTGCAATGAAACTGTATGCTAGAACAATATGAGATACAGAGGATTGCATCATTGTCATCGTGGAAGCGTCAAGCTTCGTAGATTAAAGTACGAGTTGATTGCATTCACAGAAGAACAGAAACCGTGGCAAGCGTTCGAGACTCAATTCAACACTAAAAAGCTTAACAACATAGCCGTATTTTTGACTGATTCAGAAAATTGGGAAATTGGATGAACAAAGTTGTATGTGCAAACCGTAAGAAAGCAAACATATGAAATGATGTTGGAAACTTACAACGAAAGACGATTCGAAAGCGTCAGCCAAAGATAGGAAATATTCCTCAGTTTGCACACCCTAGATGGTGGCAGATGCGGAAGACAAACCATTACTTCATCAAGACATCGACGGACGAATGACAAACAGAATCCCTTTCGGAGTTGTTGGTTAAATCCGATTGAGTCCGCTCTCTAGCAATACGTTATCAGATACGGTTCAATAAGATGGTAAATCCACGAGGTTCTCGCCCTTCCGCTTAGCTAATTGAAGACAGTGTCACTGTGAACGATCTCAAATTTTGTTTGGTAAAGCTATCCGACGAACAGACACCCAGAAATATTCATCAAAAGATATCCAAGAGCAGGAAGAGCATCGGTTCAGGCCATTAAGAGTGCTAACAACACTCATCCATATTGTCTTTCATTGGATACCGAAGCAGTTGCGGAAAATATTCAGCACGAGACTATGGCTGAGGAAATTGACTACGAGTCGCTTCCGATTAATTCACCGCTTTCCCACCAGCTAGCGGCTGGCGCTTTTGCGGGGATCATGGAACACTCTATCATGTTTCCGATTGACGCGATAAAGACTCGAATGCAAGCGTTAAGCGCATCTCTGGGCTCATCAGCGACAGCGACAAGATTGTCGTCCAACATGGTACAACAGATTGCCAGTATATCGACCACAGAAGGCTCACTGGCGCTGTGGAAAGGTGTACAATCTGTTATTCTTGGTGCTGGACCTGCACATGCAGTCTATTTTGCCACTTACGAAATGTGCAAGGGCTATCTGATCGACCCTCAGGATTTCCAAACTCACCAACCGCTAAAGACTGCTGCTAGTGGGATTGCAGCAACTGTGGCCGCAGATTTCCTAATGAACCCATTCGACACCATAAAACAGCGCATGCAGCTTCAATCGCCTTCGAAAAAAGGGATGTGGTCTGTAGCAGCTTCGATACGTCAAAACGAAGGTTTAGCCGCTTTTTACTATTCTTATCCAACAACGATAGCCATGAATGTGCCCTTTGCAGCATTCAACTTTGTCATTTACGAGTCTTCCACGAAACTTTTCAACCCCACAAACACCTATAACCCACTCATACATTGCTTGTGTGGTGGTATGAGTGGTGCCGTATGTGCCGCCATCACCACCCCGCTTGATTGCATCAAAACAGTTTTACAGGTTTGTGGAAGTGAAAGCGTCGTGAATCCGCTATTCAAAAGGGCCGATACTTTTTCAAGAGCCTCAAGAGCCATTTATCAAGTGTACGGCTGGTCCGGTTTTCTGAGGGGTATAAAACCTCGTATTATCAGCAACATGCCTGCCACCGCGATATCATGGACTGCATATGAATGCGCTAAGCATTTTCTATTCAAGGGAGACCAGCTTTTGTAAAAACTGCTCAGACCCTGTGACCACCCTGATAGATTTTTAAGCCTGGACTAGTTGCTTGTGGGGTACAACACTATTCCTTAACTTCAATCGAGCATTTTTCTCTGGAACTAATTGTAAATAAAAAATCGCTTCCTGGACTACTCCTCCAAAACTTAGACTACCTTCATTGACACGTAATGTTGTACACACTATGGTGTTACACAATAATTAGATTTTTCTACGGTAAAGGAACCTGTCACAACCGTAAGTAACTTATGGAGCGTACGACAGTCTCGTATTCTGTCGCAGAGCCTCCATATCTCTACTATATTTGTATGAATTTATGTCCCATGTAACTGGATAATTGGGGTCTTCAGGTATGTAGCCATCCCGGGCCATATCTACCCATGGCTCATCGCCGTCTACACTTCCATATGCAGCAGATGGCGATGGAGATGAAGATTCCACGCTATTGACCCAGTAATTGCCTCGACCTCCATCTGAATACCTAAATCCAGCTTGTAAACGCCCCAACCGCGATCGCGAGTCCCTATGAGCCACGACGGCTTCAGCAGAGTTGAAATGACGATAATTGTAAAGGTTTCCAAAAAATGTTATTTTGAAGTCCCATTTTAGATCGCCACAGCCAAAGCAATCTCTGAGAGCGTAAATTGTGCGCATTCTCGCTCCCTCAGGTATACTCTTTGAGTTATAGGCGCTCCAATTGAAAGCAATCAGATGACCAATTGCGAATCCTATCATTTCAACGCATAACGCAGCATTTTGATAAACATAACCGTAATCCACACTGTTTGGCGGGTTTGGAATGAGACCGTATTTGTTCATGAGAGCAATTATAATCCCTTGCCAATATGATGCAAAGATGATAAGTTTGACACACAGAAATTTGGACCATGGACTGTATTTTTGAAGCTCGTCGTACAAACATTTCCAGAATAATGCGAGGTTGTAAAGCGACAAACTCGCAGAAATGTTATAGGAAATCGTCCAAAAAGGCATCCAAAACTCTGGATACCAGTTGTTCTGCATACACAGAATGGTCCCGGCGCAGTACAGTGGTTTAAACCACACATACTGCAAAATACCACGTTTAACGCTCAAAAAATCGCTGGGGTCGGACATGTCGATCTTAGGTAAAATTCGCCCCAGTCCTAAAATTGGATGTCGCATTGGAGGCTTGCCCATGGACAATTGGGTAATAATTGTGCGTTCTCCACCGAGAATCAGCGTCAACAGCGTGAAAAACGTGTAGATTACAAACGATTCGTAAATTTCTCGCACCGGGTCAATCCAAATTTGTGCTATCCTCGGTATAACACATGCCAGGAGACAAGTTGTACTGAAAAGCGGCACCATAAGTTGAATTCGTACCACCAATCTCTGTTCATACGGTTTCCGGTAATTTAGGAATTGCTGGGCTATCGAAACCGTAGAAGTACCGACGCTCAGAAGCGACGAAGAAACACACAATATAAACCACCATCGCGGTATGTAGTAGTTCATCAACTAGGTTTCGGGAGGTAGTTGGGTTGTTGCAGTCTTGTTCATCGCTGGGTTAGGTGTGGTTGCGATAGAAGGAGTAGTTTCTTCTACTTAATATATGGCGCTGATAGAGATAAAAGTCATGTGATCTATTTTCTTAACAGCTTTTCAGCATTATCCGTAACAAATACGAGCTAAAATTGGAGGATTACCACCGCGAAATTTCTAGTGTACTTTGAGCATAAATTGAACTCCTATCCGATTGTATATTCACCAATATGAGTTGAATGACGAGTGTGGAATGAATGACAGCGTTTGAAAACAAATCGTTAAATTGGACGGAGTGTCATAGTTTACGATGTGTGATAAGTATAATGTGTCAACTAACTGTAAAGGTAAGACTGTCGTTCGACATTGTCAACATCCAAGGTTCTTTGATATATCGAGTACCAGTTATGATTCTGAGATCTATCTTCAAACTAAGTGGAAAAAAACTCGCTTTCTATGTCAGGACAGTATAGGGCGGTATTAAATGGCTGCAGAGTTCTCGGTGTAAACCCCAGTGAACGAAAACACTTTGGATTGGAAAAAATAATTAGACCAAGATTGATCGACGCTGGTAATCACTAAATAGAATACCATTCGATTTCTCGATGTTAGATGCTAACTTACGAATAACAACGCAATAAAGCACGTGACCAGAGTTTGACAACTCAACCTGATATCGGTCAATCGAGCAATCAGGAGATCCTTTGACAACGTTCGAGACTACCACTGTAAATGTGGGGTAAACAAAATTAATGCTTGTCAAATCTGTCCTTCTACATTAGCCAGTAGTTTTTTTTGGCCAAAGCAGAAAAACCTTTTGTTCATGGCCTGACACTTGTAATTGAAAGGAGCAATTAACGGGAAGTTCGACAACCAGTCTCAGGAGATTGTTACAGAGCGTCTATCAAGTGCCTCCGAGCGACGCGATCGGACCCGCAAGCACAATAAATTTCGAATTTGCCTATGGAGTTGATTCGGTCACTTTAAATGAATGTGTCGCCAAATATCAGGTCGCGTGATTAATGCACACGTCATCGTATGAACAAAGTGTCACAACTCTTCTGTGCAAACATTTCCATCGAGCAAGGTAGCTTGTGAGTAGTTGTTGAGTTGTTTCATGGCACTAGTGCTTCAGATGTTGAAACAATACCAATATCAAGTGCCATTCCGCCGTCGCCAATTTGTATCATATTGTCATTTTCTGTCGCGTTCGAGCGGCGACCTTCCATTGAACACTCTTCGAGACCCAAAGCCTTTCTCGATAGCTTGAAACAAGGCATCATTATAATACCACCTAGCTATTTGTAAAGAAAGCCATCCAAACCCTGGTAAACAATCTGTTAATGCGTATGCGTGGCTTGAGATCTGTTCATGTGAAGCACTGAAAAATCAAACTCCAAAGAATCCCCCAGCCTTGAGCTCAGTACCATTCACACCATGTCGTTTCCCAAATCAAAAAAATTCTGATATAAATCATCTAGGAGTCTCAACTTCAAATGCCTTACAAATATTATAAACAGATTATTGGTGGAAACTGTTTCCAAGAAGGTATTCTCTCCTTTGGAACCATCCAGCAAAGAGAAACAAGTAAATGAAATGTTAGCTACAAGTCGTCTCGACATAAATTGATACAAATACTCATCTTAGCCATTTGTTCTCTCGTTCACCCATCTCTTCATACTGACGCTCTGTTATTTATGGACTATATATAATATAAAAAGGTCAAATTGGTTTAGATTCTGAATTTATGAACATGTCATCACGAACACCAGTTCAATGCAAGCATAAGTTAGCTTGGTTGGAACTATGATCGTCATCAGATTGCTTGTTTGGATTTTACAAGCATGCAAAATAGTCCAATCAGCAGGGGTGGCGGTTCATTTGACGCTTTTAGCGCGAACGGGTGTTCCTAGCGGGTTACAGCCTTTTATTTCGCAATTGAAGGCTGGAACTTTCTTTCCCGATGCTTTTTACAGTTGTAATACCAACAAAAAATGGCAACAGTTTTCGGAGTGGGCACATTGGCCACCTTTTTTGATCTTGGGTTCACAACTTTGGCAGGAACGCTATAAGAATGATCCAGATTGCGAAAACGCTAAAAAATTGAAAGCGTTTTTAGTGGGCGTATTTGTGCATCAGGTCACTGACGTATCTTGGCATTCCTTGATGTCTGGTTACAAAAGCCATGGTTTAATCAAAGTTTTAGCAGGTCTTGAATTCGACGGTGACTATCAGGCAGCACACAATTTTATTGATTCGATGGGCGACTTTTTGATGCTGGGCCAAATCTTAACAGATTACTCTTCTGAAAGCTGGGCATACTACACTGATCAAGACTGGGATTTCCCATTTGAAGACGATCTTCTGGAGATTATACATCGGTCTGGCGTAAATGACATGCATTTTTGGGAAATTAATACCTGTGTGAGAAGAGGGGCGGCAGCTTTGGCTAGTGAGGTCATGACTTTGCTACAACGTAGGAAACAGGTCTTAGAGCTCGGCTATGAAGTGTCACCAAGAGCTCGGGAGCTGATGCAGGAACACTGGCTTGGTGGAGAAATGAATTTGGTAGCAATGGTCAATAAATGCCTCCCCACATTCTTGTCTCTTTTTGAAAATAACGACCTGGACTCTGATGAAATGGCAACCCTGATCGAACTTTGTGGCTCATTACCGCCAGCCGAAAGAACCTCACATGTTGAAGGTTTGTCGCTTCAAATTCAGCATCGGGATGACGGTTCACTGTTTGTCTCACCCTTGACGCCCTTGTCCTTATTTGGATCTGATATGGCCGTAGGAAGGTTTCAGAAGAACCTCACATCGTTGGCAATAAGCGCACCTCTAGAAGAAAATGAGGGATCCGTATACGTAATTCCATGGGGCGAATTGACTGGTCTGAGGTTAAGTGTCGCCGAGAAACCGGTCACCTCTACCTATGGCGCGCGTGTCCACGCGTATACTTATGAAGCGGTGGATTACCTCGTGGTGTCTGCTCCAGGCGAGAATAAGGTTCATTTCTACGAAGATGGACTCGAAAGACTTTCAATAAGTGACGCTAAAAGTTGGGAGAGGCATCAACTTTCTGTCGGTTCAATTGGTGACATCGACAATGACGGAATTCCTGATTTGATCCTCTCGAGTTCACACTATGGTTTAAACGAAACTGGTATTCTAATAATTGTCGATGGTCGTGATACAGTTCAACACCTACGAGACCCTGAAGCGCTTGAATTAGAGCTGCATAATCTCGGTACTTTGATTCTCAAAGCACCTATTTCAGAAGCCTTTCAAAACTATGGATCACAGGTAGCTCTGTCAAGTGCGCCGAGCGGAGATAAATTGCTATATGTTGCGGCACAAGGTTTGGGTGTCGTATTTGCATATTCGCAAAGTACTTTACATCAAAACGCCCTGCCAAGCTATTACATTATTGAAGATACTGTTGTTCCTTTTGAAATTGACGTGCCACTCGACTTGCACGTCAAGAAATCTTTACAGCATGGCATGTTTGGGAAAGAAATGAAGACGATGAGATTTAATGATAGAGGTTTTGTTGCTGTTTCTTGCCATTTACACAACAAAATTTTCATATATGAGGAAACAGCTGGCGCGTTAACGTTTTTCGCCACGTTGGTTTTGGACACGTCTTTCGACCCTAAGACTGTCAATGCAGCAATTGGGTTTGGGACGTCAATTGAATACGATGACGAAAATGAGAAACTTCTAATCTCATCCCCTGGATTATTCGAGGGTACAGGTGCAATCTGGGGGATCAGCATGTTTGAGATATGGCAATCCGTTCAAAGGTGGAAACTCACCACTATCTTGGTAACTCCTGCCAAACATTTGATAAGCCTAAATACAGGCGCATCTGGACAAGGAAGTCCAGATTTTGGAAAGGTCATAAAAATGGGGCCAGATGGAAAGCTTTTAGTGGGAGCCCCACGGTATGGGTATGGGGATTTTGGTCATCATCAACTTTCTGGTGGTATTGTCATCATATGAACAACCAAAGATTCATGGAGCGATGATAAATTTTGCAGGAAATATGGTTTAGGTGGAATTATGTACATGTATGCGTGAATAGTGCAAAAAGTCTATCCTCAAGATAACTCGGATTCTTTCTTCTTTTTTCTAAGAAGTTTTGTTTCCAATCTTGCTTGCTTTAGTTGCCTGCGTTCTTCTTTGATTAACGCCTTGTCGTCTTTATTCGTTGATGCAGGTTTTGGATTCAACTTCATAATCAACCTGGACTCTATACTGCCATCCAAGGCCGGTTGAAGCGCCCACTCACTCGTTATTTCATGAAGACGTCTCAGCACAGTTTCTCGTCTTGCGTATTCCTTGGATGTAATTTTTGGTCCCTTGGATTTCTTTTCGTCTTCCTGACTAGCAGAGATATCATCAGACCAATTGATTTTGCTCAGTTCGTCCTTGCCATTCAGATACAAATAGACTTTATGGCCCTTTTTCAGTTGTGATGTGATCTCATTAGCCTTCTGCTTGTTGAGATCAGAATCAGAAATCTGCCAGGAAATCTTGATTTGCTTCAAATTGTCATCGCTGTTGTCTTTATCGTTTTTCTTGCCCAGGCGTTTGCTGGAAAATCCCATTTTGATCAACTCTTCTTTCTTCCGCTCGGCAAGCTCATCTGAGTACCTCTTCAGAGCAGTTTTAGAGTCCACCACTTTTATCAAAGGTATGCTCCCAGAGCTGGTTTGCTCGATGTTCACCAAGATAAATCCCATTTGATCCAAATCGATGTCTGCGGCCCAATTAACAAACACCTTCTCCTCGAGCGTATTGGACTCTTGCATAACAACTTTGACAATTCCTCGTCCATTGTACTTCAAAACCTGTTGAAGTATATGATTAGCCGCATTCTGAGCTCTTTCCGTCCCACTTGTCCACTTGATCATTGTACGTTTCTTCGCAAAATGCTGACCTGAAGCTGAGTTCCCAAGCTTGACATTCCTTCTCAAAGGGAAGGTGCTTTTCGGCAGCTGAGAATTGGTAGCACTAGCATTTGGGTAACTTTTTCTACTCTTATTGTTCTTCATTGATGTCGTTGCATTGAAAAGAATATCATTACTGCGACTGACGGAGCCAGACGTTATCGGCCGGTCAGGATGGAAACCTCTATGAACCCTTCCCAGCCGTCCAAATAAAGTTCGGCTGGCTATTGGAATGCTTCGAAGGCCCTGTAGGCTCATCATCGTCGCTGTGTAGACCTTGGAGAGTGATTGGAAGTTCTTGATGTTAGAACAAGAGATGAGATGAGATGAGCACGTATGAAGGCATGCAACTAAAGAAAGTTCGATATGCCCAGAACACACCTCAAGGAACTTTGACACTGGCGAGCGTGCCTCATTTGCTTTAATAATGCAATAATGTACAGGATCAAATCGTTATATATAAATGTTGGCAAACTATCTACGTTCTCTAAGATGCTCCGGTTGACTGGCATCCTGAAAGTCCCCACTAAAGAACTCCAGTCAATCGAATCATCTAACAGCGATATGCATGACGTCCACCGCCTTATCTTCACTGATGATTGATTTTAGATATCAACACCCATGACCATAGCCAAAAGAGCCATTCTCACAAATAGTCCATATCTCATTTGTCTGAAGTAGGCGGCACGGTGGTCATAGTCAACTTCTTCACGAATTTCGTTCACACGAGGCAAAGGATGCATGACAACCATATGATCCTTGGCGTGAGCCAAAATCTTGTTGTCCACAATGTAGACATCCTTCAGTTTTTCATATTCGTCGGGGTTTTCGAATCTTTCCTTTTGCACTCTGGTGCAGTACAAAACGTCGGATTTCGAAATAATCTCTGGTGTCAAATGTTCGCTTTCAACACCCAGCATTCCAGCCTTGGCAAGTTCGGTGCGTAAAGCAGTGGGCAATCTTAGTTCGGCTGGAGAGACTAGATTGATTCTAACTTGGTAGTGTTTCAACAGACGGCATAAAGAGTGTACAGGTCTTCCGTATCTCAGATCACCCATAAATGTAACAGTGATACCGTTCACAGTACCCAGTTCTTCACGGATTGTGAACAGGTCAAGGAAAGCTTGAGTAGGATGTTCGCGCGACCCATTACCACCATTCAAAATTGGAACAGGGGAGTACTTGGCAGCCGTGTGAGCAGACATCTCATCAGGATGACGCAACACAATAGCATCAGAGTAGCACGCTAACGTTCTTATCGTGTCCTGCAAAGTTTCTCCCTTCTTAACAGAAGAAGAGGTTGTGTTGATATTGACGGTTCTACCGCCCAGACGTTCCATAGCAGCAATGAAGGAAGACGACGTACGGGTCGATGGTTCGTAAAAGATGGTTGTCAACAACCGGCCCTTCATTATGTCCAGAATACCTTCTCTTTCAACACCGGACCTCAATTCTTGTGCTACTGCAAATAAAGCATGGAAGTCAGAACGCTTGAACTGATTGACCGATAAGATGTTTCTCCGCAAGAAAGGATTGTTACCTCTGATAAGACTTTGAATGGCACCAGGCGCAGCTAGCTCTTTAGGTGGTCTGGAGGACATCAGTCTTTGCTCCAAAGGTTGATCCAATAGTGCTTCCTCCTCCTCATTGATACTGGCAAAGGAAGAACGCTTCTCGTTGGAAAATGAGAATCTTTTTCTACTGGCACTTGGAGTTTCAGCAGCAGGAGGGAAAGAAGGTGCAATCACTTTGCTTCCACTTACGACTGGTTTGCCTTGAGCTTCAGCAGTGACAAGGTCGCCACTGAGAACAATGGTTTCCTCGTTGACGAGAACACGCTCAACACCGCCGGTCAAACCGCCTTTGGTATATGGAGACCATCTTTTAGTGTGTCTGAAAGCGAAATCCAGATCGACTTCCACTTCGGCCTTTTGCTTTGGTATGTTGAAAATCTTGGATGGGTTGTCATGCAAGCGCTCAACAATGTCTTCAATAGTCAATCTGCCTCTGTTTACCGCCGAGAGAAGGAGAGGCAAAGCTTCTTTGATACCCATCCCCGTGACAACTTTACGTCCTGTCACCTGAGCAATCATAGTAGGCAGTGCTCCAATAGAGAAAGCATCAATCGAGTCCAAGTTGCGCCAGAAAAATGCTTGGTCTTCTTCTGTTGGTAGGAATCTAGCTTCTGGATAATCTGATTGACTAACAAAGAGAGCATGAATGTTCACATCGCACGTTACCATATCTTGTTTTTCTTTGACGGTCATGATCAAAGACAAATCGTCCCTAGTAGAGACGCCAGTGATATGAATAGGTCTGTTCTGTAGGGAGGCCAGCAAGATTACGGACGCTAGATCAGAAGTCTTTGCCTCTGCAATGACCTGCTTTTCCAAAGGCCAGTTTTTCAGATGTTCAGCAACAGTAGCTATTTTTCCAGTAAGCTCGCGGTGCGGCAAAAATAGTGCGTTGGCAGCATTGGCGCATTGGGCCACATCAGCGACATTATTAGCGGTAGCAGCTACCGTGAAGCCAAAATCAGTGAAAGCGGAACCTTCAACGACGGAATTCGCAACCTTAATAGACTGCTCGTTTGTCACAACTGGGCCAAGAATAGATTTTGGCATAATCTGTGAGTAGGTGAAACCCGACTCTACAGAGAGCCTTGTAATTTCCTTCAATTCTTTAGGACCCTGAACGACGTTAGATATATTAGGCATGTACGACGATATGTTGATCAAACCAGGAATAGAGACCGTCCTATGGGAAGTTTGAGCGTCCCTTTCAGATACGTCCAATCTCAAATTTCTCGAGAGAGCTTCTATCAAAAGCTTGGCGCATTTCACGTTCGTCACTAGCGGGACAGAATAGTCTACAGCCATACGACGTGTCTGATAGCCCTTTGAAACATAAGATGCCGGACGGCGAAATCTGTTTGCTGATGGCAAATTGATGTACAAGTCGATTTTGTTTTCAGCCAAATGTTGCGTCAGTGAGTATTCGGACTTTTCGTCGTCACCCTCGTTCAAGACTTCCAGGTACTGAACAGGAATGCCATGCTCGGAGATAAAATCAGCAGTACCAGCAGTTGCGAACAATTTGTAGCCCAAGTTGTACAGCTTTTTCACAGAGGACAACATTTCTTGCTTCTCCTTGTAGGAACCGATGGAGAGTAAGACATTCTTTTTAGGCATCTTGAAACCTGTTGACAAGAGCGATTTCATGTACGCCTCGTATTTGGAACGACCGAAAGTAGCAACTTCACCAGTCGATGCCATTTCGACCCCCAAAACCGGATCTGCACCGGCTAGACGTGGGAAAGAAAATTGTGGAACCTTGACAGCCACATAGTCTTCCGGCAATTTTTCAGTTGGATAAGGTGTAATTGGCAGTCCCATGATAGCCTTCGTGGCCATTTCAATCAAGTTAACATTAACAACCTTAGAAATGAATGGGAAAGAGCGCGAGGCACGAACGTTACATTCAATTACCTTGATATCGTTATTCTTGGCGATGAATTGAATGTTGAAAGGACCGGTGATCTTCAAAGCCTTTCCGATTTTGGCGGTGGCAACGACAATTCTATTCACAGTTTCAGGATCCAAGTCTTGAGGTGGTACAATCAGTGTCGCATCTCCGGAGTGAACACCTGCGTTTTCGACATGCTCGGAAACAACGTGCATAACCAATTCACCATTCTTAGCCACGGCATCCATTTCGATTTCCTTAGCATTTTCGATGTATTTGGTAATAACGACGGGATAATCACGGGAGACTTCTACTGCTTGGTTGAGGTACGAGGCAAGGTCATCCTTGCTGTAGACAGTATTCATAGCAGCTCCTGATAAGACGTAAGATGGGCGGACTAGAACAGGGTAGCTGACTGCCGCAGCAAAGGCTTCAGCTTCGTCGATGGATGTCAGTTCTTTCCAAGCCGGTTGATCGACTTCAATCTGATCCAACATACGGGAAAACTTGTAACGGTTTTCGGCAGCGTCAATCATTTCAGGTGCGGTTCCGAGAATTTTGACGTTTTCACGGTGCAGAGACATGGCAATGTTATTGGAGGTTTGCCCACCCATGGAAACTACCACACCGTTAGAGGACTCAATTTCGTAAATGTCGAGAATTCTTTCCAGACTGATAGTCTCGAAGTACAGTCTGTCAGCTTCGTCGTAGTCTGTGGAGACCGTTTCAGGGTTATAATTGATCATGATAGACTTGATGTTGTTCTTACGAAGCGTCCGGACGGCTGTAACAGCACACCAGTCAAACTCTACCGAAGATCCAATACGGTAGACACCAGATCCGAGGACCATTACACCGTTATCGTTGAAACTCAAATCGTGCGCAGCAGCATTGTAAGTCATGTACAAATAGTTGGTGTGAGCCGGAAATTCTGCTGCGACGGTATCAATCTGTTTAACAAAAGGAAGGATGCTGTGTTCCTTTCTCAAGCGTCTCACAGCGACTTCGTTCGAGTTCACAAACTTAGCAATTTGCCTATCATCAAACCCTAGCTGCTTGGCCTGTTTCAACACCAATGCAGGTAGTTTCTCAATTCTGTTGTATCCTTCGACATGCTTTGCAAATTTGACAAGATCGTACAGCTTAGTCAAAAACCACTTGTCAATGTTGCTCAGCTCCCAGACCTTTTCAACTGAGTAATTCAGTTTTGAGAACGCATTCGCAATAGCGAAAATACGCTGGTCCGTAGGATTCTGCAGTTCAAAGTCAATGTCCAATTCAACATCCGTTTCGTTGAATCCCAAATTGACATATTCAGTTGATCTAATTGCTTTTTGAATGGCTTCTTCAAAGGTTCTACCAATACTCATCACTTCTCCGACAGATTTCATGGAAGAAGACAAAGCCGTAGAGACCCTGTGAAATTTTTTCAGGTCCCATCTTGGCATCTTTACCACGCAGTAATCCAAAGAGGGTTCGAAGCAAGCACATGTGGATTGGGTGACAGAGTTTTTTACTTCATTCAATGGGATGTTCAAACCCAATTTGGCTGCCGTATACGCCAAGGGGTATCCTGTAGCTTTTGAAGCCAAGGCAGAAGAACGGGAGAGACGGGCATTAACTTCGATGATGCAATAGTCCTTGCTGAAGGGGTTGAGTGCATACTGAATATTACACTCACCTACAACACCCAGATGTCTGATGACATTCACCGCTGTAGTTCTCAACATATTGTAGTCTTCATCAGACAAAGTTTGAGATGGGGCGACCACAATAGAGTCACCAGTATGAATACCGAGTGGGTCGAAATTTTCCATGTTACAGACAGTAACACAGTTATCAAAAGCATCTCTAACAACTTCGTATTCAACTTCTTTCCAGCCTTTCATGGACCTCTCAACCAAGACTTGTGGAGAAGAGGCGAACGCCACATTACAAAGATCGACAAGCTCCTCATCATTATTGGCGAAACCAGAGCCCAGACCGCCAAGAGCATAAGCGGCACGGACAATGACTGGGTAGCCAATGTCTTTGACAGCTTCCAATGCCTCTTTCACAGACGAGGCTGCTTTGGATTTGGCGCACTTTTCATTGATTTCGTCCATGGCGTTCGAAAAAAGTTCACGATCCTCAGTGGTAATGACTGTATCAATCGGAGTACCCAAGACCTTCACGCCCAAAGCTTCAAACTCGTCTTTCATCTCAATACCAACTGATAAAGCAGTTTGACCACCAAAAGTGACATAGATAGCATCGGGGCGTTCGTGAAGGATCACCTTTCTCACAAATTCAGCGGTGACAGGCAAGAAGTAGACTTTGTCTGCCAAACCTTTTGAGGTCTGAATTGTAGCAATATTGGGATTGACCAATATGGTATAAATTCCCTCTTCTTTCAAGGCCTTGATGGCTTGTGATCCAGAGTAATCGAATTCCCCAGCCTGTCCAATGGAGAGACCACCGGATCCCAAAACTAAAACTTTCTTGGCTTCAACACGAGGATGAGCTGCTAGGTTATCTGCCAACAAGCCACCTGGGAACTCGACCGCCTTGAACTTCCCGTTTAGCTTGAAATCTTTAACGGCGTTGATGAAAACATCAAACAAAAATTCGGTGTCTCTTGGGCCAGGAGTAGACTCTGGATGGAATTGAACCGAAAAGTATGGAAGTTCGGTATGGTAAATACCCTCATTGGAGCCGTCGTTCGCGTTTACAAACAAGGGTTTCCATCCTGGTGACAAAGTGTCAACGTCAACTGCGAAACCATGATTCTGAGATGTGATGTAACATTTACCCGAGATAGTTGAAGTACATGGAATATTGTGACCTCTGTTACCAAACTTCAATTTAAGCGTAGATGCACCGGATGCTCTGGCGAGCAACTGATGACCCAAGCAAATACCAAAAACGGGAGTCTTGTTAGTTTCCATGACCTTGGCCAATCTGCTCCCAAGTTCAGTGAGAACAGAAGGGTCACCAGGACCATTAGAGATGAAGAGACCGTCGTACTGTTCATTTGTGAAGTCGTAGTCCCATGGAACAACCAAGAGTTCCACACCACGTTGAACAAAGCAACGGATCTGATTATATTTCATACCGACGTCAATGGCCAGTATTCTCAAGGTCTTGCCATCGGGTCCAGTTTGGAGCTTTGAAGAGTCAAAGTCAGATGGCGGCGCATATAACTTAGGGCTCTTTATGGAGACCTTAGCAACAAGGTTTTGGACATTTGGGTCGTACCATTCAGGAATCTCAAAAGAGTCTAACCATTCAGCAGAAGTGGCGCGAGAAAAGTCTGCGCCTGGCTTTTGCAAAGCCAATCTTCCCAGCATGGATCCGCTATCTCTCAAATGTTTGGTTAAGCTTCTGGTATCCACGCCGTACATTGCCGGGATTCCTTCTTCTTTCAACCATGCCGCAAGAGAAGACTTTGCAAGCCAGTGTGAGTATTCCTCGGTGTAGTGAGCGACAACGAGACCAGCAATGTGGATACGGGAGCTTTCGAAGTATCTGGGCAGCGAATCGACCAGTTCGTCCACCAGGTTACGGTCAGGAACACCGTAGTTGCCAACGAGTGGGAAAGTTATGACCAGGATCTGACCTTCATACGAGGGATCCGTGATGGATTCAGGGTATCCAACCATACCAGTTTGGAAGACCAATTCACCGGCAGCTGGCTTCTCAGCACCAAACGAGTAACCTTGGACGGCAATGCCGTCCTGCAGTTCTAGGGTGATGAGGCGGTCACCAGTGGCTTCCATTGGTGGGGCAATTGGACCTGTGGGGATGATGACAGACATAATGTTTTCTTTTCTAGACTTTCAAGCGGTCAAACTAAAATGAGATTTTCCGAGCAAAAACTGGGGAATCTAAGCGGGAATTACAGCAAGTTCAAAGAGGGGACTTGGGTTTGCTAGCAAGAAAAAAAAAGGAGTATTAACTTCAGCTCTTTGTTAGTACGATTTTTTGGTGAAAAATTCCAGAGGGCAAAAGAAGTCCGAAAGAGAAGCCAATTAGTTTCCAATGGTGGCGAAAAAACACAGTACACTTCTCCTGATATCCAGACAAGATCGGTGCCCGTATCAAAGTTCTCTTATTCACGACAAAAGCGAGCCCACTGACCTTCGTAGAGCTTAAAATGAAGATCTTCAAGAGTCGAGCCCAATATTTCAATCTTGTTCCTAATTATGGGAAAAGGACATCCCGTACAGAATGACAAAATCCATCGCCTTTGAACTCGACTAAAACGGCACAACCGAGGTTCCATCGTTTCAGTGTCTGAAAGTAATCAAGGTACCTAATTAGCGAGTTGCGAATGTGAACGATCTTCTCCGTTTCTCTTCTCCTTCATGGTTACTTACACTTCGCACATACCAAATGTTGTTGAGGCAGAGAAAAACAACTGTATGCTTTATGCCAACGAGAAAAGACGCCGTAACTTATTCTTGGAATCTCAAAATCAACTGTACACACTAGGTAAATAGTGTTTGAATGTGTCAAAAAATAGTGGGGACTTCGAGGGGGACTGGTTCTCAGATTTCGAGCTTAGAACAAAGATGCGCGCGTATTAGAATTTCTCGGCACTAGCAGAAGTTTTCCTGGCTTGCTTCGTTTTTTTACTATCAAGACATATATACAAGAATAACACACACAAACAAGAAGAACGAACAACCTAAAAATAATACGAGCAGGAGGAGAGACACACACGAAATACTGAATGAAAAGTTGTGAATGCAAGTGAAGGTCAGAATCTCTTTTCTGTCCAGTATTTATAGTCATCGCGATTAGCGAAAAAAAAAAGAGTTTCATTTCTTTTTTTTTATTTTTTTCTTCCATTACCCCAATCTTAACAAATGGACAAATTTAAAATTGCTTTTATAGGCGAAAATCCGAGCTCGGCGGCAAATCTAGAATTTCAGCTGACGTAAGAAGAATGAACACGTGACAAATTAGGTGTATGGGTGTAAATATTTAACTTCGAATTTGAGTATTATGTAGTAGACAGAGACCACAGTGCATTGTCGTTGATAGTCCAAACGAGATCATTTATCATCAAGTGCCCCGTATCGAAGCCTCTCTTGTCGGTAGCCCTGTCTCGTTCGTGAACGCCTCAGTTCTCGTAGTGCCGCCGCTGAAACCACAAGTACTTGCAACTACGGCAAAACGCGCGCCCTTTCACCTTCTTGAGCATCCGGTGCTTCTTGGGACAACCTGGAGTTAGAATCACTTTGGTCTTCCCCCGAAGCTTCTAACTCGGTTTCAACGTTTCGGTAACTAGCCCGTGGAGATCCCGACATGGGACTCATTTCGCCATGCTGAGGAATTCTGTCTTTTACAGACGACTCGTAGTCCACTACGTTTCGCAGCGGAGGTGGATTGGCGTTGCTTTTGCCAAAAGATGCTGTAGAATGGTGGCCCTCTTCGCTTCTCGCAAAAGAGTCACCATCACCTTGACCAAAAGAGCTTCCACGCCTTAGCATGCTTTTGAAGCGACCCCTGGCAAACTTGGATTGCTTCCGTAAATACGCCACAAGCGGGTCGTTGATCCCAGTGTCATTTTCGCGGTTCATCTCCTCGATTTGATCGCGTTGCTCGAGACCTTGGCTCGGCAGAATGATGGCACGGTCCAACGAATACGGCAGGCCTCTGTGTCTTCCACGGACCAGCATGAAGATCATTATCACTTTCGAAAACGTATTGAATTGCGCGCTGAACGACTGATCAGTGTTAGGGTACCCCAAAGAGAGGCCCACCGTTCCGTAAGCACTAACAATCTCAAACAAAACCTGGAAAACGGTGAAATCGGGTTTTTTGGGATCCTGTATTTTGCCTCCCTCGCTGATGCAAATAATGAACAAACCCAAGAATAGAAACCACAGGTCAAACGATAGTTGACGACGCAGATGGGCACCAATAAAAGATTTCGGGCTATGGTTGATTTTACTATCGTCAGTGTCATCAACATGATCGGAAGGATTGTCGTGCGCATGATAGATTCCCAGAGATTGCTCCTCGTAGACATTTGTGCGTCTAATCGATATGGCTAGGGGCAACACGGATACGTACATCATCAGCATGTAGGAAACCTGAATAGAGGGATGCAGTAAGCTCAAATTTAAGACTGAAAATCCTGCAGTACGCGTACTGACAGCCTGAAAAAGACCATCCAGAATTTTGAAGCCACTGGACAAGCCTTCCACTACTGCCGAGTTTATATCCAACACAATGAACAAAATTAAATCAATAGCATTCAGTGCTACTAAAATGAACAACAGCCACCATGTTGGGGCGCTCGGGAATAATAGCGTGAAACATCGCCGTGGGTGGTCCAGTAAAAAGCCAAGAGACTCTTTTATTAAAGATAGTTCCGGGCTAACTTTGAATAAAACCCAAATTATGAATCTCAAAAATATGGGAAAACCAGTGTTGCCTATCACAATGAACCACATCATGACTACCAAGGGATAAATAGCTGTGTTGAAAGACATCATGGAGTCGGGCGTCAGCGTTATCCCTAGATCGTTAAAAGCGCTCATGGAGGTGAAAAATCCCCACCAAGCAGGAGAAATACCATCTGAGCGCACGAGATTAACGTAGCTTTTCATTCTCGTAATCCATGGCAATAATAGAACAAATGCCAGTATGTGAAAGCCAATGTAGTAGACTAACAGCAGTTTGCAGAGTAGCTTATTGGCTCTATACTCTACACCTCCCAGTTCTGCCTTCTGCACATCGCTCAAACCCACGAAAGTAGAATTGCGACCAATTTTAGGCTGATATGACAAATAGTTGGTGCTCATTCGCTGCAATCGCGGAGGTCTTTCTGTAGGCCGGTCAAACGCAAGCCCAGTATAGTCCCCCATAGCTTCCTCATCGTCGACCGGATCCCTTTGATCTCGTCCTCTATTGAACGAATGCTCACCGCCATCCGTATAATCACTAGAGCTGCGGGAAATGACAGAACTTTTCCGGCGTAAGAAACCCCCATTACGTCTGCGGTCTTCTTTCCACTTTTTGTATATCATCTTTTGGAAACTGGGAGATTTAGTGAGCAAATCTAGATTGCCGTTGCGATTGGGGTCCATAGTGTTACTTCTCTTGTAGAATTTTGAGCCACCTGTGGCATCCTTTGACGGTACCGCAAGGTTTGACTGTACCTTTTCCAGATTTGGCGTTTCGGTTGTGTCATCTAAGATACCATCATCAGTGACTGCGTGGTCCGGTACGTCTGTTGGGTCGAAAGAATCACTATCACTAGATTCTAGCTCCAAATCTGCGTCGTTACCATCTTCACTGGTACCATTCCTTCGCTTTTGTATCCTATTGCGTAGCGCTGCTGGACGAACGAATTTCTTGATGGATTTATGGTTTTTTTTGACATGTCTTGGCCTCCTCTGCGAACTACGCTTTATTCTTTTTGGCGGGGGTTGAAATTGGATGGATGCAGGAGCAAATGAATGTTCATTGACACCAGGACTCCACTGAACTGGCTTGGAGCTTTCCGCAACTGAAGAATCGCTACTCAGCTCCACTGCATCATTATTGCTGGGACCATCTGGAGCAGGCTCTGATTCTTGAAATGAGGATAGCATGGTGGCCCCGCTATGAGCGGGCGAAGGCGGCAGGGCGTGGGAGCTGTGTCTCGAAGAAGCGGGGGTAACTATACCACCAGGAGTGGCAGATGCAGGCTCTGCATCCGTTTCTTGTCGCCTTTCAGCGGGTCCATTGATAACAAGAGCAGGACCGTCTTCATCTTTCCCTTCTATGACATGCTGATCCCTCAGCATTGCAATAGACCGAAACATATCCGCCGGCGAAATGTCTTCAGACTTTCTTCTCGCACTGAAATTTTCTGCAGCGGTTGGGATGTGATGACCGTCACTTTTCGGTGGCTTGGGTAAAGCGCCAAATTTGATTCCTGGTGTGTCGTCCCCTTGCTCAACGCTTTTGGTAGATCCTGTCGATGAGCTTCCCTGTACTTCCTTTTTGCTTCCATGATCGTTCGCGTCTTCTTTCAAGCTGCTCATTTCGTAGCTGTCTTTCAATCCGGGGTTTTCTTCTCTATTCACCAACTGCCCACTGAAAAGTTTGGTTTGAAAGTCCGTATTGCTTGTAAAGCCCTGAGAGCCGCGTGTATCTTTCACAGTGGGTCTCCGCTGGGCTCCAGTAGCCGTTCTTGTCATCTCTCGCTGGATAAGCGTCTTTGTTCGACGCATCTTGAAATTCTTCTTCGACCATACCTTAATTCCATCGAAATGACGCTCGAACCAATACAGCCGAACAAAAGCTAACCCACCATGAATCCAAATCGGCGTTGTTAGACAGCAAATGAGGTAAATCACAATTTGTTGGTATAAAGTCATCTCATTTGTATTAATTGTGTTCAATCCACCTTGCGTGCAGGCTCCTGCTGCAGTGAAAAGAATGTCCACGTACGCATAGTTCCTGACTGGATACATCAGTATCGAGCCTATCGCCGTCATAATGATGATGTAGAAGTAGTGGATGGCAATGAAGTTAGGGAAAACGTGTTTGACAAACGGATAGATTAAGTTGCTGATATATTCAATCGCATCTCGTATTCTATGGCCAAGCGACTTTCTGTAGTTCAAATTAATCGTGGCCAAGCTAGGACGACGACTGTGCGTCTTCCGGGCCTGCATTTAATGCTTTGAGGCGCAGAGTTCTGAGATATCTTTGAGATGAGTATAGAATTCTAACTAGCATTTGACATATAGTATTCAAAATCACTTTATACGTTACAATGAGTGGAAGCACTTCACGATTCCTGATTAACCGAAAGAGGTACACGAGCTTACCATTCAAAACAGATCAAAGAACAATGGCTGTCAATCATATAACACTGCTCCTTGTGCAGTTCTGTCTCTCATCAGGATTAAGAATTGCTAAATTGAAATTTATACATTGCAGAGCTTCACCCTTAAACAAAGTTCAGATTGTGTCAGGTACTTAAATTAAAGACGCAGAGAGCTAGGAGATGTAACTTCAAGAAGTATGTGTATGACCAACAAAGATCGAGTTTTCTTCTGCTGGAATGGTGCTTTCGAGTCATGAAAGTTCGTCCAGGGCGATTGATTTTTTTTCGATATTCACCTCAGTCATTACAGGCCGCCCTTGTGAAGCGCAGGAACAGTGTTATTTTTAGTTATTCCGCTCACCCCATCGGCTCCAGTAGCATGCCACTTTTTCTCCAGTCGTGAGCCAATATATTCGCTCATGTTGACGTCAAAATTTCTATACTTCTTCAGCCATGGGTGTTCAACCAGAGCAGCATATGTGGGCCTTCTCTCGGGAATTTTCTGTAAGCACATGTTGACGAAGTCTTGTGCCAAGGGACTGAACTTTCCTTTGGGCAACTTTGGAGGAGGTGAATCAACAATAGCACTAAGTTGAGAAAAAATGTTGTCAAAGGTTTCGACGGGATAAGGATATGCACCGTTTGCCATTTCCAAAATACTCAACCCCAAAGACCAGACATCGGACTGCACCGAGTACGTCGATTTATCAGGGTTGAAAGACTTTATGCGCTCTGGCGCCATGTAGGACTGACAGCCAATGTTCGTTTTGGCTAAAGATGCTACTAGGTTTCCGGAAACACCAAAATCACAGAGCTTCACGGTTCCTTGGGCGGCCGAGCACAACAAATTTGTGGGCTTCACGTCGCGATGTATGATGTTATGCACGTCTTTCAATTCTTTGAGACCTTGGATTATGGCGTAGGTGATCGAGGCTAGCTGAGGTTCGTCTATGCCTCCCAAAGTATCGTTATCGTAAATTTTGTCTAGAGATCCACCGTCCATATATTCAATGCACATGTAGACAGCGCCTTCAATGAAGAAGGCCCCGTAAAAGTCCACAATGTAGGGACTTTGACATTTGTGCAAGACCTCCAGCTCCATAAGAATTTGTGTAAATTTAGACTCGTCCAATTCTAACCTCACTTCTTTCATAGCCATTATGACATTGGTAGGCTTGTGTAAAACCTTAGACACATTCCCGTAGTTTCCATGTCCCAGTTCCCCTAGAAACTCTAATTCATCTAGAGTAATGCGGAAGCTGGAGCCATTGCTAAAATCAACACCTTGAGAACTTAGTGATAATTTGCCTGCGAAATTAAGCGACCCCGATTTGATATCGACATATTTGGAAAAATTGGTGAAAAGCCCATTTGAGCCACTCCGACTCTGTTGTTGTTGTGTATCTTGTTGTGGTTCCGTGCCTTCGGTATCGCGTTGCTGGCCTGAGGAAGTGGAGGTTGTCGATACTCCATTAACTAGAGAACCAGGGTTGCTTCTATTATTCGCTATTCCCGCAGGAGCACGGTTCGAGGGTGCTCCTGCAAACTCCTGGGCCGCGGTGGCAGCTGTAGGAGCAGCCGCGGGCTTCATCTTGAGCGACATCCCGCCTGCGGGTAATTTCAGACCACGTCTAGCGCTCAAACTGGGTTTCACCTTTGGCGTTGTGGCTGTTGGAGAACTGGGTTTCAAGGTGCCGCCGCTAGGAACAGGAGGTGGAGCTCTGGGTACCCCTGGTGCTCCAGACAGTCCCATAGCACCAGCAGCAGCCATGGAAGGAGGTCTGGGGGCTCTTCTGATCGGGCTAAGCACGTGTCCGCTCTCCTTGCTGGAAGGAGGAAGCGGAGGCAACGGTTTGTTAACGATCTTATCGATATTTTGCGGTTCGGGATCCTTCACCACACTTCTGGCATCGTCTATGTGTGGTCCTTCACCGCCACCAGTCCTATGAGTCCCATTGGTATGCGCAGCGCCGGTAGCAATCTTGGCATTGGAATTTGAATTTAGCGTTCCAGAAGACGTCCCTGACGCCGCTTCTGCTGCTCTGGTTGATACATTTACGTTTGATCCGTTCCCTGCAGAGCCCACACTCCCATTTCGCTTTAGTTGTCGTTGTTCTTGGAATGCTTTCACTCGAGCATGCAAATTCGCGTTGAGATTGCTGTAATTCGACGACGAAGTCGATCCTGATCTTCTCAGTTCCGCACTTTCTGCTCCGGACCCAGTAGGTTCCATATTTATAGCTGCAGCGTAAAGATGAGGTCTACCGGTGAGGGTATTGACAGGACTCTAGCACTAGTTCTAGTTCGATTGCGAGTTTCCAGTTTTTACCGGGCCCATAAGGTGCTTGTAGTTTGCTTAGTCTTTTAGTTAATGACCTTTTTAAATGCGTTTTCACTATACACGAAATGTAAACGGTTCGTGAGAGGCGATTTGAGATCCGTACATGTATATATTTGATCATGTGACTCGAGAATCCAAAGATGTGTTTGTAGTTCTGGGGACCGTTAATGCGAATGAGCAGTAGTTTGTCTTGGTTATTGTACATTTAAGCTGTTCATGACGGGGCCGTAACGATTACCGCGTGAGTGGAAGCTTATGGAGGGGTTCAGATTCTTGAGAGCGCGACGAAGACAGAGACGCAGGGTAAGGGGTAAGACGCCGCGAACGGTCACTTCTCTTATGGTGCGTTTTGGCCACTTACATTCTGGTGTAAAATATCGGCAGTATTGAGCTGTACAAAAAATATCGTTTTTTTTGACCATATTGACGACGTTGTATATGCTGACAAAGCTGACACAGCTGACCACTGCTAGTCTCTATTTCGGCCTGCATGAAATGACATAATATTAGGACATTACCTTTCAAACGTGTCCCTGAGCTGCCAACGAAAAGACCACACAACTTGCCAAATATCCCAATAATCTGAAAAAGGCCTGTCTGGAGAGTAGAATTTCCTGACTTCGCGAATGAGAGCGAGCAAATATCCCACGGATGTGTGTAAGAAAGAAAACCATGCTGAGAGAGGTCGAAAAGGCGCACCTCTAGCCTTCCAAAGCCACGAATAGCGCACTACTTCGAACATGGTGATCTTAATATTCTATGTATATTAGTATAAATTGGTATTTTTGAAGGTATGGTCACATACTACGAGAAGATTATTCGATATCAAACTTGATTAGAGCTTTGGCAACCAAAAGGAACTCCAATTGTTGCTTTGTTATGGTCTTAGACACTAGTTGTACTGGAATATTGGTGAGCTTAACTGCAAAAATGAGAGTTTTCCCACGCTTCCAGCTTGTAATGTTGAGTGGTCACAAGTTTATTGAAAATACACTTCATTTTGAAGTCAGCGCACCGCAACAGTCTACAAGTAGTTGAAATTCTGCTTTCAAAAACCTTTCGCCCAATCTTGCGCAGTTTCGCTCTTGTCGAATTAAATCTTTGGATTTTCGTGTCGCTATGACAGACAAGTACAAAATGATCTAAGCTCATCATATAATAAGATCACCAGATGAAGAATAGGGCCACACTACAGTATACTGGTAAGTCGTCACGAAGAATAACCAAACATGGGCACCAAAGGTGTTGAAATGTCCATCTGGAATAGTCTCAGCAGATGCGAAAAACGTAATGACATGGCCAGCTTTCCATCTGGGTCAAAACCCGAAGCTTTTGATTACGAAAAGCAGGACTCTAAAAAACCGAAAGCACACAAGGGCGTCACACATCGAAATGCGTTTATAGTAATAATGCTACTATTAGTCAGTTTATGGCTTCACTTCAATTCCGATAAGTCTATGCACAAAATTTGCGGTCACAAAATAACTAAATTCCTTAATGCTTACTCCTCGCCATCCCAGGTTCAAGAATCGTTCGAGATAACCGTGGAACAATTACCGGAAGAACCCCCCGTTTTCTCACAACAGCTTCTACAGCACTCGTTTGGCGACTCATGGGGCAAACCATTCACGACCAGCTTTAGTCCATACACTGAAAAGGACTACGATAGCATAGTCCTGGAACTCACCACCAATGTTTCTGGACGACAATACGACCGCTTGCTTCACGTCTTCATAGGCGACGTCAACGTATGGAGGTCATCGACCGTAAGGCCCTGGGGCAACAAAACCATCGTCAGCCATTCCATCAAGGATATTTCGCCTTACAAATCGCTATTCCAAGACGAAAAGCTAAACGTAACTCTTCAGTTGGACAATTTAGTTACCAATAAACTACCTGGAACCTTCAATGTTACCTTGAACTTATATTATTATGCGAAAAAGGATCAGGGCGTTTCACGGAATACAGACACGCTACGTGGAAAGCTTCTTGAGATTTTCACTGCGCCCGCAAACCTTATTACGCCGTTGGTCACCCGTTTCTCCAGAACCCCTCTCTTCTACTACCCATTAGCTTCGAAAGAGAATCCGCGCTGGTCTCGCGGTCTTCCCGAAATAGATAGCAATCCTAACATTTCCAGAGCTGTGGTCGAGATTTTCGCATCTGGCAACGCAGCGGAGGAAGCATGGTATACTAACGTTTTGGATAAGTACATCACAAAATTCCGCGGGTCTGGACACGAGCTATTAGGTCATGGTCCTTTCCGCGCCATCAATGTTTTCTTGACCAATTCGGAAAGCGAAATACTCATTGATACTGTGATACCCACTCCTGTTATCTTTCCGGGCTTCCTCCCACCATTATGGCAACCTTGTGTGGGAATGAATGCTTTCAATATGAAAAGTTTTAAGGTAGAACTAACTCCATTCCTTTCTCTTTTTGAAACTGGTACATGGGAACTACAATTAGAGGTAGTAAGCAGCTTGTCCTCGAGCTTTAAAGACACGGTTGGCGAAAATTGGATAATTTCGGGCAACATACATGTTTGGACAGGAAATGAACATATAAATGGTTCGAAGTTCCTTAACGCTACGGCTTTGAAACCTTCTTTCGAGACCAGTGTGAACGATAACTTTTCTGATGAGTTAAGGCAGATGGTCTTTGCCAAAAATGGAGTCCTCATTAGTAGTATGATCACCATAGGCAATACCGATTATGAAATGCGCGGACTAACGGAAAGCTCATTAATGAGCAATCAAACATACCTAAACGGAGCTGATGACGAGCGGGCTGTTGTGGATCTGTTCACAAAGCGCTCAATCGTAATATCTAAGGACGGGAAAGACCTTTTCCAGCTTTCAGATGAAACAGGTTGGATTTTCGATGCCGAAGTTGACATCATATCGCAGAAGAAGTCCTCCTTGACGTATTCGGGAACGGTGAGTAGAGATTTGACACGTTACGTTGGGCTACACGAGATCGGACAAGATGGCTCCACTGACGTGCTGCTATTTCTACATGGTAGTCAATCAGGAAATGCTACATACCTGTCGTCTCCCGATAAGACTGAGGGCTCTGGGGATAGTCTCCACTCCGTTCAGTTCAAGCACGGTTGGCCATTTGAAAATAGTTTCAATCGCACAGTGGCTGTAAAGAACAATGTAGTGGTAAGTGATGTCATAAACTAGGATAGATAGGACAACATTTGCAGTAATGTACAAAATTAGAAAAAGTGCTGGTCATCAGAGCCATGCTCAAATTGATCATTTTTACGTTTATTACGCTGAACCGCTTCGACAGCAGCCATGACGTTGTCCTCGAGGTTTAAAAGAGCATCGTCAACCATATGCGTATCATCGGGATCGTCTATTTCAACTGTTGCAGGCCCGCTGGAAATGTCATTGAGAGAGACACTAGAGTTTTTACCTGACCCAGAGCTCAAAGCTACATCCAGGTAGCGGCGTTTCGTGTTTGTTTGTGAGGGAGTGTATGAGTTGAAGCTATTCATGGACTGATCATTCCCCAAAATTTCTTGTGTATCAATACGAGTTTTATCGTGCCCATTAAATTTCAGTCGATGAATGCTAGGTTTGGATTTTTTATTGGATGGCATGTCCTCCGTCGCGATTCGGTCTGAGTGTGACAAAGGACCTTGCAAGCTACCTATTACAGCAGCAGCCATTTTGCTTAACTGAGAGGAGTCGTCCACTTCATTGCTGCGAACGGCCATACGTGCTTGTTGTTGTGGGGATCCGGCCTCTACAACTATTCCAATATCGCCGTGTTGATTATTCTTGCAGAGTGGGCAAGCGGCCACAATCCGTGCCACAGTGTTTTTTATGCCTTTCCAGTGATAGCGCTCGGCAAGAATTGTTGTAACTTTGTTGATACCTTGATGTGCCACTTGATGCACTTCAAAGGCCACTTCTAACTGCTTTTCTGGGTCGTAAACAACTTCTCTACCTTGACGCATCAGTTTCCCATTTTGAACCATATGATATTTGGCGCTAGCACGTAGTCTCGCCTTTTCAGTTCTATCGCAATATTCGGGGTATTTACCACTTTCAAGATAGTACCGCAGTCGTTCATATTTAGCAAAGTGCTTATTGGGCTCGTTCAGTAAGTCAATGCTTTTGGATACGTGGGTGAATTCTTTCGCATAAATGAAGGAATCTACCGGGACGTCACAACCTTTGAGAATTGCGGACTCTGGCAGCTTCCCAACCCTTCTAAAATTCAATGTCTCCAAGATACGTCGTATTCCGACATTCGTACCATAAACCAGCGGGAAAACTGACGATGTGAAACCAAGCTGAGGTGCCCAATTCAAGAAACACTCTACCAAAGTTCTCCCTATTCCTTTACCCCTGATTCCTGCATTCACGAGAAATGAGGCGGTCACCACATGCGAAGAACGTCCAGGGTACGCGGGCTGCAGACTGAACGCTCCTAAGCACTGTTTTTCCCATTGTATATTCAAGTTCAGATTCCGACGTTCCTTACGTCGCATGTACTGAAGTGTGTGTCTCGTAATTTCCGCTTGCGGGTCGTCACAAGCAGCCGCAGAATCACCCGAATCAACAGAATTACTGTAATCGAGTTCTGGAATTTCGCCAAGCACCATAACGCATACCAATCCTTCAGCATGAAACCATGTTTCGCAAAATCTATCAACCGTTAGGGATTCGTAATACGGCAAACTATCACCTTTTTCAATTTCCATGTTGAATTCGTCTAGCAGAAACGCCAGCAGACCAGCTGGAACCTGCTCTGCATTTGCCGGAATCGGATACATGGTGGCCGTTGTTTCCCCATCCTTCAACAATATAGATTTCGGCTGTAAAGGAGTGTTGGTCAGATTATCTTGACTAACATCGTGCTCCATATCCTCTCCTGTTCGAGTGGTGTTGGTGGACCGTGGACTTTGGTGCGATGAGCTTTACTTCATCACTTTGTCTTAATGACGGGCGGATCTCTTGATGTGCGAGTACAAAAGTACTCGCCATTATATTATTCAAATAAAAGGATTTCCGCAGAAAAAAGGTCCAGCAATAGATTTTGGCTTGCAACTATGATCGATGGAATAGTCTGAATTATGTAGTGGCCTTTTTTTGAATGCGGTTTTGTAGCAGGATGTGTGAGAAATAAATTGGTTTCTTGCGCGAAAAATATGGTTTGTTGTAAGATATAGTAACAAACCACACCGTGCATGGCACCCACCAATGCGGAATGTCTTTGAAAGCTTGGTGAAACAAATTGGAGTGTCTTTATTCTACATTTATTCTCTCAAGCTTTGTTGACGTATATTATATTATATATATGTAATTTATCTGTCGCTGTCATTTATCACCTGACTGTTTTTGGTAAATACTGTCATCACAATATTTCTTGAGGTTTGACAGTTGCTCAAACTTATTTGTGGAACGATTATCTCGTTTTCAAGTGACTGATTGTTTTGTTTGTCTTGCGAGGAGCCGATTTTGTTTGCAAATGTTTTTTTTTTGAGCAGTCATCCAAGCTTGAATACAAATCGTGTCGGAACCTCTGTCTGTCTAGCGTCAGATCCATGACAAAGTGATCACAAACACGTGACACGATGACAGCGTC